TTTTGAGATGGTCAAGGATTGGAAGGAGGCGGAGACGTGGCAGATGGTCATATACCGCCTTTTTGAGAGTTATAACCTATTCTGGACGTCAAACACGTCAGGCTTATCTTGGCAACCCCTGGTACATGATGATAATCAGGCATTGCTACTAACATGGATTGAGAGCTGGGTTCAATGGCAGGGTGTAAAGTATATAATTTGTCTTTCCTTAATCACTTGGAGGGAAAGTGTTTTGACTCAGTCTTGTTTTATCTTGTTCAAATGTTTATTCTGAAATTCAAGGCATGGCAGCCACCGAAGCCAGAGCCAAAGCCGATGCCGAAGAGAACAACTGCTGCTCCTATATCAACAACAAACCCTCAGCAGCATATGAACTTCCTCCAGATGCCTTCAACCCACAGCAATCCTGTCCCTCGAGTCGACAATGAGGCACTCAACCGGCATCAGACCCAGAGTGTCCAGCGGTCCCTTGGGGGAAGGTTTCACTGTTCAATCCCCATTAGAACAGGACACTGGAGCTTTCAGTCACGGGAAACCATCCAATGACGACCCGGCAAGCATTTTAAGCCAGCCCAGCGCATTCTTTAAAAATGCCGGTGGTACAGACTTGGACGACAGTACTATCAGCCTTTGCCAAGCCGCTGCTTCTACGGAACAATCATCAGCCTGCCATAACATGAATAACACTGTGGATACGTGTAAGTAATATACTTATCACGAGAAAGCTTAGACTGATCTTATCACCCCGTAGCAGGTATTAAAGACTATAACCCGAATTATAGCAGCCCGGAGAATGCCAACTCTGACGACTTTACCTGGTCCCAAGCCACACCTGTGTCGAGCCTGAACTGCATAAACGATGACGAGGATGCTGAAGCCCGTTTTCCAGCGGCCAAACTATCTGCAGATACACCGGTCACCTCTTTCTCTGAAGGTCCATCTCCTCGATTGTGCCAGAAACCCTTGGCTACCGACCCTGGCAGTGGTGCTCTAATGCCGAACCCCGATGCTTCTGTGACCATCAGGCCTGCAGCTGCGCTGGTCAGGGCTGATGGGATGAAATATCTAGATTCAACGATATCTAAGGAAGAAGAGGCGATGTCGGAAGAGAAAGGGGAAGCTAGGGGTATATATGTACATAAATATGTGGAGGTATTATGTAATACCGTAACAGGGTGTACCGAGCACGCCGTTCCTTCTTGGTCGTGATAGCACTCGCATTCCTCTTCTGGGATGCGAGGTCCTTGGGAAGTGCTGGCCCTAGCCATCATGTTGATTTCTCGCTCATTGTTGTATCCTGAGCGTGTTGTGGCGGCAGTCTGTTGCTGGGGTTCTGGTACCTTTCGCCACTGGTTGTTGTTCTTTGGTGGAGAGCGGCATTCCTTCTTGTAGTGTCCGTTCCTCCCACATGATGATGATGATGATTTTATTTATCGTGGGTGCAGTCCCTCAACAGGGCAAACCACGCCTCCCAGAGCCATTGCATCGCAAGGTTGTAGAGGTGTTAGTCTAGATACATTCAGATCCGCGCACGAGCCCATCCTCGCTGTTGCGGTACCAACCTGGAGTGTCCAGATGGTTTTAGTCAATACCCAAGCACGATTCTGTCAGAAAAACCTCCTGTCCAGTGACAAAGCGACCCAGTGGACCTCAGTCCTCCGGTGTACACATCGTTCCAGTAGCCGTTCGATATATGTCGCATTGGTGGATGAAGCAGGTGTTTGTTATCTGCTGGCGAGGGAAACCACAAGGGGAAAAACCTCGCAGGAGTGGGTGTTGTGGAGACAAGCTGCTTGGCTATCAGGCTCTGCGATAATGGGGCCTCTCCACTGTCGTGTGCTGGTTGTCGACTCGCACAAGTTGTGTTCGTTCCTCCCACAGTTATAACACTTGACATCCTTCTTGTCGTGTTTGGTGGCGTCGAGGTCCATAGGTCCTGAATGGTATCCTGTCGCGGTACTAGGTGTCCTGGGGGCGTAGTTTCGGTTGTCGTATCGTCGTTTCCCCATGTTTGGTTTGATGAAGGTCCTGACCCCTGAGCCTTGCTTCTCTGCCTGTCGTTCGTAGAGTCTGTTATCGATCTTGACTACCTGTGTAACGTAGTCGTTTAACTCGTCGGGTCGCTTGGGTTTGGACACTTCGTCCTTGATGTCTTCTCTGAGTCCGGTGTAGAACTGTGCCATGAGAGCATCTTCGTCGGTCCAGTCGGTTCGAGATGCGATCTGCTTGAATTCTGCTGCGTACTTGGATGCTGATCCTCGCTGTCGCAGCGTCATGAGTCGTCGTTCCACTAACCTGGCTTTGTCAGGGTTTCCGAATGTTGCCCTGAGTTTCCCCTCGAAATGGCGATAGCTTCGGAAGACCTTATTGGTTTTGTCTTTCCTCTCATCCTCGTTCTTGTCAAGGTAGTTCCTTATGGTTGGTTCGAACCATTCGAGGGCGTCGCCCTTGAGGAATCCTGCCACGCAGAGCACCTTGTCTGGTTCCGTACTGATCTGTCGTACGTAGAACCTGAGGTAGGCTTTGGCCTGGGTAAGGAAGCCTTAGACGTTGCCGTCCTTCCCATTGTAAGAAGCTGGAGGGGGTAACTTATACCCACTGTTTCCTGTCACTGGGGCTGCCAAGACTTGTGCTTCCAGCTGCTGGTTGCTACCTTCGAGTTGCTGGATCCTGGTCTGAAGTTGTTGCATCAGGCGGACCAGGTCCTGGGGCGACCGACTGCTGCCCAGGTACTCGCCTAGGGCAGCCTGTTTACAATACTTGGGGGAGAGGAGCGCTGAATGGGCAAGATTCGTAGAGAAGAGCAAGTTCTTCTCATCAATCTGCCCCCGATAGATAGCTGTTTTTGAAGGACCAGATGGATGACCTTAAAGTCATGCCACCGCAACAGCGGGGATGGGCTCGTGAGCGGATCTAACTGTACATATTATCTTGATACCTCCACAACCCTGTGATGCAGAGGCTCTGGGAGGCGTGGTTTGCACTACTGAGGAGCGATTCCCCACGTTAAATACAATCATCATCATCATCGACTAAACCACTTAATATACACCTGCAAACACCGCAAGAGCGGCTGTCCCTGTCCATCACATATACGTATAAGATAAATAGGTTTGTGAAACAGAGCGTGGGGGCTTTTAGATGGGTGAAAACCGTATATTCTGTTGTAATCCGTGTTTTTTTTTTTTTTGTCTCTGTCCAAATCCTGCTGTGGGCTAAGTGGACCAAAAAAGTCCTATTGGACTTGTTGGTGCACTGCCACCTCCCTGAACGCCACGGTGGCTTGTGCGCCATTCAACAAGGTTCGTATTAAAACCAAGGGGAAGAGATAACTGAGGGTAGACTTAGGAAATGATTGGAATATAAGCTAGGACATGGGTACTATGTCAATCCAATAAGATCAATGCAATATGTAATATGCTTTATATGAATTTTAAAGTCCCATTTCTAAGTAAACAGGGGGTATATAAGCCTTGGTTATGCAAGCCAAGTTTTCCCTCGCTTGTTAGCGACCATTATCCTGGCTTTAGACACTAAAGGTCAGGAGGGAGGAGGAGAGAGGAGGAGGGAGGAGGAGGGAGGAGGAGGGAGGAGGAGGGAGGAGGAGGGAGGAGGAGGAAGGAGGAGGGAGGAGGGAGGGAGGAGGAGGAAGGAGGATGGAGGAGGAGGGAGGGAGGAGGTGGGAGGGAGGAGGGGTGCTGGACGATCACGGCTCTTTGGCAGGCAATGCCCCCATCGGTCCTAGACCAAGCGGACAAAGACCTATATGGGGGGTAGTTCAAGTTCAGACCATGTCGAACCCGACCCCTTAGACACAAATTGCTTTTGCTGCCAGGTGCAGGGGCTCCCAGAAAGTTGGGACAGCACTGGAGCTATGATTGGCTTAGCTAGGATAACACGCAAACATGCAGGAGGACTCAAGTAATGCCTTAACCCCCACCTCAATGTGCTGTTCTTTGTCGGAGGCGTTGCATTCCCCGGGGCATAGCTATGCTATAATAAGTGGTAACTTGATACCAGGCTAAGCCACCACTAGAAAACCCATACACAAAGTCCGTTTCCAGGTGAACCAGTTGGCATATAGTTCTTAGAAAAACGTCCTTGATCGGTCCTATACCATTTGTTAGTAGCCGTAATCGTGGCTTTAATGGGGTTTAGCTCCAGATCTAAGATTTAAAGAAAGTTTTTAAATTTGGGCCAATCGTGAGGGAGAAGTCTGTCTTTTTTTCTATTCTCCTTCTTCGGAAATATCTTGTGCAACCGTCGCTGTTTTGTGCTAGAGGGGCTGGATTGGGGAGGAATAACTAGATTCTATTTTCTACCCATAGCTGAGTGGCACCTTTCATGGTGGCGTTTTCTGGATTCCATCCTGATGAATGATTTCTGGCAAAAGCCACAAGCAGGTCTAAATGCCCGTCCCGACCTTTCACGTTGATTTCGAATGAGATTGGCCCGAGTAGAGAAGTAGCGGCCATAACATCCATGTTCCCAACATCGCAGCTTTGAGCTCCTTCGTACCATATACTGATGTTCTCTGTCTTGATGGGGGTGAACATAGCTTCGAATATTCGGTTAGCACACGGTCTCATGGTTTAAGCGATACTCCTACCTAGAGCAAGGCACAAGGTCTGTCCAGGAGAACGCTGGGTAATCGGGAAACAACTGGGCTTGAAGCGCTGCCGATGCAACTTGCACCGAAGTTTGGGGAGTGTAAACCGTGTTGGCGTCGAGTTAAAAATCCAAATTACCACTTATAACCATTAGCGTTTTGGCCTCAGATTGTACAAATACTAAGTCCTAACCATGGGTAGAAATTGGGTGCACTTTGGAGCTGTCGATGCCACATAGGGACATATTGGAAAATCGCCGAATCAGCCCTCAGATATTACATCAACGCCTTGGAGAATCCTGAAGATTGGGAAGACGTCCAGCCGCGTTCGCAATTCGAATTCAACAACAGCAGATCTTCAGTGATGAAGCAGACCCCGAACGAAATCACCATGGGATTTTCACCCAACGGCATCTCGGATATCCTAGCATCCAAAGATGCCAAGCAGAATCCCACAATGCCCATGGCGCGAGTAGAAGCCCGCGATGAAATCTGCGTGGCAGCCATGAGCATGAAGTACTATTACGATCGGAAGCATCTCCCAAGATTCTACAATGCTGGAGACCGCGTCCTGCTGCGTCTTCACAAGGGATACGTGATCCCAAAAGCCGCTTCTGTCGGACGAAAATTGGGACAGCGATACGCAGGACCATTCAAGATTACGGAACGCATCGGCCGCTCCGCATACCGTCTTGAGATTCCTCAAGCCTGGAGAATCCACGACGTTATCTCAGTAGATCATCTGGAACCTGTCGCCTTCGATGTATTCGGACGCTATCTGCCATACGCAGGCCCTATCCGCGTGAAGGACCATCAGCGTGCTATTGTGGACTGCAGGATTTCTCAGACCAGAACAGGGGAATTCCGCAGATGGTTGGTATCGTACGAAGGACTGGGACCGGAATATGATGAATGGTTGACTGCGAACCAGCTCGGAGATCAGGCAGAGGCACTGATCAACAGCTTTCAGAGCAAATCCCAGAAATCCTAAGGATTCCTAGCTATCCTTCTGACGTTTTCGACGTCTTCGTGTATATATAGACCTCCAGACGATGAGGGCATCGTCATAATTTGCTGGGGGCAGATTGTCACATGACAAGGACCCCGCGGGTCCCACTTATGTAGCTTGGAAGTACACACAGTGTCCGGAGGATCTGACGGATCCATCCTGGACTTAGCTAGAACAAGAACGGAACACACAATCATGACATGAGCCTAACACAGGGATGCGATTCGAAGATCGTCAGCTCCACTAAATCCTGTGGTATTAACAGAACTCTATTTATAGCTAGAGTTCATCCCTGAACACGATGCTGTCAGCAACTAGAGATGCACCCTTTAATAAGAAAGACACTTCTGTCCTAGAAATCAACTTTGTAAGAGCCTGATTAGGTCAAGAGAGCCTTCATTTCCTCTATTCACCGATCATGGCTCAATCACATGCAACTCGTTTACTGCTGTGTCTTTTCATCACAATATGTGTTGGCGTCCCGTTCCAGCCGCGTCGGTCCACTCAGCTCGAACAAATCTGTGCCAAAACCCATGTTGGCATCACACCCTGGAACGCACCACTCCTGACCTGGGACAAGAAAGCCAAGAGATCTCCCAGAGATTACCTAGAGCCGGCCAAAAAGCCCTACGGCAAAGCCGTCGCCCGCTGGCAGAGGAAATTCTTCGAACAGAGTGACATCGACTCATCGGACGGAGAATCCAAACCTGAGATTGACCCCATTCGAACAGGGGCGCCTACCCTGATCACCATGATCTACGAGAACCCCTTGAAAGAATCGACTATGCGGGAGTATCTTCGACGTTTCGAGTTGCTGGTGAACATTCACGAGCAGATAATCGTCTACACGTCCGAAAAGCTCGCTGACGTCATCAAGAAAATGCGAAAGGAGGATCAAGATCACTTCATCGTCATTACCAAGTTCGACAGTGTATGGGATATCCCTAACAACAAGGGCCAGAAGGAGAACTTCGAAAATATACAACCGAAGCTGTACAAGGAGTTTGACGGCTTCGGTGCGTTTAACCCTTTAGGAAGGATCATGGACATGTATCAGTCAGCCATCTACAACGCCAAAGTAGCTGTCAGTAAGTATTACCCAGACATTTTAATTCCTACTCCAGTACTTCGCACTGGGAATCTACTCACTGCTCCGTCATGAGTGGAGGTACCTGCAAGGCAGGAGCTTGTCGACCAAAACGACTGTGACCTTCTAACCGAACTATTTACTGATCGATGACTGTAGTCTTCGATGCGATCACCCAGAACAACAAGTTCGGATCCGACAAGTGGCTTTGGGCCGATTGTGGCTTAATCATTGTGAAGGCAGAAAAAGCTGCGCCTGGGACCGCTTGGGGAGAAGTCCTCAGCCATTTCTTTGACGACGACAAGTTTGAGCGATCCATCCGCCTCACTGGAAATTCCGGTGTCGTCGTGCAGGAATACGGTGCAGGTGACCGCCCGAGGGGGGCAGATATCGACAGTATCACATCAGATGGATGGACCACCCCTCGCCGAGAGTGGAAGACGTTCCGTTATCTAGCGATGGTCTGGGCCGGGAGCTCCCTTGGAATGCTGGAGTGGGCGGTGAAGTTTAGTAAGTCATTCACCGATACTGTCTGCCTTTGAGAGCAGATGCCTCATGTCCTATGCCAATCATGGCTGCCAGGCAGACTCAAACCGAACACAGAGAGGTAGACGCTGATTTTCGATGCCTCAGTGCAAACATTCGACGAGATGGACGCGAACGGTTTCTACGTGGCCCGCGAGGAAGTCGTCATGTCATACACTGCCCTGCGGTATCCCAACACCGTCTTTAGTATTCCTTACTATGAAACAAACACGCCGTTGCAGCTGGGATTCCCGGGGAGGAGCTACCCGGCGAGAACGGCCTGGTCGGCATACGGTGGCCGGGCTACCGCACCGCCTATCAATGACCCGCTGTCGACTGTCTACTGTCCCGGCGGCGTGTATCAACCTCAACGACCAAACTGTAAGTGGCACCAAGTGATTTTTATTCACCTCCCCGGAGGAACGAATAGCTTTCTTGTCATGCAGCAAAAGGAGTGTTCGCTGACTCTTGATACGCAGTGAGAATGGGGGAGTGGTAGGAAGCCTCTAGCTAGGAAGTGGTTCCATATGGTGGAGGTAGCGTGTCTCGACTGTAGGGCGCGGCTACCAACCACATGTACTTTTATATTCGACTTAGGTTATAGCCAGTGATAATGCATATAGAACGATTTGATTGTCAGACAACATTGCCTCTTCTGAGCAAATTAAAAACGAGAGCCGCCAATAACTTGCTCAGATTCCTCAGGCATGGCGAGCACGTGGTAGGTGCACTCTGTCTCTGTTTGCTCAGAGAAGGCGGTAGATCCAATCACTGTCTATATTTCCTATGTTCTTCAGGTTGGTATCCCTTCTAGAGACTGCGATTCATTTCTCTCCGGGTCGTCGTGACTGCAATGATGGACATTGTGCATGTTTTGTTCCCGGCCAACATCCACTGAAATCGCCTTAAGCCAAGGAGCCAGACAGCCAACCAAGATGATCATCTCTTGATCAGGGATGTCACGTCAGTGACTAGCAATGCAACCGATAGGATTATATAGAGTGGGATCAGGATGGAGGCGTGGACCGAGAAGGATGAACTATGTCGTGATTCCTCCTAGGCGTAATTAATAGCGTGTAAGTCGGTCGTGTCATCCTTCGCCCACTTGATGGCATGGGCACTTTGATTCATAAGCTTACAAGCGAGGATCACGTCTGCACTCTTCTCTGTGCACGTCATCCGTGTAGCTTCGGGCGACCATGACCAGCAACACCAGCGTACCTGCTGCCTGACTGATTAAGGATGTCAAGAAACATTCGATCCCTAGGTAACAAGCCTGTCTCTGTTCGGATCTACCATCTGTTAAATGAACCGCCTGACTTGTTTAGCTTTGGGGAAGCACGCGAGCCAGAATATGAACTGCCATACCAAGCTGCTATTGGACCCAGGGTCCCACGGTACATACTTAAGATTGCTGAATCAACGGGCAACTCATCATCGCGGAGCCTAGAATCCAAGGATGATTCCTGACCACTCCCAGAAGTTTAGGGCCTTTTCATTCCCTTTTGTATGCTCCTTTCACGATCAATCGGTGGGTTCGCGGCTAGTAGAGGGTTTGCGTTTCGAGAGACTCCAGAAGGAAGGTTCAGACACAGAACAAGCTCTAGAGATAGCTGACCACAACGGCTATTCCCTCTCGAGGGTTGAGGACTGCTGATATGGAACATTCGGCGTCCTGGCAACCGACGACGGCGGGCAACCGCATCTTTCTGTCATCGAGCGTCGCTGACTTTGGATGCGACGAAGGTGGTACTGCTGTGGATTTACGATCTCATGCATGGATCGGAGATCGATCATCGGACCCCGGATTGACTATGCGGCTAACCTTCGAACGCCGGAGATCCAATTGCCATGCCAGGTGTCACAACATTCATGACGTGCGAAGCACGCCTGGATTAGCGTGTGCGATAGCGTCGCTACCTCGTAAGTTAACTTGTAAACAGATTTAAGTATTTCTAAGTGGTGGAAAATGTATGCCAAGCTAATCCTGCCGTAACGGCGCACCTTCTCCATCAGTACGAGCTGGCTTTTACTGATGGTACCTGGTAGAACGGATGTTGCCCCTGAGTCAATATGACAGCAGTCCCAGTGACCCTCAGTCCCCTCCGTTGTAATGTAACATCTGCCCATCTTTTGGCGACGGAGTCAAAAATAATCCATGGCCGGGAGTTCGGATGATTGATTTGTGGACTGACAACGACCGCGGCCCCGCCTTCAGGGATGAACTTCCCCTTTTGAACCCGGGGCTCTAATATATCTCCGGCCGACATCGACCAGGGTAAGAGTGCTACCGTTTCATCACGCCGCCACATCGTAGGGACAAATACAAACGAAGACAAACACAATGGGGCCTGCTTCGAGCCGTGTGATTGCGACAAAATTCCTCAATAGAGATGACAGCGTAACGACTCTGATTCACGACCCAGGTGTGGCATCTACCTCAGTAAGTTATTGTAATCGAATACTGATTGTCCATCAACCAGTAAATAAACGCAAGAAATTTTGGCCAAGCGACGCGAAGGAAGTCAAGGCTTTCTTTCGAGGCCAAGTACCACTTGTAAATAGTATGGTAATCCATACCCATCGCAAAAAAAATCAAAAAACCCTATTCAGTCTCAATGTTTACCCATGCCCCAGTAGTACTCCTACGTGGGCCGGCCTGTCACATACGAGATAGCATGCATTCTTACGGCTGCAGGTCGTATGTAGCAAGGGGTAGGTGAGGCCAGTAACAAAACTGATAGATCATCTGGCTCGTACACACGGCCCACAACCGCAAACCGGTGAAGCCATAAAAATTACCACAGCTACACCGGTACAGTGCCATGCACTGTGCGGCACCCAAAACGTTGCAACGGGGAGACTTGCCGTGCAGCATCTCCACCTAAGATGGCATGTACATCCACTCGGTTCACCGGGGGACTTCCATGGAGGAGCCACGTCTAATTGCTCTGTGCTTAAGCGCCCATGCTTCTCGGCTTACCTCCCTGGGCCTAATGAAGGATGATCTCATTGGGTGCCAGACTGTCGGGACCAGAAGAGTGTTGGTACCAGCCAGGGATCTTATTGAGAACTGTGGCTGCCCTCGGGGAGTCTCTACAGGTATGATAGGCCCCTGGAATGTTCAGTGCTACAGTGCAATCACCAAGCATTGTACAGGGGCATGCAGTGAATGTGCGCCCGCACGCTGCGGTCTCGTGTACAGAAAAGAACATGCGTACCCGCTCGTTCACGTCACAACAGCTCATCAGCGGTCTGCAGAGCTTTGCGGGGGAGGTTCCGTCCGAATTACCTCGTCTCATATTGAACTACGCAAGTGGCTGCGCTCTCGATGTCGACCGCCTTTCCTACAGTGCCAACGGAGCAAACCCGAATCCTGTTCGAAGTAGAACACCCTCCTGTTGCCGATCTCTGAAGCTCGATTCCAGACCGCGATAGGTACAACCATAAAGGATTCCTGCCAATGGTCGTAGTCGATGCAGTAGTATGAGCTCGCAGCATTGTATCTGTGGCCTCTGATATTTTCATCAGACCTGCATCCCTGGCAATAGCATCAATGTCCTTCTCGTAGTCGGAAGTTACCCTGAACTGGTGCAGGGTCCTGTCGTAAGTGGTTACGGTACAAGTACATTGTACCTCCACATGTACCTATATATATGGGAGGCCCACCTCTCACCTGAAGCGGCCTGCCTTCTTCCTTCTTCCTTCTTCCTTCTTCCTTCTTCCTTCTTCATAGATCGTTGAATCTAGCTTTATCTATCCATCAGTCCTGACCAGTTGTACTGCAGGCCTGATCGTCACATAAGTGAGTCATTTCCCGGCTTCAGCGACTCATACTGTTACGGTTATCGAGTATCTATCTCTCGGTATCTGTGCTTTATATTAAAACATGTGCCTAATAAAGCTTACCATAGTGGCCTGTAATGTACATGCAATCTATATTATTAGTATCGTCCTTTGCTCCTAAGATGATACTTGGTCACGAATCTCACGGTCTGCCACATCTAACACAAGTTTTAGCCACTAATGTTTATTGAACCTCGTACAAGTCTCAAGGCGCACGCCTAAACTTAATAGTCATTATCACTTGCGTTGTTCACGCGTCGAAGTTCGCCTTCTGGAACACGTGCCCCTCCAACAACTTCCCCACGTGCGACTTCGCAAACCCATCCCCGTTACGTCTCGCCGTGAAGAGGCCCCTCAAGAAACCAACCGGGCTCTTCGTCAATCACATCTCGCCGCCAACCCGTCCCTGATCGTCGGCGAGAATGAAGCCCGTCGCGTCGACTTTCCAACCCTGCTTCTCCATTTTCTCGCTCAGAGACCGTGGCAACAGACCGAGGATCTCGCAGGTCTCCAGGTAGTCGTCGTAGGATCTGAAGTACAGCTGGCCGGCGAAGAGGTTGAGATGTGCTGCGAGGCGACGAGAAAGCCGGAGGCCGGCTTGCGGGCGGGGATCATGTGGAAGTCCAACAAATCCGGAGCTGCGTAGCCGGAGTTGACACGTCCCCTGTAAAGGTGCAATGTCGTGGATTTCGACTGTTCCATGCTGTAGATAAGGGAATTCGCTTCGTTTGGGGAGAGAATCATGATGGTCTTGATGTTGTTACTGTTTGGGTCATGAGCCGTGAGAATCCACTGCACCGAGCGCAAGAAAGTATCAGACACGAAGGTACCAGAACCCTTCAATACAGTCTCGGAAAAGTCAGTGGTCCCCAGGAAGACCTCCCCGCCTGCAAGGTCGCTGGGGTTGAATGCCGCCGCGGTGCTCATGCATCCAAGGGTGAAGAATGCAGGATGGTAACCCTAAGACGTACTGACAACTTTCCCTGTCAAGGCGAAGTTCTTGACATCTGAATGCAGTTTATGCGGGCATGCCCTGGCGGGTGGCGCGCGCTGAATCTGACGCTCTTGTTACAGCTCACTGAAACTTATGTTAGCAAATTCGCAGAACAAGGCATGTCGCTTAGCGGTGCACTTACGGCGACAGTTCTCGCTCCTGTTCTTCTTGAAGCGCGCTCAATTTGAATTGCGTAATTTCAAACTGTTCACAATGAGCTGCGATTTGTTGGACAACAGGTTCGTCAGACATAGCGAAGATCTTGGGTCCGGTTGGGTCGGGACAAGGCCGATATCGATGGTCAAGCGACTGGGCTTCGGTTTCCAGCAGCTTCTCAGCGCCCTCTTTGGTCAATCGTGACTGGTCGTCTTGGTTGTTCGCGGCATTCCAAATCTTTCCCTGTCGCACAAATCGCTCTCCTTGGACTGCCCACAGCGGCATGTTGCGGCGGACGTCATCGAGGGTCTCATGCATCGACCACTCCAGGATGTCAGCGACTGTGATGGTCGAGGCATCTGTCTTTCGAGCTGCTTCGAGGTCCTTTGTCTGTCTCTCTTCAGATACGCAGAATACTACTGTCTGACCCTTGCCCAGCTTTCGCATTCGCATACACGCTTGAACGAGGCGGTCTCTTGTCAACCTCAGACCCAGCGTAACAGCCGCTCGGCTCTCAAGCGGAAGGACAAGATCTATCCCACGAGTGTGAGCCTCATCTAAGAACACAAGGCAGGCGTCGAGGCGAGACTGAAATGACGATCCTCGAAGAAGGTCCACACGGTCTGAACGATCCACGACACAAATCTCGTCATTACTATCGATGAATACGACAGCCTGCTTGGAGTCCTCATGCAACTTTAACCAAGCTTTGGCCATTCCAAGTTGTTAAGCTCGATAATCTGAGCTCCAACGTCAAGAATCACCTGGACAGGCGGGTGAAGCTGCATCACGCACGACAACAAGTGGTCGGCGTCCGATACTGTTTTGTTGGCAAACACAGGGGCCATGAGCTGCACTCCGTTCTCATGCTGGAGGAGATACTCGATTACCAGCGAATTTTGTATGCTTTTGCTCCTGCAGCTCGAGGTATGCCACTTCTAAGGGGAGCAAATGGCGCGAGTCGACTGTACCGGAGAAGCCAGTGGTCAGCCGCTCTCGTACCTGGCCGATGTCCCATCCAGAAGCCGACAGCTTGTGCGGAAATTCCTTCATCTCCTTAGGGAAAACGAGGTAAGAAACATAATAATCCACGACGCTCTTACCGTGCCGAAAGGAAGGAAACAGTTTGGCAATGCATTGTGGCCGGTCTTTCATGTTAACGCCTTTCAGGGTGGTGAAAGACTCGGCCAGGCCATTAAAGTCTCCTACCCATTCCTGATACGTGATTTCGGCTTGGTCTGATTTTATCAGGTGTACAAAAGCAGCAAAAAGCTCATTATTGTTAAATCCTCGATAGTAGTAGCTCAGCAAGGCCAATGCAATGACAACGTTAGGATGAGAGAACTCACTACGCAAAGCCGGGGTATCTTTCGCTCGGAAAGGAACAGTGACTTTGGTTGGTAGTATACGATCGGCAACACCGTAATTAACTCTCCAGCGCTTCTAACTCAGGACGAATAGGAGCATTCCATCACCAAGGAGACCACACAGTAGAAGAATCTGCGGTCGATTCGTCTCAGTCCAGAGCGTGGCACTCTTCTCGACGAGATCGATCTCTTGTGCAGAGAGATCGCTCTTCGTGATGTACATGAGAGGCCGGGACTTGGACTATCTCCGTGCTAACAGATAGCGTCCTCGATAGAATTCACCAGCATAGGATAACGGCTATGAAAGCAGCACTTTCATCCAGGTCAAATATCACAATCGAATTTCTTGTGGGATCTGGCGACGCTATAGGTTGAATCGACTAGTGGCACATGCAGCATAGTATGAACTTGTACTTTGGAAAGAACGCCTCTGTGAAGATTGCCAGTGGCATTCCTCAACTTAGTGTAATATGTTTGCAGGTTTGGTAAGGTATCGGTGGGCTGCTTAAGCGGAACAAGCCAGGGAGGTAGAGCTGGTCTTGAGACAAATCGGCAGCCGTAATAAAACTATCGTGTGGGTTGCCAGCAGGTGGGCCCACGGGAAATGTAGAGCTGGACGCAATCGTCATCAAGTCGGACGCGTTGTTGCGAGGACGTTTGGATGGTCGCTGGCTCGAAGGACCTTGGGCGCAGTGACGGTAATACCAGCGTATTGTAAAATCCCTATCTTGTTAGATCTTGATTGAAGACCTGCAATTGGCTGTACGTGTATGAGACTGCCGGTGTTTGGTGATAGAGCATTGAGATTTCTAGCTGGGGTCCTTGTCCTTTTATTTTCTGTCGAATACTGCTAAGCCACCATCAGCAGGACTTGGTGGCACCGGGAACCAACTAAATTTCGTCGTGGCTGTCGCTAGCAGCCTGTTGCTTGTCCCAGTTGTTGAACGTGGGCTTATGGGGCTCCAGAAATCAACGTACTCGGCTCCTTCAGTGACGGGGTGAGGTAGCATCGTGAAAGATCACTAACCTACTCGGATCCAGCATCTCAAGATCCGAGCTATGCGTCATGGACAGTGAGTAGAGACGACGCTGGTCGAACCATAGCCTCAGTCGTGGCTCTCCCCTCTGGCATAGTTCATCAACGTAACGTTTAGATGTAAGGTGCTGGAAATCCTGGCACGCTGCAAGATCACGAGGACTGGCGACTGCTGGCCGCAACTAAAACTTAGCATGAGACCCTTGTGACCATACTACTGGGTCTGGTTTTTACGATCGAAGCGGTGCTCATGCGTGCGCCAAGGCGAGACATTGACAACTTCCCTTCTGCCCTCGCCGCATGACGTCTGACTGTACTTATTATCTTGATACCTCCACAACCCTGCGATGCAGAGGCTCTGGGAGGCGTGGTTTGCACTACTGAGGAGCGATCCCCCACGTTAAATACAATCATCATCATCATCATACGTCCCATATTAGAAGGGTAGCCGCCTGCGCCGGTACGGCCTTCCGGTTACGAGGCGAGGGTGGAGTGATAGACGTACCTTTTCCCAGGCTGCTAGTACACCATGTATACATAACTTCCGTTTGCAGGACTGAACTAGGCTTAAACCACGTAAGAAGAACCGAGGACGAGATCGGAAGTGCTCACGCTGTTTTCCGGCGCAGATACCTCACGAGGGCACACGCCTTCGGCATTCTGCAAATTGAACAGTGTGTTGGTATGAATTAAAGAGACCAACTGATATTTCACGACACAGTCTGCAAGTACGGTGCCGAACAAGTATGCATGCACATATACATCACCACCCTTCCCGTCACCAATGGCCATTCCCATCAACGGAAGGATGATTTTATCGAATACAATGCTCCAATCCATATCTACCCTATCCTAAAATCGAAGACTCAGTTGGTGTCGAGACCACCTTGGGACGCAGCGCCTGAGAGACGAGAGAACCTGATGAAGAAACGAAACGTTCACACAAGCGCATCCCACGAACTTGCCACAGACTTTTCATCCCAGAGCGTGACATGCTGAGCGGACGCCGGTGCTGGCTGTACTGTGAGACCTGGTTACACCATGGCAAGCACGGTGTGTGTGCGGGAAAGTAAAGTGCGCATGAAGATTAACGTACTCAATAGCGCGGTCGTCTCTTCCCGATGGAGCTTCTCAATTCCTCGCAGGCCAAGTCCTTTCCATTTCCGAGTACGCCTCTCGAACGCAGCCGAAATCATTTTCTTGTAGGTTCTGCCCATTCTGAGCAGTTCGCCAAGTCGACGAGCGACATCAATGCTCCATTGATATAGCGCAGTGCGGGTGGAGTGGCGGTCCGGAGCCCGGCCTACATCGCCATCCACTGTATAGTCACGGCCAGGGGCCTCGCCGAGAGCGAGATGCTGCACTTGAGTCAACACGAAGACGTCTGTTTTCTCCGGGGTGTGATGCAGTCAGTAAAAGCATGTCAACCGTAGTGGAGAGGGATGTACCGTAGACCACACGGTGGTGGACGACACTGGCGATACATCGAGAAATGAGAGTACGACGTCGAAATCGCTTGAACCGCCTTCGCTAAGTCTCGCGTCTAGCCAAGGTGACAGCGTACAGCCACCAGTTGACTCGAAGGCTTCACAAATCTCGAATGAAAAAAAGGGGCGATCCGAGCCACGCAAGCCGGGTTATTGGATCGGCAAGACCGACACAATTTGGCCACCAGGCCATGCAGGTGATTCATCAAATGCACGACAGGGTAGATAGACAAGGTAGAGTAGTACCAAACCATGTATATAGGATGCTCCCCGACCCCTGAAGGCAAGTACCCTTGTAAGCCTGCCCCTACGCATTATCGATGCTCCAATCTACAGGTGTGTAGACAGCCCAGTCCTGCAGCACGCCAACTCAGGCACAGGCGGGAAGCACACCACCTCCTCGTTCCCGCCACACGCTCGGTGCGAGGCACTGTGCGCGACGGGCTTGCTTGAAAGGGTCACTATGGTTGGCTTACTAGAGAAACCCGATATGTCTGCTGTGAAGATAGGTCGTTTGCCACGTCTGCCCATATTCACAGGAGGCTTCACGCCGATCGCACCGAGATATCCTCACGCTGGAACCCTCACGCTGGAATCCTCACGCTGGAATCCTCACGCTGGAATCTTCACGCTAGAATATTGATGGATACTACCTCTCTGCCGCATCGCCAAGTAGAATAATCCAATACCAAACACGATAGCGGATGCCCATCAAGACCCGAGCCGCGCAGCCAACCTGATCGAAACATCGTTGACTCAACCTAAACAATGAGCTAATTCTGCAATTTACCCGTCTCTACACGTTCCGCAGCGATCTCATCTCCAAACCTCTTCCTCCGTATCAGATGTCGTGACCTTCGCAGGCACGGCCTTTAGAAGAGTCCAGGTTGGAACCAGCCCTTTCCACTGTTTGCCCATGTGTTTGTTAAGTGAAATGGCATCTTTTAAGAACTTTACAAGTAAAGGGTAGCCTAATCCTTTTCGGAATAGGTAACAACCCGTAAGCGTGACAGCGATCCAAATGGTTGAGCAGAAGAGCTCAATGCGTGTCCTGTAATTGGTAGACCGTCTCAGGTTCCCTTCGGATCTGTTATATTCGATTGCATCGGATGTGTCGCTGCGGAGACGTTAGTGGGATGGTATCCATGCGTCCTCTTCAACTTACAAAGCACGATTGCGCTTGAGGGTTTCGTCCCAGTTCCCTTCTATGGCTTTGACATGGTTCAAGTACCTCTTAAGTCCCAGGTTGAGGGTAATCAATACGCCGGCAGCAAAAATCCCTCCCATAGGTGACATCGTTTGGGAACAGGCGTGGCTGACAGAAGCCACGAAAACAACGAGCTTCGTCATGATTATCTGAAAAACATCCGCAAAACGATCGCTTTTTCGCAACGCATCTCGTTGAAGTCGTCCTAGTTCGGTTCCAAGGAGCTTGCGGTCAAAATATGCTTGCACGTCGACCTCGATGCATGTCCAGGCCGCGTCATTCAGGTTGTCTAGGATCGCGGGAAAGATGTAGGCAATTGTAACGGCGAATTCCGCGGGGATTGACTTTGTGATTGCCGGTAGAAAGTATAGTTGAAACGCGAGCTCGCCAGCCACCAGCAGAAATGAGAGTAAAAGGCAAAGGGTACCCATCCAGTAGCTGGTCTCATACACAGGCTTGGACAGTGCCGTGGATCCTCGGAGTGGAATGCGCTCCGGATCGTCCATGGTGGAGTAGGCTTCCGTGTTAGGCCGAGTGTTGCCGGGAAAGGCTTCCGGGTTGGGCGTTATAAAAAGGTAAGAGCTTCGTTTGTTGTACAGAATATTTAAAAAAAGATTAATTTATAAATAATATTATGTAACGTTAGCTACGGGCCCTTTTAAAGTTTAATATAAGTAGTAATAAATGCGTAGTCTTTTTATTTAACTTTATCTTACTTTTTATGGAAAACAAATCTATACGACTTAATATCTTTACACTTAAATCAAGTCTTAAATAGCCTTATCATGTTAACAAGGTAACATAGACTTAACTGACCTAAACTTGGCAAGTTATTCGAATTTGTCGACTTGCTTGACTTAATGGCGGCGCTGAATTCAGACGAGTGGGAGACCGTGCTAACCGCCAACGGTCATAACGCCGCCGAAGGACGATGGATTCAAGGTCGACTCTGGCATTGGGCGGGGAACCGTTCATTTATCAATGACGAAACGGTACGTATACGGCCGCTGAATCTTTCCATTCCGGAGGCCGAAGCGAAGGCAAGACTAGAAAAAGCTCTGGACTTCCTGCCGTATCACCATATACCAGACTCGACATCTCTGCCACCGGGTTGCTATATAACCAAGCGTTTGATGGTAGACCGACATTGGAGAACGTAGAAATGATGGTGGAAGTCTTCAGCGTCCTCCAACGTCGCCTTCGAGACTTTGTCCTTTGGCACGATGATCCTAGCCAAACCAATCTCCCATGAAATCAAGAAGTGCCATCCTTCAACGGCACCGAGAACAAACCAAGGTGGTGGAAGGCCAAACTGAACCAGAGCCGAAGCCGGACCACTCGTGGGTTGGTCGATTCAAGAAAACCAAGCTGTACGGCTGATGGTACCGATGATGGTTGCCGCTGTTCCCGATTCCTCAACGTGTTCCAACCTAGCTGACCGCGATCCTCATCTAATGCGCTGTATTGAAGACGGATAACTCCGCAACCGGTCGGGACGAGCATGACTACAATTGGTATTACAATTCTTTATATCTTTCATTTTCAAGTTCCGCTTTGGTGCTCAGGGCTTTTCGCGTTCATTTTTTATCTTTCAGCAGCAAGCACCTTTGCAGCTTGGGAGTTGAGAAGTTTTGAAGGATACGACAGGCCTGATACTAACCCTAATGGACTGGGACGACAGATACCTCAATCTAGTCTGCAATGCAGTGAGTTGTGAAGGTTTGCAACTGCGACTGTGCGAAAGTTGCGAGAGTTGCACAGGAGAGAGGGTGGAGGAAATATCAAGGTCAATGGGCGAGATTTAATGATGTGCAGCACAATGGAGGGAAAGGGGTGGCCTGTGAGCGAAATATGGACGAGAAAGATTTCTGGACTACAGTCAAGAGCGAAATGGAAAACATCAATCAGCTCTCGCCTTCTACATTAGAGGCGACGAAGATGATCTCCCAGAATGCCCCTACCAACAATCTCGAGAGGACGCAAAAGGGCGTCACATGAGCCCAAACCCTCTTCCAAATAATCGCGTATCAGCAAGATGCTACCATGACTGACGCTGGCGTCACCTCCCTCGAGCAGGCTCAAGTAAGCCACCTACCAGTTGGAGCTGGATGAAGCAGCTGCAGGCGTCGTGGAAAGGGGAGCCTGAGCCATCGAGTGGGTATTCCTTCAAGCCACCCAGCAGAAGATCTAAATAAATTTGCAAGATCTTCTGCTTCTTTCTCCCCGGGGGGTGTCGTTGCGAATAACACATATCATCAATAAGACCTAGACGGCCGTCCAAGTCTTCTAGACACACATATTCCGTGCCTTACGTTCCTGTCGACGTATCTCACCACCCCCAGCATCTCGAACACCAGCTCGCACGTTAGGAGAGGATATTGAGCTGGTGGAGGATTACCGCCATCTTCTCAACCATACCTACCTCAAGTACTACCATCCCCCCCATAGAAGTCGGCCACCCCCACTAGTCGGCCAGCCAAATTGTGGGGTCACCACCAAAATGCCCCTTTATTCACCCACACACGAATGAAGCTATTCAGATCGGAGATATATGGCAATATTATCATTCGAAAGCGCTGAAGTTGTTTACTCGTACAGTCGTGCGGGCGCCCGAATGGCTCGGCCCGAACGGGTGTGCCTAGGCTCTATAGGGCCTCCAAAACCTCCTCTTCAGAGGGTTCATCCTTATCTTCCTCTTTATCCTCTGACTCAACAATTATCGGCTCATGTATTTCTGCGCCTGTATCAGGGCTAATGGTACCTCCATGAGACAATATCTCTGTCACTGTTCTGAATTTCCCGTTAGGATTGGGGATCTTTTTCCGCTTCTTTGGCCGTAGCCGCTCCAATTCAGCCTCCAGAGCCTTGATCTTCGTATCCTTGATCACAACTTCGGTCTCCTTAGCCTCGAACGCGTTAGATATCTTCCTGTACTTCAGTCTGGTCCATGGGGACTTATTTTCCCGAAATCCATGATCTAGCGGCTCGTAGTAGGCGTTCATTGGTCCCCTGGTTCAGAGCTTTCAGGGGTATCAGGCTCGGGGGTTTTTCTCTTCTCTTCTTGTATCTCTGGGTGCTTTAAGCACTTCCTGCGGCTGATAGGATAACATCCAGTGACCTTGAAGCCGGAGAGGATGTTTTGCTTCGTGAAAGCAGCAGTTCTGGCCTTGTTATAGCACCGGATGAAGTTGATCTTGTCAACAGGCGAGGCATCCGTCAAGGAATTCAGCTCAGAGAGGAATTTCTGGTAGTATTCCTTCAGGGCATTGTAGGGAACATTATCCAGGGGTTGCATGCCGTGACTAGTATGCGCAGGAAAGAAACAGAGCAAGATGTTGTTCAAATAATACATGGTCATGAATTTGTCCTATTGGCACCCGTTAGACTATATCAAATCAGGAAGAAATAAAGGAAGTCCAAGTAAAATAAGAAGAAATTGTATACGTACGGAGGTGTGGCTCTTGTGGCCATCCAGTATCAAAAGGATCGCTTCGGACTGGTCTCCTCCTTGTTCTGCGTCTGCCTGTGGTATAAAGACATCTTCTAGCCACTTGCAGGCGATGTCATTGGAAGTCCAGCCGTTTTCTGAGCATATATAATGCCAATCGGCAGTCTTTCGGAACTCCTCTATAAACCACTGGGCTTGGAGGTCCTTCCCCTTAAAGATAATGCCTGGTTTGAGAATTTTCCTAGTTGCTGAGATGGTCTCGATAAAGGAGGTTCAGCTACGGCCCTAAGGGCTCTTTAAGAAAGCCTTCTTGGTAGCAGAACTACCTAGAACCAGAGAGTCGATGCCTGTGAATCTTATTAGAGTTTCTCCGGAATTAAAGGGGTAGTTATAGCTACTAAAACCCGACATGATGCCGCCCTTATCGACATTGTACGTGTTCTTTGGCTTGACCCAGCCGTAATCTTCGAGAATTTCGAAGAACCAGTTGACTGACTTGGGCGTGAACCCCTTGAAGCGTGCTGCTTCCATCCTTTTGCCGATTTTCGTCTTGATCTAGGGGTTACGGCGCTTACAAGCTGTCATGAAGGTGTCTCCTAGGGGGCCCTCATCTTCGTTCTTCTTCAATACCTGCTTGATGATCTCACGAACCAGGGAGTGCGAAGGGGCTAAGCCCAGCTTTTCTTGAAGTAAAATCCACTTTGTTATAGTCGTTTCTTGAGAAGGGGAGAGTCTCTGTTGTTGTGTGTGGGCTTGAGTTCTGGTAGGCTTGCCACCAAGTCGATCAGAGAGCGTTTGGTGCGGAATACAGTATTTTTGAGCGCTTTTTCGCACAGAGAGGCCCTCATCCGTGATATCTAAGATGGCATTCGCCATCTGATCCTCCGTATACGAATACGGAGGCATTTTGGGCGACTATACAATGCTGCGGTACATACAGAACGAGGCTTTAGGAGAGCCTTGAAAATCTCCATTTAGGATAGGAAAAACGGGGTGATAGCTCCCTAATCATGTAAGCCAGGGGGGGTAAACTCAGCATTAGAGAAAATCTCAAGATCAGGGCTATCTAAAGCACTAAATAAATCGTGAATAGCTTCAATATCAGGCTGAACCCGTATAAGTGAACATGTAGGAGTTTTGGTGGTGACCCCACAATTTGGCTGGCCGACTAGTGGGGGTGGCCGACTTCTATGGGGGGGATGGTACTGGACTCACACGGGATGAGAGTGCTTGTCTTCACGAACAAGCACCAGCTCGTAGCACACATACCTATAGAGAGAGTCTTGGAGTATCCAGCCGTACAGGTGTATCCCTGAATAAATATACCTTAATGACCATCAAGATACCTACAAGCACACTGTTAGCAACACACTTAAGGGGTCTCGATAGCCTAGTTTACAGAGGTCGCTCCTTATTAGCCACATCATACGTGGTCTGGTAAGCCATTTTTTACACAGCGCATTCGCATATTTATATATGGGAGGGTGTGAAAATGAAACGGTTAGTGTGGACTAAAAAATCATAAGAACCCGGCTGCGGCGTTTTGGAGGCCTGTCATGTATTCGCTCGGACGCTATGTAACATTTATTCAGGGATAAACCTGTAGCCTGCTTCGAACCGTTAGGTGATGATGTTTCACGAGCCACAGTTAACTTCTGAAAATACCTTCCTCAATTTTATGTCTCCATCGTATCATTTCTTCCCCGTAGCGGACCTAAGGTTTATTTAGCCTTGAAGGACGACCAGTTGTCGAAGCTGCTTGAAGAACTGCTGGAGACAACTGGCAGCTGACTAAGCCAAGAGCTCACTTATTCGATCGCCCCGCTCTTTTCAACCCTCGAAACAACGGACCAACCACATTCGAGAAGCTTCGGAAGAAATGGGTCACCAATTTTGTATCGGAAGAAACTCTAGATAAGGGGATCGGGAACGGAACCTTAAGATTAGTGTCCGTTGACAACACCGTTTCCGTTGACAGCACCGTTTTCGTAGCCATTCACGTGACCGTTCTCCTCACCTCTCACGCGGCCATTGGCCTTGAGCTCTGCCTGACTGGCAATGACGCGTCTGGCTGCGGTGGGTAGCTCGCCTTTGTTGCCTCTCTCCTCAATGTTCAGCATCTCCTGAGCCCACTCGCAGATCGCCTCTGCGAAACCCTCGACCTCGGCCACAGTGTTGTGCGCGTGAAGCACCACGCGTAGCCGGTTCATACCGCGGGGGACGACCGGGTAATCAATCGGGAAACAATTGTACCCTGCCAGCTGCAAGTGCCAGCACAAGTACCTCGTGTAGCGCTGTCTCGTCACGATGGGGCACACCTGCGTGACGAACGGCCTATTCTCGAAATCTTCCATTGTGGGAATGCTCAGAATTCCCTCATCGCTCGCCTCATCCCATACGGGGTTTTCCTGCAGGGTGCGGAAGAAATGCTTTACGAGCTGCTGGATGTGATCTTGAAGCTGATGCCAGACATGTGTCATTAGCAACTCGTCTTTGATAAGGGCCACTGGAAAGCCTCACCGGTTGGGTTTGGCCGCTTTTGAGCAGCTTGTAACCTGCGCGGATGGCCGCCAGCATGGGGAAGGAGGGAGCCGTCGAGTAGAGAAAGGCGCGTGCGTGGTTCATCAACGTGTCGCGGACAGACGACTTGCAGAGTACAACAGCTGTGCAAGACGTCAGCGGCTCGGCTCTACTGTCGCTGGCTAAATTTCTATTCAGGTAGGATCTTACCGCCAGTACAAGCCATGGCCTTTCCACTGCGGTCCCCACAGTCAGCAGTCCCAATTTCCAAGGAGTCTAGGCATAGACTCACAAGGTATGCATCCTAATGGCAATCTCGTTGTGCAGCCCGAGCTCATCTACGTACCCACGACCCTGCTTACCAAAAACCCCAGTCGTGTGGGCTTCGTCAACGAAGAACTGGGCGTTGCCCTCGGGGAAAATTTCCTTGGCGACTTCAACGAGCTCCCTCAGGGGGGAGACGTCGCCGTCCATGCTGTACAGAGACTCAAGTGCGATGAACACACTACGCTGTCCTTTCTTGATGAGCGTCTGCGTCTCCCGAACCTCCATGAGCACTTCGCGAAATTTGTCGACGTCGTTGTGCTTGAAGGACTTCTTACACGGGGCCACGCTGCCTTGCATCCCTTCATGCATACTGGCGTGGACCAGCTCGTCGAAGACGATAGCATCGCCAGGGCGAGGGATCGCAAGCATCAGCGCCACGTTGGCTTCGAATCCAGAGTGGAAGAGAAGGGCCTCGTCGGCCACGTGGAAATCCGCAATCTCCCGCTCGACGAGTTCTGCATAAGCATTGTTGCCGTTGAGCAACCGGCTACCGCCTGCGCCGAGGTGGAAGTCTGGGTGGCTTGCCAGCTCGTCCAGGAATGGCTGGCGGAGGAGGGCACTGTGAGTCAGTCCCAAGAAGTCGAGCGTTGAGACATCGATGCTTTTAGGCGCAGGCTCGTTGCGACGAAGCGTGAAGAGCGTGCGGTCGTTGCGCCGAACATCCAGCTGCTCCTCGAGATTCCTGTAGAAAACCGACTCTCCCCGCATTTTGGGTGCCTTCGGCTCGAAGTCGGGAAACCATTCTGCCAAGAGTTGTGCGTCGGCCATGATGGGCGAGAAGAGAACAGAGAAATCAGCAACAGTGACCGTCACGAACAAGAAGTGACTCAAGATAGAGCAGTACTGCTCCCTCACCAAGAGTAAGCTACACCCCGTGCTAGGTAGGGTCAAGGGAATATCCTCATATTTAGACGCTACACGCGTTTGTATACCCAATGTCCCGTATACGGCAGTCAAGGTGAAAATGCTGACTCGATGCGTCATACACGATTCGCCCTGCACAATTCCTGCTCATACGAGACAAGTTGCATACTCGAGACAGATCTATACGGACCCCGAATGGGGCACGGCTCTGCAGCTGCAAGGACTACACAAACCATCGTCAGTCGCCGGAAGCCGTCGTCCGACGGATTGGGAAATCCCGCTTATGTGCCAATAGTCGCCGGATGGCGGACCCCTGCAACACATGAATTCCGACCTGCATACGATGCAGTACCACGGAATCCGTAAGCAACGAGCTGTGCTGCTTACCTCGCTGCCCTAATCTGGATTCTCATTCAGCAGCCCGCCCGTACAGTATAGCAGAGCTGCCTCATGACGGAGTACACAAGATGCCGTATCTCTTGGCCCGGGTTCTGTCAATGGGGTACTCCGAGTTTCCCTCGCACGTTACGGGGGATGTCGCCGGAATGAACGCCGAGACCGAAGGTCGAACCATCCTCGACCGGTCTCGCCTTGTCGCTGACCCCTGACTTCGAGCGTCGCAAGATTGTCAATGATGAGTATCAATATTAGCAACCCTCCAGAATGAGTCTGATAGGGACCAGCTAACGGCCGATGCCTTCCATTAATCAATAACCACCCAGGACGTCACATTGGGTTCCGGCTCGCATCTCTAGCTCTCTAAGCTCTTGAAGCTTGAGCTCGGATTGTATGCCATTCACACGAAACCTCACATATCAAACCCGATCACAGAGCCGTCGCCATGCCTAGCCTACTGCGCAGTAGTGACGAGTCCTTGAACGGGCATGGCAGTCACGATGGTCTGCCGGCCAACGGCAACGATAACCACAACGGCCACCCAACGGATCCAACGGACGGAAATGGCCTCAACGGTAACGGCGACCACAACGGGCAATTAACGAGTTCAATGAACGGGAATGGCGTCGACGGTAACGGCAGTCACAACGGCCATCAACCGAGTTCAACGAACGGAGATGGCGTGGACGGTAGTACACCTGTCACCAAGTTTGAGCCTGTTGCCATTTGCGGTATGGCTTGTCGACTGCCCGGTGGTATCAAATCCCCTCAAGGGCTCTGGGAGTTCTTGCTTGACAGACAGGATGGTCTGTCTCGCGTACCTGGTGACCGGTATAATACAGATGCTTGGTCATCTAGAACTGGGAAGCCCGGAGCCACCCACTCGGACTATGGCTATTTCATCAGTGACGATCTGCTGGCGTTCGATTCTACGTGTTTCAATATGTCGGTGAAGGAATTGGAAAGGTGTGATCCCAATCAGCGACTTATGCTTCTCACTGCCAGAGAGTGCGCGGACGACGCGGGAGAAGCCGACCTTAGGGGAAAGAGGGTAGGAGTCTACGTGGGTTGTTCGGTCCAAGGCTGGTCCGACATGTACGAAAAGGAAGTCCAGAACTATGGAACCTACCACATCCTCGGCTTAGGCAACGTCGCCATGTCCAACCGAGTCTCATACGAGATGGACCTGAAAGGACCCAGGTGAGTCGGCTTATCCTTCATTCGAAAGCCACTCTCCCAGTGATCGAATGTGTGCCAACGCCGGAGCAGTATGACCATCGGAACGGCTTGTGCCTCTTCACTTTCAGCGCTCAATGAAGCTTGCAAGGCCATCGCTCAAGGCGACTGCGACAGCGCCATCGTTGGTGGTGCAACTTTGATTATTGGCCCAGTGATGGCCTTGCAAGTCGGCGAACAAGGAGCTCTCGCTGCGGATGGTTCCTGTAAGACGTTTTCAGCTGACTCCGACGGCTACGGACGTGGCGAGGCTGTGAACGCCGTCTTTCTCAAACCCCTGAGCGCTGCCATTCGCGATGGCAACCCGGTGCGCGCAGTCATTCGCGGTATCGCTACGAACCATAACGGCAGGACCGCAGGTATTACAATGCCTGACGTCAAGGCACAGGAAGCTTTGATCAGACAGACATACGAGATTGCCGGGATCAGCGATCCTTCAGAGACCCCCTTTGTAGAGGTAAGTACAGTATCCCAGAGCAGAGCTACGAGCATCGCTGATCATACTTTCGAGGAATTTAGTGCCACGGTACTGGGACTCCAGTTGGTAACCCCCTTACCACATCTTTATCATATCAACTGCTGACATGTCGGTCCCAAACTCCTTCGGGGGTGGGACATAAAGGTTGGCGATCCCATTGAAACGACGGCCATTGGGTCCGCTATTGGCGGCGATGAGGGCACTTACATTGGCTCCATCAAGCCAAATTTGGGTCATTCTGAGGGCGCATCGGGTCTTACATCTTTGATCAAGTCGGTCCTGTCGCTCGAAAACCAAACCATTCCACCAAACATCAAGTTCAACAGTCCCAACCCGAAGATACCGTTCGCGAAATACAATCTTACAGTGCCCGTCGACCCCATACCGTGGCCTGCGGGACGAAAAGAGCGCGTTAGTATCAACAACTTCGGTATTGGTGGCGTTAACGGACATGTGGTCCTCGAATCTGCTCGCTCATTCAACGTTTCTCCGCAACTTGAAGAGGCTGGCTACAACCCGCAACTGCTTGCCTTTTCGGCCAGCTCTAGCGAATCCTTGACCCGCATGGCAGATGACTACACCACATATCTTGCTAAATATCCTGAGCGCATCGAAGACGTGGCCTATACTCTCGCCAACAAGCGCGAGCACAAGAGTCACCGTGGCTTCATTGTGGCCAGCCGTGAGAAGCCCGGGACTGCCTCCCCCCCAGTCAAGCCTGGCTCCCCGCCTAACATTGTCATGGTTTTTACTGGCCAAGGTCTGTACCCCTGTATACCCATCCCGTTGACGTGATGTGTATGGCGGAGGTGCGACGATCTATTCATGATTTGTCTAAAGACCAAAGACACCAGAAATATTTTCTAATGAGCCAACCAAACAACTACTGACTTATTTTGATGATTCAAGGTGCCCAGTGGCCTCAAATGGGAAGGGACTTGTTAAGATCCAACAAGGTCTTCAAGGCCAGCATCAAAGCGATGGACGATCATCTCAAGAGCCTCGGAGCGACCAAGCCCAAATGGACTATTGAGGGCGGACTGAAGAAGCCAGCTAGGACCAGCCAGGTTGCACAGGCCGAGCTGTCCCAGCCCCTGTGTACAGCGATCCAGGTCGCTCTTGTCGACTGCTTCAAAGCTGTTGGTATTGAGCCGCGTGCAGTCGTAGGGCACTCTTCTGGTGAAATTGCCGGCGCTTATGCTGCGGGTGCCCTCTCAGCTCAGGAGGCTATCGTCGCAGCGTTTCATCGTGGTGCAGTCGCCAAGCAACAGAACAGGGCCGGGGCCATGGCCGCAATCGGAATGAGTTGGAAAGAGGTGGACGAGTTTCTCGTGCCGAATGTCGGTGTCGCCTGCGAGAACTCACCCAGGAGTGTGACTATTTCCGGCGATGCCGACAAGGTTGAGGAGGTGTTTAACAAGATCTCCAAGGCGAAACCCGACGTACTGGCCAGACTCCTCAAGGTTGACAAGGCCTACCACTCTTATCACATGGCTGAGATTGGCAACATATACTTTGAGCTTGTTGGCCCGAATGTCCATGGCAAAGCTCCTACGAAGCTGTTCTTCTCATCCGTGGAGGCCAGACTTTTGAACAAAAACGATCAACTAGGGGCCAAATATTGGCAGAAGAACCTCGAGTCTCCCGTACTCTTCAAGGATGCCATATCCGAGATCGCCCGTCACTCGATAGGCGAGAACGCCGTATTCTTGGAGATTGGCCCGCACTCAGCCCTCGCTGGACCGCTCCGACAAATCCTCTCGGAGCATGACAAGACCTCTCCATACATTGCGTCCATGATGCGGGGTCAGAACTGCACGGAGGCATTCCTGTCGGCCGTTGGAAGACTCTACGCTTTGCAGGTTCCTGTTGACTTCGCCGCTATGTATCCCACTGGCGTGACGCTTCCTGGCCTGCCGACCTATCCCTGGAATAACACCGGGCCCTACTGGCATGAGACTCGTGTTATGAAGGACTGGCGCCAGCGCCGTAAGCCTACCCTTCCGTCACTTTTACCCCCTGCAGTCTGTCTTCAGGATACCCTTCGTCTGATGTGTTGACTAACAAACACCCCAGAATTCAAACACCATGATCTCTTGGGTCTCAGAACACTCGAATCAACCGACTTTGAGCCAGTCTGGCGCAACTTGTTTCACCTCGACAACGCTCCTTGGATCAGAGACCATATCGTCAATGGTGATATAGTCTTTCCCTTTGCCAATTACATCGCAATGGCTGGCGAGGCTATTAGACAGGTAACCGGTGTACAACAGGGCTTTCGACTTCGCGATGTAAACGCTACAACGGCTCTAGTCGTCCACGATACCACGCCTGTTGAGATCGTCACCTCTCTCCGCCGCCGTGCCGGTTCACCTGATAGCCAGTGGTGGGACTTCAACGTCACCTCTCACAACGGACATGTGTGGGTTAAGCACTTCAGTGGCGAGGCTACCGCTCTATCTGAGCCTCTCGGCCCCGCAAAGGGGGCCCCTCAGCTCCCGCGTACCATTGCAACCCAGGATTGGTACGAAACGCTCAGCAAAGCTGGCTTCTACTTCGGTCCCGCGTTCCGATGCTTGGATGCCGTGAAGACTTCCTCCAAGCGCCCTGGCCTGTCCACAGCGGATGTCAGCAATGCCGTAGCCGGCGAGGAGTCTAATTACCACATGCACCCTACATGTGTCGACAACGCCTTCCAGATGGTACCGATTGCTTCACTGCTTGGACTCAACCGTAAGCTCGGCGTGAACATCATTACGAGCATCAAAGACATCAGCGTCACCCGATGTCACACAGACGTTACTGCTAGCGCCACAGGCTCAATGGCTGACAATGGATCCATCATCGGTTATGCCGAGTTTGTGGCAAATGGGCAGACTGTCTTGCGCATGTCGAAAGCCGTCATTACTGTTCTTGGAGAATCCGGCACAAGCGCTACGCACAACGCTGCTCGACCTGTGTGGAGGCCTCACATGGACTTCGCCGACCTCAAATCTCTCCTCAAGCCAGTGCACAATGATGATGTTGTTGCTGCTGCGCTTGACGATCTGGCCACTCTGTCAATGCTGCATTCTCATAGAATCATTTCCGAGCGCGAGCCTGCACATGGCCATTTGTGCAAGTTTCAAGCTTTGGTCAGCTCACAGGTCGACGCCATGAAGCTCAGCTCTCCAACTTTCGAGAGCCTGGAGCAGACAGGCACGGATACCCTCTTCGAGATGATCAAGTCCAAGGCCCATGAACTCGCCAGCACCCCGGCGGCGGAGGTGGCTTTAGCCATCTCAGAGGTTGCAGCGGCTGTCGATGATGTTTTCAGTGCCGAAAGGGATGCCCTCGATGTGCTCAACCAAGGCGGCATGCTGGACAAGGTCCGGTCATTCATCAACGATTTCGACAACAGTGCCTTCTTCCAGACACTCGCCCACATGAAACCAAATTTACGGGTTTTGGAATTGGGCGCTGGGTCCGGCTCTTCGACCGGCAAGAACTTGCAAATTCTCCATGGACTCTACTCGAAATATACCTGCACCGATGCTATCAATGGCCTGGTATCGGAGGTAAAGGAGCGCTACAAGAACCAGGCGAACATGGAATTCATTGCTCTCGACGTGAGCAAAGATCTTGACTCCCAAGGTTTCTCCGAGGATCGCCAATACGATCTCATACTTGCTACCAACATTCTTCACCAGGCGGATAGCCTGTCCAAGAGCCTGGTCAACATTCGCTCACTGCTGCACCCTCAGGGAAGATTACTTCTCCAGGAGCTCGCTCCCGGATCCAAATGGATCAACTATGTCATGGGCATGCTTCCGTCCTGGTGGCGAGGGGCTACTGACGGTCAGAGCGACGAACCATGCGTCGCAGCTGAGACTTGGGAGTCTGAACTTCGTGCTGCTGGGTTCGGCGCCGTCGACTCTGTCGTCCACCCCATGGATTCAACGCAGGTTTGCAACGTCATAGTCGCGAGAGCAGAAGCTGCGAAGATTCCCGAGAAGCAGATCGCTCTGCTCACATCTGACATGAGCATTGATGTTGGCGATATGACCAAGAACCTTGTTGACAGAGGATACAATGTGTCTCGCATCACCCTCGGCGATGAGGTACCTGCAGGCAAGGATATCGTGGCCTTGTTGGATCAAGGTTCCCCGTTCTTCAAGTCCATGAAGCCCGAGAGCTACAATGCTTTGAGGAAGTTCATTCTCGGCCTAGGGGACTCTAGCCTCTTCTGGGTCACGCAACTCTCGGTCGGCAAGGTCGTCGATCCGCACTACGCCGAGGTCATTGGCTTCGCCCGTGTCATGCGAACTGAACTCGACGTTGACTTTGCCGTGTGTCAGTCCGGGACGGATTTCGCCGACGGGAGGGTCATCGACGTTTTTGAGCATTTTCAGAAGCGTGTAATTGATGAAAACTCCAGCCCTGAGATGGAGTATGTTATCATCGACGACGACGTCAATGTGTCCCGCTACTACCCATTCAGTCTTCCAGATGAGCAGTTAATCACCGAGGCGGACGACGAGGTCGTCCTGGCTACAGTCCAGCCAGGTCGCTTGAACGAAGTTCGTTGGCTACGCAACCCTTCCAAAATCCCAATTGATGATGAGGTTGAGGTTGAGATCCACTGTACAGGATTGAATAACCAGGCAAGTCAAGTCCAGTTGAAAGGCACGATGGCCCCGTGGTATGCTGACTTCTCATCTTAGGATTTGAACAATGCTCTGGGTTCCAGCAGCCTTGACCAGGCCGCCCTTGGTCTCGAGGCCGCCGGCGTTGTCCGTCGCGTAGGACCTCGTGCCCAAAAGCTACAGATTGGCGATAGGGTTGTCGTCGTCGGGCAGGGCGGGTTTGCCACCTCTGTCACTCGGACAGAGCAACTTGCTGTGAAGATCCCCGATAATCTCAGCTTCCAGGACGCGGCCACCATGCCAATCGCCTTCGTCACTGCTGTCCACTCGGTAATGACAGTTGGTGGTCTTGAGAAGAGCCAATTTATCCTCATTCACAATGCTAGTAGCGATGTGGGCATTGCCGCCATTCAGCTGGCACAGATGCTTGGTGCTGAGGTCTTGGCTACCGTCAGGGACGATGAAGAGGCCCAGTATCTGGTTGACACTTTCGAATTAGCTCGTGGTCGCATCTTCAGCGCCCATGATGCCTCTTTCGCGGAGGGTGTTTTACGCGAGACCAATGGAGACGGCGTCGACCTCGCCCTCAGCTCTGTCATGGGCGACATGCTCCACGAGACTTGGCGCTGTGTCGCCGAGTTTGGCAGGATGGTAGAGATCGGCCGCAGCAACGGTGCTGGCAAGCTTGACATGGGTCTCTTTGCGCAGAATCGAAGTTACTGCGCCGTTGATGTGGAACAGATTATCGCCAAGAAACCTTCGATCATAGCCCGCCACCTGGAGTCGGTCATGAGGCTTTACGGCTATGGCTCCATCGCGCCCATTCAACCGGCCAAGGTATTTCCAGCCTCGGAAGTACTTGAGGCTTTTGATTGCTTGAAGAACGGTACCTGCAAGGGCAAGGTAGTGGTCGGTATGGGACTCTCGGGTGATCGATCGGATATCATCGCCACGGCTGCCAACCGCAAGATCATCACCTCATTTGATCGCAGGGCTTCTTATATCCTAGTTGGTGGCTTGGGTGGTATTGGCCGACAAATTGCCATTTGGTTGGCTGAGAACGGGGCCGGGAATCTCATCTTCCTCTCCCGTAGCGCCGGAAAGGCTCCAGGTGATCAGGACTTCATCCGCGAGCTCGAGGCCATGGGCGTCAGTGTCCAGGTCGTGCAAGGGAGCGTGACATCGGCGGAAGATGTTACAAAGGCTGTCAGCGAGGCAAGTCATCCTGTCAAAGGTGTATTGCAGATGTCCATGGTCCTTCGAGACCGGAGCTGGTCGGACATGACTTACGACGACTGGCGTGCGGTTGCGGAACCCAAGATCCAAGGGACTTGGAATCTGCATAACGCAACGGTCGCTGCCTCTTCACCGCTGGACTTCTTTATCTTGTTCAGCTCCATTTCCTCGGTTGCCCCGCCCCCTGGCCAGGCCAACTACGCTGCTGCAAACGGGTTCCTCGATGCATTCACGCGATACCGCGCCGAACTTGGCCTGCCGGCATCAACCCTCCAACTCGGTGTCGTGGAAGGCGTAGGTGTCATGACACGGAACGAGGAAACTCTCCACAGCTACCTCAACAGGGGTTACGCCACCATTCGAGTCAATGAGATTCTCGATGCCATGTCGATCGCTGTACGACCTCCCCTGGCCAGGATCCGGCATGAGGCACGGGGTGAGGTGGACCCTTCCACCTTCATTATCGGTCTGGGCACCACGTCGCCCCTCTCGTCACCCAACAACCGCGTGCCGTGGCGCAGGGACCCCCGCATGGCCGTCTACCACAATACCAGTGGTGGCGGTGGCGAATCCGGCAGCTCGGGCAACAGCAGCCTGAAGGCCTTCATGGTCGCCGCGCGCAGCGACAAGGCCGCGCTACTGACGGACGAGGCCACCGCGCTGCTCGCCGGGGAGATCGGCCGGAAGCTGCTGGCCATGCTCGGCAGGCCGGCCGACGAGCTCAACACGTCGGTCGGGCTGTCCGACCTGGGCATGGACTCCCTTGTTGGTATCGAGATGCGCAAGTGGTGGAAGGCGACGTTTGGGTTCGAGATCAGCTTGTTGGAGATGCTGGGGATGGGCACGCTGGAGGTGCTGGGGAGGCATGCTGCTGAGGGGCTTTGTCGTGCTTTGCATGGGGAGTAGATATCGTTCGACTGTATTTGAGTGTCATAGAACGCAGGGGGAGAAAAAGAATTGAAAAGCTTGATCGTTAACTCATGGAAGTTGAGATATCGCCTATCCAATATGGATGAGATTTGCTGAACATAGGACCGGCTTGCATCCGGTGAATAAGAAATGCTTCTCCATAACTATGTAACGCAACACATCTTCAAGTCAGCCGTTAGCGTAGGTTACGATCGTGCGACTCGAGCATCTCGAAGAGCCGATGCCGGTCATGGGCTCGGCGCGGGATTTTGTGGGCCCAATGCCGCGGCCCGTACTGGCGTACCGGGCGAGGCGGGGTCGCTTATAGACAGACATCTAGCTTCGTCATGATGCGGTCTCACCGGCGTAAACAGAAGCCGTTCTCAGTGTAGGTCATATTTGCAGGTACGCATGCAGCAGTTGGGCTGTTAGGGTTGTAACTGCTGTTTTCTCCTTGACTGACAGCCATTGTGTATCGTAAGGAACTGACTAATAGGTAGGTATGGGACCCGGGACTATTTCACCCGCCTTAATGATGACGCCATCGGATTTCTAATCCATTGATCTCCAGCTGCCGACAACTTCACGGCCTTCGTAGGTTACTTATTACCTTGGAAGTACCATTTCAACGCAGCTTGGAAGACTCTAATGACAACGAGAATCACCCAAATCGCCAAACAGATATTATTCAAGATGGCCGACCAATCCGACATCCACCTGTACACTGCCCAGACGCCCAACGGCATCAAAGCCTCCATCGTGCTGGAGGAGCTGGGGTTGAAGTACAAGGTCTGAATCTCCATACATCCTGCTCACGATATCGACAGCCACTGACCAACGCTGGCAGGTCAGCGCGATTGACTTGAGCAAGAACACCCAGAAGGTATGTCGGGTATCGGATGCTGCTCTTTGAGGGATGCTGACGTTCACACCAGGAGCCGTGGTTTCTGGACATCAACCCCAATGGACGCATTCCCGCGTTGACGGACACGTTCACCGATGGGAAGCCCATCAGGCTGTTTGAGAGCGCTTCCATCATGCAGTACCTGGTCGACCGGTACGATAAGGATCACAAGATCTCTTACCCACATGGGAGCAGGGAGTACTACGAGGTCAACAGCTGGGTGAGTATACGGTCTGGTATCCTGGAGCCTTGGAGGTGCTGATATGAAGTAGCTCATGTGGCAAATGGGCGGCTTGGGGCCGATGCAGGGGTATGTTGGCCTCCTCCATGAAGTTCGAGAAGGTACTGACGACTGAGCGATAGACAACTGAACCACTTCAACCGTAGGTCCTAGGATTACTTGTCTTCTCATTCAATGCTCACCAAAACAGGCTACGCTCCCGCGAAGATCCAGTACGGCATCGACCGCTACAAGGGCGAGACCCGCCGCCTCTACCGGACCATGGAGAACGAGCTGAAGAAGTCGAAGTCCGGGTACCTTGTGGGCGACCGCTGCACACTCGCGGACATCGCCAGCTGGGGCTGGGTGGCCGTAGCCAGTAATAAACCCCTTTCCCTACTACTTTCAAACATCAATGTGAAGGGAAGGGCTGACCAGGCTGCTAGAATCGTCCGGCGTCGACATCGACGAGTTCCCCACGCTCAAGGCGTGGGTTGAGCGCATGCTGAAGCGCCCCGGTCTCGAGAAGGGCCGCCAGGTGCCCTCGACTCATCCGTATGAGAATATCCAGGCGATGACTGAGGAGGATTTTGAGAAGAAGGCTGCGGAGAATCGGGAGTGGATCCTGAAGGGCATGAAGGAGGAGCAGAAGTAAAGCGTGTTTGATGTGCCATATTGGAAGGTGTCTGGCAGCAGAGAATTAGTAGGTACCTAGCTTTGAGAGGAAAGGTGGTATTTTCAACCACTGGACATTTTCATTGTTAGAGAAAAGCCTCTACCTACATGTATGAACAGACACAACCATGAAAGCTCTGTAGCTGTAAGCAAGACTTGAGAGTTGAGAGGTCGACCAACAGCTCGGAATGCATTCTTCACAAACCAGCAGCACGTGACCGGACGCTCGTGGTGGTCTAAGCTTTTGTAGTGGGGCCGAAGAAGTTCACCTCGAACCCTTCTAGCGCTTCCTTGGCGACCCTGAACTGCCTGAATCTTCAAATCTTCAATCTCGACTTGTTGGCAGTTGCGATTCCTCTTTCCTCACACACCACGAGACACCGACAAATCCATCACCGCCATCATGTCGTGGAGAAGCCAGGGAATCACCGGATCCAACAACATCCCTCTGGGAAAGCGACGATTCGGTGGCGAAGACGAACTGGACGTGAAGCAAGAAGCCAGTAACGATGGCTTCGGCTTCTCTAACGGCGATCGCGATCTGAAGCGCGGTCGCAGTCCTGAGCCAAGTGAGTCCTCCTTTCGCGCAAGCGACAACCTTACGTATCATCTCGCAACACAACACAGACGAACCAACCGCTAACATGCGCAGGAACTGATGCAGATGGCCCGCGCCGCCGCAAGAAGCGAAACCGATGGGGTGATGCCTCCGAGAACAAGGCCGCCGGCCTCATGGGCCTCCCGACCGCCATCGTCGCGAACATGACCAGCGAACAGCTCGAGGCTTACACTCTGCACCTGAGAATTGAGGAAATCAGCCAGAAGCTTAGGATCGATGATGTCGTCCCTGCTGATGGCGATAGGTGCGTACAACTTCAACCATTACACCCCTCTATACCATGATAATGACTCTGACTTTCATTCTGCAGATCTCCTTCGCCTCCCCCTCAGTACGATAATCATGGTCGTCGTGTCAACACTAGGGAATACCGCTACCGCAAGCGTCTTGAAGACGAGCGACACAAGCTCATTGAGAAGGCTATGAAGACCATCCCTAACTACCACCCGCCTCAGGATTATCGCCGGCCCACCAAGACCCAAGAGAAGGTCTACGTGCCGGTCAATGACTACCCGGAAATCAACTTCAGTGAGATTGCTAACCCTCTAACCTCTCTAACCATGTTCCCCCTTCGCCTTGTCCAGGATCTTGCTAGAATTGCCATCGCATCTCAATGGATGACATACAAGTCCTGGCCACTGTCTAACCTCACACGTATGCTCTAACCTTGTAATTTACCTATACTAACATCTAGCTCTTCTTCCAAAGTCGGTTTACTTATTGGTCCTCGTGGCAACACCTTGAAGAAGATGGAAACAGAATCCCAAGCCAAGATCGCTATTCGCGGGAAGGGTTCTGTGAAGGAAGGAAAGGGTCGATCTGACGCCGCACACGCTAGCAACCAGGAGGAAGATCTGCACTGTCTCATCATGGCCGACACCGAGGAGAAGGTCAACAAGGCCAAGAAGCTGATCCACAACGTCATTGAGACGGTAAGCTCTCCCAGCCCCTTGTTATTGATGGATCAACTAATCGGAGTCTAGGCTGCTTCCATTCCCGAGGGTCAAAACGAGCTCAAGCGTAACCAGCTTCGGGAGCTCGCTGCGCTGAACGGTACCTTGCGTGACGACGAAAACCAAGCCTGCCAGAACTGTGGCCAGATTGGTCACCGCAAGTACGACTGTCCGGAGAAGCAGAACTTCACCGCCAACATTATTTGTCGCGTCTGTGGCAATGCTGGCCATATGGCCCGTGATTGTCCTGACAGACAGAAGGGTGCGAGCTGGCGCAACGACGGACCACCTCGTGCCGCCGCTGGTCGCATCGGCGGAGGAGATGCTGTGGACAGCGAATACGAGGTAAGTCACGCTCTGTCTATCTCAGCTTGCAATGTAGATTTCTAACGCGCCTCAGAAATTCATGCTCGAACTTGGTGGCGGCTCTGATTCTCAGCCAGCCCGCATTGAAGCCGGTCCTGGCTCCTACAACAATGCCGGCGGTGATGCGAAGCCATGGCAGCGAGGCCCGACTGGCGCGGCTGCACCTTGGCGTTCGCGCAACAACGACCAGGGCAACGAAGGTGGCGGTGGCGGTGGCGGTGGCGGTGGCCCTGCTCCCTGGCGTGAACGCGGTGACCGCGGTGACCGTGGTGATCGCAACCGTGGCGGCGACCATCATGGTGGAGGAGACTACTACGGCGGCCAAAACTACAACAGCGCCCCTTCGGCTCCCGGTGCAGCTCCGTGGCAACAACCTGCTGCTGGTGGTCAGCCTGCTTATCCCAGCTATCCTGGATACAGCGCTTATGGCGCACCCCTTGGTGCAGCTTCCGGCATGGGCCCGCCTCCTGGTCTTCCCAGCAACCCTCTGGGTGCTCCTCCAGGACTTCCGGGCAACCTCAACGCGCTGATTCAGCAGTACGCAGGCGGTGGAGCGCCGCCTCCGCCGCCTGCTGGCGAGGCTCCTCCGCCTCCCCCAAGCGATCAACCTCCCCCGCCTCCTCCTGGTGCTTGAAGCGTTGCGGCTCAAGGGTCGATCTAGTCGTCCGGTACTAACAGCTTGAACACTGACGAATCATTGATTTTCGCTGCGGTCGATTATTTCAGTAAACGCTCACTAACTGCACTCGTACGCCCTGCTTTGACTCCGGCATGCTTTCTCGGCTCATGTATCTTGAGTTGATCTTGGAGATCTGAGGTTTGAGGCGGAGGCTTCATTTGTGTGCTGTCTTTAGCTTGTACGATCAGGACTAACCCTAGGTAGATATGATAATAAGATCCATGAAGACAATTGGTGATTCTTGGTGCTGTGAACATTGCTATGATTTACCCTTTCATTTCTGTACGGCCCTGGTCTAATGGGCGTCATAGGGTGGATACGATAATCGGCTGCCAACATGAGGTCAAGATAAGGAGCTGAAGAGCTTGGGCCACCCCCGCTCCAAAGGCCTCAACATTGAACATTGAGCGTCGCAAGCTTCTGCCTTCGATCAAGACCTTGATTTCTTTGAAATAGCTCGAGGTAGTCGCCCGGCATTCCGAGATGGCCCAGGGCAAGTGCGCTCCTCAGGCGAAGTTCGAGTATTCACAGTAGCCGTGGTAAATACTACCTACATCTTCGCCGACCACGTCTTCTTTGCCCGTGCTCTATATGCCCTACCAGTTCCCTATTCGTCATTCTTAGGGACCTCTCCTGCCCACCTGGAGCTCTTTCGAGCCTCGCCACTGGCCTCTTCCCTACGGTACCTTGCTTCTGCATTGCCCTACGTGGCAGCGACGTCCTCATAGGTCGACGGCAGACAGCAATCCAAGGTCGCAGGTCGCAGGTCGCAGGTCGCAGGTCGCAGGTAGCCTCGGCCGGCCATGGGTATCTCGAATCCCATCGCCTTCAAGCCGTTCGCGGTTACGTTCTGGACCACGGTCGTCTATCTCGCCGTACTCATTCCGCTTCTCGTCATACACGAAACAGTTCCACCTCCGCCGGACAACCCGACCTCGGGCTATGGCCTAAACCTGACCAAGTCGTGGATCGACCTGACCACGTTGTCGCGCTTCTACCATCCATTCAACAGCCGGAAGAACGATGACGTCCACAATTGGCTTCTGCTCGAGCTGGAGGACATCAAGAAACGGAACGGGGCCGACGATACCAACATGGTTGTGATGGAGGACATGGTCTCCAATATCACCACTTCTGACTCCGTCTGGGGGTCCAGTGTTCCGACCGGCACATACTTTGAGGGTACCAATGTCGTCGTCTACATACGAGGGACAGACGATCCCGAGGGCCGGTGGTGGCAAGAAGGTGGATATAACAAAGAGAAGATCATAGGAAAGGGTGGCGTCCTGTTGAATGCCCATTATGACTCGTAGGTCTGATTTGCGCTGCATTATCCGACTCTAGTTGACAGTGTCTCAGTGTCTCCACCGGCTTTGGCGCAACAGACGATGGCATGGGCTGCGTTACCCTGATAGCATTGGTCGACTACTTCTCCCGCCCCGAGAAGAGCCCACAGAGAGGTATTGTAGCTTTGTTCAACAATAACGAGGAAGATTTCCTCTGGGGAGCTCAGGCCTTCGGAAACAGCCCGCTTATGCCTTTCTGTCACACATTTCTCAATCTTGAAGGAGCTGGAGCGGGTGGCCGCGCAACTCTTTTCCGAACATCTGATGCAGAGGTCACAAATGCCTACAGGGAAAGTCCGAGTCCTTTCGGGACAGTCATCTCATCCGATGCCTTTGGCCTGGGAGCCATCAGGAGCAACACTGATTATGTGGTCTTCAATGGAATCTACGGCATACGTGGCCTGGATATGGCCTTCTACCGTCCGCGAGCAAGATATCATACTAATGAAGATGATGCAAGGCATGCCTCGAGGGCCAGTCTTTGGCATATGCTCAGCAACTCGTTGCATACAGTCTCATATCTCTCAGGAGATACCGGCAACACTTTCGTCGGAAGTCGAGGAGACGGCGACCACAGGAAGGTGAAAAACGGACGAGGGAATAACGGTGTCTGGTTCGACCTCTTCGGGCAGTCGTTTGCCCTCTTCGAGCTCCACTCCCTGTTTGCGTGGTCTTTGACTCTCCTGATTGCCACGCCCCTCATCCTCTTGGCTCTGACATACCTACTTGTTCGAAAGGACAAGTACTATTTCTTCACGGCAAAGATATCTGTCTATGAGGGTGATACCTTTGACACAGTCAATATTGGAGGTAACAAGGGAATCATCCGGTTCCCCTTCGCTCTGCTCGTTGCTGGGGCGCTGGTAGTCGGCTCTGCCTACTTGATCACCAAGATTAACCCATTGATCATTTATAGCAGCGAGTATACTGTGTAAGCCATGGTTTATACCCAACCTTCAGGAAGTCTGTTAACCCTTTGTGTACAGATGGGCGATGATGCTCTCAATTTTCTACTTCTCCTTCTGGACAATCATGGCTGGTGCGAATTTCGCTAGACCTAGCGCTCTGCACAGAGGCTACGCCATTATATGGCTCTTCATCATTGGTTGGGCGATACTAGTCGCTGACACCGTCTTCGAAGATCGATTCCGTATCTCGGCTGGCTACGTCTTCGTCTTCTTCCATTCCGCGGTCTTTCTAGCCGCCTTCATCACCCTTTGTGAGCTTTTTGGCCTGCCCACGAAGAACTCCTTCGGGCAGCGAGCACACGACGAGCATGAGATCAGTGATGATGGCGGGGATCAATTCAGAGACCAGGTCGATGGAGCCCCACAATCAGATGACCTGATATCACCAACTCCCGATGAAGTGGTTGAAGAAGGTGATGACCATGATGACGACGATGAAGAGCCCCAATCCGCTGCCACGGAGACAACTCCTCTAATAGGCGGTGGCCCTGGTCAAGAGCCCAATACCACGTTTGCGACAACCTACAGACAATCGATATCGGCGGTTCTGGACAAGACCAAATCTGGCCAGGGCACCAAGGGTCAGGCGTACGAATTTGAGCAGCCGTGGTCAGGCAGCCTCCCGAGCTGGGTTTGGATCCTGCAATTCCTACTCCTCGGACCATTCCTCATCATCCTAATCGGTCAAAGTGGCCTTGTTCTAGTTGCTTCTCTCTCACAGACTGGATCTGACGGATCAAGCCTTTTGCTTCCTTACCTGACAATAGCTCTTTTCAGCATTCTCCTTCTGCTGCCGATCACGCCGTTTGTGCATCGGATCACTCACCACGTTCCGAACTTCCTCTTGTTGGTATTCGCTGCGACGCTCATCTATAACCTGTTAGCTTTTCCATTCTCGGCGGAGAACAGGTACAAGATCTACTTCCAGCAGACTGTTGACCTCGATACCGGTTTGTCGAAGGTCAGCTATGTTGGAATTCAGGAGTTCGTTGAACAAACCGTGGCTGAGCTCCCATCTGCTATGGGGAAGGAATTGGACTGTCAATCGCACGCCAGCCCACGCGCTGGCTTGACCAGTTGTTCCTATGACGGCTCGGACGTTCTACCTGATGTCGTAAAGACGAATCCGAACGGGATCCCGCCACAAAAGGGCTTCGATAGCTGGCTGACCTACAACATAACCCGAGCCAATAACACGTCCAAGGCTAGATTTGAGATTGATGCGAAGGAAACCAGGTCTTGCGCAATTACATTCAAGAAGCCAGTTTCGTCGTTCAAAGTCGTCGGCGGCAATGAGCCTGACGACCGATTTGGAGCCATGCCGGACGATGGCTTGACCAAGATCAAACTCTACCGTCGGGACTGGAACACACCGTGGAAAGTCGATGTCCAGTGGGAGGCAGCCGAAGCAGAAGCCGGTGGAATCGATGGGCGCATTTTATGCAGTTGGGACGATGTCAATACGGCCGGAGCGATACCTGCGTACGACGAAGGCCTGAAATTCGCGCCCACGTGGGTGGCTCTTTCGAAGCTGACATCCGGATTGTGCGAAGGCAGCAAAGCCTTCAAAGCTTGAGTGACACTGGTGCTGGCATCTCTGCAGAGTTTTTTTATACGATTGGTTCTTTGTACGTCTTGGTCTCAGGAAGACTGACGACAACCTTGAGCATGATTGTCGGGTGCGCACGAAAGGCACTCGTGGCTGATGTCTAGGGACGAACCGTTCAGTTGCGCTCCTGTTCGTTGCAATAACGAGATTGTACGGAAGAGGGAATTGGTATGGCTCGCATATGGATATTGTGCATGGCCGGCGTCTGGTTTGCAGTTGTGTCTCTCTCGTCGCATCGATACCTAAGTAGGTAATAGCAAAACATGTTTTATTACTACCATTCCACCCCCCTTGACAGTCTCATGAGATATATGATATGTCACATGCAAATCATATCATGGTTTGCGCTACCCCAGACTCGAATTTTCCGTTGAGCGGCACTGTCGATCGTACCTGCTTCCGGCCTGCCTCCGAGCTTAATTTGAGTTGCATGCAGTGCGACGGCAGGATCCTGGTCGGCGACTTCAGCGATCAGGATCCCTGAGTCGCGGCGTCGTATTTTCACTCCAACTAGAACGACCCCTAGGAAAAAGTGTGTGCATGGTAGAACAGGATCGCGCTCCGTGCTCGAATCAGAGCTGCAGGTTGCGCATTCTGCCTGAACCCGGTAGAGCACCCGTTGTTGCTGCGTCCCACCTTCCTGGGTTCGCGCCTTGACGCCAACAGTACACGGCACAGGACAAGCCTTCTGTCACTATTGCGGCTGGTAGAGTGCGGCACCTACATACATGTATTATCAAGATGATAAGTGCGTCCCCGCAACTCAAATTCGACAGGGAGGGTTGGTTGCATGGATTGCTGGGGACCTGCGCAAGCATAAAATAAAGTCTAATGTCCAGGGTCTTCTGATTACGACCAGGATTTGTGTAGAAGCCTGCTTGCCGTATCTGTTGCGGGCCTGCATGGTGCCTTCCTTCGTCTACCTACCTACCGGTCTTGCTTGCCCACACGCCTCTCATTCAATCTTTAGTTTTGCGTCACGCCTCGGCTCTCTACCTACCATCTGACACGAGGTATTAACTTATCCAACCTACCTAGAGCCAAATCACAAAGTCAGCAAGATCGGCACCAGTCTGACACCTTAATTCGCACCTGATCTCACAATCGTCATCTCCAGAAAACCGTCAAAATGACATCCTTCCGCACGGCCCTCACGCTCCTAACAGCAACCCCAGCGCTCGCCCACGTCCTCCCGGCCGTGAGCGGCGACGTCGCCGCCGCCAAGCCCTGCACCACCGGCACGCCCGTCGTCACGGCCGGCTACACTATCAACTACGCGCTGGCCACGCCGACTGCTACCGGGACTTTTAGGAATGGGTACCAGCCCGAGCCGGGTTGGGCGGGGGAGCATGTTGTGGGGACTTATGTGAGTTTTGCTTTTTTCCTTTTCTGTCGTTTCTGCTGTTTCTCCTGGGGAAGACGAGATGGGGTTTAGGCCTGGAGAGTTGGAGCTTGGATGCTGGCTCTGTCGCCGTCATCCGCCCGTCCGGAGGGGCGTGTTTCTGGTCGGCGATTTGTCTTTGGTTCAGAGAGGAGGGGCCAGGCAGAGAGTGAAGAAGGGAGACAGGGGGGAGAAAGGTCATCCTGGTCGCGGTCACCTGGAATGTGGACTTGGGGGAATGAAACTGAGGCTGATGCTGATGCTGATGCTGATGCTGATATTGCTCAACAGACCTTCGGCGTCCCAACACCCATCGATGCCGGCTTCGCGTACGCGCAGTTCAAGTGCCAGTACTATTGTAATTCCCAGACCAGCGGCAGCTTCTACGCCAAGTACGCTGGGGCGGACAGCCGGGATGGGTCTTATTGTCACTGCTATGATGACCTGTGAGTAGTTTCTCTGTTCACTTCCCTCTGTGTTTCTGGCACGGTCACACAAAACTCTCGGAGCAGGTATAAAGACGGTGACAAGACGTCGGAGGACATTGCCGTGGCTACGCTAACGGGGAGACGCAGACTGGATCCCGATACCTTCGTCGAGGGTAATCAGACGCTCGTCGGCACGTGGAACTCGATCTGTAGCGGCACGGACATGCCGGCGAAGCTACCGGAACACGAATAATGGTAGTTGATTAGGGGTTCGGGCAGGCGTTTGGGAGACATTGTTTTGGAAGGCTGAAAAGTTTTTGGTAGGGTGAAAAGGAAAGGGGGCCATCCCCTTATTGTTGTTGCGATACTATTTTCCGAGAAGGGCGTCAATGGGGGTTATCTGGGAATTTGGAGGCCATAGGTACGGTTAGCAGTAATTCAATTCTTCCTGCTACGGAGTCTATACCTGGTTACGCTACCGATGGATGCGCTTGTGCTCTCCGAGATTTGTCGATCAGGCTCCCAAACTGCAGCTCATCCCGACATCATCTTCGTGCGAGAGAGCAAGAGCACGAATAGGGGCTAGAGCGAGAACCTATGCCTTAACCTATCGTCACCGACCCCTCACGCTTCTGCCCTATACAGGCGTCACGTACACCCACGCCTATACCCTTGTCCACTCACCCCATCTTTTTCCTGGTGGACACCTTCCCGTCCGCTTTCGCGCCGACAGTCGCACTAGAAGCACCATCCGTGCCTTTTCCCGGATAGGTGTGTCGCGAGGTGACTGTCGGTCACATGGGTATATGTTCTCCGCGCCGATGTTGACGATGGCGGCGGGCGGGGGGGATCCCCCTGGGCAGCGGTGATGAGATATTTTCTTGGCTGCGTCGACATGTGGATGTTTAGGACGTTGCGGCTCTTGCTTTTCGGGCACGGGGTCTGGCGTTGATGGCATTCGATCCCTTAATTTGGTCGGTAGGGGGTTGGTTGTGGGAAGGCTTGCTGGGCCAGGGGTCGATGAGTGCAAGTAGATAGATGGATTGATGCATGTGTATGATATCGTGTTTCATGATAGCACTTGACTCTTGGGCCTTTCCTTGGAGAAGGCATGTTTGATCGAGGTCAGTTCGTGGCTGAATCTCTGATTCTGGATTCAGGGGTTGCATTTGTACGTATTGCATCTGACGCGCTCGCCAGGCGTAGAGGGACAATACAACGATACAATATCGCATTTTCTTGGGACTTTCTATCATGTGAATGACACTATAAATGGTGAGGGCCGACCAGTTAACTTATAACATGGCGCGCATCGAGTTCAGTGACCCTTACATTGTGGCACATCCAATGAGACGGTCGATTCAAGCTCATCGATGATGACAATGACTCCCATTAAACACCTTTACTTGGCTAGTGGTTCTGACGAGGTCAAAGGTTACGGCTTGAGACTAGGTAGCCAGTAAAGCCGTCTGTATCGAATAGCTCTCATCGGTATCCCCTTGAGATCGGGATGTGCCTGTTGTCCGAGCGCCCTGATATTTACTCCCATGTATCTTTTTTATATATAACCTGTAGCTGATGGCGGGAACAAGCTTGGCTTATACTCTGATAGACCCGAAGAGGAAGCTTGGGCAATGGGCACATTCCGATCTCAAGGGGATGAGTTACTCTTATTGCTAGAGTTCTGATGCAATGACGTTGAATGCGGCGTGAGGGTCGTCCTTCGACGCCAAGGCGGTTGCACTGCCTTCGATATCTATATGTTACGATGAGCCACGATCCTTAATGCCACTCGCGTACTTGAGAGTTAGGGGGTCGATTGCCACCTTGAGAGCTCTGACTCCTTCCTGTTTCAAGGCGGCATCTAAGCCCTCCTCGTGACGTTGGGAAATGGTGAAGGTAGCTGAGAAATATGATGCCGACGGTGAAAACAACAGGTGATTCTTCGGAATGTTTGCCATTTGGAATATGGAAATGCCTTGGCTGCGAAGATCACGGCCATTCGTGATTTAGCATCGACCGCGGCTCTCATGCATTACCTCTACTTGAGACGATCCGGGCAGGAAGCGAGCGCTCCTGTCAAGCCGGTCAGCGATCCGAGACTTACATTGCGGCAGAGCATCCATGTTCCCTTTGTGTGCGACCACTAATGGTTTCCTCACTACGGCCTTTCTGTTGGTGTTGGTGCTGTGGTGACAAGAAGCGCAGGGCGGATTGATAAGCCGTAGGCACATCAGCCATCGTGAGGGAGGAGCAGGACTGAAAGAGACCGGGCGGTCGGTTACTCAAAGAAGTCGAGGGCTGGACGGGCTGCTGACAGGTCTCCTTTGTCTCGAATACTTATAAGAATCTTTCACTGCGTCAAGCTCACGACCCCTAGAACTCTCAGACCCTTCAACAGTCTTCACCACACCAGCAGTCCAGCTACTTCGCTTTAACTCATGACTACTGTTAGTCTGTTCCGGATCACCCAGTTTCTACGAACCCCTCAGCCTCAACACGATGATTCCCTCCCAGAAGCTCATCGCCGCCATCGCCGCAGCCCTGGCCACCGCCTCCGCAAACCCCGTCGAGAACCCCGACGCCGTCGAACCGCGAGCGGCACCATTCACGGGGGACCTCACCTTCTACGAGCCGGGGCTCGGCGCATGCGGCGTGACCAACGATAACGGCGACAACGTCGTGGCCGTCTCGCAGCTCCTCTTCGACCATAAGACCCCCGGCGGCAACCCCAACAAGAACCCGCTGTGCGGCCGGAAGATAAACGTCCATCATGGCGGCAAGACGCAGCTCTTCACGGTCCAGGACCGCTGCACGGGGTGCAAGTTGCATGACCTCGATGCGACGGTGACCTTCTTCGAGAAGTTTACTAGCCCGGATAAGGGACGGATTCCGATCACTTGGACCTGGGCCTAGATTTGCGGGATTTTTTGTTGTCAGTGGTTTGAAGAGAGAAAGGGGGATCGGTGGTGTCGGTTTTGATTGGATAGTTGGAGGCCTTTGTTAGACTGGTCAGCTTTGTGTCGCTGCTGGGGAGGTGCTCACATGTGATGAATTGGGCTAGGGAGAGGTGTAGATCTTGTACGTCGGACATCGCATTTGGAGCAACAACGGTCATTTCGATTACGCCTTGAAATTAGTCTATAACGCAATTATGTCGGTGGTTCATGTTGGTTTTCACGGGGGCTTCCTTTACATTGTGTCTGTGGTCCAGGTTTCATGATGCTCAAGTGTACGAACCATCGTATTTGTTACAGGGTACAAAGAAGGGTACACGGCATCGGGATCGTCGGTATGTAGTACTATGTTTGATCATAGAATTTAAGTCATCGGCCCTAGAATGTATCTGCGTGTCCGATCCAAGGCTTCGGGGCTGTGCGTCTCCAGCGGAATTCGGTAAGCAAGAAAAGAAAAGGGGGGCTCGGCAAGACCAACTGGGTTGCTGATTCGAGGTTATTCGAGCAGGGCGCAAATTCCAGTTGACATTTGGTCTCTAGAACCGCAAGGCTGAACAACCCAGAAAACGCCTGTCGATCACGCGCGATTTATCGTGGAAATCTGCCACTGTCTGAGACCGGGCTTGCATCATGTCTCATATCAACCTCTGGTTATTCGCTAGACGCGAGCTTCCCTTGGTACCTGATTCTCCAGCCTCCCTGGAGGCCCCGAAGCCACATTTGTCCGCAGTTTCAAAAGCAAAGAAGGTGGATGATGAGAGGCGATCCCCCCTTGAAAGTTTTTCGAGCTCTTGATGAGCTCATGAAGTACTGCTGCTGTCGAACGACTATCTACCTGAGTCGCACACACACAAGATCAAGCAATACATCTGGAGATGCTTCTCAAAGGGCTCCTTTTCTACACGGCTGGGCTGCCAGTGGCAATCGCATCACCTACCTTTAATGTTACTGCCCATGCCGATCTTGCTCAACATCCGACGTGGGAGAGGCAGCATCCATGCGCTCATGCCCTTCTCCAGGACCTCTTCTATGTGCTGGGCTCGCGTCAAGGTCTCGTTGCGCATCGCCTGTGTACGGTGGGCATGTTGCAACAGGCATCAGAAAGACTTCTGGAGAAGTCGACGAACCTGCCCCAAGCCCTCCGGGGCTGCGACCCCAACGACAACCACCATCAGAAAGCTGAAGCACTGCTCGGAGAGTTCTGCGCGAGACACGAAGCCCGACTTCTCGATACGGATCGCAGCGACCAACAGATCATTGGCGGACATACCACAGACGCCAACAATGAACCGAATCAACCTTCTTCTTGGGCCCTGGGCCACATCGCCATCTGAATGTGTCTCCCACATTCTGGTGAGCCTCGGCCATATAGTATCAACCAGGCTCGGGTATACTTCGAAAGCCCACCTATGCTACCCGTTCGACAGAGTCCCCGCTATCATCACCGAAGAAGCCATATACTGGGCGAATAACTGCGAGGACCCAGGCGACAAAACGCCCTCGACACGTTCTGCGAGGATGTCCCAGATTGCGCAGACGCAGAATGTCAACACGTTGAGACGGAAACAGTGGTGACGATAGCCTGGCCTCCAATCCTGGCCGGGGCTGCCGCCGCCTCTCCCGCTGTGACAACCGTCTTGCCTGCAACAACTTGCCTGCACGCACCCTGTCGCTACTTGACGACCAGGTTTCCAATCTTGAACCGCCAAATCTGGCCTCCGTACGTCACCCTCCGGATTCGTGATCTTATCACTCTGCTCATCGCCGTATCTCTGCACTGGCCTTGCGCCTTTCCCAGTGGTACATTATCAAACATTACCTCGCTCCATTACTTGACAGAGAGAGTGGCGGCCTTTGGCTACTGACTTGCTCTGCTATTGGCGCATTGTCAGGCCAGTACATAACGTCCAGGCATGTACGGCAATGTGAGCCGTGGGGCATCATGACTGTTGCCGAGGGTCTTTCGACTGCGATTTACCTAGTGGAATGGTTGCTGCTATACATATTACAGCTCTGGAAAGGAGGAATGGACTTGGGGATGCTGCTACGCCCTTGGCGAGCCGCGTCTCCTGCTGCTACTGTCGAGACAGGTCTAGAACGGGCTTCATCGGTTTCACGGGTTCCCGCTGGTACGGATGAGAAGGAGAAGAGCGACACTGGTGACGGTGTCTAGGAAGTTATGTGCTGCGTGGCTTGTGAATACTTCGTGGCCGATGTGGACGGAGGGCTCGAAATCGGGATTGGTCACGTACCGCGCAGCTCAATTCACCCAACCCACAACCCGCGTTCCTTTCAACAATTTTGCTATTACTTCGAAGCATCCTTTGGTTCGCACGGGGCTGCATGACCAACCAATTGTAAGGATGTTGGACCCCGATCGTGAAGTTGACTGCTCGAGTGCCGTCCACAAGCTTCGGAACTCAGCCCTGACTTCGGTACAGCCAGCACGATCGTCGCCCCACCCCATCCGGTCTTCCTGCCTCTGACTGGGTTTTTGAAGCCTCGTGCTGCTCGGAATGTGCTCGAGGACAGGCAGGCAGTCCAGCTGTGCTAGCGAGAACTGCCCTGACGGCGAGTACTGCAAGATCTTGGAGGTCAATCAGTATGACTGTGATTGGCATTGTCGGCACACATAAGCCTCCGGGTCCAGTAGCCTTGGCTTTCTTGATTTCGAACAGTACTTCTCTTCAGTTTCATGGGTTGTGCCGGTTCAAAAGATGCAGTCTCTCTCCTCAGCTTTATCGTTCGCTTGTGGAAATCGAATATCCGTGCATACCATCTCACGAAGCAAGATGATATCAGCGCAACTGTACACGCCTGCTTCGTGCTTGGAAGTTCTCAGAAGTATTACATAGGCCGTCATACCCTCAGTGCATGATGTGCAGACTCGATTATTGCAGTGCCCATAGAGGTTTACAGTTTACCGAATTTCACACATGCTTGCGAAAGATCGCAGACCTTGTTCTGAAGATCGGGAATGTATGACATGCCCCGGTCCCACCGTCGACAAGGCGAGGATCCGGAGTGTCTAGCAGCTCGTGAGATTTCAAGAGCTGCAACGTGGGTCTCAACGCACGTACATAGCAGTACTGATTTGTGCAGGTGAGCGAGTGACAACCTGGTCGCAGATACACGGGGGTCCCGAGAAGTGCGGAACGGATGAGTCTGCTGCGTATAGGTATGGATGAGAACTACCGAGACGCAGTCTGAAGATTGTAAATCTCAACGACAGTGATACACTGGGTGATTCCCGCGGCTGCGCGGCTGGTGTTGCCGAGACGACCTTGACTTGATTGCTTTAGCTCTGAAGGAGAACGGGACGAGTCAATGGCGATGGTTTTAGACGCGACCTAAGGCATTCTTATACGGAGCTCCCGAGACCTCACGCTGCTGGGACGTAGCGGCCAAGATGGCGTGAGTAAGCAGAGATGGGTAAGCCGCCTCTAGACGATGTTTCTCGAAAAACTCGCGTTGAGGCTAGTCCGAGGTAATGTAATGGCTGCTTCTTATTCCCGTTCCCTTCCGACATGGTTTCGAAAGATCTGATATTTGTCAGTCTCCGATGTTGCGTGATACAGGAAACAGACGTCATCACCGAACCTTACGAGAAAGAAAGAAAACAGTCCCAACACACTGGGACTATGACGTCGAGGCCCTTTAGCAATTTCGGACTTTGAAGAATCTTCATCAAACCAGCCCGGCCAGCGGGCTGGGCCACTAACTTATTAGTACGTCGCATTAAAAATCATGAATCGGATGGTGCTGTGGTGAATACACCGCCACGTGTAACCCGGCCGATCTAGGCAGATGTTAGGTCGAGACGCACGCAGGTTTGGTGACGGTACAATTCCGGTGATTCCCACCAGAAGAAGGAGTGCGGTCACCTCTGGGACCCATCGAAAACGATAAGAATAAGACGATCTGGTTGCGCGCAGGCGAGCGAAGGGGAGCTACGGGTAGTTGATCCGGCCCATGTGGGTATAGGGGACCACTTCCATACATGTACAGTACCATGCTGTTGAGGCTCTAAAAGCGGCCCGCTTTTGAAGCTTCTATTCTCCTCACGGCGTTGACTTCATGGCTCTGTGAAGCCCTCCACCATCAGACAATCTCGAAGAGAAGAGGGTCGTTTCCATCTTATCAGTGTCCTGCGCCGATGAGGTATATCGGGGCGAAGAACGAACAGAATACTGCCCAGTCCATTGCGGGTATGCAGCATGCCGACAACCCGCAAATGTCTCGGGGTCGGGGCGAGCGCCTCCTTCAATCAGCCGCGGCGAGATCACGGTGATATGGTGGACCGTGAAGGAGGGCGGTCCACTGTCGACACAGGTGCAATGGTGGGCAACGCTACCAAGGCCTCGCACGGCTACGTAGTGTCTGCGCGGCTCGGGAAAATGCGCCGTCGGTCAGCATCGGGGCGAGCAGACAAAATGTGCACCCGGTCTGCTTTCTTCTCTACCCGAGAATCCGTGCCTGACTTCTAAGCCATTCTTCCTGGCGGTACAGCACCATCGACAGACACCATGGCGACCTCGAGGCCTAACAGCGTTTGGAGCAGTAGCAAAGGCAACATGACCGACATCGACACACCCACCGCGGTCACTCCTGATGCTCAGTCGGAGGTCCTCACTACACAGCACGCTGAGAAGGGCAACGAGAAGCTCGGTCGAGTAGTTGGTGGGCGGTTCATCCAGATCAACCAGGAGTCCAACCTACACCAGGACCATGGACTCCTCAAGACCATCGACGACACCGACGTCCCCTTGACTCTCACCGAGATGGTCCACAAGGATGGCCAGGACTACATCGTCCTGCACTTCGCCGAGGGCGACTGCGAGAATCCATTCAACTGGCCAGCAGGCAAGAAGATCTTCGTTTGTGCCATGTTGAACATGATGACCCTGTTTATAGGATTGGCGACGACAGCATACAGTTCTGGTATCGGCAGCATGACTACAGAGTTTGGTGTCCCGCAGCTTTACGGCCAGCTCGGCCTCTTCACCTTCAACGCCGCCTGCGCTATCGCTCCCCTGTTTCTTGCGCCTTTCTGCGAGCTGGTCGGTCGGAAGATCGTCTACGCCGGAGGCTACCTCTGCTTCACGCTTCTCTTCATCGGCCTGGCACTCGGCCGGAACATCGAGACAATCGTCATCCTGCGGCTGCTCTTGGGTCTCTGCGGCTGCGTCGGAACCATCCTTGTCGGCGGTACCTTCGACGACATGTACGAACCACACCTGCGCGGCCCCCCGATGGCGATGTTCACATATGTGGCCATTCTCGGAACGGTCGGAGCACCTATATACGCCGGCTTCATCGACGAAACCATTGGCTGGCGATGGATCGAGGGTATCCAGGGACTGGCCAACATCCCCCTGCTGCTCTGCGTCTTCATCTTCTTCCCCGAGACTCGCGGCGGAGCCCGTCTGCACAAGCGCGCGAAGCAGCTCAAGAAGGCCACCGGCGACGACCGCTATGCCGGCCCGGACGACCTCGACACCAAATCCCCCAAGGACATGCTCAAGGTCTCGTCCGTAAAGGCCATCCGCATGCTGGCCACCGAGCCCGTCGTCCTCGCCTTCGGCCTGTGGATCGGGTTCGCCTGGTTCGTCACCTTCCTCTTCCTCAGCGCCATCCCCATCACCTTCCAGGAGAAGCGCGGCTGGTCCGAGGGCGTCGCCGGCCTGCCGTACATCGGTCTCTGCATCGGCACCACCATCGGCTGGGCCGCGCACCACCTCCAGATGCGCAAGTACAACCAGATCGAGAACTCGGACGTCAAGGCGACCCCCGAACATCGTCTCTACGGCGCCATGTTCGGCGCCGTGTGGCTGCCGATCGGCCTGTTCATCTACAGCTTTACGCAGTACGCCTTCGTGCACTGGATCGGCCCCTGCATCGGCCTCGTGCTCATCGCCGTCGGCATCTTCTTCGTCTTCGAGGCCACCTACAGCTACACGGCCGACTGCTACGGGCAGAGCGCGTCGTCGGCGATTGCTGGTCAGGGACTTGTGCGGAACATGCTCGGTGCCGTCTCGCCCCTTTTCGCCAGCGCCTTCTTCCACAACCTCGGCAGCCAGTATGCGGGTCTCCTTCTGGCCCTTGTCGCTACGGGCTTGAGTATGATCGCTTTTGTCATGTTCAAGTTTGGCCCCCAGTTAAGAGCTCGGTCTAAGCGTGCTCTGGTGTACTGAGCGTCTTTCTACCGTGGTTTGGGAGTAAGGTGTATGCGGTTTGGGCATATGCAACAACTGTGATTAGCGTACGGAAATTAGGATCAATAAAATATTCACTTTCGTTACTTTCGAGCTGATGCTCATTTTTCGACTTGACATGTATCAATCACTTACTTGTGCCTTGGCTTACTCGCATGATAGCTGCCGGGACGCTTTCACGATTCCTAGAAGCTACTCAGTTTACTTTCCAAGCCATCACATAATGGTTGCGTGTGCCCAAGTCCCGAAGACAGCATGGTGCCTTGCCTTTAAGCCGAAATTGCAATCAGTTGAGGCAACACATGTACAGCAATCCGAATTGGTGTAGGGGTTAACATTTCACGCTCTCATTACCTAATGACTGTTCCGTGGAGCCCGGGGTTCGATTCCCCGATTCGGAGTTTTCTTTTTGGTGGACGACGCTACGCGTAAAATGCTACAACAACCACATCACCTACAGGCCGGCGATGGAGGTGTCGAGTTTGGTCAAGAAGGGTAAGTTCCGTCATGGTTTCTGGGGTGTAGGAAGTGCCGTTGGCGCGCAAGAAGGGTTTGGTGTAATTGAGGTGGTCTGGAAAGGGGTAAGAAGGTAGAGTGGAGATAGGGGGCCTGGTTCGTGGTTTGGTTCGCTGGTTGATAGGACGGGCTTGCCAATTTTGTCTTTGGCGAGGACCACGATGCCGGGGGCGGTGCCGTCGTTGACGACGAACTCGAGCAGATCGTCTAAGGAAGTCATATCAAGCGGAATTGTAAGGACTGGAGCTTGCAATAGAGTTGGCGTGTTGAAGTTGCTCTTTGTGATCCTTATTCGACATGTTGAGCTGCGATGGGATGCCAAGCTTTTATACATTTCTATACTCCATGTGGACGTATCTGTCTAGGTGCTATATACACGATCTCGCCAACCCAAGGATCTCTCACCCGAGTGACTCGTCGCCGGGAGGATCCTCGGATCCGCTGGGCTGAAGATCCATGAGCTGCAACCAGTCGGGAGCAGCCAATAGGCAGCAGTTTCATCTGCATGTAAGACTTAGGTAGGTGGGGATGACCCGAAGTAAACAAAAACAATCACACCGAGTAGAGTGAAACAATTACCACGTTTGCTGGTCAATTGGTGGTCTCGCAAACTGCGTAGGTAGGGAGACGTAAGATCATCTACAAGCCAGCATGGCGCAACCAAGATCACCGACAGAGGACCCCTCAGTCGACCTCGACCCAGCAGCAGTAGCAGACTTCCACGCATCCCTGCGCTCTGCGCGTCGCGTTATAGCAGTCATCGGCGCCGGCCTGTCAGCAGCGTCTGGCCTCCCTACCTACCGGGGCGCAGGTGGACTCTGGCGCAACCACGACGTGACCATGATCGCGTCGCCCGTCTCTTTCATACGCGACCCTGGCCTTGTGTGGCAGTTCAATACGTATTGGCGGCACCTGGTACTTTCTGCGAAACCTAACGCTGCACATTTCGCGCTGGCGGAGCTGGCGAAACGCATGGGAACGCATGGGGAAGGAAACGCGGGAGTGGACGGAAATGGGAATGAGGAAGCTGGCGACAATCTCGGCTTTGTGATGCTCACGCAGAACATCGACGGTCTCAGCGCCCGAGCCGACCACCCAGCAGAGTGCCTCAAACAGCTCCACGGCTGCCTACTTGACCTGCGCTGCTGGGACGCCGGCGGCTGTGGCTACGTCGAGTACGGCAACCTGACAAACCCGGTCGTGCCGGCACTGGCGATGGACGAGGAAGACATCAAAAGGGGGCTTGGGAAGCCAGGACCCGTCGAATCGAAACTGATGCCCAAAGCCAGCATGGGGCTGCTAGAGGGAATTGCCCGCAAGAACCGCCAGATCATGGGCGAGCAGTACCAAGAGAAGAATTCGCGGCAGCGCGACGTCGCGCCGCTCAAGCCGCCGTCCGAGGCTGCGTCTGGGCGCGATGGCGTAACGCTGCCGCCGCCCGCGGATCTAGAGATCATCCCCGAGCCCAGGATCGCTGCCGCGGACCTGCCGCAGTGCCCGCGGTGCAAGAAAAACCTGCTGCGTCCCCGCGTCATCTGGTTCGGGGAAAACCTGCCGGCCGACGTGGTCGAGGAGGTCGACGCGATATTCGCGGATCCGGAGCCTATAGACTTGTGTCTGGTCATTGGGACTTCGAGCTCTGTGTGGCCGGCTGCAGGTTATACTCTGGAGGCACGTAAGAAGGGGGCTCGGGTTGCGGTCGTCAATACGGATCCTGCTGATGCGAAGGGTATGCGGCCTGAGGACTGGACTTTTGTTGGGGATGCGGCGGCGGTTGTGCCGGTTTTGCTTGAGCCTGTTATTGGACAGAGGGATGAGTGGATGAGGGAGGTGTAGACCTGCTACACCGTAGGTAGTTGTGAGGGCATGAGGGTTTCATTCTACCTCAGCGGAATGAAGACAATGAATTCAAACAAGGACTTGCATAATCACTCCGAATAAGCGATATTCCAGTTGCAATCGACTAGAGTAATCACCTGTCGAAACTCCTGGCATGAAAATAAGCACCGCCATATGAATCCAGTAACAGTCAGGAAATATGACAACCATGAGTTTATGACGGCGGTATGATGAAATTCAAGATCGAATAGTTGTTTGACTTCCTTTTCCGTGCGCCATTTTCATCAACAAAGAGTTATATGATGTAACCGGTTAGCTTGGGTGGCCCCTCAATACAGCGTTTCAGATGCTTCGGGAATACATGTAGGCAGACAAAGAAGACGAGTCGGGTACTCTTTGAAGCATGTCGAACACATGGCAACCTTATTGACCTCAGTTCTATGAATCTGATGGTGATGCGTCCTACTGGCTTGGAACAATCCAGAGAAAACACATCTTGGGTACGTTAATGCAAGCTTCGAATACATTACCATGGGTGAGGCGACTCCTTTATCGGACTTGATCTCTGACTTGAGGCTGTCCCCTAGATCTCAGACTTTCTTCGAACAAAAGGTACGAACATCAGCCCTTAAGGAACCACTCAGTGCAGTCTTGATGCTTATATGATGCCTGAACTAGGACCAGGTGACTCGATTGCCACCAGATGTCTGGTATAAAATAGCAAGCGAGTATCTACACGACCCTAAAGATGTCTATAACCTTGGAAGGACGTGCTACATGCTTTGGGCGATGCTCGAGACACAACTCTACATCACCGATGCACTGCACTACAAGGCGCAATTGGAAGGAGGGCAGCTTCGACATAAATGGTTCCACGACAAAAACGAAGAAATCGCGGAGTACTGGGAAGGGCCATTCACGACGCCCTCCTGTGGCTGCTTCCCCGACGAAGTCAACTGGCAATTCGGCGAGGAGCTCGAGAAACGCAGAAAAAGCACACTCGAATACTTGGAAGGGCTGCGAGACATGTACGGAGACTCCGTGGATTACGAGAGATACGAGCGAGAGCTCGCAGGCTACCCCGATCCGCTGCCCACGCGTATACCCGCCGCATCAGTCCTCCAGTGGGCTGCGGCCGCGGGTGTTGTCAGCACTGCTCGAAAGGCAATCGACGCTGCCAGAATTGTCTGGCCGAGATACCTCAGTCTGCAGCACCCACAGAACCTACACCAGTCGATCCATTTGGCCGCTATCAGCGGCTCGCTCGAGATAGTGCAGCTTCTCGTCGAATATGCTGGGACCTCATCGACAGTGGCTTCCGGCTATTTGTGCCTCCCTACGAAGCCACTCTATAAAGTGATTTCGCACGTGTCTCCTACTATTAAGCTAGAGGTGCTTGAATTTTATCATTTCGGCAACATGGAAGCCCCGTTCGTACTCGACGCCCTCGGCTTGGCCATTTTGAACGGCCACGAGGGTGTAGCGTCCTGGCTGCTAGAGCGCTGCGACTGCTCGAGATACATAAAGCCACCAATAGACATCCACGACCCGGAAAACTGGGAGAGTGACGAAGCGATCAGTGACGAATATCCCGTCGTCTGTCCCCTACACCTCGCTGCATTGACTGGGATGAACTCCATCGTCCAAGGCCTACTGGCAAAAGGCGCACACGTCGATACCCTCTGTGAGCAGCTACAGCACAGCACGCCCCTGATGTGGGCATGTACGCGCCGAGAGAACCAAGCCGTTATAGACACCCTTCTCAGCCACGGCCCTAATCTGCAGATCCGGGACACTCAGCGCCGATCCGTCCTCATATGGGCTCTAGAACACAAGCTCCCAGAAGTTGCCTACCGAATCATAGAGGCAGGCGTTCCTGTGGACAACTGGGTCTTTAGCCACACCGACTCGTGTGGCCTGTCGCTTTCGGTGAGGGACGACATATTCCTCGACTGAACCAAGCTGATCCTGCGCATGCATCCGGAGCTGCCCGCGGCATTTCTGACCAGGTGCTTCCACGAAGCCCTGGGTGGCGTCAAAGACTCGTACCGTCGCGGTGTGCCCTTGGATAACGAAGAGACCGTTCGGATGTTCATTGACCAGAACATTGGGCAAGGAGTACTCCAGGAATCTGACTACAACGAGATCATGCCGGTCTTGATCCGAGATAACATGCAGAACCTCGGGGCAACGCCTCTCCACGTCGCCGCCTACCACGCATCGCCCAAGATCCTGCGTCTGCTGCTGGACAAGCAGCCGGAAAACGTCAACGCGCGCGACGCGGACGGCAACACCCCGCTGGTGCTGGCGGCACGCACTCGGAAGGCCTCGTTCAAGAAGATGGCGGTCCTCCTGGAATACGGCGCGGATCCAGAGTCAGCGCTCGGCAACCTTGAGGAGAGCGCGTACGGCTCCGACGAGGAACGCGACGCCATAGCTTTTGCTGGTGACGCAAATACCCCTGATGGACATACCGCTCGGATTAATAGGACGTGGGATAGAAGAGCACGCATGGAACGCGGTATTTCCACAAAGGAGGCGTTGAGACGACGAATTCCGAAGGCGGTGAGTGGCGATATCGAGGGCGAACAAACGGACGGGGAACTCGACCGGCGGATGAACGGACGAGGAGTTCGACAAGGATTATGATTAGGAGGTCAGTAGCTATTTCTCATGGCTCGCTATATAGCGGCACCTGCGTCAAGCTTCGGGCTGTGGTCTGGATACGTGAATAGTGTTCACGTCCACTTGGCCCATGTACTAGGTAGGACTGTACTCAAAGCCTCACTCGACGTTACACAACTGATTAATCGAGTGGATGACGCTCAACCTTATTATGCCCTCCTTCGGATATATATCTCTTGAATCGTAATGTGACGACAAGGGACACTGTCTACTTGCTCCAATCAATATAAACACCAGTATCTTGTGGATGATGAGCTCAGCGGAACGCACGGAACGCACGGAACTTGCGCATAGGGTAGACAGATAACAACATTATCCCGCGATCATTTCAGTACGTCTGGTCATAACAAGGTGTTGGTCAATCTTCTAAAGATAAGTTCCCGACTCTAGAGGGGGTTGACTAGAAGAACCTGGGGTACGACGGCACGTCAGAGCAAGGACGGATTGTCTCGATTGGGTCCCGGATCATGCTTGCATGATTGATTAAAGGAACCCTCACATGGCGAGATTTGCTACGCGAGGATGCGTCTTCCTATATGCCTCTCGTAACTCATAAGAGAAAGACGAAGGTATCTCCGAACCCATAATGGCTTTTTCACAAGCTCCAGTTATAAATCGAAAAGAAAAGAATATTCCTTAAATTGCCAAAGTCAAGAGCATACTATGAATCCATGTAAATATAAATGCATCTCTCAATCTGCTAGTTTGGGAGCATGCAGACTCCTCGCCAATAAGGTTGACGAAGGTTTTCTTCTAAAGCTTGCAACCCCTTCAGGTTTCCATCCAAACTTACTCCTTTTCCTTCCCTACATTATCTGCAGCATCCTGACATACCTTGGAATGTTCAGTTCACACTAAGAACGTTGTGCTCATCGTCAAAATACGAAGCCTGGGAATACGCTGTCATGCACCCGGACGATGTGCGCAACCTCACGAGACTATCAGAGATCACTCCACCCGGTCCCGATGGAGGGCGCAAATTCCACAAACGTCACTTGCATCGTACGAGCGAGCAAGATTACCTGTATGAGTTCGAAAAGAACCCAAACAGTCCTCCCAACCCTTTCGTGTTGATTTCTGATCAACTCTTCTTTTCCGGAACGTGTCAAATGGCACGCAAGCCACAGTGGCGTTCAGGGAAGTGGCAGTGCACCAACAGGGCCTCTAGGGCAATTTCGGGCCCTGCAGCTTACGACAGCAGATCCTTCAGAAACACACACTCTAATGAGAATCACCAGAATACACGTTATCAACCAGATGAACCATAATACACGCTGTTCAACAGAACGCTGCTGTATCTGGGCTTCAGCCTGGCCCAATCTTTACCGTCTCCTCTGTCGTGCGTCTGCAGTTCCTATGCGTGCCGTGGCCTGCCTAAGCGTGCGAGCAATCACCCTTGTGCCTTGCAGCGGGGCGGTGAAAGGGCAAAGACCTGCTGGTGGTGTGCCGTTGCCTTGTAGTAAATTATTAGTGGAAGTCATCAGGCTGCCACTGCCAGCAAATATCTGCCTCGTTGCCTGAGGTCAATGGCCTCATCAGTTCGCCTCGCCCTGCCACCTGCAGTCTCCAGACACTACTACTGGAGGGTACTGGAGCACTGTGGGGAGTTCTAGAACAGCGCTGCTGGCATTCAGTGCTACCGCATTCGGCTGCCCAATCAACAGGGCTCCTTCCAGCTGATTCTGGCAGTCTGGTTGCCGTGGAGGCACCGCGCTAAGCTGCAGCCGGCCAATCAGAGAGGACGGCGCCGGGCTGCGGCTGCCATTCCGTAGAATTCGATAGAAACCTCCCACCTGCAGGCAGACAGCACCAATGGTCCCATGGTCCGTGCACTCGGCAGACCCTTTTGGCAGCAAGTTGATATTTTGCGTCCGCTTCGCACTTCGACTTCGACAACTCCCTCTCTCTCCATCTTTTCCCATTTTCCACTCTCCATACCCATCCCAAATCAACATCTTCTTCGCCTCTCAAGATCGATCCCTCTTGTGCAGCGCCATCTCAAGCTACCTCTCGTGATACCCCCAGCTTCTTCCATCGACATCTTCTGGTAAGTCTCTCCCGTGGCAGCTCTGTTTATCGCACCGGTGCTGTGAAGCTCCTCCCCGCAATCGTCAGCCTTGCCTCACTCTCCCAGAGGACAAGCTCCCTTCCAATCCCATTCACGCTGCACCACCTTTGCAAACTCTGCAGTGGTGAATGTGTGCACGCGAAAACTCTTCCACCTGCACACCACTGCCGATTTCCCATTTCACCAAAACCACCCGCTACGCTACCGTTGTCGCTCACCTCACCCCACGCTTCACCTGCTACTTTCTGCAGGCCCGCCGTGCACCAGTCACTTCCCAATCACTTTCCAAACGCACATCTACTCACACAATCATCGCACGCAGCGACTTTGTTCAATTCCCAGGCTAACAGCTACCGCTTCTCAGATTTTTCCAATTCACCAATCCAATTCGCCAAGATGTCGGAGACCTTCGAGTTCCAGGCTGAGATCTCTCAGCTCCTTGGTCTCATCATCAACACTGTCTACTCGAACAAAGAGATCTTCCTGAGAGAGTTGGTGTCCAACGCCTCCGATGCCCTCGACAAGATCCGATATGAGGCCTTGTCCGACCCGAGCAAGCTCGACTCCTGCAAGGACCTCCGAATTGACATCATCCCCGACAAGGAGAACAAGACCTTGACTATCCGTGATACCGGTATCGGTATGACCAAGGCTGTGAGTTCCTCCACTTTTCCACTTCGCCTCACCAGCATCGTAACATTTACTGACTCGACTTTCAGGACCTTGTCAACAACCTGGGTACAATCGCCCGATCTGGTACCAAGCAGTTCATGGAGGCCCTCACTGCCGGTGCCGATGTTTCCATGATTGGCCAGTTCGGTGTCGGTTTCTACTCCGCCTACCTCGTCGCTGACCGCGTCACTGTCATCTCCAAGAACAACGATGACGAGCAGTACATCTGGGAGTCCGCTGCTGGTGGTACTTTCGTCGTCAAGGAAGACACCGAGGGTGAGCCCCTTGGCCGTGGTAGCAAGATCATCCTGCACCTCAAGGACGAGCAATCCGACTACCTGAACGAGAGCAAGATCAAGGAGGTTGTCAAGAAGCACTCTGAGTTCATCTCGTACCCCATCTACCTCCACGTCACCAAGGAGACCGAGAAGGAGGTCCCCGATGAGGATGCTGAGGACGTTGAGGAGGTCGACGACGACAAGAAGCCCAAGATCGAGGAAGTTGACGACGAGGACGAGGAGAAGGAAAAGAAGAAGAAGACCAAGAAGGTCACCGAGACTTCTATCGAGGAGGAGGAGCTGAACAAGCAGAAGCCTATCTGGACCCGCAACCCTCAAGACATCAGCCAGGAGGAGTACGCTGCTTTCTACAAGTCCCTCTCCAACGACTGGGAGGACCACCTTGGCGTCAAGCACTTCTCTGTCGAGGGTCAGCTCGAGTTCCGCGCCATCCTATACGTTCCCAAGCGGGCTCCCTTCGACCTGTTCGAGACCAAGAAGACGAAGAACAACATCAAGCTCTACGTTCGCCGTGTCTTCATCACTGACGACGCCACTGACCTCATTCCCGAGTGGCTCAGCTTCGTCAAGGGTGTTGTCGACTCTGAGGATCTTCCCCTCAACCTGTCTCGTGAGACCCTGCAACAGAACAAGATCATGAAGGTCATCAAGAAGAACATTGTCAAGAAGGCTCTTGAGCTGTTCACTGAGATCTCCGAGGACAAGGAGCAGTTCGACAAGTTCTACAGCGCCTTTGCCAAGAACCTGAAGCTGGGTATCCACGAGGACTCCCAGAACCGACCTCAGCTGGCCAAGCTCCTGCGCTTCCACTCGACCAAGTCTGGTGACGAGATGACCTCCCTCTCGGACTATGTCACTCGCATGCCCGAGCACCAGAAGAACATGTACTACATCACCGGCGAGTCTCTCAAAGCCGTCCAGAAGTCCCCCTTCTTGGACGCCCTCAAGGCGAAGGACTTCGAGGTTCTGTTCCTGGTTGACCCCATCGACGAGTATGCCATGACCCAGCTGAAGGAGTTCGAGAGCAAGAAGCTTGTCGACATTACCAAGGACTTCGACATTGAGGAGACCGAGGAGGAGAAGAAGGCTCGTGAGGCCGAGGAGAAGGAGTTCGAGGAGCTCACCAAGGCTCTCAAGAACGTCCTTGGCGACAAGGTTGAGAAGGTCGTCGTTTCCCACAAGCTGGTCGGCGCCCCTTGCGCTATCCGCACTGGTCAGTTTGGTTGGTCCGCCAACATGGAGCGTATCATGAAAGCCCAGGCTCTCCGTGACACCTCCATGAGCAGCTACATGGCCTCAAAGAAGACTTTCGAGATCTCCCCCAAGTCTCCCATTGTCAAGGAGCTCAAGAAGAAGGTCGAGAATGACGGCGAGAATGACAAGACTGTCAAGTCTATCACCCAGCTGCTCTTCGAGACCTCGCTGCTTGTCTCTGGTTTCACCATTGAGGAGCCCGCCGGTTTCGCTGAGCGTATCCACAAGCTCGTCTCCCTGGGTCTGAACCTGGATGAGGAGGCCGAGGTTGAGGAGTCTCCTGCTACCGCCGACACCGCTGCCGCCGAGACTGGTGACAGCGCTATGGAGGAGGTTGACTAAACGCATCGATTGACGGCAAATGGGGAATCGATAAAAGTTCATTGGAGTTTGGATGGTTTCGGGCTTCTCTGTTTCCGGCACATCGTCCCACGGCGCGCATGTTCATCCCATAATGCTTCATACCCTCACCCATCTGGAAGCCCATTGCCTTGCGGCATGGCTTCTACCTGCAGCTAGTCGTTGCTAGCCACAGGACCCATGTATTCTACACTGATAATGCCCTTTTACGAGATAGGCCGGAATAATCGGTAGACGAATGAAGAAACGTTCTAGATAAATCTGTGCCTTCATCCATGCAACTATGTGATCTTGGAGTCCCACTAGGTGGTTTCATTGTGACTTTTACGCTGCAAACGGCAAAGTCATGTTCATTTTTTACTACGCACATATTGTTGTATGCATAGCAACCTCTGTCTCGTGGCGCAATGGTTCGTCTTGTTCAAGCACAGCAAGGTAATGAGAAGAAGGTCTTCACAGATCTTGACAGCTATTGGTAACCGATGCCATCATTGACTGGGCTGGACTACAGGTCATCTGGTAAGACGGTAAGCGACGCTAGTTCTCATACTGCCACCATCAATGGAACTGTCAACTCACAACGACACACTAAACAGCTGTGATCTGACATTTCCTACTACCCGCACCATCAATCTCTCCTCCAATTCACTACCGGACAGACCTCGGTCGGACCCTGCTAAAGCAACAGGGCCTGTCTGTCGAGGGCATGACATTTCGCTCCTAGACAGCCGGCCGGTAGAAGAGGTAGCATGTGATCCATTGGTTTTGCTTCCCTGCCTGTGCTTCTGGCTAGGCAGGCGTTTTCGGCCTGCTCGCGCGTCTAGGTAAGATCGCGGATTAGTGCTGGCTGGGCGTGTTGTGCGTATTGAGGTCACAGGTGTTTGGCTGGGTGGAATGATGGCTGAGTAAGTTTGGGTTTGGGGATATGTACCCGGCGCGTGTATGGTTTGGTGGTTGGCTGGTGGGTTCTAGACTTTGCATTGGTGTTTTTCATTGATATTATGCTCGTGCCCACACCGCTGAGCAGCTCTTATCATGCTTCTTTGGCTCTCGCTCGTCACGACGTCGTCTTGCTTGTGAGGATGCCTTACAGTTGACTCGTCTCTTGTGATGTGAGTAGTCCTTGCTGGAAGATGTCACCGCCGCCGGTTGGCTTGGTGTTATCTCTGTTCAAGGGCTTCTCGTACATAGGTATGCCTCTGCCTTTGTGGCCAGAGGACTTCTCCGATACTGGTGTCCTTCCGTATCGCGAATACGCTGGCGGCAGCTAGATTCTGGCCTTTTGTTTTTGGGGTGGTGATGCCGTCTCCCATGTCGTCCAATAGTCGAGTATCGGTATGGCCAGTAGCTATGCGCTACCTACGCCGAGAGTTGGCATGGACGAGGTCACTCGAAAAGGGGCCAAGATTCGATCGCTCGACGTACGCCACTCCTTCACCCCAGCAGCTCATTGCGGGCGATGCCATCCAGTGTTCAGGGGCCCCAGAGCTTCTACGCCAACTCGATCCCGGATGGTCGTGGAATTTTTTGAGTACTCCTCCGATGAGAGCTTGGAGTCCCGAGCGGCGTCCCTGCCATGTTTACTCTGTAGGAGAGGATGCAGCCTCTTTGGACCGGAGCCTACGCTGCTTCCGTTCCCTACTCGGGTTCCCAACCCGACTGGCCACATGGGATCACGCCTGGGCGCTCTTAGGTTCGCTTGAAGATTATTCTGCCTTTGGATAATCGTCGAGCAGGCTTTGATGTCTCTTCGTGGCATTGGTCCGCCGCAAGGGCCGCAAAGTCGCCAAGGCCCACAGCCCATCGGGAATCCGGAAATCGGAACGTTGACCCAGCCATCTCCACGCCGACGGTATGTTGTTTCTGCGGTAGAGAAGCGGGCGAGGTCTGCCAGCCGTGCCAGGGCAAGCTGTGCGTCTGTGACGTCGTCACCGTCGACAACCTACTACCGGTAGCGGGCCAGCCCCATCCGTACCTTGATGCTAAAGTAGCGTGGCACCGTTGTACATGGCACGCATGGCTAGGCACAGCTTCCCAGTAGTCCGTTCTGCCATTTTCGTCCCGAGCACCACTGGCCGTGTGGCAAGCTGTCTGGCTATCACCTGGACTGCTGAAAGTACTGCATGTACATAATGGGTTGATGAGGCTCCGCGGAGCTCTTGGCCTTGCTAATCTTTGAACAGTTTAGATCAAGCGGGAGAGGCTGGCTTGGCAAAGTTTGTCTCGCGGTTTTTCATGTTGCTACGTAGTCGGGCCAAGCTTAGGGGTGCAGATCCGTCCTTCTGCGAGTTCCAATTGCGGTCTTGCAAGCATTCTTGATGTGACGGGCCGAGAAACAACGACAGTCCGTCAAAGATGAGCCCGCTGGCTGTTCCATCCATTGACTACTGTGCCATGTTCATGGCCACGCTGGTGTTAGTAACCGAGAACGGCAGCCGCCTGCTTACATCCATGATGTCTTCCAAACCTTGGGATTGCCTCTCCGTGGTCGAACTAGAAACACATGCGTCGTATCCAGATACAACATAGAAGCTACGGAGAAATCAAGTTTGCCGAATTCTGGGTCCGGTGAAATACAGTATGTCATTGACTCCTGGGCCAGCTCGAGAGTGGTGCGGACGCATTGCTAGATATCGTAACATGCGTAGACATGGCTTTGCATAACACGCACAGCCTTGTGTACAACTGGTCACCCTAAGGGATTGTGCCTTGTGGTAGCGGTATCCAGAATAAGGACCAGGGTCACGAATGGTGGCTGTTGGTCTGTATTCTGGAAGTTGCTTGATTGAAAGAAGGGATGGGTGGTGTCCCCATCCCAGAAGTAGCTATCATCCCAGTTGGGTACGAATCTGGTACAAACGGGTACCAGTTGGGCTCCAAGGTACCTTGTACCCTAGTCCGTGACCCATCCGTCATTGTGGCTGGAAAATGGGTTGAGGAGCCACAGGATCACCGCTCCATAAGTACGGGGCATATGCCCTGAAGATCGTCTTCCTCTTCTACCATATCCCCTAAGTCGCCAATTTCGTACATTATTGCTGCGATCGTATTCGAAGTTTACCCGACTGTGCTATGGTGTTCTCAATCCTTCTCTCTCTTGCAGCCCTAGCGGCTTCTTCGCCAACTCCCCAGGCTCCGGCCTGCGACGTTTCAGCTGCTTTACCGGCCTTGGACGGAAAGCTTCCCAATCAGGTGCCCAGCGACTTCAAAGCGGAACGGTCCGCACCTATTATGTTGCCGCGAAAGAGGTAGAATGGAACTACGCAGCCACGGGCTGGGACAACTGGCTTGGTGTACCCATCAACGACTCTCCGCGTGCATCCTCCGCAGGCATTTTGAAATCCGGGGGTTCCCTTGGTCTTACGTGGACCAAAGCATTGTATAGGGGCTATACCGACGCCGCCTTCTCCAACCTCATGGAGCAGGCGCCGGACCAATGCACACAAGGTCCTCTGCTCCGTGCTGAAGTCGGCGATCTCATCCAGATCCTCTTCTGTAACAAACTTACCAGCAACTATGCAACGAGTAAGCATTCTGTTTCGCGCCAGAACACAGACTCGACAGCTGACGCTGGTCAGTGCACTCGATGGGCCTGACCTACTCCAAGGGCTATGAAGGCAGTCTCTACCCCAACACCACAACCGGCGGATCTCCCCCCCTCCCCAACGTTGATGCCCTCGCGCCCGGCCAGTGCTTTGTCTACAAGTGGTTCGTGCCAGAGACCGCGAAGCCAATGGCTTCCGACCCTGCGCGCATGTGGTCGTACCACTCGTTCGTCGACATGCAGTCCGACATGAACGCTGGTCTGATCGGGCCCATCGTCGTCTACCAGCGCGGTCTGATGAATTCAACGATGAATTCATACCGTGAGTTTCCCATTCTGTTCATGATCTACGAGGAGTCCAGCAGCTTCCTTGCCGCCGCCAACGCCGAGAAGCTCGGCAATGCCACAAAGAGCATGGAGATGCCCGTGACGCTCAATAACGAGTACGCCGGCAGTTCATCGTTCTGGAAGCCGCAGTTGGCAAACATGCCGACGATCCTCCCTTTCGTCGACGCGGGCGCCGTCGTTTCATTCTATTAACGGATATGTCTACTCTAACGGCCCGGCTTTCGAGATGTGCGAAGGCGACAAGGCCATCTGGTACGTTCAGCATTCCCAATATTCCAATACACGGGGGTCATACTAACCCTTTGCTTTCCAGGTACGCCTACAGCTACGGCTCTGACAGCCACGTCTTCCACATGCACGGCAACAACTTTCGGTACAACGGCGACTACATGGCAGCCAAGAACCTGAACGACGGCAACATGTTTACGCTGTACATGCCGGCTGGCTTGCGTGATGTGTGGCAGGTCTTGTGCCACGTTGCGGGCCATCTCTCCACTTGAATGGTCAACAACTATCAGATTTATCCCAAGGAGAGCTGCCCGCTGCCGAAGCTGACCTGAACAAAATTTGAAGGATAGACTTGCTTTTCCATGATCATTGGCGTCGGGAGCAGGCTTTCGAAACGCTGGACGTCCATATATGATAGATAATCTGACGATTAATATGTAATATTATTCTCAAGTGTGCCGCCGCGTCCTCAATTTCAAGATTTTCGTGACATACCATGGACCGACTCGGTTCTTGGAACGAACCATTTCGCTTTTAGGTCACATTCCTGCTCCTGTGTCTCGGCAGAAGAACTTGTATTGAGCGCGAGTGGCCAACAACGGCCAAATCTTTGCGTGATAATGTCTGAGTAGATGAGAAATGCAACAGCTGGTGTAGCAGCATTTGCGGCATGGTGGAAGGTACTGTTGAATGGCACGCAAGCTACCGTGGCGTCAGGAGGTGGCAGTGCACCGATCAGGGGCAACTATCACCTACCCCCCTCCCCTTTTCCTTTGCGGAGACTTTTAAGAGGTGACCGTATATATACTTATACCAACAGACAAAAATCAATCGCCACTGGCCAGTCGCCCATGCTTAGCCCTCTAGTTATTATACGCCATTATAGTATGGTTACGAAGTCTCACTGACACCAGGAGCTCAATCCCGCCTAAGAAACCTGTCTACCTACCTCTTGGCCGAGTCAGATGCCGCATCGTCCGTTTGATGGACCGAGATAAGTCATTGGCGCGGCGCGTCTGCACGGGCCATTATCCACAATGGCCCCCTGGCCGCACAATTCTCCGCGCTGCCCGTTGAAATCGCCATCCACACCTTGTGAAGTAAACTTTGGAGGACATTTGAAAGGATGTAATCGTGCTTGTTTTGTTTCTAGGCTATAGTGTAAGACAAGGCGGGCTCTAGCAATATTTCGTTAAGTTATATATATAGTAAAAGGGATATATGTCACAGGTCGACTGCTGGTGACTCTATAATGACTTTTGCTGTTAGACGTGAAGAAGGAGAGAAACTATATAGTTAGCCAGAAGACATAATCCGGTATATATAGGGGTTAATCATGTGGGGCTGTGAAGTGCCGTGACAATATAATCAAACATGCACGCAATCAAGACCTCAGCACATCTTCGTCACCCTACGAATCGCACCTCGCACCCCGTGCTTTCTCCTGTCCCAGTAGATTGGGCATGGCAAACCCCTTTTCAGAGTGACCTCCGGGAAACATAAGGGAGCTCAAGTGGACAGGCTAATGACGGAAAGCGTAAGGTGCTGGTGGTGGTGTTGTGTGATTCCGCTGCGTTGCCGCCGTAATTTCCACGGATGAGTGGGCCCATTATGTCCATGACTTCTTCGTTGATGTGCCCCTTGCGCGCGTCCTCGATCTTCTCCTGGGCGTCTTTGCAATCGTGCCTCCGGTGTGGGGCCTGAGCGGGTGTCGCGCGGTACATTTGCTACAACGACTCCTATCCCCAGAGTTCTTCTAAGGCTGCAAGTCTGCCAGAAAGCTAACGAAGAAACCAGGGCCATGTGTTCGACGAAATGTCCGCCTTGCTTAGGACCACTGGTATCTCGACAGCACCAACCGAATGACGGGCTACTAGATGTGCAACCAGACTCGGAATGCTGGGCGACATGGTGCATCGGACAGCCTCGTATCCTAGGTCTTCTTCAACTTCTGCTGCTTAGCCGTTGAGTGGGGATATCCGCTTCCAAAGATTTCGAATGAAACCTGAATGACCTCGATTTCAAGGGCTCAGTACCTGCAATGGTATTCTGGGAAATCCCGGGCCGTGGAAGCAATGGTGTATGCATTACAAGCCCAGGTGCATCTGCGACATCCACAACGGGCGTCTGGAGGCATTGCGAAAGAAAATGCGATAGCATCATGCCATCTCACCGGCATCACGGAAGTAATTCCCGTCGTGCCTCGGCCAATACATGCTTGCAGAAGGAGTCGAAGTTAGAGTCCATGGGTCAGACGCGACTTGGAAAGCTGAGGAGGAGGCCCATTCCACCAGGTAGTCGGTGCCGCATCACATGGTACAATTCGATGATGTGTGACTGATGAGCTGGAAGCAGGGGTGCAGCTGTATGCGTCGTGGTATACTAATATGTGTCAGCCGAGCTTGAGCATGCGTGATCGTGAGGTACAGATTGACGGCTAATCTGCGTGAAAGTCGGTTGGTCGGGCGGATGTCTGCATACGTCTAATCTTGCCCTTCCAGCACACGTGCGACGCAGGGAGTAGAATCTGCTCGACCGGGGGACCAGAGCTGCAGCCTCTGGATCATAATATCTCCTGCGCAGACGGCCGAGTCGTACTGCTTGCCCGTCATCAGGGTGGCTTGCAAGGTGTCACGAAGCTAGGGGTACGCGCACGAGCTTCTGCAACGAATTGCTTGCTTGGCCATCTGCATCGATCGCCCGACAGATCCAGCCTTTCTTTGTGCACCCGCTGAAAAATGACCCTTGATTGCCTCGCGCGCGTTCCGTTGGATCGTAGGCGTGCGTACCTTCGTGATAGAGGGCGTGATAAGGTGCCTTTGTCGCCTGCGCTCGATGCCAGTACCAATTGCTCAATGCAGTCAATACGTGCGAGCTTTCGAAGAACGACTAATGAGCAAGGTCTGCCTGTCTCCGTTTCCTCCAAATCTGATAGCATTACCAGCACAACATAAAAGTAGAGACATCTTGCGTTGTCTTACCGTATGAGGTTGTCGGCGTTTGGGGTTTTCACTGTGCCTTGTTGTCCATTAGCTGTGTCACTGCGTTTGACAACACGAACCTCCTCTTTCTCGTAGCCCATGACAAGTGAGGTAGGAATCTGCAGACCGGTACATTTATCCCATAATCGCGCGCCTTATGCAGAGTCGCGATACAGAGTGCAGGGCTAGATATCGCTATCCGACTGCTTGATCTTCTCCCGGCAGGCACCCTTGGCGACATGGGCCTGTCCATGGATGCGCACTGATTTGATGTTGGATGCTGGCTGGCTGTCAAGGTCTGACGTGCTTCCTGGTTCCGGTTGGGCTCGCTAGGTCTTTCCGATACAAGCAAGTGATTCAAGAAAGACCAGTACTAAAGCAGACCGCCGGGGCATCATCGCCCAGGGAAAACTTGGGCCCTCCTCCTGTCTCCGTGGTCTTGTGTCTCGTTTGCGCCTTGCAGGTTTGTGCGTGTCACGACAATAGCGTGCCAGCCTGGAGAAGCCCCGGAAGACACCGAGCTCAGCACTGCTGTTGGACCACGGCAATTCTCAACGGAGTATCAAATGCCAATCATCGCATGTTTGGGCAATTGGTTGACTGTGCTGTCCGCGCTTGTTGACCTTCTGGTGCAGATGGATCGTCAGGTAGCCCTAGTGCGGATGCGTCAAGTTGGTGGTTGCCAGATCGTTGAAGGTGCGTGTACTAATTCACCAAGTCGCGGTCAGATATGAAGCCATCGGCCAGAAAACCGTAATTGATCCAATCCGCCAAAAGCAAAGATTGAAGGCAACTACATGTGGACTTGCATCTTGGGGCGTGTCTGCCTTGAATGCTCGGTCCAAAGATGATACATCTACTAAGCAAACGGAGTACTAAGGTAGTATCGCATACATAAATCCATATCCACTAGGACACCTGATAAGCCCTGCGCGTAAGGTACCTGAGGCAGGCACTTGCCAAAGTGAGGGGTCAAGTACCTGCTTAACAGTTATTGACCGGGTGCAGGCGACAAAACCTGCTGAAGAGGGTAATAAATCTGCATCACTTCACCACCAGGCCATATCCACCTCCCATTGAATTTTATGAAGTGAACACCCCACCATTGCCCTCAATGCTGGGCCTCCTCCGCCATCCCTCTCTTTATTAGGGATGCCATCCACCTGCCACCATGGTTCAGTAGTTGGCCCCCTGATAGAACCACTTCCTCTCCTCTCCCGAAACACCAACTGAAGGCCGGATCGCCACATCCCCGTCGCTCGTTGCCGACTCAGTTCTAGAGCCAAAGCTGACCTCTGTTGTGCAACGCAACCTGCCGGCGAAAAAAACAACCATCCATCGCCGGGGTGCCCTCCCACACCCAATTCACCTACATATCACCGCCAGCTGACCTCGCCCGACCCCACCATCACGAGAGGACGCATGCCTCTTCTCACGACAACCTGACTTCTCTTCACTTATTACCCAAACGAGTCCAAATTCGCCTGCCTCCTCAAGCCAGCCATTCTCATCTACTCAGTCATACCTAGAGAGCGCATCCTTCGCGATTCACACCCCGCCCACCATCATGGCGTGGCAGCCGGTACCCGAGTCCTTAAGCCAGCTTGCTGCTTGTCTCAAGGACTCGCTCAGTGGCTTCGATAAAGCTGCACAGAAGCAGGCTGAACTTGTGAGAGCATCCCCGCTGTTCTCTCCTCCTTTCGAGTGATCGTCCTCGGCTACGATAATCTATCAATGGCTGTGCCCTGCTAATGCAAGCCTCTTCTTTCCAGATGCTTACCCAGGCGAAATCGTCCCCCGACATCAACAACTACCTCGTCTACCTGTTCTCGAGCCAAGACCCTCCGTCTGGTCTACAATGCTCCCCACAAGACTACTATCTTGTTCGGTCGGCCGCCGCTATTATGCTGAAGAACAATGTCAAAACCAGCTTCAAGCAGATCCCAGAGAGCAGCCTGAGCCTGATCAAGATGGCCATTCCCATGGGCTTGCAAGACAAGAATTCTCAAATGCGCAACTATGCAGGCAACATCGCGACCGAGTTGATTCGTCGAGGAGGTCTGATGAGCTGGCCAGAACTGCTACCGGAACTACTGAAGATGTTGAGCAACGAGAACGGCCAAGTCACAAACGAGGCGCAAGAGGGCTCCATGGCAGCCATGGCCAAGATTTGCGAGGACAACACTAAGCTGTTGGAGCGCGAGCTCAATGGCCAACGACCTTTGAACTTCATCCTTCCGAAGCTCATCGAGGCGACCAAGAGTCCGCTGGCCAGAGTTCGCGCGAATGCGTTGACGGCTATCAACGTCTTCACACCTCGCAAGTCCCAGGCCATGCTCAACTCCATCGACGACCTACTCCAACATCTTTTCGCCTTGGCAACGGACTCGAGTCCCGATGTGCGCAGACAGGTCTGCAGAGCCTTCGTGCAGCTAGTCGAGACACGGCCCGACAAGCTTCAGCCCCATCTGTCGGGTCTTGTAGACTACATTATCACCCAGCAGAAGGGAGACGACGAGGAACTGGCCACTGACGCAGCTGAGTTCTGGCTTGCCGTTGGAGAGCACGAGAACCTCTGGCACTCGTTGAGTCCATACATCAGCAAGATCATCCCTGTGCTGCTTGAGAGTATGGTGTACAGCGGCGAGGATATTGCGCTGTTGGGAGGCGCCACAGACGACGAAGACGAGGAAGACCGCGAGGAGGACATCAAGCCACAATTTGCAAAGAAGTCTTCAGCCCGGACGGCGAACGGCGATGGCTCCACGGATGCCGCACAGAACGGCAATGCGTACGAAAAATTAGCCAGCATGGATGATGACCTCGAGGAGGGCGAGATTGATAACCTGGAAGATGGCGACGATGCGAATCCGGACGAGCGCTGGACTTTGAGGAAGTGCTCTGCAGCTGCGTTAGACGTCTTCGCTCGCGACTTCAGAGACCCGGTGTTCGAATGCATTCTGCCCTACCTGACCAAGAACCTAAAGCACGACGAATGGCCCTACCGGGAGGCGGCAGTACTGGCTCTCGGAGCTGTGGCAGAGGGCTGTATCGTTGTCGTCACTCCTCACTTACCTGAGCTGGTGTCCTACCTGTTCTCTCTCTTGAATGACCCAGAACCTGTTGTTCGGCAGATAACTTGCTGGACTTTGGGCCGTTATTCTGCCTGGGCTGCAGAGCTTTCGGATCCGGCGCAGAAGCAGCAGTATTTTGAGCCCATGATGGAGGGCATCCTGACCAAAATGCTGGACCGCAACAAGAAGGTCCAGGAAGCCGGCGCGTCTGCCTTCGCAAATCTCGAGGAGAAAGCTCAAAAGAAACTCGAGCCCTACAGCTTGCCTATCATCCAGCAATTTGTGCGTTGCTTTCAGAAGTACAAAGACCGCAACATGTACATCCTCTACGACTGCGTGCAAACACTGGCTGAGCACATCGGCCCAGTCCTGGCGCGACCCGAGCTTGCCAACGAAATCATGCCAGCTCTCATAGACAGGTGGACAAAAGTCTCCGACCAGTCTCGTGAACTTTTTCCTCTGTTGGAGTGCTTGTCCTATGTCTCGATGGCAATGAATGATGCATTCACTCCGTATGCCCAGCCAATTTTCGTGCGTTGTGTCACTATCATTCATCAGAACCTGGAGCAATCTCTTCAACTTGCCAGCAACCCAACTCTGGACGTACCGGATAAAGATTTCCTGGTGACGAGCCTGGATCTTCTTAGCTCGATCATCCAAGCACTAGACAAGGAGAAGTCAGCCAAACTCGTTGAAGAATCGCAGCCAGCCTTCTTTGAGCTGGTGACCTTCTGTATGGAAGACCCGAACGACCAAGTCCGGCAGTCAGCTTATGCCCTTCTCGGCGACTGCGCGAAATATGTCTACGGACAGCTGCGATCCTCATTATCAAGCGTTTTCCCCGTACTGCTCAAGCAGCTTGACCTGGACGGTGTACTCGACGAAGATATTGACGAGGGTTTCAGCGTGGTCAACAATGCATGCTGGTCTGCGGGCGAGATAGCTATGCAACACAAGTCTGAAATGAAGGCGTATGTCCCGGAACTATTTCAGCGCCTTGTCGAGATCATCTCAAACCCAGGTATCCCTAAGGGGGTGACAGAAAATGCAGCCATCGCGCTGGGGCGGCTTGGACTTGGCAATGCCGACCTTCTCGCCCCTGAGCTTGCTAATTTCGCGGAAGATTTCCTCACATCTATGGACGAAGTTGATTTGACAGACGAAAAGGCTACAGCCTTCAGAGGCTTCACGGGTATTGTCGAGAAGAATCCCATGGCAATGGAGAAATCGCTGCTGCATTTCTTCACTGCCATTGCTCGCTACAGAGATATTAAGCTTCGAAGTCAGAACAGGACTGATCTCCACGAGGAGTTTCAGAAGGTATGCACTGCGTGATCCTTGTAAGCACTATGATTCCTCAGACCTAACTATTCACCAGACAATCGGCATATATCGCCAGATCATTCCTCAATTTGATCAGTTCCTCAGTCAGCTGCAACCTCGAGATCAGGAGGCCTTGAGGACAACTTACGTGTTCTGAGCTGACGTGGAGTTGTGCGACGCAACCTGCGTTTGCGCCTTCCAGACAGTACCCATTGCGCCAATCGATGTTGGTTCCCCTGATGGCATACCGATCTTGGAGATCTCAATCGTCACCGATTTGTCGTCGCTGTGAGCGACGCTCACCTTTGGCGCATGGAGATGTTCACACATCACAAGAACTTACAGGACGAGTGAGATTAGCGTTGGGATGTAATGGGGGATGGTGGACGGTGAATCTTGATCGCATGGGAATGATACCCCCCTCGCATACTAAGGGCGTCAACAGCTGGCAGTCCTGGACCGATTTGACGTGAGAACGATTAGGCAAGCGCCGTGCTGCGTCACCGGTTTGCCTGTGGCAGCGCGATGGGAAGGAATTTGGGAGATGCGGGATACGGGATACGAATTATTCCTTTAGCATGTATGGTACGTGCTATAGTGTGCTATTTATCTTATGATGATGGCACATACACTGCGCCATGGAGCGATGAAGCTAGCCACTGGAATTGGATGACAATATTCATCGGGCATACATATGCCGGCGTTGGGAGCCCACTCGAGGCTTTTGACAACGCACAGTAGATAGGTACCACAACGGTCACACACACAACACCTTAGATAGCATTTTCCTCACACGAACAATTACGCGCTGGAGATAGCCATTGGGGACGACATGAATCAAGAAAGAACTGAATCTACGTGGCAGGTTGGAGAGTGACCGAGCAAAGTAGCGATCCTGAACTACCAGGTCATCTTCGTGAATGTAGGCAGCAATGACGAAGCTTGCTTTGCGATCGCGCGAGTCCCCATTCATCCTTGACCACGTTGGAGGCTTACCCCTGTTCTGGGTGACAGGACGTCATCAGAGTTCAGCCTGGTCTATGCCAGGAATAGGTTCAGGCTTTATTGATCCTACTGACAGAAGCTTAGGAGTAAGGTAGGCTACCTGGCTACGGAATCCACACTGGGCCGCTATCAAGTTCGCATTCGGTTCAGCTCAAGTTCTCATAGCTTCGCATTCGGACTTAGCAAGCAGGGGTTATTGGTTATCACCAATGCCAGCCGCACAGGAAGAAGCTGCTTAATAAACTGCATGCATGAATCATCAGTCTCGCATCCATACGTGCCTCGGCAACTCGGGTAGGTACCCACCGTAAGCATGTCGGCCCGCGCCGTGGTGTCGTCAGCCGATCTCGTCCAGAGCGCCGGGGACGCCGACCGGAGCAACATTCACTCCATCAGCACGGGGCGGGAGTCGTATAGCATAGCGACAATGGCGACAGAACCCAACCGGGTGCGAGGGTTGGACCGAATGCGCTCGCATTGATGATGCAGAACCGATCCACCTACCTACATGGGAACAGTGTAGGAATGAATGGCGGCATGGGTTCCGCGACCACTAGCTCCGTCCCTCCGAGGCATCCCTGGATCAATTTCCCACGGGCCGCTACAAGTGGTGACTATAAATCCAGGACTGATGTCTTATCTACGGTATCTCGCAACGACCTCATCTCTTCTCCGTCCCTCAGGCACTGACAAGCTTACACTCATTACTTCCCGTCCACTCCATCAAGGCTCCCTTTTCCCTTATCCACACGCCTGCGAACCACCGGACGCATCCAATATATCACAATGCAGAGCCTCCGAGACCAGCTCTCGCAGGTCTTCCCGGGCACGCCCCACTTCACGGAGAAGAACCTCCCATCGTTAACGGGCCGCGTCTACGTCGTGACGGGCGCCAACACGGGCGTCGGCAAGCAGCTTGCGCGAATCCTGTACTCCAAGGACGCCAAGGTCTACATAGCAGCTCGCTCACGCGAGAAGGCGCTGAGCGCCATCGAGGACATCAAGAACGCCGCGCCCGAATCGAGAGGAGAGCTCGTGTTCCTGCCGCTCGACTTGGCCGATCTCGCCGCGGTCAAGACCTCGGCGCAGGAGTTCTTGGGGCAGGAGTCGAAACTGCATGTGCTGTTCAATAATGCGGGCGTCATGATTCCGCCTGGCGATCAGACTACGGCTCAGGGGTATGAGTCGCAGCTCGGGGTGAATAATGGTACGTAGCTTTCCGAGCTGTAAACACTGACCTGGTTCTATTGGCACTGACACAATACCATATAGTCGGCACGCACCTCTTCACCAAGCTCCTCACACCAACCCTAATCGCCACCGCCAAATCCTCAACCCCGAACTCGGTGCGCGTAGTCTGGGTCGCATCATCCGCCGCCGAAAGCCCGATTGCGCCCAAGGGAGGCGTGCTGATGGACAACCTCGACTACCACCGGGCCACGAACAACTGGTCCAAGTACGCCATCAGCAAAGCGGGCAACTACCTGCAGGGCGCCGAGTTTGCGCGGCGCCACCGCGCCGACGGCGTCGTCAGCGTGCCGCTGAACCCCGGGAACTTGGACTCGGACCTCTGGCGCCATCAGGGTTTCGTGATGGGCAGGCTGATCAAGTGGTTCCTGCTGCAGCCGGTTGTTAATGGGGCTTATACGGAACTGTTTGCTGGGTTGTCGCCTGATGTCACGATGGAGAAGTCTGGTGAATGGAGTAAGTTGTCCTTGAACCCCTGTTTCGTGCTTTTGTAAAGTGTTGGACTAATCGTTCCTGTTGCTTAGTTGCTCCTTGGGGCCGGTTCGTGCCCATCAGGAAAGATCTCAAGGCGGCTACGCTGTCGAAGGACGAGGGCGGCACTGGTGTAGCAGCGGAGTTCTGGGAGTGGAATGAGGCGCAGGTGAAGCCTTTTGTATGATAATGCATCCTCTCTGCCATTCTACTGGATGTAAGCAACCTATCTGATGCCCTCGGTGTGTCTGGTTTTATGCCGGCGAGGCGATGTAGCGGAGTTCAGGGTGTGGGGTTCATGGTTTTCGAGGTTCCTGAGATGTATCTTCAATTAGCCATGGGTTTCAGGGGACTCCTTATAATCACATGATCATCTGCTTACTTTTGAGTCATGCTATCCGTCTTATCAGGGCTTAGCGACCCGGATCTCACAGCGCTGCCAAGTGTCAAGGGTCATACGGCGATAAGGGGCTATAGCCGATGCAGCGTAATGCTTAGGTGAATATAGAGGGTCTCGCTTCCTCTTATGAAGGCTAGAAGGCCAGACTCAACTATATATGATGGTTTCTTTTTAGTGGAATGGATGTACTGTCACGCTGCCCTTATTCTGTCTGGCATCAAGTAGATTCCTGGTTCAGCTCCAAGGACAACGAACGGATAAGACACGGGGTCCTAGAAGGAGTAGACACGGAGTCAAGGAATTGCCAGCCCTTGAGGTACGGAATTGGTATCACCCACTGTATTTAGCTCTAGATATAGTGGACGGCTTGCCACGACCCTATGCACCCAGGAAGAGCTGAGGTGATGCTACGCGATGTCACTTTAGCCGTGAAAGTCTATCAATCAATCAACCTCACATGGCTACTCCCATAGTAACCCAGACTGGTCACACGCCGAGCCCTGATCACATTTGTTCCTCGGACTCAATGTCTCTGAGCAGTTGGGGGCCTATGGGAATGCACAGCGAGGAGGATCCCCCCTTATCGATGATCCTCTAGTACCTCTGCCTTGATCGCGCCGGCAAGGCTGGTGTGGTAGTAATGGTGGAAATGAGTCTGCGTAGGTGTGTTACACGAGGGCTCCATTGCAAAACTGCGCTTCTGTTGTGTGGTCGTATTCATCCCTGACAAGGTCGTCTCGGGCCTCGGTGGCTGAGCCTGCAGGCTGCTGCGATACTTCAACTGATTGGTCCAACGTGTGAGGCGGCCCCCAAGGTTGATAGAGCGCTGCCATGCACGGCAACTTTGGAGCTGATGGTTTCCCCAGGATGTTACCCATGGTGCATACCCCTCAGGAGCACAGTAATATGCCCATCTCGCTTGTCCACGAACGTACCTTCCTCCTTCCCTGTACCCCATTAACCTCTTCGCCCTCTTTCTTCTTACTCCATACCCCTTGGAAACAGATTGTACTCTGCCCGATCATACTACCATCCCGCCAGTTAAATCAGGCTTGTTTTGGCTAGTCCACGACCACTTCGCTTTAGAGCGAAAATGTGTAAGTAAAGAAGAATGTCGCGCGTAGCTTATTTCCACTTACTCCTCTGCTTAAATGTAGCGATCTACGAATGCTCGGGGGCCGTCAACATCACCACCCAAGCTGATATCGACAATTGGCTGCTCTCTTATCCCAATTGTACAGTCAAACAATCGGAGTTCGATATTCGAAATGCATCGGGGTCGCTCAACTTCACACGTGTCATCACGGTGGACGCAGTAGTTGTCCAAGATAGCCCACAGCTCGAAGCATTGGCATTCCCCATTCTCACAGGGATGGATACGTTCGAGGTAAAATAGGCGACCTTGCTGTCCAATATATCGGCACCACTTTTAGACACGTCAGGAACAAGTCTGTATCTCTCAAATACCGGTCCAATATCCAGCCCTGTGGACCTGGACCTTGGCCAGCTGAATACCTACAACGGCATTTACATATCCAACTCCTGCTTCGGACTCCCGGAGTTGTTCGCGGCGAATGAAGTTGAGATCAACGACATGAGAGGGTGCGGGTATGGATGGCAGAATGCGACGTCACTCACTCGGTTGTCACTGAAAAACTCGAGTGATATCACTTTGGGGTTTTCAAGCACGGCCATCGATCAAGCGTTGTTGGTAGAATCGTCGACTAGTCTCATCAATCTCCTCTCTAACAGTATCGACTTGACCGGAATCCACACCGTTGGCTCGGAAGCAAATTTCACCTCGAACTACCACGCCACTGTCAATCTCGTGGACCTTGGAACTGCTGCAAGCCTTTTCGCGAACAACAATACGGAATGTACATTCGACTTCTCGCAGCTCTCCAAGGTCACGAACCTGACTATGATAGACAACCCAGCTACCATGATACCGTCCTTCCCCAGCCTAACATCAGCCACGAACATCCACCTCCGGAGCAATATCAACACGTAGGAGCTCCTTTCTAGTTCATTATGTTTAGTACCCAGGGAGGCTAACTGAAGCCACAGGTCTCTCGGGCCCAATTTCTTTCCTGCCTTGACGGGCGCGGGCAATGTCACCATCGAGGCGTGGAATGACGATTTTAGCTGCTCGAAACTGGTCCTTCAGCAGCAAAACGGCCTCATCAAGAATCTAGCTTGTAACGGAACCGACAACAGCACGGCCACCTCCGCGCCAACGCACTCCTCCGCTTCAAGCCTATCAGGAGGCGCCTGGGCCGGCATCGGTGTAAGCACCGGGGTCGTTGTCCTCGGCGCAGCACTAGTCTGGATAACGCTCCACTTCCGGCGCCGCTTCGCACAGCTCGAAGGACGAGCCAGTGCCCAGCAGCCGGTCGACGTTGACAGCCTATTTACCGAGCCAACCCAGGTCTATTCCGAAGATACACACGAGGCCGAAGGCCAGGGCATCATTCGCGAGAAACCTGACGACCACATGCGCGAGATGTACGTTCGTCCCGAGGAGACCGCCAGCACGCAGATCCTGGAGATGGATGCGGCGCCGGTAGAGCCCGGATGGTATGCCAGGGACGGTGAGGATGGGGAGTTGAGATACATGTCGGGACATAGACATGAGGGAGAGTACGGGCCTCGCTAGGAGGATTGGTGTATGACAGGACGGCGCGGAAAGTACGGCACTAATAACGGAGGCCCCGGGTCCTGGCTGTAGGAGGTATTGGATACCATATAGTGGATAACAGAAAGGCTCAGTTGAGCTCCGCCGGTGTGTCTTGACGCGAAAGGATGACTGGCATGGCCATCCATGTCGGAAAGGCGAGAATGACAGACTCCGCGGTTGCGCATATACGATATATATCTGGCTCACCGGCATTGCACGTCTGAATAGACGCAGAGCGGAATCTCTTACCATTACGACGAACCGCCCAGCGTTCATAACGATATTTTTTCACGTTGGTCCGGCTCTCCTATGCATGACGGCACACAACATGAGCTGATCAGATCAGATGAGACTGTTGGAAGCGGTTAGGGTCAGCCTTGAACGAAGGCGACCTTCCCTCTCTGGTGTTGAACGGGTGCCAACAGTAGCGCCTACATCAACATCATACTTCGAACTCTAAGAAATAATGTAATCTAAAGGCAATGTCTTACGACATATCAAAGCTCGTGTCGTCAGGTCGGTGTTCCCGCTGGCTCTGGTCCGGCAAGGTCGACCAGCTCCTAGTCCAAGATGACGACGACTGCCAATTCGAAGTCATTCCGGTCAGCCGATTCAGCCCCGCGGCGGAGGAGTACACTGTACACATGTCTGTGTTGCTCTATACTGTCGGGTTTTCTCGAAGCCATGGGTTTCTCAGGCGGGCCAGATACACGTACCAGCGTGATCAGGGACGACGGTAGTCTCATATTCTCCAGAGGGGCAAATGAAGAGCCGACAATCTTGTCTATATACACCGATCTGGCATCCGATGAAGACGCCATACCATCTATACCTAACCGGCGGACCATATCTTGCGACACGTCTTCACCGACTGTCGTGGATGGGGTGCAACAGCAGCTTAGTCGCTGTCTACCTAGGGGCCCATTCTCGTTGTAGGACCCTCGAAGACGCCTTTCTTCCTACCCGGCTTGTGAGTGTGAACGCCTTCGACGACTGTGCAGACGTCGTTCTGGCAGGTAGACAGCTCCCAGGTTCCGCCCTCGTCGAAATATGTTGCCTTGAGCCATTGCTGGGGCAAGTACCCGATACCGTGCCTCACGTCCGCGTCGAACTATGATCAGCAAATGCATCGAATTCCGTGGCGAAGCCCGACTCGCAGCTTTCAAGACGCAGTGGATTTCACGAGGCGGCTGGGAATCGTATACATCTTCATTGACTCGATTTGCATTATACAAGGCGACAAGGCAGACTGGCTGAGGGAAGCTAGGAGCATGTTCTCGGTGTACAAGAACGCACACGCCACGATAATCAATGTCCACGCAGAGGATGGATAGAAAGGCCTCTTTTCGAGAAACGCCATCACCCAGACGCCATTTCCCAGGCCGATCAAGTTCGGCGGACGGTCATTCCAGCTGTATGCCCAGCCGGTGCTGGCCACCTTCCACAGCTGGCTCCTCCCACAACTCCCTGCGCTGGCGCCCGCCTTTTCCCGTGCGTGGTGCTATCAGGAGCGCCTCGTCTCCCCGCGCGTTGTGTACTTCTCCCGCGAAGAGGTTCTGTGGGAGTGCTTCACAGACACGGCATGCGAATGCTCGGGCGTCGCGCCCGGCATCGACGTCGATAACCCTAAACTGAACCACAGAGTCGACTTCCTCGAAGAGGAGAGGAGCACGATCAGTTCAGGTCCGATGTTATGGTGCGCACCACCCAGACGGCCTTCAACCTGTCGTCGACATCTGGCCCAATATCGCGCGGTCTGACCGCCGTCGAGGCGCGGCGCCAGTATCGAGTCAAGCAGTGGCACAGAATCGTGGAGCAGTATTCCGAGCTCGAAGCTCGAAATTACCAATGTTGGGGATCGGCTGCCGGCTCTAGGCGCCGTTGGCCGAGAATTTCCAACAAGTCCGGAAGGGGAAGAGGTACGTTGCGGGTCTCTGGTTTGGATCCCTTGTGGACGATCTTATGTGGTGGCCCACGTTGCCAGACAGACGCAGGCTCGACAGATGGGTGGCGCCGAGCTGGTCGTGGGCATCCGTCCGGGGCGATATCCAGTATCACCCGAGTTTGTCGGTCTGCCTGGCAAGAATCGTCGCGGCCGAGTGCCAGTATGAAGATGACAACCCCTTCGTCGTTGCCCCTCAGTGGCAGCCTGGCCCTGGAATCCTCAGTCATACCGCTAAAAATTGCATCAAATTGCCGAAAACAGGTCAGTGGCGAAGCAGGGTGCGAAGTCCTCGGCAGAACGCTGGTTCCTGCGACATGAGGCATCTCGCAAAGAAATCTATCCACTGGGAAAGCCCAATACTGATGCCGAGCCCGTTTCGGACGACGAAACTGGTTCGGATGGGGAAAACCACGCTGAAGGCGGCGACTTCGAAGACGTTAGATTCTTCCTAGACTTGATCCAGCCAATCCTTTACTCGCGGACGGCAAGCCGATATTTGCGGTGATACTGGGCGAAACAACTGATGACACCACGCAACATCTGCTACTTGTTCCGTTCGGCAAGACCAATGATGGGAACGAGACTTGCTTTGCCAGGGTTGGTATGATGAATCAAGATTCGACCGGAGATATGTTGAGGGTAGCTTTGGGTCAGGAGAAAGAGCTGCAGACTTTCACGATTGTTTAGAATTGCTGTCAGATTTTGTTGGAAATCCCATACGTGGGATGCTCACATCGCTGTCCTGCTGAATAATTCCCGTTCAATCGTGATTAAGCCGCCCTTTGGTGACACCTTCATTCATTTAACATAGCCTGTTTGAAATAAGTCGCATGTGCTCCTTCTCAATAATCCTAAGAGGTTGCCTACAAATGTTGGAGAATTATTGCCGTTCCTTCTGATTGAAGGGGGTGATCTCCTCCGGGTATTGCCTCACCAGCCACCTCGTCCCCTATTCCACCCTCCGCGATGCCCTTGACCTCGGAAGTAACCTCGCCCACCCCTTCCATATTGAAAGCCATCACCACCTTGCTGTGGGTGTTGGTATTGTTGCTGGGGCATGGATGGCGCAGGAGCCGCTCCCCACCCACCTCCTATGGCAGCGAGGCCCGGCAACCACGTTGGAGGGGCACCACCAGCAGAGGGCGGCGGGGGTGGCGGCGGAGGCCATTGTCCCTGGTAGTGTGGTGGAGGCGGAGGAGGTACGGCGAATTGAGCAAAGGCTAGCGGTTGGTTGAAAGCTTGCGGTACGAAGTTGGACTGTTGGTATTGGGGCATCGGCGGACCTGGGTTGGGATAGTTCGGTGGTGGCGGCCTGTTGATGGCGTTGTTGTACCGGGCGACGTACGTCCCGGGCTGTGGCGGTGGACTATATTCTCGTGATTTCGATCGTTCCCGGTCCAGGTGGGGTGCTCTTATGGGAGATCGTGACCGCGAGCTGCTGTAGGATCTCCGTCTCTGCCGGTCTCTACCATTGCTCCTACTCCTACTTCTGCTCGGAGTCCTAGAGGTGGACATTCGTCGTCGCTTAAACGCTGGGCGAGATGAGCCCGGAGTCGAACTTCGAGATCGCGATCGTGATCGTGAGATTGATCGTGACGTGCTACGCCCGCGTCGCTCGTTGTCCGGCCCATCCTTCTTCTTCCGGCGTTGCTTCATCCTCTCGCAGAAAGCTCGGGACCAGCCGTAATATGTCTCACCACTGACGATATCACCAGTAATCTCGTCTAGAACGATCCTCTGTCCAAGCTGATCAACATCCTCTGCGGGATCGTTGCCAATGCTCTGCTCCTTCGTGTAGATTCGGTCCACATCGGCCAACAGGTTTTGCACTGCTTTGATGAGCTGCTTATCTGCAGGACCTGCCGCAAACTGGAGAGGCCTGATCATATCCGGGTTCATCGGGCGGATAGAGTTGGGCTCTATGACTGGCAACCAATTCGCCGCTGGAAGATCGTACCATGGTGCGGTGGCATCACCGTGCATTGTCGGCATGATGAAAGGAGTGCCCCTAGAGTATTTCGTGCTCGTCGTGCCGTTGGCGGGCCCGGTGGCCTTGGAAATCGCATCGCGGCTCAGCGGTGCCTCCTGGGCGATCGTACGCAATTTGCTGATGAAGTCTTGGGAGAAGTGCCGGTTCTCATTCCATATGTCAAGGAGGTCCAGGACTTTCTTCGTATGCCTTGGGCAGTTCGAAAAGGCAGCTGCGCTCTGTACCAGGTCTGCAACGGCAGGCTCGAGCTTGACCGTGAAACCAGGGTCTCGATCGCGGACGTGGGCATGGTATAATACATCATTCAATATGTACAGTATGTGTAATCGTTTCCGCTTCGACGAAGGCTCGCGAGATTGTCTAGTAGAGGTGACGTCCGCAACGAAGGAATTGGCCAGTGCGACCAGGTATTTCCCCATGGCCGCGACTCTGGCAGGGGAGTGCGCCAGGTTGCTCAACATCCACTGCTTGCATTTCTATGTGACGACCGTTTAGCCGTCGCACGAGGTACCATATTTTCAAAAGATTGTGTTGCTCAAACCTGAACATTGGGCGGGGAGCATCGCGAGATTGTCGCGTCGAGCTGGCGAACGAAATCGTCGATGTCGCTGCGAGTGCATGATGTCGGATCTGGTCGGAGGAGGACAGCCGAGAAGGAGACCTTGGCTATCGCAAGCTGTGGTGAGGCCATTATGGGAGATTGATTGTAGCAGTGAGACCACCAGCAGGCATATTCAGAGACGAAAATGGAGAATCACGAATCGTGGTTGAAGGTGTCGAGGGTGTCAAGATGCGATTTGTTGGTGGTGAAATTAACCTGGCCTACAAGGATTCGGACCCGCATAGACCCATTTAACGGGGGAGTGCATGTAATGCGGGGCTCTGGTACCAAATCCCATTCGAACCGTACAAAGCAGCGACAGGCAGCCTCACCTGCGCAGCAACTTTCACATCAAACTGGAAAGAATTCTGGACCTGGAGCCTGGTCCTTGCGATACACCTACAGACAATGGCTTCTCACATGCCTGATGGCTCGGCATCGGCACCGGTCACCCAATTATCTTCTCCCTCCGCGAATGACCCTCAGTCGGCATATAACGACTTGAAACGGTTAATACCATCCTTGGCTTTAGAGGTACGTATAGAAACCTTCCATCACAAGACCCTGAAGCTCGGTTTCGAGAACTTGCTTTGTTGTTCCCTTTCCTTCTTCGTTTATCATTTAGTCATACGGGCTTAGAGACAAGATAAGATGTTAACGTACAAGCAGCTGGATCACCTGAGGGCGGCTCTGCGGGAACACAACCTGTGGCTTCAACGATACGGTCACAGTGGTAACAATGCGGCAGCAGACCCCTATGCACCACCACCAGCGGCGGGCGGCGACACAGGGGCGGATGGCAACACACCGACCGCTACTCCTACAACGACAGGTGCAGCCGCCGATGACTCCGAGCTCCCGGCATACTCGGCTTCGGACGTGCCCCCGTACCGTGGCGGACCGAACTCCGTGTCGTCATCTACTTCGACACGGGAGCAGGTCCAGCAGCGTCGGAATGAACTGACGGAATGGCTACGCGAGGGGGAGGATGTCTTGAGAGAGTACTCGGCGCGGTACAGCCAGCTCAGTGAGGAGTTGCAAATGCCCCCTGGGGACCTCCTGGGGACCTGGAATGAGGCGAGCCCTGACAATGCGTTACCGGATTATGAGAGGATTGAGACAAGAGAGGAACTGATGGTTGGTGGAGTGGGAGAAGTACCCCCGCCGTATGTTAGGGGGAGCGCGGGGCGTTGACATCCGGAGTATCTCACGGCTTGGTTCAAACCTGATCGGGCGTTAGAGACACTGTCACTCATCAAAATCGGAGCAAAGATGCTGGGCGTTTCTGTTTCGTAGTCATTCAGATGGTCTGCGACGCTCTCCCCTTGGCTCGATTTCGAACAAACGAACATGCCAAAGCGGCTCCGGATGTGAGCAAATATATCACTTGAGGGCCGTATGTTGACTGAAGTTTGTTTCGTATCACTGATAATCCTCTTTGGTCTCAGCTATAGCATGCCAATAGAACCTAGACCCTTTGATACCCCAAGCTCTAGCACAGGAGTCGACGGCCTTGGTTGGGGAAGCCTCGCTTTCCACACGCAAAAGCCCAGAACGAGGACAGAAACAACAGTAAAGCCACCCATAAGCCACCGATATTCGCGATCATGGTGTCTCGGTGAGGTGAAAGGTTTCTCCGGCACGCCCTTCTGCTCAATGGGAAGCTTCCTCTGTGGCCCTTTGAACCAACCACTCGTGGTTCAAGATACCATCTAAATCGAGTCGTTCGGAGATTTCGTATCTGAAACTCCGCCGTAGGAGGTCAGCGAGGACCGGGACTTCGTCTTCTGGAACCTTATAGGCAACCCGTTCTTGTTCTTGTCTGCGGTCTCTCACATCTAGGGAGTTCCTCCGGTACCGCCAGACCTTGCGCTCTTTCCCTGCCATGACCTTGAAGATCTCGTCATAGTCCTCGTCTTCGAGTTCTTCGTCCATGGCTTCGGCCAAGTCCTCGGTGGAACACGAGACGGGCTCGCCTTCCTCGGTCACTTCCATCGTCGAGCCTGGTGATTCTTGTATCCGCTTCTTACAGACCGGGTTGTAGGGCTCGGGGAGGGCGCCTAGTCTGATCTCGTAGCTCTCCGCCATCGCTAGGTCTTCTCTGCTGAAGAACATCTGGCCTTGGGTCCGAACTTCGAGGATGGTACAGGCCAGAGACCAGATGTCAAGACTGGGTCCAATCTCTATACCGAGCCAAGCCTCCGGAGGGGCATAGTGAGCAGGTATTTGAGTGGCCTCCGGGGATTCAGAGACCTTGAAATGAACACCGAAGTCGATGATGGCGATCTGGTCGCTTGGTCTAACTTTGATCTGGTCGGCCTGGACGAGCTGTTTCGGGGCCCTGTGGGCATCGCTCTGCTTCAAGGGACGTACGGCCTCGGTCTTCGATTCGCCGATGATCTCTCGCATGAATTCCTTGGTAACGACACCAAGGTCTGGTAGCTGGGGCAGTATGTTTGCAGGTCTGAAGTCGCCATGGCAGATGCCTCGACGGTGAAGGAATTGCAAACCTTCAGCAGCCTGACAGAGGACCTCTTTCTGGAAACCAACGCTCTCGTCAATTGCCTCGGCGATCGACGGACAGAGCACTGGTAGCACAAAGCACAGGTGCCTTCCGTTCGGGCCCTCGATCCAGAAGTGGTCGCTCGGCAGTTGGATGTGAGAGCCCGACAAGTCGACGCCATCGAGCAGACGCGTGATCCTGAGCTCGGGGAATTCTTCGGAAGACTGCGCTGACGCCATGACTTTGACCGCACACCATTTTGTCTCTTTCTCTGTTTTGTCGGCGCATAACCAGACGGTAGCATATCCGCCGCAGCCGAGCTTCTCGAACACTTCATACCTTCCACCTATTGTGTCTCCTAGGTTGATTGGGTGAAAGCCACCAGGCTCATATTGCTCGACGGACTCAACGAACTGGCGTTTCAGAGTGATTATTGGCTCGTATTTCGGTTCCTCGAGGCTTTGCTCTGCAGGCGTCTTCCCGTCGGGAGCGCCGTGTCCGGACATTTCGCTGTTGTGAAGCACCACTACACAAGGTCGGGTAATGCCACGGCAATTGCAGGAGAGAGACAGTTTCGTTCGCGAAGGGGCCCCTCGCATGCGAATGTATGCTATCAAGATTGGAACCAACCTATTAGTCCTCAGGTCAAAGTCAGAACCTTCAATCAATTGCTTTGTCAATCATACCTGGTAGTGAGATTCAGTGTGAAAAAGAGAACGAAAGGGTATGCTTTGTTACGAGTCTTCTTTGATCGGATTTGTAGGCTCAATCTAGTCTTGACACGTGCTCTTTTGATGCAGCACAGTACTCATTAGCGAGAGCTGAGGTACAGTAACACAGCAAACGCAGGAAGCCTACTCTCAACCCCCCCATCCAATGGCAGGTCAACGTAGTGGACGGAATATGTCCACGATGTTGTAATGAGAGTTTTCTGTCCACCGCATGGGATTAGTATGGTACACAGATCGGGAGAAATCAACATAACAAGACCGACGGAACCATTTTACCAGTTCTCCTCGTGTCATATAGCTGGAAGCTTGTGAAAGCGACCGTTGACATGTTGAAAGAACTGACTAACCTTCGTATGCGTTGTCATATTAGATCTCGAGATATTCTGACTGTGGCCTCTGGCTCTTGCCAGGAAATTAAAGCGAATCTTGCTATTGGGTACTAGGCAAGAGGTACATCTTTACAAGTTCCAGTATGAGCCATTACGATGCGTGGAACGACTATAGAGATCAGCGAAATGTGAAGTATAATCGCGGCGAGATGGAGTTTCCTAAGGGGATGGAACTTCGTGTGCGAGACGGGGATGTTGAGAACGAGGTGGCTGGAGACGGAACACTCGACAGCCCCAAGGTACGTAGCACACTCATGACCGGGTAGCTCATCATTATGTGCTGTTTAAGACAGGGTCATTTGGTTTTGGAAGGGAATTGTAAACGAGGGGAAGTCCTTCAGGAAAGAACATGAGAGGCTTGTTCAGGACGAAGCCAAGAAGCTTGGATGCACCCATGCATGGATCATGTAAGTACAGTGAAAGCCCCTTAGAGGATGTGCCATTGATGTTTGAAAGACAACCTCATCACAGCGAAGGTACGATGTTGTCAAAGACCATCCCGCCACAGAAGGTTGCTGCACAACATGACTCCCACATTCTGGTCCATTTTGGGACAGGGCCCGGATGGGTAAATGTTCACGGGCATGTATATACATGCCTGAATGGCAAACCCAATAAGTATAGACTCATGAAGGCACATGAGCGCAGACACCCAAGGGGCTGACTTTGCCCAGCTTCCTGGGTATGGGGTAGCTACCCCAGGGATAAGATCCCCCCGGGTAGCCAGGCTGGGGTAGATGACGTTTTTGAGCCGAATTAGAGAGCAGTTCCCATAATGGATATTTATTGTACAGATATATGCAAACGTAAACTAAGGTTGGATAGTTGGGCTAACAATGAGTCTGCTGTATTCCTTGAGCAGGCTGTAACTGACTTGATGGCAGTACTTGCATGTCAAATACCAAGGTACTATTCAGCGTACGATCTTATATTCCCAGTGACACCCGATAGTGTATGCAGAACAAGCACAGAATCAGAAATCTATTTTAAGCGGCAGAGATAACTGTGGGTGTCAAGGGCTAAAGGTGTGAAGACCATGTGATTACCGGACGACTGAAGAGCTAGATACCCTCTTCGACTGGAAGACCACGAAGCCAATGGAGTATTTGAAAGGTATCCCTCCGAAGCCCTAGCTTACATGCGTACGGACGTCGTAAGCCATACAGACAGCTCTGTGCACAAAGCATGAGTCTGTTGTAAGCCACGCTGAATATCTGGCTGTTAAGAATGACGAAGAAGTACCCCGGCAAGGGGAGCTACACGCGCTGTATGTTTCAGCCCGTATTTTATGTCGTCGTACATGGGTTGGTATATGTAACCTCTACTGATTCCCGAATCTTCAACGAAGTGCAAAACGACCTCTCAATCCGGGCGCCCAGCAACGGGTATAGCGTTGATCTCTGCCAGGAGCGAAAACGTTTTGTGCCAACTGGATTGGTTTGACGGAACGCCGATAATACGTAGCAACGTACTGACTGGCATGGTTTGGTGCTGCATAGAACGAACAATGAATGTGTGGACCTACCTTGATGCCATCTGCCACTTGGAAAGTAGGCTTTGTCAAGAACGTTTGAGAACTCGTCGCAGCTTCGTAGATGAGGGAGAGTCCCAGAGCAGGGAACTTATCGATTATGACACTCAGTCAGGTGTTAATAGAAATACAAGAAGAGGTGGTCGTGTCGTCTCGTAAGCCCCATTCCGATCCACAGCGTACAGCATTCTCATACGCTCCCACAAACATCAAGAAAAGCGATCGCCTTTCGGACTCCGAAACGGCTGATTACTTTCGTATTTGCTCTTCTCCACTACCCTCTGCCCTTCGGTCGCCGGCGCATGTCTAGTCGGGGCAGGATCGTAGCTCGCTTCTTGGCTCGGCGAGCCGGCGGTATCGTCCCGGGCTGGCGTCCCATTGCCTCCGTTGCCACTGGCACTGCTGCCGATCGAACCGCCCATCGCGGACGCGGACATGGGTCGGCTCGGGACGTTGTTGGAGTATTCGAGAGAGTCGACCATGCGCTTCTTTCGTTGGGATTCCTCGAAGCGCGCTGCTCGGTCGGCGTTGATGCTCTTCTTCGCGAAGTAGTATGCGCCTCCGCCGGCTGCGTTCGTAAGTGTAAGTGATGAGCTAACAGCGAAGGTACTGGCCGAGATACATACCAACGCAAAGAGAACCCCAGCCGAGCCTGATACAGACAGCCCGCGGTTAGATTCATACAACTTGGAACAATGGTATCGTCGTGGCCTCGGTTAGACTTACCAGAATGATTTGACCTAGATGGTGTTAGATACAGCTAGTGGATAAGTGCACCACGGTTCCAACAACATACCGTATTCATTTTGGATGCCCAATCAATCCGTCTGGGATATCTTCCGTGTTACGGGCCACGAGTCTCACAGGTTCGAGTATGAGGCGAGTGGAATACTTGTAGATGGAGGATAGCAACCGTGACGTTGGATGAAGCTCGAATTGACATAGCTGCATAAATTCATAGCGGCCAAAGCTGCAGGAGCCAGGACACCGGCCGCCGTGAATTCGCGTGGTGAACCGCCCGAAAAGCCGCTAGAGCGTCTCCACAAGGTGTGGCGTCAGTGGCAGGGATTCAGGCTGCAGTAGTGAATTGAGCACATGTGACATGCCCAACATTGAACCTTCCATGGAAGCGAGCTGGCATGCAGATGGAGGGGTTCGCCTGTGCCGGTACTTGGCGGCTTGGACACCTCCAGCTGCGCATCGTCATCCGGAATTTTGCATGTTCTCATGTCGCCGGCTAAACGCAACCCTAAACGTCTAAGGTAGATGACGATGACTGCAATTGGAAGTGCCAGCACCGAATACCTTAAGCTCACTGAGCAAGTTGGTTTGGCAGGACGCCAAACTACCTCAAGGACCTGGTATTAAATGGGCTAAAACGACCGATCGCTTAACGGGGGATTCCTTAGATCAGGCACGACCGTCGACCACACCGCAGTGACCACAGCTGTCCCTCCCGAGTCCCCCGTGCCTGGCCTGAGCCTCAGAGCCTCATCGCCCAGTGACCGTGTCGCACCTTTCCACTGCTTCTTGACCGCATAGAGGTGATGTGATACCTTGACTCTTGGACTTCGAGCGAACAAAGGACCAGAACATGATTACGACAAGCCGCCCAACTGCCCAACTGCAGTAGCTTCGTCACCCTCTCCATAGCGACACTGCCTCGTCTTACTTGGTGCTGCATCGCCACATTACCATACCACCCCGCCATCGTTGGATACCACCGCCAGGGGTCCTTACTACCACAGTATATCGTCACTTCGCCAGCACCCACCGTCGAACTGGTAGACCTATATACATCCACATAACTTCGAGAAAGAGCGCATCGCGCTTGGTCACCTGCTCCGTGGACTTCAACTAAGAGACTCTGTTGGGCCGCCAGCTGGATGCTTTGACGAGAGTCGCTCGCAGGTGAGGGATGCTATGGGACAGGACGACCAACCTCCACGCTTATAGCAAATATTCCCACCATGGAGTCCAACGGACAGAATGCGCCCGATGGGTCCTCCCTGGTAAGGTTTACAGGTTTACTGCCATGACGTATGCTCTGGATGCTGATGAAGACCACAGAAGCCAGTCTCGTCCCTGCGGTCGCACTTCGAGAACATGGGCAAGTCGAAGGAAGCCTCTCCAGCAGCTCAGCCTTCACGAAACCAGTCGCCGTCCCCGAAACCGCCGCCAATACCAGATACGAGACCTTCTCGAAACATGAGCACTGGACAGACCTACAATGATGGGAAGGGGAAGCTACAGCTGCCGAACCCGGCCGATCTCACTCAAGCAGCTCGATCTGCGCAAATCTTGAACCCGCCGCCATTGAGCCCAAAACCCATCAGGCCGCCCGCCGTCCTGATCGATCCACCGCAGTCGCCGCCAAAGGGGAGAATGTTTCCCTCACCGATAGGAGACACAGGTGCGCATCTCAATCCCGACCCTTCGAAGGCTCCCGGGATGCCTTCCGCAAGTTCGCCGCGAGCTTTCAAGATCGCCAGCCGTCCGAATACCCCTATACTCGAGGCTGCCCGATCCCCTCGACTCTCCGCTTCTCAGCCTCCGTCACCCCCACCGCCGCGAAGGTCTGGCGAGTTAAGAAGAGATCGCGAGACGCGGCCAACCCCCGCTGTCCCTCCGCCAGTGAACCGGGCCGAAAAGCCTAGCAACCGACTGTCCTTTCTGATGGATTACGCCCCAAGGTTAGAGTCAATACCTCGAATAGAAGAGAGACGTTCGCCATTCAATAGTCCGACTACCAGCGCCAGCAGCCCTGAAACCGAAGAGCCGCCAGCACTTCCGAGTCGACCAGCGCGTTCTACGCCTCAGAAGGTGAGTGTTACCAGAACCAACACCTTACCACCAGTGTACACCTTGCCACCAGTGTTTGACCCACCGCCTGTCCATCATACAATTGCAAGTCAAAGACGGGATCATGATGTCAATGGGCATAACAACCCGTCTATCGCGCCTCGGTACGCGAACGATCGTCCAGTCATACCGCTGCGATCACAGATGAATCCTGACCCAGGACCTCCAAGGATCCCAGCAAATCCCGCAATGAAACCTCCGCCTCGCCCTCCTCGCATTGGTGCCGCGACAAACAATGTGACAATAGATACATCCGCATCCGGTCCCCAACCGAAGCGCATTTCCTCGACACCTACCACACAGCTTTCGGCACCTACCACACAGTTTGCGCCACCCCCTTCGCGGTCTCATGGGAGATCTATGACTGTAGATAGGGCGTCTGATAGAACTCCAGTACAGTTCCGTGAACCCCCCAGACGAATTGTCCCGAACGAAAGAAGCGCAATCAGCGAAACTCCTGGCACAAGTTCTGGCGGCCCTACGCAGGTAACAACCTCGTACCCCGACTCGTCAAAGGTGAATCGACGACCGCCTGTCCTAAAACAGGGCGTTCATGAAATATATACGAAGTATGACACGAGGATATTCGACGTTTGTGGTCAATACGTGTGTACGAGCGGTCACCTCACTCGGGTTTGGAGTCTTCTAGATGGCGAGCTCGTTATGAGCTTTGCTCACGGAGAAGGCGTTAAAGCCACCGCCGTAGCATTCAAACCGGGCATAGATGTCCACGAGGAAGGGGCAAGGCTTTGGATTGGTAACAATATTGGCGAAGTCATGGAAGCCGACATCGCCACCCAGTCCATTGTCGGCAATAAGACCAATGTTCATGGGCGATTTGAGGTTGCCAAGATATTTAGGCATTTCAGCGAGATGTGGACGTTGGACGAGGGTGGCACCTTGCACGTTTGGGGCCCCGACAGCGAAGGGCTTCCCAACTTGAAAATTAGTCCTCACCAAACCTACAGATTACCAAAAGGGCACACCTTTTCGATGATAGTCGGCGAAGAACTATGGCACGCGACCGGCAAGGAGATTCGGATATTTACGCCGACGGCAGATGGCAGAAAGCAAGTGCAGGTTCTCATGCGACCCCTGATAGCCGAAGGAACAGGTGAAGTGACATCAGGGACCGTCCTCAAGTCGCAGCCTGGCAAGGTATTCTTCGGCCATGTCGATGGCAAAGTCAGCATCTTTTCTCAAAAGGACTTCGCCTGCCTCGGTGTGCTCAGCATCAGCACTTACAAGATCAATTCGCTGGCTGGGGTCGGTAATTGTATTTGGACAGGGTACAACACTGGGAGAATATGCGTCTACGACGTAGACAAGTCTCCATGGGTTGTCAAGAAAGAGTGGCAAGCTCACGATAATCCGGTGACCAAGATCATCGCAGACTGTGTGAGTTTCTACACGCTCGAGCGTCAACAAGTTGTTTCGCTCGGTGCGGACAACATAATTCGGTCGTGGGATGGTCTGCTGCAAGACGACTTCCTCGAGAACGAGATGAAGTCGCATGACGCTCAGTACTGCAAATTCGAAGACATCAATGTCTTGGCCCTGACTTGGAACGCGGGTGCCTCCACACCAAACAGCCTGAGGTACTCCGAGTCCGATGCCGTCTTCATACAAAATCTCCTGCAATCGAGCGAAAGTCCGGATATCCTTGTTTTTGGATTCCAAGAGTTGGTAGACCTAGAGGACAAGTCCGCTACTGCGAAGCGTCTGTTCAAGTCGAAGAAGAAGGATCATGCGACAGACCAGGAACGGATGGGCCATCAATATCGAGACTGGAGAGACTTTCTAGTCAGGTGTCTCGACGACTACATGCCCGCCGATCACCTGTACCACCTTCTCCACACAGGGACACTCGTAGGGCTCTTTACCTGCATCTTTGTAAAATCGACGCTTCGTGATCGCGTGCGGAACCTCAACACCGCCGATATCAAACGTGGCATGGGTGGCCTACATGGCAACAAGGGTGCGATCATTGTGCGCTTCATGATAGATGACACATCGCTCTGCTTCATCAACTGTCATCTTGCAGCTGGACAAGCCCACGCAAATCACCGTCACAACGATATAGCGGCTATCATGGAAAGCGCCGTCCTACCAGTCGAGCGTGATCCCAGTGTTCGGATCGACAGTTATACCGGTGGTGGTGACGGGTCTATGGTACTTGACCATGAGCTGTGCCTCCTCAACGGAGACCTCAACTATCGTATCGACACCATGTCGCGTGACACAGTGGTCCTCGCGGTGAGGTCTAACAACCTTGCGAAGCTCCTGGACCGAGACCAGCTCTTAGTGGCCCGGAGGAGGAACCCAGCCTTCAAGCTTCGAGCTTTCGATGAGATGCCGATTCAATTCGCGCCTACTTATAAATACGATGTCGGGACGGACAACTACGACAGCAGTGACAAGAAGCGCTCCCCGGCGTGGTGTGACCGCCTCCTTCACCGAGGTTCTGGCAGGATACAGCAACTTGATTACAAGCGCCACGAAGTCCGGGTGTCTGACCACAGGCCCGTGACTGGCCAGTTCAAGTACACGATCAAGTCTGTATCGCCCAAGAAACGTACAATGACTTGGACAGACTGCCAGCAACGTTTCGAGAACCTCAGGGAGAAGGAGGCACATGAGGAGAAGTGAGTCTTTGATTGAAACATACTAATCTCGATTAATCGCTGACCAAGACAGGCTCTACTATCTCATGAACGTACTTGGATACGATGCGACGACAAGCAATAGCCTCATCCAGGAGCGTGCAGCCAGAAAAGCACATCGAAGCCCGAGTCGACACAGGGAATAGGAGACCCAGCCAAGCGGGGGCGAGGGCGAACTCGTGTCGGATCTCACATCGAGGCATAGCAAGACCTCCAGTCTTCTGGATAGCTCCTTGTCGACTTAAAGACGCAGAGTCAGCGCACAGAGTGGTGAAGGTGCAGCCCAAGGTAACAGAGCTGGCGACCGCACGATTACACACACCACGCTCGACTTGATAGCAGGCTGGTGGTAGAACCAAGGTTTTGATTAAGCGACGATCTGCCCTGGATTTTGACGCGACCAGAACCAGCCATGCATATTCTTGATGAAATAAATAATGAAAATAGACATTTGACCACCTTCTTATTGAAGATGCTGTACGGATGCTCCACGTGAAGTATCAATATGCTGGTCATACGGTTGGTTGTAGTTGAGTGTAATTCACCTAAATTCATATTGAGTCCGGTCTCAAGTTCGAACTTCGGGCTTGGACATGCAGCTCCGGTCATCGGAGCGGACGCACTGGACCTGTTCCCGAGGTCGGCAGCGGCAGACATCTCCAACCAACTGCTTCGACACTTCTCTCTGCCTCACAAAACTGCCAGAACTTTGAAGGTCATACCATACCCATCTGCAGCTTACATATATGCTGTGCCTCGACCAAGGTTTGAGAAATCTGATAGTCGTCTCAATTGTTCCCCTTCTCGTTCCGCAAGTACGATGTGGAGTCCCCGCTACTCGCCCTTTGTTCTAGTGAACCAAGGAGAAATTTCCTTTGCCTGCCTAAAAAAGAGAGAACACCACCATCACGCTTTCCGCTTACCCCCGGATAACGTAAAATAAACTCTCGCCGGAGGCTGTTGGGCTCTGGTTTCCTGCCCAGCCATTGGTCTGAACTGGTCTGTACCTGATCCACCCAAAGGTATTTCCATGTTGTAAAGCAGGACTCTCGGTGTCTTGTTTGCTACAAGTGAGATCTATACTGCGGAAATCCTACAGTTGAATCTCATCGACTGCGGAGAGTCGTTGACATTATAATTGGTATACTCAATCGAGTTCAGCGAGAACCACACGACGCGCAGTCTGTCGGAGTGATCACCAAATCACCGCACCCATTGCGCCGGCAGTGCATTTGGAATACCTCGACACGTTCCCGAGAAGGGCTTCACACTAGCTCACTCGCCCACGATGGGGGCGTTCGCAGCCGTGGTGAACGGCAATGCCGAGGGCACCACATACCCGGAATCCAGGGTTCTGATCATCATCACGGGCGGAACAATCTGCATGCAGCCGTCGGCTGGTGGCCTCGTGCCGGTGAATGGGTTTATTGACAATGCCATGGCGACGCGGCCGTCGTTCAATGATACGTCTGAGAAGGGTACGTCTACTGCTGCGTTTGGAGAAAAGGGGCGGGAGGGGTCTTCATACGGACGAGGATATGAACTTGATGAAGTCACGGATCGCAGCTGTTCACTATCCGAAATGATTATACTGACAGATATACTCAGTTAAATTAAGCGCCATGAGAGATGGCGAGAAGATAACCATCGACAGTCTCCGGACGCCGCCCAGCTCCTACTCCAAGCACATCCGCTACGGAGCTTTAGAATTCTCCCCACTGCTGGACTCGTCCAGTATAAGCAGCAAGGGCTGGACCCAGATCGCCACCGCCATCAAGGAGAACTACCACCTCTTCGACGGCTTCGTCGTCCTCCACGGCACCGACTCGCTGGCCTACTCGGCCTCGGCCCTCTCCTTCATGATGCAGGATCTAGGCAAACCAGTGATCCTGACGGGCTCGCAGGCGTCCATCTTCGCGCTGCAGTCCGACGCCGTCGACAACCTGCTGGGCTCGCTCATCATCGCCGGCACCTTCGTCATCCCCGAGGTGTGCCTCTTCTTCCACCACACGCTGTACCGCGGCAACCGCACAACGAAAGTGTCGGCCTCGTCGTTCGAGGCCTTCGCCAGCCCCAACTGCGACGCCCTGGCCAAGGTCACGGGCTTGGGGTTGGACGTCAACTGGTCGCTGGCGCGCCGCCCGACCAAGATCGCCCAGTTCCGCGTCACCGAGTACCTCGACACGGCGCACGTGGCCTGCGTGCGCATCTTCCCGGGCATCACGCCCGAGATGGTCGACAGCGTGCTGCGGGTGCCGCACCTGCGCGGCCTGATCCTCGAGACCTTCGGCATGGGCAACGCGCCGTCGGGCGTCGACGGGTCGCTCACAAAAGCGATCCGGTCCGCCGTCGAGCGCGGCATCGTCGTCGTCAACGTCAGCCAGTGCGCCAACGGGTTCGTGTCGCCGCTCTACGCGCCGGGCTTCGCCCTCGGCCAGGCCGGCGTCGTTTTTGGTCATGACCTGACGTCCGAGGCCGCGCTGACCAAGCTGTCGTACCTGCTCGCCATCCCAGACCTTTCGGCGGCTGATGTTGGGGAGCGCATGGCGCGCGATCTGCGCGGCGAGATGACGGAGCTTGCTACGCCGTCTTTCACGCACCCGCTTGCTGACGACGATGGGCGCTCCTCCGCTGCTGCGAGCTTACAGAATCGGCTCTTTGGACCCGCCGAGGCCGCCTTTGCGGCGCTGGGGTACGCGATCCAGGCCGGCGACCTGGCCGCCGTGGTCGAGATCCTGGATGCCGACGATGTGGGTGGTGGGACTAGCAGTGGCGGTATCCACCACTCGCGCCACCAGCTGCTGCAGCGCGCCGACTACGCGGGCAACACGGCGGTGCACCTCGCGGCCGTGTGCGGGGCGAACGAGAGTGTGCTGAAGGAGTTGCTGGTCAGGGGCGCGGGCGTGCATGTGCGGAATCGCGCGAATAACACGCCCCTGTTCCTGGCGGAGAAGATGCGGAATGGCGGGTGTGTTAGTCTGCTGAAGGAGGCGGGGGCGGAGCTTTGGGTTGAGGAGGGGACGGGGAGGGCTTCGTAGGGGGTGTTGAGGGGAGGGTGTGGTGACGGGATGTTTCGAGGGGAGCAGGGCTTGTTGGTGATGACAGAGTTTCAGTCGGCCACAATGGGATAGAGGGCTTAGAGTAAAGGGGGACCAACACACACGGAGTGGTACGGGTAGCATTGCATAGAATCTGGGACGAGATAGACGATCACTTTAGAGACATTCAGGCTCAGCGCCATGTCTTGAGTTCTAGGTTGATTAATTGTTTAGAACGCCTCGTTTCTATAACCGCACGGGGTGGATGGCTTGCCTTCCAAACGGCTCCAACCCCCTATATACAGAGTCTAACTCTACAGAGCACCTACGAAGTCAGTGCGTGTGTAGTGTAGTGTGTAGTGTGTACCTAGTGCAACTTGTGTGCTGCCTCGTGTTTTAAGAAAACTCCATCTTTCAACCCAGCCCGTCCCAAAGCTGAAACCAGCCGCAACACTCAAGAAAGCTGTTTTCTCGCCATCCCCATTACATACACCGCAGCATTCAGCATCTCGCCCACTCTCGAATTCATGTATGCCGTGTATTTCAAGCCCGAATAGTCCCCCATCGCGTGCTGCGCGTCTGCCTTCTCGACCAGCTTGTCCACAACGACCTCCGTCGAGGAAGTCCTTTATCCACCCGTGTTGAGCAAGCGGCGAGGCGTCTGCGAGGAGATAGGCGGCACCAAGGCGACGCATCAGCGAATCGACTGGCTCGTCTGGGGTGTTCGAGCCGGCCTGTTGGCGCAGTTGGTCCAGTCGGCGCTCTATGGCATCGCGTTTGCTGCTTTGTAGCACTATCGCGTTGGCTGCTGTCGCAGTGTCCGGTTCGCGCGCTGGGTCTTTGTCTTTGGGGAGGTGGTCGGAGATGGCAATGAGGGAGAGTTCTTCGAGCATCGTTACGATGCTCCGACTGGGCGTTTTGTCAGCTGGTGCGTGGAGTTCGAGGTTTGAATATGGCTAGGGCAGAGGTCTGGGGTGTACGCACAATCCGGTGGCCGCCTCATTGGCATTCTTGTTTGTTTGTGAGCTGCCGTCGGGACCGACCGTTCGGTTCGGTTCTGAACTGCCTTCTCCCTTTGTGGGCGAGCGGGGATTTGTTTCGCCGGCCATGTCGACGGTCGGGCGGAGTGGGAAAGGGTGGTGGTCCTGTAAATGGGAAGCGGAATAGTACTAGTAGTAGTAGTCCGGGAGACGAGGCTGGAGTTTCGGATTGGCTTTGGGGTTCTTGCTCGATGGTTGAGTACCGCAGGTTCACGCAGAAGAATGGTGTCTACGATTGAGATGCGGTCGATTTCAGGTGGCAACAGAAGACAGGTACCGTCCCCTGGACATTCAACACCATGTTGCAAGTGTTACCAAAAGACCCAACGTAGAAGTCACGTCTGGCAGCCAGAAGAATGTCTTATGATTGCACCTGCAGCTTGACCGGGGAAGTAACCTGGCGGGATCGAAGCCGCGGGCAACGCGCTTGCTCATGAGGAGGTGAGCCGCCGTGTAGGTCCTGCCATTCGATCTCCAGCAAGCAACGGTACATTCATTGAATCGGAATAAGCACAATGGGATAAACATTGGAAGCGGTATATCAAACCAGAGCTGCTTATTTCAGTACTCACGATTTTCAAAATGTGATATAGATTCTTATCAATACATCGCGCGCGGAGACTTATGAGGGCTGAGTGTATGGAGTAATCATATCATTGCTTGGGTAGTGTACTTACTTTACAAACGGGTTCACGTTATGGTCCCAGACGTTCCAACTATGGAAAGCCCAATATGGCATCCAGTTGAGCTATCCATTGGTCTCTCATCGTTTTATCACTGCCGGGTACCGCCTCGATTGAATCGACCACGCAGTCACCGCACTTGCTGTGCTGGCACTTAATGTTGACGCAGGACGAGGCAGACATGCGGTTCTTCTTTCCATCCCTGCAGCATTTCCAGCCTCTCTCGTCGTCTGTCGGAACTGGCAGACGTGGAGCTTCGAAGGCTTTGCGTCCTGCGTCAGTGGGCTCGAAAGTATGGGTGTAGGAGGACATGGAGGAGGACATAGTGAAGAAGAACTTAGCTAAAGATCCGGGGAGTTGATATGTTTGGATGGTTCTTGAGGGAGGGTTGGTATGGTAGTGCTTGTGATGATGATGTATCTATGAAGAGGAGGAAGGAGAGAATCGTGCGTGCTCTTAAGTACTTTAAGGTTGCACGAAATCACGATGTACGATGTACGGAATGAACAATGCCCTTGTTCAGTACCTAGCCCTTTGATGTGTGACCATACCTAAGAGATGCACTTGCCTAAGAAAGAGTGCTTTCAATTGTCTCGCTGACGCCCCTGGTGCAGAAAAGGAACAATGCTATTGCCACGATCCAAGATACTCTAAACACCACCCTTGAGATTATTCGACCAAGTCAAGTTGAGTTCTGAGCGAATGCCTTTGTATGAAGTGGGCATCAAGACATTACAATCTGCGCCTTTGTTTGGTGTGCGAGTCACCCTCCCTTGAGCTCACGGTTAGTGTGGCTGTCTACCCCTTTCTTTGATTCTCAGGGGGAGGATGTTAGCCACCTGAGCCACAATGAATGATTACTCAGCATAGAAGATGACGTCATCTTGATTCCAGTATGGGCTCCCGTCCCATACTCAACGTCAGACCCGATGTTTACCAAGCCTTCGCGATTCCGAGACGCAGGAGCACTACGATTTACCATTTGTTGCTCCATTGATACCCGCTTGGCAAGCCTTGGAGATTACCCGAGCAATACATCAAACTGAAGGATTTGTCGAAGGCAGCACTCGGCACTAATTCGAGGTCTAGATCATTGGGGGTAAGCAAGCCGTGGAGTGACCTTGCCAGTCAGAGTATCGTCACTATTGGACTACCCCTCGTCATCGTGGGAGGTCCTACACGACCCATCATCATCCCCGCATGCTGACAAGTGTTGCAATTGGTAAGCTTCGCCTCACCACTCGGAGCTGGGCTTAAACAGACGATCGATCTCCGCTCGGAGCCGGACTTAACTAGTTGATCAATCACGGATACCTGCGGAAGGGGTCGGCCTGGGTTTGAAGACTAAGTATAACTTGAGCTTCGGGAGGCTAAGTCAGAGTTGCATTCATCTTGATGAATCCCATCTCAAGAACACCCCTGAGGCTTATACGGGCGAGGTTGAACAAGAGCACCTGCACATTCAACAGAAACATGACCACCATGGCAAGCGCACACGCCATCCAGATTAAGCCCGACAACACTGGGATGTGGCAGATTCGCCAGAGTGAACCTGCGGCCAAGAAAGCCACGGACCTGCTGCAGAAGGACTTTGAGGTTCGTAATTTTGCGGGTATCATGGGTGTCCATGCTAATAGACCTTAGACGCACCACTGTTTCTTCAATAGCGAAGGCTTTCACAACCAGTAAGACCTGGGATTTTAGAATTCACGTACTGTACGTCACTGACTTGCTGCAACAGTATCAGTCATCACATACTGGCGCTGTACGGAACTGGGGCTTCTCCTGAAGACTTAGAGAAGGCCTATGATGACAATGCATCTTACCAACGGTCGATGTACCAGGTTCACGAGGACCGGATCGAAGCACTCCACGATTGGGAGAAGGCCAAACAGCGCATGGGCAAAGAACAGTAAGTTAAGGAACAATGCAGTCCGCCTTTCGCTTCGTATTCTACGGCTTAACCCTCTCGTACTTGCTGAGAACCGTCGCTAACCCAAGATACTCAGATATTACACTGACTTCTTAGTCTTCTTCCAACGCGAAATCCAAAAGCTCGGATGGGAGAAGGTCCTGGACCAGTACATGTTCAAAGGCGATGAGAGGAGTGAGGATATGCTGATTCGGATGCATGGAGGTAAGTTTGGAAGAGACTGGCCCCTGTGAGCTGGACCAGGACTTGTGTAGTAACACCTTCTAGGTTTCCTTCACCCCCTTATCCAACTGATGTATGGTGTGGAGTGGCAACAGCCAGCCATAGTTGCAATGGCACTAGCTCAAGCTGCTGTTCATGAGGACAACCTCAGAAGTTTTCTTCTTACGGCCGAAGAGGCATCCAAATCCGCTTCTACACCAATGCCAAGTATAGCAAGCCTTCTCGATGTTGTCAAAGCAGACGAGAAATTGGCCACCGCTGCCATATTGGGAGACAGCAACAAGGTCCGCGATGGCGTTCTCACGCGTGCCCGGGATGAGATCATCCGGATCGCCGGTCAGGTGAAAATCAAGCCAGAGGAGCTTGACGAAAGAACGGTCGAGATGTACAACACGGCGATTTACGAGGGAGCGGCTGCTGCCATCCGTCCTGGCAAGGACGCGAAGTTCGACTTCTTCCTGATGTAAGAGACATCAACACCGTTTCCATGCTCTTCCACTGACACACAGCTTCAAGCCACCATATCAACGTCTGCCCAATCTATCTAGCCTTCAACAAGATGCGCTGGGTTTCCACCGAGACCAAGGTTCGCCTGTTGGAATGGAAGATACGCATGGATCTCATTCAGTACGCCGCAAGGGCATGCGCGCCGCTATCAGTCGACAAGATCACCTCGTATGTCCCGCGAGACAAGAAGCCTGGACCTGCAATCGGTACGCTACCCAAACACTAACCAAATCAGGTGCTTGATGTACTAAATCTCCCTAGAGCTATTGCCTCGCATACACTCGCTAGAAGAAGACGGCCATGTCGTCAAGCTCTTTCGAGCGATAGGTGTGGGCCAGAATGCCAGCAAGGAATACGAAGATAAGGACTGGATGAAGATCAAGGGCGATCTGTGGACGAAGATCGGCCATATGGTGTTTGACGGGGCTGAGACCCCGGGGCCAACATGGATTCGTGGTTCGGGTGACCCCGACGCGTGGAAGGTAAGCAACTGCCCGAGCCGCAGCACAATTTACCCTGGATGCTGATGATATGTACAGGAGGTCCATGATCGAGCAGAACCGAACAAGGAGCATCTCTGATGAGCTCAACCTGATGGGCCTGCAGGATGCGGATATTGCCCTCGTGTGTACCCAGTACTGCGGTTTTGTAAACATACAAGTGTACACTGTACCATCATTCGTCTCCAAACATCATCGAGGTTTATGGAAGAGCCTTCGACCATGAGCTCGGCTACTTGATCTCGTCTAATGGACCGTCAATGAGCCCTTGAGCACCCTCGTAATCTTGTGGCTTCCCTCGAACTCTTTAACTCGACCAGTCCTCGCATGACATGGGCCACGTGGAAAGTATGGATGTTCATCGGCTCGAGGAATAAGATGAGAAACGACGGATGTGATGCTCGAGCGTACATAGGCTCCCCCTAGTGATAGGGTTGGACCGTCTCCTGCACGCGACTCCGGACCGGCAGAGTATGTTGCGTGGTCACCTGTTTCCATGAAACGATGCAGGTTGGGCAGCAGTAGCTTTGCGCTGACGTCGTCGCAGTACCCAGTAAAAATCTGTCTTTGGAGCGTCTTGATTGATACCGAGCTAAAGATCACGTACATCCTGATGCCCTAGCTTACGGTGAGGAGCCTCTTGCCTTGTGCGAATGAATGAGGCTGTTGAGGGAGTGGGTACGCAGGCGCGTCTGCCGGCAGTTGATTTCATTTAGATGAGAGACATAAAGTTGGCCAGCCCTCACATATCCTAGGTCTCAGTGTGATGTACACGGCATTTCGGACCAGGGGCAACGATGTGGTGGGGCAGAAGGTTCATACCGTGGGTTGTCCTGAGCCACGGGAAGTTGCTATGTACAGCTCGAGATGAAAAGATACCGGGGTGGGAGAGGTGGTGGGGGCAGATGCAATGAATAGGGGGCGAGTCGAGGGGTAAAGGGGTAAAGGGGCAAAAGAAAAAAAAATTTGCTGACCCGATCAGGATTCAAACCCTAACCTCTCCTAGCTATTACCTATAATACACCCCATTCCTCCTTTTGCATAGGATCGTGCACCACTACACCACGGGCCGTTAGTGATTTGTTGGATGGAAATTTCGAACTTGGTCGGCGATATAAAAGCTATAGCGGGGAGGTGGGCTCTGGTAGATAGTTTTACCGGGGTCTGTGCTTTGTCAATGCCAGTCATTGATGGCGCAGGGTTTGCTGTGTCATTGAAGGTCGCTCCATGATTGTCTGTGCACCATTGTTGCGGACCATTGGGTGACACAGGACTTCTAGGGACCTTACTTTCAGGTGTAATCATGCGAATGCCTATGCAACGTCACTGTTGGTCAATGACAGCATATAGGTCTTTGAAGGGACACGACTGCGGTACTGTTTTAACGAGTATTTGTGTTAGCGGTACGAATCAGTGGTGACATAGGTGCGTGTTAGGGGCAGAGAATCTATAGTAGTATATGGTCGTTTCACAGCAACAGTGCTTCATAAGCACCACTAAGCGACCCTAAGCAACCCCCATATAGAATGGCAGTGTCTTATCTGTGACGAGCCGTCTAATCTATAAGGCTAAAGGGTTCTATAGGGTTAATATTCTGAGGTAAGTTAACACAAAGGACGATAGAGGCTTCTGTCAACTAGAAGACACTCAGATGCTGGGGCTTGGTCTGGATCCGGGGGATCACTGAATAGTCGAGTCATCAGGAAATTTCTTCCACCTTAGGGTTGGCTAAGATGCTTAGATTGATCACTGAGGTAGAGACTGTCTATCTGTCTAGCTGAGAAATGTCTATCCTTATATATCCAATCTCTCCCTCACTGATGAGATGGATATCTGTGATCGTTGGCTATCCCAGCTATCCCCTGGTCACGTGGCTCGTGTCGCAGTATCCTTCTTCCGTGCGTTGTGCTTATCGTTCATTTTCTGCCAATGAACCCTGGCCTGTCCGCGGGCCTCCTCCCCTGTGTGGTCTTGTTGGTCCGTAACATTATCCATATCCACGTATTGAGAGCTTGCTCACTGTTCCACCTGGTGACCTGGATGAAAGAGGAAATATCCATGCCTTTGAAAGAAACACGACCCTCTACGTAGGCCATAAAGATGGTCACCTCAGGGGCTGGTGGCAGCTTGCTCTAATGGGTCCTTTTTCTTTGTCCTACGAAACATGACGAGGAAGCCCCTTACACCGAGCAGATCTCCACTAACACTAGCAGAGAGCGTCAGAGCTGATCATAGGAAAGAATTAGCAGCTCCCCTTCCCTTTGAACAATGGCGTTCTCATTTATCGGTAAGTTCATTTGGTCCAGCGTATTATATTGTTCAAGTTGTTGGACTAGCCATATTGTGGATGCCTAGCTGAATGGTACTCTGAGCACCACCACAACAAAGACGCCTCCTCCACCTGTCTTCTCTGACTCACAAGTGGGATTGTTGAACAAGGACCAACATTGTTCTACAACTCAAGGCGGATAATGGATTGTGGGATATTGGCTCATTTTCTATGACACAAAGACCTGGAAAACTGGCAACAATGTTATTGTTCGCTCGGCATGTCGAGAGCTATATCAAGATCAACAGCCCAGGCACTCTGCGCAGCATCACAACAACTTATCATCCCAAAATACTCAACCACTTTTACGCTTCAGTCCTCATCACATCCAGCCATGTGCATAATATACCCGCATCTATCCATATATGGCCAGCCACATTGCGAGACCGTGCTCGGCCAGAAACACAGGAACCGCTATTGTCGCGAAGCCCTGGATGCCCGACGACTAGGGCATTGTAGCACCGGTGTCCAGGTGGCCGAGGAGATCCGCAATCGCGAGACCGCGAAATGCGCCGAATGCAAGTCGTCATCGCATCTCCAGGATCGACCGGAAAAGCACAATCATGGCCTTTCCAGCACCGAAGCCCCCGTCAGCACGACCCGGAACAAGAGGAAGGCAAAGAAAGTGCTAGAGCATGCGTTCGAGAAGCCCCTTGAGATGAAGCGATCACGGAATATTGTCAAGCAGGATGAGGTGGAAGATCCTTCCGAGGACATTAGTTTCGCTGTTCAGAGTCCGCCGAAAAAGTCAAGGGCGGGAAAACCCCAAGAGTTGGGTGTTATGCTTGGACTCGGTCTTCGGCAACCACGTCAATTCAGCAGACCTAGTATTGACTCCTTGATGGAAGGACAGACTGCAACACAGTCTATCCTGCATCCTTACTGGCTTTGAGTGTCTCCTCGGAATCAAACCAAGATCACCGGATACTTGTCTTGAGTCTCTTAGGCAGGTCAAACACGTGCTGCAGGTATGTATCTGGACCATCATAAACAGATAGGCTTAACCTAAACAGATATTCTTAATCCTGAACGAAAAAGATCTCTACAACTCCTGGGTCTGTGTACAGCGGCTGGTATATTCTAACGTATGCGCCTTTACTCAATGGTGAAGCATCTGGAACCCTGCCACGTCAGAATAGAGTGAACCCATATTCGTTGATTGAAACATCCCCCGAAGTGACACTCTAGACTACAACCACATCTCGGCGTATGCATGGAATGTTTCCTCTCCTGTTCTTTCTTCCACCATTTGTGTTCCTGAGTGCGTATGTCTCCAGATAACTTTCTAGCTCCCCTTTCTACTCAGGGCTCAATATCTCTTGCTCGCCAGAATCTTTTATGCTCGTCCAACTTGCTTCCGATGTATTTAACCAAATGGGTCGGGATACCAGCACGTCAGCCTCTGAGACCAAATGGAACGCCGTGTAACATCTCGGTGGATAACCCGGCTTTGATAACTACGATTATGATCTTCATCGTAATGGGGATTCCCATTACTGCACGTATTATACGACGAGTTCTTCGCGGAGTCTCCACAGACCTGACCACCATATGCGAAGGAGATGACTGAGCAGTCTATACAATATTCATGAATGCAGGCAGAGTCACAGCGACACATCCGGTTCTTCGATATTTGATAGTGTTAGAAGTCGATCCAAGAAGTTGGGCATGCTGCCTATCCTCGTTAGGGGGTGATCTTTGGTTCTGCTCACAGTGCTGGCTCAGGTGCGGAGAAGTCCCCGACATCGTCCATGATCTATGCTGCCAAGCCAAGCCAAGCCAAATACCTCATCGTCAATGTGACTATGCGGTTGCTACTATGATGTGGCACTGCACATGAGCAGGTGAAATAGGCAGTTCGTTGTTAAGCACGTAGTGAATGCTCGTCATGGCAAGATCGATTCCTCCCGTGCATTCGGCTCGCATTGTGTGGCAGCCCACGGCGTACTCCGCCGAAGATTACCGCTAAATATGATATAAATTGGTGAAGTGGTGTCTGGGTTGTGCGTTCGCTATCTCGCGGACTGTATCTCGGATCCTCTAGATTATTTTAGCCCGCAGTTCATACAGCTTCATCTGCCCTCCATGCGTTATGCACTTTTAGCCCTTGGCTTAGCAGCCAGGAATAGTTTCGCTTGCCAGCGCGACTGGGCTGGGCTTCACAAACGCATACACAAGCACCAGGGTCGCTCTCACACGAAACGACATTTCGTGGAATTCCCCCCCTCCCTGACTGAGACCGAGTCAATCCTCGTGAACTCGTTCGACAGCAAGTCGATTGACTCGTGGTCATACTACTATACCCATGGGGATCACCTCGGTGGCCACAATTACTCCATGGCTGAGTGGACCATGGATCATTGGAACGATGCGGGCTTCAATGCTACTATCCAAGAGTTCTGGATCTGGTATACGGCGCTCATCGAGACGGCTTTGAAACTGAACCGACCGGATGGAAGCATACACGAAGTCAGTCTCATAGAAGACATGCTAGCAGAGGACCCGACCACGAGTTACCCCAACCGAATTCCTGCATACCACGCGATGAGTGCCAGCGGTAATGTCAGCGCGGAATATGTCTACGTTGGGTGCGTGACACAAGACGCCACTGGATATTTGGTAACTTACTCAAATCTACAGGCGCGGAACACAGGCAGACTTTCAGGTCCTGAAGGATGCTGGGATCGAACTCGAAGGGAAGATTGCCCTGTCTATGTACGGTGGTATCTACCGTGGAACGAAAGTGAAAAATGCACAGGTGCTTCGAACCCTTTCTCATAACTGGGCACGCGAAGCTAACATACACAGGACAACGGTATGGCCGCTTGTGTACTATTCACTGACCCCCTCGATGACGGGGAGATCACTGAGGTCAACGGATACCTGCCATACCCGGGTGCGTTGCCCACACTAGGCCAGGCCAAGTCTGGAATATAGTCGCTGACCAAGCCCACAGACGGCCCTGCGCGAAACCCATCCATGATCCAGAGAGGCAGTGTCCGATTCGCCTCACTATACTCAGGAGACCCCTCGACGGTCGGCTACGCATCCGAGAAAGAAGGACCGCGCAACGATGTCGCTCCGTACAACCCTTCTATCCCGTCAGTCCCCATCAGCATGAAGGATGCCGTGCCTATCCTCCAAGCCCTTGACGGCAGTGGCGTCTCCGCCGAAGCGGCCAACCGCAGCGACTGGCACGGGGCCTTCCAGAACGTGAGCTACAGCAGTGGTCCGACACCAGGCGCGACCCTTGACATGAATCACTTGATGAACGAGACCATCGCCCCGGTTTGGGATGTCATCGGCGTCATCAATGGGACGCATCCCGAGGAGGGTGTTCTGGTGGTCGGAAACCATCGTGATGCTTGGGTCATTGGGGTACGACCCATAGCCCTTCGCAAGCTGATTCGGAGATAGCTAAAAATGGCATCAGGGTGCTGCTGATCCGAACTCCGGAAGTGCCATCTTGATCGAGCTGGCCAGGGCCTTTGGAAAGCTAGTCGAGAAGGGGTGGAAACCAAGAAGGACAATGTAAGCCATGTGTGTTCGTGCAATTCAGGGGCAATGTACCTGACCAAGTATCCCAGCATCCTCGGTTCTTGGGACGCAGAGGAGTTTGGTCTTCAAGGCTCGACCGAATGGGTGGAAACCCACCTGCCCTGGCTCATCACCAACGCGATAGCGTACCTCAACATCGACGTCGCCGTCTCAGGACCGCGAACGGCCCTCTCAGGCTCTGGTGAGATCCAGACCATCGCCATCGAGATGATGAAGAAGGTCATCTTCCCCGATACTTGGGGTACCGGACCGACCTTGTACGACATGTGGTACAATACCACCGAGGGCGAGATCGCGCCTCTGGGTAGTGGCAGTGACTATGCTGCGTTCTACCACAATGGAATCAGTGCGGTGAGTCATGACAGATCACGGATCCCTGAATGGGACGAGCTCATTGGGACTATCAGATCGACATCGGATCAGACGGCGGCAAGACCGACCCCGTCTACCATTATCACGGGTAACACAGTCCCCATTTGTGCCAATGACAATACTGATTATGCGGTCAGACATTATGATTCATACGCTTGGATGGAAAAGTTCGGCGATCCAGGCTTCCAGGTTCACACTGCGATGGGACAATGGTTGACACTCATCGCGTACCACATCGCCGACGACGTGCTGATCCCGTGGGACGTTCCCAACGCCGGCAAGGTCCTGCGTGTCCACTATGAAGACCTCAGCGACACACTGGCAGAGGGTTATCCGGATCTGACTTTAGACCTCTCCCCCATCAGTGACGCGATCACGGCGTTCGACGAGGCAGCGGAGCGCATCACATCTACAGCCTCGCTAGCGCTAGCTTCGAACGACGCGGTCCTGATCGAAGTCGTCAACAGCAAGTATCGAGGCTTCTCGCGCGGATTCGCGAGCGTGGGCGGGCTGCCCGGTCGGCCTACCTTCAAGAACGTCGTCAGCGCCCCCGGACTGGACAATGGCTACGGTGCCGACGTGTTCCCGGCTGTGCAGGACAGCCTGAGTGCTGGAGAGTCGGAGGAGGCTCTAGCGTGGGTTGAGAAGAGCGCCGCGGCTATCTTGAGGGCAGCTGAAATTCTGAAGATCTGAGGGGACGGTGTCCTGCATTACTGATGCATGTTTGTATCGACTGCCGCTGAACTTCAATTTTATTCCAAGATCTATACTATCGCGAGTGATTATAGCAGGCGTCGGACATCATGATTTCCAACCCGTATTGCAAATTGGCATCAAGATTCTCTTTCCTTCGAGGGGGATCTGCCGCAACCTTGAGAAAATCACATGCAACGCCTTTTTCCTCGTGGCTGAACTCTGTCCATTTCCCCCCTCGGCTACAACGCCATTGCCTACTTTCTATTGCCACAGAGAAACTTTTCACAAATCCATCTCCAAAATCCACCTCAGGCAGAGACGCATGCAAATACTCCCAGGCACCGAGTCTTTACCCTCTCCTTACTTCAGCCAGGAAAGAAGCTCAACTCATCGAAGCTGCATTTCGCGACGCTCGATTTGCGAAGGTTAGTCATACGGTTCAATCAACAATATCCCGAGAGAAAACATCTTGCCCTGGCGACGTCCCAAGAGTTTCTCCCTCATTCGTCGACCTCTATTCCATTCATGCTCCCTCCTAACATGATCCAGTCTCGTTTCGTCTCACTCATCCCATCCCATCCATCCCAGCCCATTCGTCTCACCCCATTCAAATCCTCCATTATTTCTGTTACTCATCTTCCCCTTCCATGTTTCTTATGTAAACTGCTGCTAACCTCGGACAGTCAATCTTCTTCTTCTCACCAGTCACTCGACTTCTTTACGATCACCAAAGGACACAACCAACATCTTCAACCACGACAGTCATCTTGACACCTGTCACTACAAACCCCTCACCCGTACGAATAACTCACCCGTACAAACAATGTCTTCTTCAACCTCGACTCCGACTGCTGGCGCTGCCCATGCCTCTTCCCCAACCGGTGCCCGCTTGCCCTACGAGCTATGGGAGCAAATATTCCTCGAGTGCAGCGACTACAAGTCAGCGCAAAACCTGGCGCTCAGCTGTTCCTTCACGTACGGTGTGTACAAAGACAACAAGAAGAAAATCGACAGGGCCACACTCAATGAGAACATGCCCCTGGGGATGGCGGAGAAACACACCGCTATCCGCTCGTTCGACATTACCCACGCCGCCATGATGGTCCGCGAGGGCAGCATCTTTGAGCACAGCTGTTACGGCTTCGACGAATACCGGAGCATCTGTGATCGTCTGGGATATGACCTCGGGGTCAACGACCTCCCCACGTTGTACAAGGTCCCCGGGATCCTCACCCATACTCGCGAGCTTCTCGAAGAACTCAAGAGGGGCAAGTATGTCAACGGTCCCGACACGGTAACTTCATGGTGTACCCTACTCGCCGTCGTCGCATGGACCCGCGTCCGCCCGCGTCTATCCAAGAACAGAAAGGGCTTCGTTGAGGAAGCCACAGATACCTTCTGCCGGATGCAAGGTGCGGACGTCTTGCTCAAGCTTCCGGAATACGCCCGAGCCGTCGCCAAAGGTACGCAACCACCTTCCACCTCCCACGAATGACTCTCGGTCGTTCTCTGTGCTAACTATGAAAATGCAGCTTTGCGAAACCGAAACCGACGCAATACTCCGGGATTCAAGTACCTCATGGGTCGATGCTACAGCTCTACCCAATCGCTTGCAGCCCACCTCGACAACCTCGCTGTGGTGGCTGTCCAGGTTCAGGAGAGCGACGAGGATGACAACGACGACTACGACTACAACGGCTACAACGGCTGGTATGAGGGCTCTGATGGGGATGGAGGGGATAACGAGGAACAATTGTATGATTAGTGATGATACCTGGTTTGATAAGACTGCTAAGTACCTGGTTGGCGCAGCCATTGGGTGGTCTTGGTGTACAAGGCCGCCGGAGAGGTTAGAAAGTAACTGAATAACAGCGTTGTATTCTGCACGATTCAACGGCATCTTACCTCGGAGCACAGAAGTGACCAAAGTCAGCTGCCCTGTCAACAGTGGGCTGGGTTTGTTGGTTCGGTGAGTGACGCATGTTCGGAGGCGTTTGGCAAGCTGACTCGGCAGCGGTTCATGCCGACAACCAACAGCGAAGGCATGCAGGCCATGCGACGATATGTAAGCAATGAGTGACTGTATGCGCTGCATTTCAGTTCATAAAAGGATAGTCCGCATCACCCGAGACAGACTTCTGAGTTTAACATACTTCAATCTCTCTCGGTGACCAGAAGACGATGTCTCCAGCTACGCAGACTGCCCAATCGGCGTCAGGACAAGACCAGGCAACAGAGAACACGCCCGCGAAGATCGACTGGAGTACCCTTCCCGAGGATGTCTTCAAGTTCATGGAAGTCCGCACCGCCTCCAACTGCGCCGCATACCTCCTCCCCACCCTCCGCGCAATGAAGGAAAGCAACCCGCGGCTGACGCTCCTCGACGTCGGCGCCGGCTCCGGGTCCATGTCCGCCTCTTTCGCCCAGATCATCGGACCCAAGGGCCATGTCACGGCCGTGGACGTGAATCCCGTCGTAATCCCGCGGGCCAAGGTCGTCGCGGAGAAATGGGGCGTAGCAAACATCTCGTTCCAGACCGCAGATGCGTATAAGCTGCCATTTGAAGACGACACTTTCGACGTCGTTCACTGCCATCAGGTACTTAACCATAACAAAGACCAGTGGGAGATTCTTCGTGAGATGATCCGCGTCGCAAAGCCCGGTGGTGTGGTGGCTGCGCGCGAAGGAGACCTTGAGACTGAGGTGATGTGGCCGCCGCTTCCGGGGATTTTGAAGTTCCACCATGAGTGTGTGCCTCGCCGACGAGACATCTAATCCTTGATCCTCACGGCTGACCTTCATGTGTAGTTTCGAGGTCAAGCTCATCACGGACCGCGGTGGATGTGCAACGTCAGGCAGGCAGCTCCTTTCGTGGGCGCTCGAAGCCGGGGCGAAGAGGAGCCAGATCACGACGAGCTTCGGCACCTGGACCTACACGGAGCCAGAGGACAGAAGGCTTTGGGGTGAGCGTCCCTCGCTTTTCCTGAAGTTCGGAGATTTATGCTTCGAGTCGTGACTAAGTTTGATCTAATGCTTCCAGCTTCGGGCATGATCGACGTAGCCCTAGGACCTTCGGTGCGCGAGAAAAACGTCAAGGCCGGGGTTACGGAGGCCGCGATGGACGAGACGCGCGAAGCGTGGGCCGAATGTGTCACGGCGAGCATACTGGGGAGCTGGGACATGGCCTGCAGCAAGCAGCTATTACTCTATTGACGAGAATATCAAGACTAGAGAGGAAAGGAAGAGAGAGAGAGAGAGAGATAGGTACAGTGGGAGGTTGCCCCTTTAAGGGGATCCTCTGGTCAGATCCTTCCCCTATTGGGAAGTATCCGCTTGTCATGTGGGAAGGTCTGTGCAGGCCGTCACAGAATGGATTGACCGGGATGATGCGGTACTGGCGCAGCTGCACGGCGAGATCATCATTCGAAAGTAGATCTTGAGTATTATTCCTGTTCTTGCCCTCACAGTACGAGCTATCGTGTTGAATGATGTGCTGTTCTGGCTGTCAGCACCGGACGGGAAGTGTGTACTGAAGGGATATTGATCGATGTAGCTGTCTGATATGGAGGAAGCATGTCCTGACAACCATTCGGTCATATGTAGCTTCGACTTATGATACGAATCTTGCTCGTGAACGGCATTGGAGTCAAGCGTCTGATTCAGGTGTCAGGACGACGATATTGGCCTGCATTGACAGGGGTAAAGGGGTAAAGGGGTGATTATCCTGGAACCCACACCTTGACCCACATGAGCTTATTCCGACAGCGATTCTTTTGCCCACTCAGGAGAAACACTACTATTTGCACGACTCCAACACAACAATAAAGAGCCCCGATCGTGAGTGGTTCTCGCAAGGAACGCAGTCACCTGGTGCTCACGACGTTTTCGAATCCTTTCTGTACGTCCCGTGCCTCCTTCAGTCTTCGGCAGTGTGCCTCTGGGCAGGTCCGGCCGCAGTGGCATAACCCTTCCAGACGACGCCCACGCATAGCACTCCCAATGCCAGCTCGTAGCCTAAAGCCGCCTACGGGGAAGACCCAACAGGTAAGAATATAACGTCAGCATCCTTGGGAACATAACGGGGTGTTTTCTCCTACGCGATGAAGCTCTCTGCGGCAACCCTTCACGTTGGTCAGAACAAGTCGAGATGAGGCAAGACTAGAGATGCCGTCGAGGAGAGTGCGGGCTTCCCTCGCCTGCTAGGGTTCGGTATCTGAGAGAGCTGTCCGGACGTCTCGAGTTGCGTCCCTCATCAGGAGTCTTCGGCACATCCTCGCTGCTTGAAGCCGCGTAGTGGACGGACAGGCTATCAGAGGGGTTACATTGTGCAAAGTTCCGTGCCGTAGGAAGACTGCAAACGAAGGCGTCAGGCGGCCTCCGATTCAAGAAGCGGTCATTCCACCATCCCAAACTGCATCTCTTTCCAATGGTACTAGGCCTCTGATCTCATCATTACCAAAAAACCCATGTTCACATACACGCACGGCTCGACAGCCATGGAAAGAGACAAGAAGTAATGCATCTGTACAGGCGTGGTTGAAGATATCATATCCGGAAACCTCGTTCTCGGGGATGCTTCATAGGCTCCCGGATCTCTCGCGGCTCAGGAGAATCCTCTCGAGTCCAAGAAGACTCAAGGTCAGATGTCCAAAATGCCCTCAAAGTGTCAGTAGGGCAAGGTCTGTTCTTCGCACTACCCCTTGAGCCAACGCAATGCGATGCACTGCAATTGGCGTGGTGTTACGCGCCAATACGTTATATGTCAGTCTGCAGCTGGTGTCTATAAGTTGCAACCTCCATCGTGAATACAGGAGGTGGCACCACCGACAAGTTTACCAAAGACCAGCAATGTCACTTCTGCCCACTGCATAAATCAGGAGGCACAAACCACACAGCAGAAGGGAATGCCCTTGTCAATCCTTCATGGACACACCCATAAGGATATTATTTGCATATAAGCCTAGAGCGATGCAGGGCATATGCAGATCCTGTATCAGAATAGCCGCATCGGCAAGATTCCCCGTTGGCCTTCCTGAAATCATGTGCTACGCCTGTCATGCCTGGCGCGATGTGCGTTATGGCCCTTTCTTGAACCTACAGCAAAATGAAATACACAGGAAGCCAACGACAATACTAAAACACAAAGGTATACGCGACCTTCTTCTGCAAGCCGATGTCGTTACGGCACCCATCCACCGACTCGTCTCCCATATACGAGTGACCCTGATGACGGCAGGATTCTCTGCATGCCCATGTGTATGTATGATGCTCACTTCAGGAACATCTCTCCACCGTTGCGCGTCGTCCTGGTGCGGTCCAGGTGATCCAGGCCGAGCGATGCTTCCTCTTCCAAGTTGCCCCCCTCCTCGAAGAGTACACTCTCTGATTTTTGTTAGCCAAGCCCCCATGCTCATGAGCCATAGTTGGTACATACCATCGGTGAGGTAAGACGGCTTGTCATATCGTCGCAAGATCGCGAACCTGATCTTCTCGAATGCCTTGCCCTTGATTCCTGTTCTCTTCTCGAGGCGCTTCTTCGTTTCGGAGAACGGCTCACCCTGGATGAAAGATTAGCTATATACTTTGTCAACCAATCAGCGACTTTCGTACCTCCTTGAGAAGAAACTTGAACGGAATCCCATGCGCACGAGCGGGATCGCTCTGAAAGTGGATAACTTTGATGAAGTTACGCCCGTCAGCGCCCAATTCCTCCTCTGGCACTCTCTCAGCAATGACGTCTGCATAGTCGTTAATGCTAAGGACGGGGTAGTTGGGCACAAGTTCTCGGAAGAACTTGTGGTTATGGATCTCGTAAATCCGTATCCGCCCGCCTTCCCGCTCGTCTTTGATGCCGGCCTTCTTTGCGAATGCCTCAATAAGGTCCTCGATATGGCCCTGTTTGTTAACCAGCACATCAAAGGTATCCTGGTACCGTCCAGTTAGATATGCCCCACTTTCAGGCGACATCAAACTTACCTCTTTCGTGATCCCTTCGCTCAACCAAGTCACTTTCACGCTCTTTTTAGTGTCCAGTTCTGCCAGGCTCATGTCCAGAACCTCAAAGAAAAGTGCGTTCGACTTCGTCTGCGGATTTTGGCTCGTGTATGAGCTCGGGTTGAGAATCTGCCCAAGTGTCGGATTGCCTGCTCGTCTCACTGGTGCCTTTGGAGCCCCAGTCGAGGCATTGGCCGTGAAGAAGCGGATATGGGTCGGGTCTACCTTTAGGTGCTCACCAACACGCTCCGAGAGTTGATCATAGGTAGCTTTCGTACTAAGGACCAACTCGAATCCCTCCATATCGACCTTATCACTGCGAGGGTGTGGTTCGAATCGGATTTGCCGCTTGTGACAAAGAAAGTCGTAGAATGCTTTCGCATCATCAAATCGATCCCATCGCTTGAGACTCTCCTCGGAGTTCTTATCTCCAAGGCGGAGGGTCTTGCCTAGGATCTCGCCAGATGACTTTCTTTCTGGCAGTTTCTGGAAGCATATGATATCACCATCCTGCAGCTCGGCTGCCTTGAGTGTCTGTTTCGCCTTGAGGCCCTCGATCATGGACGGCTTGATCTCCTCCCACATTGCCAGCTGCTCGCCCGCGGGTAGTTTGTCACCCCAGCCCATTTTCTTGGAGATGATAGGCACAAGCTCCTCAACTTTCTTCTCCTTGCTGACGTAGAGATGGCCAACGCCTTCGAGGGTCTGTTGCTCAATGTCGAAGTACTTCAGGAACAGGAGAATGAGGTCGTTTTTTATCACGACGCCGTTGGCATTGCTCGTATACGTTGGCCAGACCGCATTGCCCTGCTCGTCGGTCTCATCTGCAACTTCAGCCCAGACACGCAAGGCATAATCGCGGCTCGTGCCGGCTGACCGTGAATACGTCTCTTCGATCGTTGGTCTCAAATCCATTATGGGCTGGTCGGGGCGGGTCGTCTTGTTCTGGCGATTCACCATGATCCACAGTCGAACCTCTCTAGGTTCTTGATTGAGGTCCTTCGCAACTGTTTCTACCAGCTCGGCCATGGTGGCTTGCTTCTTCATCTTGTAGAATCTGGCTGCTGCAGGATCTTCTGCAGGGTTTGTGTCGAAATTGGTGAGATCGGTAGATGCGTGGTGCTTGAAAGTTTGCTCGGTGATGACCTTGACAGGGAGAAAAAGATGCTGTTCTTCTCGCTCCTTTCTCTTCGCCTCTTTGGCGGCCGCTTCATCATCTAACCGCTTCTCTATAATGTGGTTGTGAGCTTACCTTCACAAAGTATGAGCACTGACAAGAAAACTTACGAAGGTGTTCCGGGCAATCGTCCTGGTCGACCTCAGTCAAAACTTGATTCAGCCGCGATGATCGTATATATACCAGCATGTACGCGTTCATTTGTCGCATGAGCGGCTTCTTCGAAAATGCTGATCGAGATTGCATGAGCGAAGACTTGTACTCTCCACCAAAGTTTTCCTCAAGGGTTTCCCTCATGGTCGCCTTGGTGACTTTGTCATCGTCGAACTTGTAGAACCAGCCGTCCTTGCTCGGCTTGAGGAATGCGTAGTAATGACCGGCGTTAAGGTCTCCTTGGTGCACCAAAACGCCGTGGAGCTTGTATGTCCACGGCTCTGAGTTGTCCGCACCCTTCTCGAGGAACGGCTCCAGGTCCAAGGTTTCGGGAAACTCGAAACGATCATTGATCTTCATCATTGTATCGTGCTGAATGTCGTACTCAAAGCGCTTCAGGTGCAGATGCAACACCTCGGGGAAACTTGTGAAGATCACCCCTTTGCGAGCATCCTGGTACTTGTGGTCGTCGCCCGCCCAATACTTGTTGTCGCCGTCAAGCGTCTCCTGTTGGATGTAATCCTTGAAACTCTCTTGGAGGTTAGGGATGCCTCGAACGTTGAGCTGGATATCCCAGAAATCCTCAATTCGGCTGGATTCGTAATCGACGTCGATGCATGAGACATAGGTCTTGACCTTGCCGCTGAGCATGCGGGGAAGAGCATCTTCAGCGGCGGTGCCCTTCATCCTCTCTTCCATGCGCTCGATAAGCTTACGAGACAACTCTTGAACGTCCTGCTGCTCGAAGACATGTCTGCTGTCCCAACCGAAAGATCGCGTGAGTTCATTCGTGCCTACCGCGAGATTCGATATCTGTAGCTGATAAAAAAGTCTCTGGAGCGTGTAAGCGCTGTTGTTGACACTCTCATCTTCGGCAGTAGGGATTTGATAAACAGCCTAGCGCCCAGTCAGTTGATCATTTCACTATCACTAGTCCTTTTGTACAACTCACCTTCCGAAACGCGTTGGTAAAGTACAGCGATTGGAGAAGGGAGTTCAGGTAGCAGGTGGCACCCTGATTCTTCAGGCCAACGTAGCCGGTCTCCTTCTTGGAATCATAGTTTTGGAAATTGTGCCACATGACTCCTGTCTCGTCCTCTACGATTCGGACGTAGGCAGTGATGTTGCAGGATTCGTTCTCAACGAGTGGGCGGTCAGAATTCTCCCAGCTCGGTTGGAACATCTTTCGGAGCTCGAGGAACCGTGTGAAGCCCCAGTCGCTTTCCTCCTTGGTGAAACGATGGTGGGCAGTGTGATGGCAGAACAGCGAAGGGTCTGTTCTATTCCACATGACCAGTCCAAACTGCACGCAGCAGCTCCAATCGTCGGGGATGCTGTTAGCATCCTCGAAGCCGTGCTCTAAATATACGGACGACTGGTCGACATTGTTGCCAAAGGGGAAGAGGAGGATGCGCCTATTTGACCGAGTCAGCTGGTTGTTGCGCTCAAGAAAGACTCAACTGCGCTGACCAAGGAAATCCTCCAGCGTAGAACACAGGGCCGTGCTCCTTCTTAGGGAGACTCCTCCATTTTTCGACGGTCCATGTGTCGACGACATCTTCTAGGATTCTGGGTTCCTCCAGGAGCGGGGGCAAGACGATCTCTTTCATAGCCTCGACTGTTTATTTGTGTCAGCGCAAGTACACGCAAGGCCGACCCATCCTTGTAATGCCGGTCTGAAACATACAGTCGGTAGCCAACGGCTGGTTCTCGAGCGGATCGGCGTCATTGTCGAGCTGGTCGGGTTCGATGATGGCAACTGGATCGTTGCCATCCTGGGTGGGTTGGACGACCATCTCGTCCTGGGAGTCGACCATCATGTGGTTGGGCGAGTGGATATCGGAGTCGTAACTCTGGTTCAAAGGAGCACGGTCAGCCTCAGTATTGGGGAAACAACTCGGCAGTCGGCAGGAATGACAAAGATGAAAGGAAAGACAGTGGGGTAAGATGGACGAGTTTCAAGCCCTGTGTACATAAAACACGAGTTTCTTAGGAGGTGTGGTTGATGTAAGGTGAGGAATCATGCCTCTCTTGAGGCAACTCTTCAAGGTTGCCAGATGACGAGGAGGTAATTGGGGAGGGCAGAGGGAGTGGAACTTGAGCTGGAGAGCTTACCATGTCTGCGCGTGCTGTACGTCCAACACGTTCGGGACGTGCAACTGGTGGTCAAGGAAATAAGGGCGGGCAGGAAAGCGTGGACCAAAGATGGAGAGTTCCTGCTGCTTGGCGGTCGTCCCGACGCAGGAGCAGATAGTCTGGAGGTAGATGATGGTGGGGTCGGGAAATAATGACGAGGGAAGAGAGAGGCACGGAGAGAATGGGAGTATCTCTGTGTGTGCGGGGCAGCCGCGGCAGAGCAGACGATGCCAGCGAATGCGTTGAGCGTGGTGTAAATCTGCGCAGGAGGCAGGAGGGAGCAGGAGGAGGCGGTGGTAGTTGAGAGCACCCAAGAATACAAGAAGTGAAGCTGTAGGGATTGCTTCATCCAGGTCTGATCTTGGATGCAGGTGGTGGAGTGGGTGTCTCGAAAGGTGGGCTGAGGCGCAGTGGATTGGCCTGTAGGCGTATGGTCGCGACAGGTAGAGAAAAGCAGTACAATGCCTGCCTGGGGGGCACTACGTGTGACGACAAATTCGCACGGGCCATGGCGGGGCGTGGGTCGAAGAACACAGAGGTGGGGTCCGCAGTACCTATACCGTCAGCTTATCCGTGGGCCAAGCAAAGGTACCCCTTTTTGAGCTGCAGGTACCGAGCTTGCTTACTACGACAGACACCAGGCTTTCGCTGCAACAACACTTCCACCCATACAATGCCCCTGCATTGGGACGCCTGCAATTCAGCAAAAAGCTACCTATATTTACAGGCAATACATTTACTGGATTTGAAACTGAGTTGTCATTGTGTTATATATAGTCTCGCAGAGCGTGTTAGTCACTGAGCGTTGCGCGTTGCGCGTTGCGAGTTGCGAGTTGCGAGTTAACAGTTGTTCGTTTTGACTCAATGAATCCACTTACAGCACTCAGCAGGCCCCCACTAATCAGCTGCGATGACGATGACGTTGTGCCGTTGCCTCACGTCAAGCCATCTGGCTTCACAACGCCAAACAGCCAAACATCCATTGAAGCCCACCGTCAGACCGTCTAGGATGCTGCAATAAACATCGGTCTACTCCTACCTTCCTTGAGAGACTGATAAAAGCAGCATGCGGATATAAGTAGATGCAGCCCAAGCTGCTTGTCAATCGGCTGGGTTAACCTAAGATGCATGGAACGTACATGTCTGTGCAAGATACACTGAACCCTCAATATTCTCCGTACACCCTTTCGACTAAGGCCATGAAAATCTAGGGCATCATGTGTTTTTGAAATAAGCACTTTGGAATGACCAATACTCTTGAGCTAAATATTGCAGCTATTTGTGGCAGGGGGCTTATTCCACACAACGTACAGTATGTCTGAAGTCTGGAATTGCATCAAGGGACACCACTGATATCCAGCTAAGTTTGAGCAAAGGTAAGTCACAAACCAAGACCTCTCGAAACTTGGAGACTTCGTGAGGATATAGCTATCATTGTAACAGAGGAACGGCCAAGAGAACTTTAAGCAGTGATGAACTTGCGGTTGAGCTACAGTGACTCCAAATCAAGCTCTCAAGCTATGTCCCGGCTTCCCGGCTTCCCGGCTTCCGTTTAAGTCCGGAGCTGTCTCTCCACAGTAGCGGAGCTGGCTCAATGACTCCGTGACCACTTCCAAGCCCTATCATACGGTATACCAGTCTTGTAACTATTGAGAGGTCGTAGTAACGAGAATAAGAATAATATATCTCACAGCCTATTGAATATCTTTTACACATACGTCTACATATTGGATGAGTCTGTCGGTCCGTATATCTGGATGACGCGCCGTCTGATTAGCTGCTTGGAGAAAATGCGGGGAAGTCGTCCTGCAGTGACGAAGTGACAAATACTAAAATCCACCTAAAGATTTGAAAGAAAGAGGTCGAGTCACCTTTCAGACCACATCAGAGCCAATCAACACCTGGCGATAGTTGAGACTCACAATTGACACGTGAGGACGAGTCACCATCTCGAAACACCATCTCGAAGTCATCCACAACAGCACAGCCAGAAGAGACGATTCCCTCTGGCATGGAACGGTCGGCATGTTACCATTCGCGGTGCAGAATGCCACCAAGACCGTCCGGCTGAGCTCGCGGATAGTGACGAAACCATGTCGATTGTTTGCCCCGACGAGGGCACTTGACCACCACCACCACCACATCTACAACAGCGATCCGAGGACAAACAATGACGGGAGGAGATGGGCGCATACGGCCAAGTGGCGGCCTGTTCAGGTCTTGGACGAGTACGCCGAGCTCTCCCACACACACTCTCTCTGCGTCTACCCGCAGCGCAAAGCCAGAAATGACTGACTTGAGCTTCTGCTTGTGCGCGTAAACAGATGGGTAGCCAAGGAGGCCCGGCCGATCAGTCTGCGACAGCTGATGGTGTTTGGGCGGTCTTTGACCGAGGCGCGACTCATCAGCTCGGCGAACTACGTGCGGACGGAGCTGCCGACCAGGTACATACACACCCTACAAACACCCAGAAGAAAGGATGGTCAGGGAGGGAGACATACATTCAGACATATGCAGACGGGCTGAAGAAGGCTGATACAAGCTCTTCTACAGAATCGCCCACCGCATCCGTGACATGCAGCGGCTGCCGTACGTGGTAGTGACGAACCCGCACATCAGCGACGTCTACGAGCTCTACTACAACGCCTTCGACACGTTCCGGCGCGTCAAGGAGATCAAGACGCTCGACGACAACGAGCGCTTCTGCGCCGAGATGGCCAAGATGCTGCGCGCCCACCTCAGCGTCATCCCCAAGCTGGCCATGGGCATCCTCGAGTGCAGCGGCCTGATGCCGACCGATGAGCTCGACCGCTTCATGAACACCATCCTACGATCCGTGAGTGCTATCTATCCCTACACGTACATACTTGGTGGAGGTGGGCGAGGAGGGCGACTTGAAAGACGAACGTAGACGAACAGACGAAAAGGGGGAACCAGACTACAATCCCGGGCCCTGACATCCAAAACCCCATTCTAACCCAACCACCCACCAGCGAATCTCCCGCCGCGTAATAGCCGAGCAGCACCTAGCCCTAACCGAGACCTTCAACGCGGACTGGTTCTCGCCGGGCGCCAAGCTGTCCGAGTCCGACTTCATCGGCGAGGTCTTCCTCAAGTGCGTCGCGAAAGACGTCATCGAGCGCTGCGGCCGCGCCGTGCAGGACCTCGCGCGCTCCGCCAACCCGGGGCCCGACATCGCCATCCCCGAGATCCGCGTCGACGGCCACCTCGAGGCCACCTTCCCCTACATCCTCAGCCACCTCGAGTACATCGTCGGCGAGCTGCTGCGCAACGCCGTGCAGGCCGTCATCGACAAGCACAAGTCCAACTCCCCTGAGCAACACCAAAAACCCCCGCCCCCCATCGAGGTCACCCTCTGCGAGGCCCAGCAGCACGTCATAATCCGCATCTCAGACCAGGGCGGCGGCGTGCCGCGCGACACGCTGCCGTACCTGTGGTCCTTCGGCCGCAAGGGCCAGCTCCGCAGCCAGCGGCTCGAGAACCTCGAGCAGGTGCCGCTCATGGCCGCCACGCTGCAGGAGCTGCGCGTCGACGGCAACTTCAGCAGCCTGCAGGACGGCGGCGGCGGCCGCGTCGTCGGCCACGACAGCTCGCTGACGTCGCTCTCGACCCGCCCGCCCAACCTGCGCCTCGGCATGGGCCTGCCGCTCAGCCGCGTCTACGCCGAGTACTGGGCCGGCAGCTTGGAGCTGCACAGTCTGGAGGGCTACGGCGTGGACGCCTTCCTGCAGATTTCCAAGCTTGGCAATAAGAACGAGCAGTTGGCTACGAGAGCGGCGATGGATGCCGTCTAAGTTACTAGGTCACGGGGAACATAAACTTGTGGTCTCGGCGGTCCGTACAGATTCGGATGTGTAGGGCAGAGTGGCTAGGATATACCCATGGCAAGGGGGGCCGCTCAATTGAAGCAAACAGCTCATGTCTTCGACGTCTTCTATAGGTAATACAGACGGAAGAGGTGGGAATTCGAAGTCTGCTTTTGCTTGGTATCATAAGAAACTTGGAATTACATCGTGAACTAAACCTAACTGGTCGGGTAGAAAGAGGGAGCCATCTGGACTCCCAATGGAGAATATTTTGATATCGTGGGTCGTTCACACGCTTCCTGACGCCTCGTAGCCCTGTGCAGGGACATATCTTGATGGCATTCTTCCATCAATCCTCCTTCCTCCATCAATTCTCCTTCCAACAGACTCAATTAGCTCTTAAGCATATCATCCATGTGCACCATCTGTGCAAATCAGACGGACGCGGGGCTCAGTTTTCACAACTCCATTACCCCTATTAGATGGGAACAGTAATTAACGTGGGCAGGTTCCACAACGGGCTTGAGAATGGGGTATAAACGCGACTTAACGACGACCACTGCGGGCGACGCTGCCCTGCATTTGCTCGAGTTCCGTCTCCAGCTGCTTGATCTGAGCATGAGTCTGCTCGAGGTCCTTGTTGAGGCGGTCCCGCTCGGCGATGAGTTTTTGCTCCCACTGTCTGAAACGTTGCTCCTCGATCTTGACCTGCTCAGTGAATCGCTTGCGCAGAGCCTCTTCCTCTTCCTTGTACTTGGGGTTGTCCAGCTTGCGGGGACGGGCCTCCCCGAATTTACGGGTCTCCATCTGCTGAGCACGGTAGGCCTCGTAGTGGAGCTCCTCGGTCGTGTGAATCAGGTCCAGCATGTGGGTGCGAATCAGGATAGAGCGGAGCTTCTTGAAGTCGCAGTGGTCCTCGTTCTCAACCTCGGCAACACCCCAGGAGTATTGACGACCCTTGACAATGCGGCCATCGCCGGTCTTGACATCCTTCTCAGAGCCAATGACGGCGAAAGGCACGGCGGCCATCAGGCTACGCGCGTGTTGAGCGGCGGCCTCGTCGTCCTCCTCGACGGGAGGCTGGTAGATCTTGATGCTCTGAGCCTCAACGACGGCACGGATCTATTTCGATATATGAGCAAACGAAGTCTGTGCTATACTTGCCAGCTGTGACGTACCTTGGCCTTGAACTTGGCGAGGTCTGCTGGGCTCAAGGTATCGGCCTTGGCAATCACCGGTATCAAGTTGACACGGGAACACAGTCTCTTCATGACCTCAATATCCAGGGGCTTCAGGGTGTGGCCGGTGGGGCGGATGAAGTATAGGCAGGCATGGACTCGGAGATCAATCTTGTCTTGCCGGCGGGGTTGTTGCTCCTGGAGCATATACGACTCGTGCTGGTCATCCAGAAACTCAATGATGGGCATCCACGAATCTCGGTTGTTCACGTAGTCGCCAAAGCCGGGGGTGTCGATGACGGTGAGGCGGACTGGTAGCAAACTTAGGTTAGAGGGATCGGAGGCTAGGCATCACGAGACGGGGCAATTGGCAATTACCCTTGAAGAACTTCTCCTCCAGTTCGGCCTTCGTAATCTCAATCTCTACGGTCTTGTCGACTTGCTTCTGGTGGCGTCGCTTGTGGTCGGCGTAGTTCTTGATGGTGGTGGAGAAAAGGGTGTTGATGAAGGTGGTCTTTCCCAGGCCGGATTCACCAGCAACCTGGGCGACAGGATGTCAACAACACTGCACGCATGGGAAGGTCAAGGGGTAATGCGAGGTCGACGAACCATGATGGTGAAGGCAGCACCTCTCTTGGCGACGATCTTGTGTCGCTGGTTGGGCAGGTTGGCGATGCCAATGGGCGACGCGCTCTCGGCGGTGGCAGGAGGCATTTTGGAATATATGCAGGTATTCACGATACAGGACCAGAATTGGGGGTATCCGAAGAATACAGGGTATGATCCCAAGAAACAGTCAAAACGGAGTGGGAAGAGATCTGTATAGTCGCTGAGGTCGATCCGGCTGAGGTTTACGAGAGGGAGTTCCGTTGAGGGCGGGAAATGACTGATTGACGGATGGATGTTGACGGTTGAACGGGCTGGTGCTGGTGCTGGTGCTGGTGCTGGTGCTTCAGGGGAAGGAGCCTGGCTGGCAAATTTCCTAGCACACGGCAACCGAAAGGGACTGGCCTGCCTGCCAGTCGCCAGTTGTGGCTGCCGGCTCTGGCGTGGCTGCGTGGCTCGTGCACTCAGGGTAGGGCGGGCGTTGACCGCCTGCCCATCGGAGAGCGCCTTACCCGATGCAGTTACTACCTAGCTGGGGTCAGACCCGGCAGAGATGTGGGCTGGACTGGCTGCCAGGGTCTCTCAATTGATTGGGCCGACTCTCCCTCGCCTCCACACCCAAGCCCGCCAAGCGCCCCACTGCCACCCAGCTCTCTTATCAGCGATAAGCCAGAAAAAAGTTCATTCGCGCCTGCTGAACTGGACATTTTGAAGCAAGAGAATATTGCTACTGCATGTAATGAGGTGGGCGCATACAGTATGGCTATACCGTGAAAATGAAGACCGACTTCAAGGTAATACATCTTCTGCTCCTGCTTCATACATGTTCGCGAGACTGAACTAATTGCTAATACGCCGTCTAGTTTTCCAATCTGCTTGGGACTGTCTACTGCCAGGGCAACCTCTTGTTCAGTCCTGATGGCACATGTCTATTCTCCCCTGTAGGCAACAGGGTGTCTGTCTTCAACCTCGTCGAGTCAGTTGAGCTGCATTCCCAGAATCGCGCAGATGTGCTGACATGACCACCCTGTGGCAGCAATACATCACATACCCTTCCGTTCGCGCATCGAAAGAACATCTCGAGGATAGGTCTGACCCCGCGGGGTAACCTATTGCTCTCAGTCGACGATGAGGGCCACGCCATTCTGACCAATGTCCACCGCCGAATATCCATATACCACTTCTCCTTCCGGTCACCGGTTACAGCGCTTGCATTCTCTCCGTCCGGGCGTCATTTTGCCGTAGGGCTTGGCCGAAAGACGGAAGTATGGCACGTCCCCTCGACGCCCGACTCGAGTGCCCAGGGCGAACTTGAGTTTGCGCCCTTTGTTCGCCATCATACACACATGGGCCACTTCGACGACGTCCGGCATATTGAATGGTCAAACGATTCTCGCTTTTTCCTGACTGCTTCCAAAGACCTGACAACACGGATCTGGAGTGTCGATGCCGAGGAAGGATTTATTCCCACAGTTCTGTCAGGCCACAAACAGGCTGTTGTCGGAGCTTGGTTCTCAAACAACCAGGAGACTATATACACAGTCAGCAAGGATGGTGCCGTCTTCGACTGGCAATATACTCGACACCCCAATGCACCATCTAGAGACGAGGACGAGGACATGGGAGACGCAGACGACGAAGACATGCGCTGGAGGATCGTCCGGAGACACTACTTCATGCAGGGCAGTGCCCATGTGCGGTGTGCTTCGTTCCATCCTCAATCTAACCTCCTTGTTACTGGATTCTCTAATGGCATCTTTGGCCTATATGAGATGCCCGATTTCAACGCTATCCATACTCTCAGCATCTCGCAAAACGATATAGACTTCGTTACTGTGAATAAAACCGGAGAGTGGCTTGCTTTCGGTGCTTCCAAGCTTGGACAGCTTCTGGTATGGGAGTGGCAGTCCGAGTCCTATATCCTTAAACAACAAGGTCATTTCGATTCCATGAACGACCTCGTCTACTCCCCAGATGGCAAACGTATCATCACGACAGCAAATAACAAGATCAAGGTGTGGGACGTTGACTCGGGTTTCTGCATCGTGACCTTCACAGAGCACACAGGAGATGTCACTGCCTGCGAGTTCGCCAAAAAGGGGAACGTCTTATTTACTTCGAGTCTGGACGGTTCTATCAGGGCTTGGGACCTGGTGAGGTATCGAAACTTCAGGACTTTTACCGCGCCGGCGCGCTTATCCTTCTCTTGCCTAGCAGTGGATCCGAGTGGTGAAGTGGTTGCTGCTGGCTCACTGGACTCCTTTGATATTCACATCTGGTCCGTTCAGACTGGTCAACTGCTCGATCAGTTGGCTGGACACGAAGGGCCGGTCTCTGCTCTTGCATTTACACCCGATGGTGGTCTGCTAGTCAGTGGAAGCTGGGATTATACCGCTAGAATGTGGTCGATCTTCGGACGCACTCAAACCAGCGAACCTCTTCAATTACAAGCAAATGTGTTGGGCATTGCGGTTCGGCCGGACTCTGCACAGCTGGCCATCTCCACGCTTGACGGGCAGCTCACATTCTGGTCTATAGCGGAAGGCGAGCAGGTGTCCGGGCTCGATGGCAGGCGCGATGTATCGGGTGGCCGAAAGGTTAGCGATCGCAGGACCGCTGCCAACGTACCTGGCACCAAGAGCTTTGGCACCATCAGATACAGCACCGACGGGAGCTGCCTTTTAGCCGGGGGCAGCAGCAAGTACATATGTCTGTACTCTGTCAGCACGATGGTACTTCTGAAGAAATTCACCGTCAGCGTCAACCTCTCGCTATCAGGGACACAAGAATTCCTGAACAGCAAGCAGCTCACTGAGGCTGGACCGGAAGGTCTTCTTGATGATGAAGGGGACAACTCGGATCGTGAAGCTCGACAAGACAAGTCCTTGCCGGGTACAAAACGAGGCGTCGACCCATCAGAGAGGCAAAAGTTACCCGAAGTCAAAGTATCTGGTGTCGGCTTTTCGCCAGCTGGCACATCCTTCTGTGCCGCATCAACTGAGGGTCTTCTGATTTACAGCTTGGACAACGATCTTCAGTTCGACCCGTTCGATCTGAACATGGAAATAACGCCAGCCTCGACGCTTGCGGTACTCGAGACCGAGAAAGACTACCTAAAGGCGCTTGTCATGGCATTTCGCCTCAACGAAGCAGGCTTGATCAAGCGAGTATTCCAGGCAATACCATACACCGATATCCCCCTGGTTGTAGAGCAATTCCCCACGGTGTACGTGGCCCGACTGTTGCGATTCGTGGCTGCGCAAACCGAGGAATCTCCTCATTTCGAGTTCTGCCTACTCTGGATCAAGGCTCTTGTGGATAAGCATGGATCGTGGCTGACAGCGAACCGGGGCAAAGTTGACGTCGAGCTCCGGGTCGTAGCAAGAGCCATCGCCCGGATGCAGAACGAGATCAGACGGTTAGCGGACGAGAATGTCTACATGGTGGACTATCTCCTCGGCCAGGCCGAGACTAAGAACGCAAGCACTGACGACAAAGGTCTTCTTACAAATGGTGACGATACTCCAATGAAAATGCTAGCGTCTGGGGAGGAGGGAGTAGGTGAAAGGGTAGATTCGGATGAAGAATCAGACGGGGAATGGATTGGCCTGGGTTGAAGAGCAAGTCCCAGCCCGTGAGGATCTACCAACAAACTCAGCACGAAAGTCGACACGAAGCAGAGCCCCTTTCTATGGCTCCTTCTACGTTGAGCCAGATGTGTCCGGGAGCAGCGTGTGGTTTCAATGCGGCTCGCAACAATCTATACGAGGCGCATCGGACCGGTTGTGTATATCAATGCACGGCGTCAGCCATGCCGGCAATCCCGAAAGGAAAACTGCAACAGATCAGAGGTTCCTCGTCAGCTACCTCTTTAGATGACCAACTGCTGCCGTGGCTGTAACATCAATTGACTACCAAATAAGAGCCTCAGGGCCTTGTCCCAGCTGAAAGTCCCGGTGCTCCCGATGGATATTTCCGCGCAGTTCGTCGGGTGGCCTCGTCTCTCCCGCATACGGCACGATGCATCGCTGGCTCACAGCCAATGAGGCTGGACAACCTGTCGGTGACATACTTGGTCCGGCGAGCAGCATGCAACACCCACCTTTTAGCAAGGTGAGGCAGATTCTCGGTGACACCACTGAGTGTGAAGATCGGGGTACGTTGCACTCAGATAGCTATCTAACCTAGGGGTTCACCTATCCGACTTGTTGAAGGCCACGATGGCTGGAGACATCATGATTCCCAGGCCTGCGTGCTAGTCGAATACTCATCATCCCGCCAATTACACTGATGTTCCTATCGTTTCTCAGTCCTAGTTCTGCTTGTAAGGGGTACCGACATGCACAAATCCATTATCCAGCTTGGAGCATTCGCACAGCCTCAACTGCCTACCCAAGTCCTAGGCCTCTGCTTACCTCAGCTAGGCACTTCAGGTCACCTACTTCTAGTAGAAGGTGTCATAGGTTACCTAGTCGTTCTTCACAGCCTCCCAAATGGACTACACACCATGTTGGCTGCCTAGCCATGACGCACAGCACGTGTCCTGCAGCTGATAGGACGTATACCTGAAGTACCTACTATGTAGGGCTGCAGCATAATACCTAACATTAGGCAACCATGGATTCTGACCCCGTGATGACATGATGCATAGTGTGATCTGTTCACTCTCTATGGACTCCGAAACGCGAGGTACTCATGCCCACACGCAGTTCGAACAAGCTGGAATGGATTATTGCAGATGCAGCACACACCAACACATCTTACATGCATGCATGCTGTATACTCACACCCCACGGGATCTCTGTAAGCCGCCGCATCTACCGGTTGTCGTCGGTGTTCCCCGCACCATATAGTCCAATGCTATCACGGGAGCGCACCTACAGCTATAGTGCGTTTATGTCTCAAATCGTCTCATCTGTTTCCAAACGGTCGCGACAACTCGGGAAGAATAGGATATATACGCACGCCCTACTTGAGCTAGCCGATGGCCGGACTTGCCTTGCCATACCCACCTCTACGCAGTTTGTCACTGGACTCGCATGGCGCAAACAAGGCTGCGGGGGTCCTTATGGATGAGCTGCAGCTTGGAGTCATAAACCAGTATACGACGTGTTTGCCCCTGGAACCCAGCCAGTAACCCAAAGGCTGGACTGCATAACGAACCCACTCCCAGAGGCCTCACAAAGTCACCTTGACTTGTATAAATAGGGCGGCTTCCCGTTGCTCACTTTGCAGAGTTCTCGCTGCCAAGTCGCGTTTGTCGGGCTGTGGAAATATCGCCACCTTAACCGTTCTAGTCGTCCAAGCTGACGCGGTGCTCCACCCCTTACACTGTGATACGAGCACTACATAGGCGAATTCAGAGTCACGATTCGTCTTGTCTGATCTCGTTCACCTACGCATTGGAAACTCCGGCGAATATGGGCACCGCGAATATGGACATGGGCGCCTTCTTCCGAGGGCTGCTCCCCACGGCAGTTGCTAACGAAACGGGTTTCGCTGCCAATGACTCGAGTACGCATAACATGCACGCCAACGTGATTGAGAGCCTGTTGCCACTTATCGGACTCAGGAGCTTTGCTCCAATGTACAGCTTCATAGGAAACTGGCTGGGCTACGATCCCACTTTCATACTCACTGCATTGGGTTTCCTCTGGGCTTCCAACAAGGTGATGCGCCAGATGTATCACCTCTTCTACGGACTCATCACTGAGCACCTGATGAGCACCATCCACATCAGCAGTACGGACGACATTTATCTTCATATCATGAAGTGGCTGGCAATGCAGCCCAAGATGGTCAACTCGAGAGCACTGACGGCCGAGACGGTGAGCAAGACGGCGTGGGAAGACGAGGAGGAGTCCAACGTCGCTCGCGACCTGTCTGGACTATATCTCAACTTCTCAAACCAGGAAGCAAGAGCCGTAAGTCGACCGTATCCTCGGATAAAGTGATCCTTGCTGACCCTCAATGAAGCCGCCACAATATGTCCCTGCTCTGGGTCTGCACAACTTTTGGTGGAAAGGCCAATACTTCAGACTGCACCGCAAGAAGGAATCGTTCTTGGACGAGGGCGGTGCTAACGGCATCAGCACCTTCAAGGATAAGGAAGACCTGATGATCTCGTGTCTCTGGAGAAGTCCAGGTATGATTCCCCAGTAGAACACTGGCGATTCCCAGAACTGACTTGGCTTCCCAGAACCTATAAAGCAACTCCTAGCGCACGCCAAGCAGAATTACTACAGTGACCACCAGGCTAGGACCATCGTCAAAAGACCCAGCCCTCAGAACCTACGTCGGTATGGCGGCCACTATAACTGGCAGCAGGTTGCCAACCGGCCAGTGCGAGATATGCGAACCGTAGTGCTTGACCAGCGCCAGAAACTGCGGGTCCTTGCCGACATCAACGAGTACCTGCACCCCGAGAGCCCGCGGTGGTACGCAAACCGAGGCATCCCGCTAAGACGAGGATACCTCTTCCACGGTCCCCCGGGTACCGGAAAGACATCTCTGTCCTTCGCCCTAGCCGGCGTCTTCGGACTCGACATCCACGTCATCTCCCTCCTAGAGCCCAGTCTGACCGAAGAAGATCTAAGCGCCCTGTTCAACTCGCTCCCCCGTCGCTGCGTGGTTCTTCTCGAGGACATCGACACAGCTGGCCTCCGCCGTCCATCCGAAGAGCTCGAGCAGGTCCAGAAACCCAAAGACGACAAATCCAGCAAGGACGACGCGAAGAGCACGCCCAACGACTGGAAGGTCAGCGACCTAGCCAAGGCCCTCAAGAAGGACACCGACGACCAGAAAAAGGGCATCTCCCTATCCGGACTTCTAAATGCCATTGATGGGGTCGCAAGCCACGAGGGCCGAGTCCTGATCATGACGACAAACGTCCCCGAGTCCCTCGACGACGCCCTGATCCGGCCCGGTCGGGTCGATCTGCAAGTCGCCTTCACGAACGCGACCAAGATACAAGCGCAGGAACTCTTCATCCGGATGTACGAAGGCGACCAGGGCCGGCCGCGCCACAGCAGGGCCAAGCAGCAGGAGCCGGGCACCCCGATGAACGGGAAGAGCGCCGAAGCGCCCACCAACGACCACACCACCACCGCCGCCGCCCCGCTGGCGCCCGAGACCTCGAGCGCCGTGGCGTCGGGCGACCTGGACATTTCGCTCGACGAGCTGCCACACATCGCACGGGAATTTAGCGACAGAATCCCCGACGGCGAGTTCTCGCCCGCCGAGATCCAGGGCTACCTGCTCAAGCGCAAGAAGCACCCGCGCAAGGCGCTGGAGGAGGCCGGGGTGTGGGCCGAGGCCATGGTGCGGCAGAAGGCTAGCAAGACCAAGATCTTGCAGGTGCAATAGGTTGGGTGGGTTTCGATGATAATGATGCGGATGATGTGGATGATGTGGATGATATGGATGGACGTTATAGGATATGGTTCTCTTGACACTACGAACTGGCACGGGACTACTTTTGATCCTCGTTTTCACGATACTATCGTGCCGGGTGCCTGGCCTAGGCATCGGACATGGTTAATGAAGTGTTAGCATGAGATGGCGTTTGGGGGATCTTCCTTGATAGAGGTGGTAGACGAGCCAGAGACTTTAAACAGATATCGCTTCTTTCTGATCATACACTATTTTCTTCTACCTCGCCAATCTCCCCCACCTGCTTCTTTCACACCAGCGCACCCTCCGCCGCCTCCGCGCCCAGTGCTTGGTACGCCGGATCCTGGAACCACTCCTGCCGCCAGTACCTGTTGTAGATGCACCAGAAGACGATTTCGGCAAGAATCATCCCGGCGAACACGATGGAGAGTATGGTGCCGAGGCTCATGACGTTTTCGGTGCTTACTTCTAGCGACCGGCGATGAGGTTTGGAGGAGTTGGTTTCTGTATCTGTGTGGAGCTGGAGTATGCGTGCTAGCATGTAGCTTGTTAGTGGTGCCGCCATGGTTTGGTAGGTACGATATCTAAGGTTGGGTTTATTAGGTAGTTATGGGGGTCAAGGTATTTAGGTTTCCAGGAAGAATTTTCAGTGCAGGTTTTATGTTCGCGGGCTTTGAAGTAGGGGAAGCTGGATTAAAAAAAAATCGACATATGGACGTGATACGACGTTACTCACACTGTCGCAAAGTGTAACGATTCCAATCCCATACCCTCGGTCGTATTTTGCTGACACCGGCGATACCTTACGCGTGACTAACAAACATCATATCCCACCGCGGTCCTATCATCTGAATTCTCCCAATCCCGCGTCGAACCTCCGCTGCCACCTCTCCCGGTCCCGCCTCTCCCGGTCCCGCCTCTCCTGCTCTCGCCTCTCCTCTTCCCGAATCTCCTCCTCTCTCTCCCGGCCTCGCCTCTCCTCCTCCCCCCTCTGGCGCTCCAGCCTCTCCCGGCCCCGCCTCTCCTGCTCTCGCGTCTGGAATCGCCTCGGGTCCCGCCTCCAGTGGCCGTCTTGGTATAGAACCCATGCGACAGATGCCCCGAAGAAGAAGACCGTCAAAATACCTATAGTGAACATGACGCCCGTTGGAAAACCTGCGTACTCGGACGGTGTAGCTTGGGATGGGGATCCAACACTCCTGTTGCTGTAGCTCGCGCCTGACGGCGTGGAGGTTGAGGTGGATAGAATGCTTAGCGATGTCTGTTTCATAGGTAGATGGGGTTACGTCGGCTTTCGTGTATCTGTTGTTGATCAGACTTGAGTGCTTTGGTAGGTTGTGATCAGGGGGCGGTCATCAGGGGTAGTTGGCTTTTTGTGGGTCTCGGAATAGGGGCTGGTGTAGACAGACGATGGATTGTCCCTCAGTCCAGAGAGTCAAGGCGGTAAGTTAGTATTTATCTATCGTGGAATTGGGGGTTGCGTGATGATATCGTGAGTCAGAACGACGCCGGGGCATATGACCATTCATGACTGGTAGAAACAAGACCCAAATTCGAGCCCAGTCACACATCCATCACCCTTGCTTCGACTGATTCCAGCACCTCTAACGCGACTTTACCGTGTCCCAACACCCCAAGTCTCTTCAACAGTAACCCAGAGTCCCAGTGAGCCTTCAAGCCTCCGAGGTTCAACATCCCGATCCCGCACCACCCCCTTCCCCATGCCAAGAAATATCCGTCTTCCCCAGATTCTCCCTCTAAAGGCGGCGTTTCAAATGGATACACGTAATTCCAAGAACGAGAAACAGTCCGCAGCCAAGACCAAGACCGAGGCCTAGTCCGAGTTTCTCTTCTTTGCTCAAGCCGCCCGAGTTGGCTGCGATATCTCCGGCCCCTGCGCTTAGTCTGACGAGTCCTCGCTGGATGTGCTCGAAGGCTGCCGGTAGCGGTGCCATGGTGTGGGTGATGGTGTGGTGGTAGATAGAATGGGTGAGGGATTGCGAGATAGTCGGCCAGAGGTGTGTGTATGAAGATTATCGCGCGCACAGTGGTGTGGTAGATGCGTTCAGTCGCACAGGCTTGAAATGTGCTGGAGACGACGGAGGGACAGAGGGGTTTGAGATGTGGCTAGTGGCAGATAGTGGTTTGTTCTTTTTACTCGTGTGGAGCTACATCAACGGAGTGAGAAAATGCGAGTTGATGTATCCGGAATACGTGGAGTTGGGGGCACCGTACGATTATGGTGGTTCTTTGTTCGCATGTTGGTTATGCCGCGGTGACTAACTGGCCGCATTCCTCGGTAAACATCGCGTCACCAGCTTCATCCATCCGCATAGAATAATGAGTTCGGATACTGGAACCATCGCTGAATCACTGGCACTGAGTTCAGATCTTCCTCTGGGGCTCACGTGGAAGTGATTGGTACGGCGTACACGTGGTTCATGTAACTGGTGTTCGTGGCTCACAAATCATCCCATGTCTAGGTACTTGAGGACAATCCCTTCAATTTGCACGTCGGCTTGTTGAGCATGACTTCTGCTTGATTCTGACTTGACTCCGCGTATGCTATTCCGAGTTGTTCTAGTAACGCGACACTAGGCTCGACGATACCTGCGCGGGATAGGGGGGAGCATAAGCGTTGAAGACTACTGTGATCTGGCACAACTCGATGATGCCACCTTGAGCGAATGCATGAATGATATTATGCCTCTCGGCGGAAATGAAATGAACTCCTTAGGGAACGAAAGGCACCTGCATATCCTGCAACATCTCCATCTCCCTCCAACTGCTCCCACACTTAACCCCCGAATCCCACCTAAAGTGCCCCAGCACCAATATCCAAGCCACCTGACTCCTTACATCGCACGTCCATTCTCATGATGCAGAGACTGCAACACGTCCCGCGCGTGCATCCTCCTCCTAGACTCACTCTGTTCATCTGCTCTCGGCTTTATGCGAAGCCAGTGCCACACAGTATAGAAAATGATGACGGCGACGACGGCACCGCCGATCGTGCAGCCGATGATGATCCATTGTGTCCTGTAGGGCAGGCCGCTTCCACCCGCTGTTGCTGCTGCTGCTGTGCCTGTGGTGCCGCTGGAGTCGGACTTTCCTTTTCGAATCTGTAGGATCGGATTTGACATCGAGAAGCTGGCACCGCAGCAGAGTGTTCGTCCACAGATATGAAGGGATTTGCTAGGGCCGAGTCTTCGCGTAGTGTGGAGATCGCGCTCGTGTGGTAGACCGTAGACGAGGTAAGCAGATGTGCGGAACAGTGAAAGATAGAGAGGTTTGATGTAGCTCCAGGGATAGGTCAAAAATGGGCGCGCCCGGCGAAGTGTCGTGGTTCGTACCCTGTGAAATGCGTACTGCGAATAGCAAGTGAGTTGTTCGGTGGATTGGCTCCATAGGATAACTTAGATGCCTGCCTTGGGCGAGAGAGTGCGAGTATATATAGAGCCATTCGAGGCGTTAGAGAGTTCATGGTTGTTAGTCATCTCGTGGTTCTTGCGAAACGAGGTTGGAACTTTCTTTATCACTGTTCTTGTTCCATGCGTACAAGTTTTCCTCGTTGGCCTAGGAGGGACATTCCTCGGTAATGGCCTTACTACCAACACCACGGGTCTGGGAACGGAATCACCCGACAAAAGAAGTATCGATAGGAGGACCTGCTGTACACAGCTGCATGAAGCTTCTCCCCCAAACCGTATAACCAACGCATCGCAAGATTCAACAGTGATATACCCAGCAAGATCCCTGCGCACTCAGGGGTATTTTCCCCTACCCAAACCGACCAATCCTCAACACAGTAGGCCAAATCTTATAGCATCCAGCCCCATCGCTTATCCCCTGATCGATCCATTATCTCCTAAACCGCACGATATCTCGCGTCAAGTCGTCGATATAGCCACCACAGTTCAACGAGCACTCCGGCACAGAAGCACATGTTACGGTACAAGTACATTGTACCTCCACATGTACCTATATATATGGGAGGCCCACCTCTCACCTGAAGCGGCCTGCCTTCTTCCTTCTTCCTTCTTCATAGATCGTTGAATCTAGCTTTATCTATCCATCAGTCCTGATCAGTTGTACTGCAGGCCTGATCGTCACAGCACAAAGCAAGAAACCCAATATTGACAGCAAGCATCATATGAACGAAATCCCTCAAGCCGTATAAACGCGGAGTCGTGACTGCGCTGCCGTGGCCGTCGTGTCCCTGAATCCCAACTGTCTGCGGTGCCATGGTGGTCGTGGTTGTGCTTTTGGTGTTGGGGGCTCTGCTTCTTGTCGTACTTTCGGGCAGCGGTCGAAGAGCTTGACAACAAAATAAATACTAAAATAAATCGTGTTGTCGACCTGATAGTGGTATGCCGTGTTGGTGAAACTCTGAACTTTCGCACTTGGCTGAATCCGGATCTGGCATGTGTGACGCTGTGTACCGCTGGCCAGGCTTGTCGTGTGTTTGAGGTACAGCTTGTGTCGTGTGACCCTGCGCGGTTGGGTTGACAGGACGGGGCTTCCCTGAGGTGTGTGTAGCGACTGACGGGGTTCGAGCGAGGGGTGATGGGGACAGACTTTCTGACAGTGATTTTTATCTCTCTGGGATTTCTGTCAGATTCATATACTTTGGAAAGGAGGGTAGCCTTCGATGGCTTCCTCACTTTCTCGTTGGTCGCTCCTATGTCATCCCCGGACACTATCTGATTATCTTGTCGATGGCTTTGTTGACTTTACGATATGAATCTTGCCACGACCTCGTCGCATCTCATCAGCGCGAATATCCCGTGACTAAGAGGTCGACGTGATTGAGAGAGTTGGAGCTATTTCTACGGACTTGATCTCGAGTGGCTTGCGCCACTGACACCTTGAGGGTATTTTGAGTATTTTGATCTAGAGTTCCTACTAGACGGACACCGTCTCTCGAGGGGGGTACAAACCTCAATATTCCGTGATTGATTAACGCCGACGTCCTGTGACTAACATTGCATCGATCAGATCAGATCAGCTCATCTTGGAATTCTACCAAGATCAGACGTTCAAATCTCCAGTGATTTCAAAGCGCAGTGGGCGAACCCCGATGCCGCCTCATACCAAGCCAGGAGCAGCACCAGCAACTCGTCCTCAAATACGCCACACACAACCCGACCCATATGATGAACAAAGCCGAGAAGGCTACCGCCAAGCCGATCGCGAAAGCTGTGTTATTATCAACCTCTGACTGCCGAAGCAATAGATGGCGAGGATTGGAGCCGTCGTTGGCGACTGTTGGTGTCGCTGTTGGCGTCGGTGTGAGGTACTTTGTGGACAGGTGCTGGTGCTACAGGAAAGGGACGCCGAATAATCTGTTGTGTTACGTGTTTGGATATGCGCAGGTTGTTTGTGATCAATGTCGAAGATGGGTGTTATACCGCTTGCGTCAACCTCATACCGTTGGTAGCAATGAAAACTCCCGGCGAACCCAAGAACTTATAACCCGCAGTCGCACAGCATGCCTCAGTCCAGCCGAACTCTCTCCTTTCCTGAGTACCGTCACTACCCCCTAACGGCCAAACAAGAATATCCGAGACATTGCCCGAGCAATATATGAACGACAAAGAACCCCCAACAAGTCCACCACCCAGGCCGAGACCTGACCATTTGACCACTCGACTCCAGCCTAGTCTACTACCCCCTCGAATGCAACTCAACGTGTCTATTAAACGGACACTGGTCCTCGCGCGTCTTCATGCACCAGCAGCCGCATACGAGAAGGAGCACGAGTGCACCGCCGGCAAGACCGAGGCACAAGCCCAATACATCCTTGTTCGAGAGGCCGGGATCGCCGGGAGCTGGTTCATCCGCTGCTACTAGGCTCCATAGGATAGCTTGAAGAAGGGGCGCGATCGTGTTGGGGCGAGGGGTGTGCATCGTGGATATATGGAGCGGTTGACTAGGTAGGTTGGGGATTGCTATCTTGTCGGGAGGATGCAACAACAGAGCAGTTGAGCTTACAGGGAAATCTAAGGTATGTAGTTAAGGGAAACTCAGGCCCGGTACAATTGGTTTATTTTCTTAAATACTTAAGTACCCGGGGCCGGTCAATCATCGCCTCCGCCAGAACCGCAGCCAGAGCCAAAATATGATCCCCAGGATAACGAACGTGCAACCGGTGACAGTGCCGATGATGTTCAGAATCGAGTGCATAGTATTGCAGAGCAGGAGTGGGCGAATTGTGCGCGTCGACATGGCCAGTTGCGGAAGTCTTAACGGATTCAGGGGCTAGGAGGAGAACGCGTATTGTTCCTGCTATATGTCGCAACCACAAGGGGCGGTAGAAGAAGTAGGCGCGAGCTATTACTTAGCTTTATAGAAAGTAGGTAAGTCTGGACTATTCGCGTCCGCTGCGAGCATGAGTACTTATGACTACCTCCTCATCAGTGGTGCTTACGAAGTCCTTTTTCTGTGAAAAGCGCCCCTTAAGTATGACCGTATGATACCTCCCAAGCCTCTCACACGGCTGCCCTAAGCCAATCCTCATCTGCGTCGCGTCTTCTCACATGCGATCGTGAAGATCGTGAAACATACGAACGACCACGGTCAAGACGACAGCAGCGGTGATCCAATTCATATTCGATTCGTGGGTTAGTTCGTATTCGGCGGCGGCGGCGGCGGCTATAAGTGCCCACAGGAGGCTTCAAAGTTGTAGCCACCGTGGTCTTGGGTCTTGGGTCGGGAATCTGAATTCTACATACTACATTGCCAGCTTCTTCCAGCTATTAAGCTTCAATCGACGAGTATGGTACAGGAGATAGATACATAGTCTGACACAGAGCCTTATAGGTTGGGTGAGTGAGACTATTACTCTTGCAGTGACTGGAGAATTGCCCCTGACACGGGCACGCTGTCAGCTGACGGTAGCTAGATAGGTACCTTAGATAAGTGTACCACTTGACTTTCATTCATCGGGAAGATAGCATCATTCGCGTATGTGTAGCATTAATTACCGCTTCTCTAAGCCTCTACTCAAGGAGGTCATGCCTCCGTCATAGATATGGGAAGCTTGGATAAGGAGATAATAGCGGCACCCCAGTGTGGCCTCCTCCATGCAACAAGCCGTGGCCGGGCTGATGATCTCTGCGGCCCATTAGGCGGCGTGCGCGGGTTCCTAGCCATAGTCTATGGTGGGGAGAGGTATTGCATCTTGTATCATGGGTTGCTGGGGCTCAATTCCATATCGATACTTGAGAGACTACTCGATGAAGATGCACAGGTGCTTATCCACTGGATTGATGACCGCCGAGGAGCGTGTTAACAGCTAGATAAAACAAACTCGCAGCGAGGCATGTTCGTTTAGGCGAATCCTCCTACCCACGTGAGAATATGCCGTTCACTGCTGTGCAGGAATCAGGGAAAGCTTATCTTGATACCAGTTGTGTATTCGCACAGGCGGCGTGTCGATGTAGTCCCACTGAGCTGCAGCTCATGGTCATTCGTGACCATGTCGAAAAGGACGTTCGCGCAAATTGCCAGCATCACCTTGAACGCCGGTTGTGCCCAGAACCTTTGCATTTGGGGGAAATCCGCGAAAATTGTATTTATCTCGCGAGTTGCATGCCAGCCATAACCGAGAACCATGCTTTACGTTACCGCCTTGACACCTGGAGTGAAAGCAGCTAAACCCCAACCATCGCTCCCGTATCGTCACATCCCTAGCCTCTCAAATTTATGAGGCAGCGATGGCCTTGCGCGTCCGGACACCGCGTTGTCTCGAGCTCAGGTGCGCCGACTCACGCTCACGGACCTGGTCCGACTTCTGAACAACCTCCTCGCCCTCGGTCAGGATCAGCTCGATGTGGCACGGGTTCGACATGTAGGGGTTGATCTGGAACCGTCGTCAGTATTCATCCCTAGTAGTGCTTGCGACATGGTAACATACACGACCGTGGGCACGGTAGGTTCGTCTGCGCTGCTTGGGGGCCTGGTTGACCTGGATGTGCTTGACGATCAGGTTGCTGGTGTCGAGACCTTTGGCATCGGCGTTGGACTCGGCGTTCTTGAGGAGGCCGAGCAGGAACTCAGCAGACTTGACGGGCCATCGAGCGCGGGAGACACCGAACTGCTTGCCTATTCAATCCAATTATGTCAGCTTCCGTTCCTTCGCAAATACCCGTTGGCTGCAAGAATGAATCCCACGAATCCCAATCGGTCTCCAATCGCAATTGTCCTCATCATCAATAGACATCCACGCCGGAGTAAGCAAAGGGTTGGTTTGTACCTTGGGAGGCTCGTCCGGTACCGCCGGCATATCGTCGCATGGGGACAGCCTCAGTGTGCTCCTTAACGTTCTCGAGGAACTTGACAGCGCGAGTCAACTTCCAGCCGTTGATGGCCTGAGCGGTCTCGCGAGTGTTCTTAAAGGAAACTCGCAGGTAGGCACCGCGGGCGCGAGCCGATTTGGCGGACTCGATCTCGGTGGCAGCGTATCGAACCTGAGAAGAGGCCATCGTTAGTCCCCGGGTCCCAATACAAATATCCAAACGACCTCAATTCGACCAGCGCTTCCCCCCGAGATAATTCCACCGGAAAGAAGGGACACCGTGATCGAACATTCGCGGGGAGCATGCGCATGGGTACATACCATCTTTGCTGTCGGTTGTGGTGGTGAGATGGAGTCGAGAGTGTCGTTCGTTGATGTGAAGTTTTCGCCAAATGTTGGGTGGGCTGGAAAGGTCAAAATGAAAAGTTGTGCCCTCGCTAAGTCGATCGATTGGCGGGCGGCCCTGATTCTGGCTGGCAGCTGCGCTAGAAAGTGGCACCTCGATTTCTCTATCTTATCGGACGGGCAATCTTCGGGACTGCAGAGAGCTTGGACCACGCTGAATTATAATGCTCGGTCAGGATCAATTGGCACTACCCACTATCGATAGCTCCAGAAATTTTTTCGAAGCTTCCAAGGACGAACTTTTCTATCATAGCTCTTCACTTCCGTGCAAACTTCCTGCGATTGCGCCCACCCATACAAGCAACCGCAACACGAACCCTGCTGCCTAGTCCAACAAACACGTCCCATTTTACGACCCGACACAGCGCCGAGCAGAAAAAATGGCATTCGGCGGAACCCCAAGAGGTAGAGGTGCCCCGCGCGGCGGCGGACGAGGAGGCTTCGGCGACAGAGGCGGCCGAGGCGGTGGTCGCGGAGGCTTTGGTGACAGAGGTGGCCGAGGTAAATGAAATACAAGATGGTCACCTGCGAATACGGTCTGATGATCATTTAGGAGGCGGTCGCGGTGGTGGTCGAGGCGGATTCGGAGACCGGGGCGGTCGAGGCGGCCGTGGAGCTCCCCGAGGTGAGCTCACTATACAACAATACTTCGGACTCGGTTTTGACAGCAATTAGGTGGTCCTCGAGGTGGTCGCGGCGGTGCCCCTGGCGGCCGCGGAGGTGCCAAGGTCGTTGTGGTAAGTTAATCCTCTGGTTTGCGGGCTGTACACAACTAAATGCTAATGTCTTGCTAGGAACCCCACCGTCACGAAGGAGTCTTTGGTCAGTAATCATGTTGGAAGTAGCAGATCGCGAAGGGCTGGAATCACTAACGAAGCTTGCGGTCCAGTCTCGAGAGGCAAGGAAGATCATCTGTTGACGAAATCTATCGCACCTGGCCTCGAGGTGTACGGAGAGAAGCGCGTTTCCGTCGATAGCGTTCAAAAGGACGCCGATGGCCAATCCGTGACTACGAAGGTAGAATGGTATGTCTCAACCCATTCCATTTGGAAACGAGTCCCTGTTTCTCGAGGTCAGCAGCAACATATACTAACATATCGGCAGTGAGTCATGCGCGAATGCCGCTTTCACCGGCCACAGACCAGAATCGAAGGTTACAAGTACTAATGAGAGATTTCTTCAGACCGAATCTGGAATCCTTTCCGCTCCAAGCTTGCAGCTGGTATTATTGGAGGCATAGACAACAGTACGTGAGAGCTTGGACATCTTCTGAAGGAGCCGATACTGACCGCGGATTAGTCTATATGGGACCAGGAAAGAAAGTTCTGTACTTGGGTGCCGCGTCAGGAACTTCAGTGTCGCACGTCTCTGATATCGTGGGGTATGGAAACAACGATGCTCATGAAAAGCGAAGCTCTACTGACTCAAGTTCAACAGTCCAACCGGAAACGTCTATGCTGTCGAGTTCAGTCATCGCTCTGGTCGTGATCTAGTCAACATGGCCCAGAACCGAACCAACGTCATCCCCATCGTCGAGGACGCTCGTCACCCCCTCCGTTACCGAATGCTCGTACCGATGGTCGACTGTATCTTCGCCGACGTAGCGCAACCAGACCAAGCCCGTATTGTCGCCCTCAACGCCCAATCATTCCTCAAAGTTGGTGGTGGAGTCGTCATCTCGATCAAAGCCAACTGCATTGACAGCACAGCTGCCCCCGAGGCAGTCTTCGCACAGGAGGTTCAGAAGTTGCGCAGCGAAAGGATCAAGCCCCAGGAGCAGTTGACATTAGGTATGCTCCTCCATCCCATCTCCCGCCAGGCGCATACATGCTGACTAACGGAATATAGAACCGTACGAGAGAGATCACTGCATCGTGATTGGTCAATACCAGGAGGCCAAGTAAACTAGGCATCGGACTATGGGAGGTCTGCTTATGCTGTACTACTGTCTTACGATGTGTGGTGAATTGCATTCCACCACGGCTGGATCTCATCAGGCAATGGCGACTGGGCGTTTCGGGGTGGCTTCTGCTGTTACTTCTGCTGTTTACTCAACTTGTGCATATTTCCAGGAATAAGTCAGTATGGCTGATACCAGACATGCAAGTCATTTTCTAATGTTCAACGTTCTCATTTTCAACGAAGGACATGCGCTCGATCTCAAGAACGTGATGTTACGTAAAAAAAGCTTTCCAATGATTCCTGCGTTCCCGTGTCTCCTAGTTTCCCACGATTCCATCGGCGTCAAAGTCTTCAACACCTCGATTTAATCCACACACACAGCATCGGCCTGTTGATACGACCATCCTCGGAATGAATTTGTAGTGGAGGACTAGGTCATTGCGAACGTCTGCACAGTTTACCAACAACATAGGTAAGTATTGATGATGGACACGTACGTATATGTACTAGGCGTGCGCAGCCAGTCAGCTCACTCGTGCCCCCGTGCAGTTTTCGACCGTGATCTTCGAACAAGATGATGGTATCTAGAAATCCGAAGGGCTCTTCGGTGGTGTTAACACTCTCGTGTCCGCCTGTCCACCAGATTGGCACTGCCATACGCCCGGAGTCGCCTCAACAGAACCGCCGACGTGTCCTGCCGCTGTCACTACCGGTGCTGGTGCAGGTGCTGGGACTCCTCCGCGGCCTGGGCCGGCATCCCACGCGCCCGCCGACGACCACGGGCTCACGAGTCCCCACCTCGCGGCGTTGGCCAAGACTGGCCCGGCGCTGATTGCTGATCCTCCCATTGCCATGTTTGTTGGACTCGGGCTGGTTGCGGTCCCGGGGCTGGGGGTGAGGCCTGGATTTGCACTTGGACCTCCTGCAAGACCATCGCCCTGTCCGTACAACTGCTGCCGCTGCTGCTGCTGCTGCTGCTGCTGGACCCCATATCCTTGACCATAACCATACCCTTCACCATAACCGTAGCCATAACCTTGACCAGAACCACACTCATCTGCGTTCCCAACGCCCAATATCAGCACCCGCACCACAGGCTCCGGCTGCCAGTCCATCTCGTCGGCGGCGCCGAACCCGACGCCCACCTCGTCGCTCCACCGCGTGATGCGCGCCCGCAGCGTCCGCGCCAGCCAGTCGCGCAGCGCGAGGTTGGACTGCCGCACGTCGCGGCACTCGGTGCAGAAGCGGGAGCGGGTGCGCGAGGTGGAGGACGATGCGTTGGGATTGGATTGGTGTGGGTAGGGAAAGCTGGCGGGGTACGGCCAGCTTTGATGATGCGCTGCCGGGTTTGGACTCCGAGGAGGAGTCTCCCCTTCGGCCGCGAACGCGGCGAGGAGACTGGAGGTCGTGCTGCTGGTGCTTGAGGTGGAGGAGCGGCGGCGGCCGTGGTGGTGGTGGTGGTGGTGGTGCCGTGGGTGGTTCTGGTTGCGGTTGTTGTGCCTTTGGTCCTGGGTGTTGCGCCGCAGATGTGGGTTCTGATGTTGTCCGGGCCAGGCCGGGTTCCGGGTTTGAACGCGAGGACTGTTGAAAGGGTTGTGATGGTTTCCGCGCTTGGTGGCTGGGAACGGGACGTCAAACGGGTTGCGGTTCTTCGCGCCTCTGTTGTGGTCGGTCTTATTGGGCGAACGCCGCTTCGGACCCGGGGTTGGGTTGTCGACGCCGTGCATGGGGTAGTCGTCATCTCGATCGAGGTTCCGGGCGCTGGTCCTGGCGGTGGTGGTGTTTGGGTTGCCGTTGGACTTGCCGTGCCGGTTCTTCTTCCTCCCTCTTCCCATGGTAGTTGGGGGTTTCTGCCTTGCCTCCTGTTGGGGGTCTTTCGGGTGTGTCTTCTGGTGTCTGGCGAGTTAGGCTCTTGTGAACAAGCTGGCTGGATGGATGGGCAATGGAAGTCTTTGCAGAGAGCTAGCTGGGTGCTTCTGGGTGTTGCTTGGGAGGCTCGGACTGAAGATATATCAATGCCCCATCGCCTCACATTGTGAAAAAAGACATCACATTTTCTGAGGGAGCTTTCTTCATCTTGAAGATTCCTTCGCAAGGAGTTAGGGGGTGAAAGGGTTTGATTCAGTCACATCAGGTGGGTGTTTAGGCTGTGAGACTATGGAACAGCATTGACTACAAGAACAAGGGCCAAATAAATCGAAGTGACCAAGATGGTGTGATTGGAATCATCTATCAAGGTCAGTTGAAACTCCTTGATGGTGAAGACTATGGCGAGGCAGAAGCTAGAAGGCTTCTAGAAGAAGGTACTATGTGTTGTTTTATAGTGAACCATGACAAAGGGGGTCTCATCTGGGAGCAGTACTCGTCAACGTGCGTCCAGTCATTCTCATCTCATAGCTGGCCACAATGAGGAATGCGAAGAGCGAGGTTGCCTGCGTGAGAAGGGCGACAGTGCCTGACACGAGCAACCCCCCGTTTTTTAACAGGGAGTATCTTCAGCTTTCATAGGAAGGTACCTTCTTTGGCAACTGGTCACCCTGGTTCTTGCTTGAGACTTTGTCTGACACCTGGAAGAACCTCAAAGGACCGTTCTATTGATCTAGGTAAAGGAGAAAGGATCAAACCTGCCTACAACTTCACTTGACTGCGTCAAGTGGGTTTGTGAGCCAAATACAGCACTTCATCTGCTGCTCTTGCAGCCGCGGATGTCGCTGACAATGCATATTGTTGATCCTCTGTGCTCTTCGCCCCGGGGCACCGTAGCGAATCAGAACGGAGGTTATGGCGAGAGATGTCAGGTGTTGTGGCTTGGTTGGTTTACCATCATATAGTAGCCTCTCTACTACCGCATGCGGAGCTCAACAGGCCTTATGTGCAAATATCGTGGGTTGCACTGCCAGTCAGCGAGCGCATCGCGAGGCTCGTCTCTAGCTTGGTGATGACTTCACCGAGATTTGGCATGTTGACCCAGCTGCCAGCCAGTGCCCCGGCACACCCGGCCATGATGGAGCATGGGGGAGGGGAAGGGTGACGAAGTTCTCCGAGTCCGTGAGTGTCCAGATCCTGGTATGCCATGCGCTCGTTCCCGGTATGATGATCTAGACCCAAGCCTTTGAGCGACCTAGGCTCATTGCGCGGTACGCTTTGACGGACTGCAGCTTGACAGGCTAACGCTGCGACATCTGAGAGCTTCCCCGGATCCTTCTTGACCCTTGACCGGTGAGCCATGGCCCGCGGCCAGACAGCGCATGGCTTGGGAGAACAGGGATTTCTTCGCGAAACACTATCTTCTTTTGGGAAAGCTTGAAGAAACCCGGGTTCCCAGCTGAAGTGTTGGTTGATGTGGAGCTGGAAATGCGGCCCGGACATGTCAAAGAACCTAGGCACGGAACAGATGGAAAGGTGGTTATCGGCTTGCATGGCTCTGCTGAGCCGCATGCGCTGTGCCTGGCAGGAATTGCCATAAGATCTTCTCGGTATCGCGAACCTGTGGCGGCGTTTCAACTTCGGTTGATCACATATCGATACAGCCAGTCGGTGGTCCCCTCGAGCCCTATCGATAGTTTGACCATTGTCAACCACGCGGGCAGTCTTTGATCATCCCAGATCGCCTGACAAGTCGTCTCACGAGTCACGGATTCGGCCCTCAAGCTTTGTGACGTTGGCGGTGTGAGCACTGCTCGATTGCACTGGTACACGAGTACCTACTCCTGCCTACCTGCATGCACTTGCAAACTCCCCTGGGATGTCCACTAGCAAGAGACTGATGATGCCGAGTCGTCCTCAATTCGACGTGCGGGCCGGGTTGTCTGCGTCTGATGTTTCGTCTCAACCTGCTTATTAGGGAATTCTTGCGATACCAGCATTGAATCCATCGCGTGCGCTGCAGTGTTTCGACTATGCCAGTACACGGCCTCCTAAGTTTCAATTGCTGAGTATCAAGGATGATGACGCACTATGCTTGCGGTTCATGAGAGAGCTTCAGACGACGAATCACTCTGAGCCAGAACAAACTCAAGGGCGGAAACCCCAGCAGATGTCGAGCTCCCAACGCAGCCGAGAAATTTGGCTCCGTCACGGGATCGCAGCCTGCTGCAGCCTGCCAGCCTGCTTCCTAACGTCTCATCAGCCCTTGATCACAGTCAGCTGCGTGCAGAGTGCTACAGTGTCGTCCTCACTCCAATACAGGCATTCGACGCGAATCGGACATGCAGACATGTCAATATTCCCCTTCCACCTGCCTTGCATATGTGGTCGCGTCTCATTCTCTGGGGGAGATGCAACCTGAACCCGGCAGTCACATGCAGGTGAACCCGGCCCCATTTCCGAGTCACACACTCACACGCCGTGATGGTTCGATGAAGCATCGCTCTTGGGATCAGCTGGCCACCTTCCTGATCTGGCGCGTCTGAGCACTTCTGGAAACCAGGAGCCCACGGTCGAACGGCGGCACGGGTATGGGTGCCCACGTAACACGACGGGGTTTCTCAGAAGCACAGAAAACGTCTGGTGTCTGTTAGTCTGTACGCGTAACTGATCGGACGGGTCTGCAGTACGCTGCTGAGGATGGCGGTACGTAGAAACATATGTAACATGACTTTTGCAGCAACGCATTGAGGCTGGGGACTCCAGCTTGTCGAAGGACAGCTTCATGTTCTGTGGAAATTGAGTCTGACAGGCGGGGCAGGGCAGGGGGCTTCTCAGGGTCTTGTTCACCCCTGGTAGTTAAATATGCAGTTATGCAGTGCATACCTATTACCTAAGAGATATGTAAGTAAGGTATCTTGAATGGAAAGCGCACAGACACACACCAAACACCGGACTTTACACTTTACAGGGAGCACAACCGGGTGTGTCGCACACATCTTGCTTTCCTGAGATGCGACTGGTACGCGATCCCTCATGAAAGCCCAAGCCACAGCGAATCCCGAGTCCTTGCCGAGCTTGCATCTTCACGGCGTAGACGATGACCCTTGTGCAGATTATATCGCTCGACTCGCGAGCAGTTACACACCGAGGCGGTGTGATCAGCCGGGTTGTGTTTGCATATGTGGCTTGAAGCAATTGGGTTTGATACTTCGCGGACAGCAAGCTGACTCGAGATAGTTTGAGTCCGTCCACGAGGTAAGTTTGGGTCCATCCAACGAGGTAAACCGGCTATACTTGGGATGGCTGACACCCTCCAAGCCGACAAGGCGGGCAGCTCTCTTTTTGATGCTCTAGTCTCACACTGATCGTTGTCTTGAACACCCTTCCATATGTCAGCAACGTGGGTATGAGATCATTCTGAATGGACAGCGCGATGGTAGCAGCACGAGGGGCCCGACCTGCCATGGTATCTGTCAACGTACACAAGAGGAGTCCTGCGATCAGTATCTCTGTATCACCCGGAGGACGGCCCTCATTAGCCGGCTTCGCTGCATTCGAATACGGAGTCTGCTGCGATACGAAGGACCAACCCGGCTATATTGACTGTCTCTCCTGTGCCCGTAGCGTTCTCACGGCCACTGCTGGTGCCATCATCAACGCTGGTCCCATCATCAACTGACATAGGAACCCCCGATTGCTGCGCACGAAGATCGTTGGAGGCCGTTTTCTAGCTTCGAGAATACATCCTCTGTGAATGCATCTCTGAGCCAAGCCGGAATTGACACCATACGAGACCCAACCGTATCACAGTCAAACGTCACCACGGTGGACAAAGTGACCGTTCTGCTGCGGTGTCACCCCTACCGTGTAGGCTTTTATGTGACAAACGTGTAAACCCTGGAGGGCTCCTTCGTTCACAATGACGATGACGATGACGATGACATCCGATCATGTCGATAAACCTTTGGGAAGCAGTCGGTTCGAATCGGGCAAGCGACAGATTTCCCCGAGAACGATGACAACGCAGACCTATCACTCGGAAACGAGATGCAGACGGGCGAGAGGCATGGTTCTAGCCCTGTAGTCGACCCCAACCTCGCATGGATGGAACCCCGTGGACTCTGGAGAACTTACATTGCAGGTCCAGTGGCTATTCCCCGATCGAAGTGTTGTACTCAGTGTGCAGCAGCATATAAGGAAAAAACTTCACTCATTGCATAATGTCATACTCAGCGTCTCCATGGTCCATGTGTTTCTGACGGAGACAACGACCCTTGACGGCCGAGACCTTCCCCTGCCAATCTGGGGTACCCGACTCGAGCAGCCGACGCAAGACTTGGTACTCCGGGGTCGCCAAGCTGACTGAGCACCGTTCGGTTGGTCTAACGCACTCCACCCGGCCTGTCAGGGCAATACTGGACAATCTTATTGGCAACGGCTACGTGAATGTCAGTGTCGAGTCAAAAGCAGTCAGCCCGGGCGCATGAGTCTCGAGGATAACCTGCATGTTTTCGTGTCCCGGGACCCCCTGCTCATCGCCGCGGTCATGTCCAATCGTGGGATACCTCGGACCTGTCACGGACTCGCATGCTCTGCTGCTCAGCATGTCCCCTTCTCATTCGTTTCACGGCCCCTTGGGCACCCTGCCGCAGGTCCCTTTCTGTTTCCTCGACTGGGCCGAGCTTCGGTTCATAAGCAGAGTGTTCCGGGGATGGACTACTTCTGCTTGTGAATGACTCCTGCATGGTGACCCCGTCAGAACCTGCATACTCTCGATCTCTCGCAAGGTTCCAGGAACGCTTGTACCGTCCCTGATCCAGCACTCACTCTCCTGATATACTCTGTACTGTTGTCCATTACCCATGACAGACCTGAGAAAGCGCACTCAAGCGGTACAACATTCGCTTCCAAATCTATCAGCCTCGTTATTAGCGATCACAGCTACCTGGTCATGAGCAGGGGCAACGCATATCTTCGTCCCAACCTAAACACTTCCCGACGAGCTGGTCGATGAACTGGTCGACAGTGCTGACCGGAAATTTCCATTATCTGCAAAGATCCCGGCTGGTCACCACAGAGAAGGTCAGGGCGCTGGTCTCCATTCATCTGGTCACTCAAGTCCTCCATTCATCTGAACACCCATTCATCTGAACACTCAAGTCCCTTGATATAATTATATTGGACGGCGCCGCTGCCGCAATACCACGGGAGCACTTGACCAGCTCTTTCAAGCGGACTCGGTCGATTCGCCAATAACTATTCAGCGCCCATCACTTCCTTCGACTGCCTTCGTTATTACCTAGGCCGTGCTCAGTATCGACTTGTGCATTGCACTTCTCTTCGAGAGCCTGTGTCTGAGACACTCGAGCCTCTCGACACTGTCGCTCGACACCGTTGCTCGACCTTACACGCTGGCACTGCCCGCCGTTCCCCCCCCCCAAGATGTCGTCCACAACGCTGTCGGCAGATCAGATCAATTCTATCAACATTATAGAGCGGGTTGGCTCCGTGTTCTCGCTCCTAGGATGCGTTTTCATCATCGTCACCTTCTCTTGTTCCAATGCTTTCCACAAGCCCATCAACCGACTCGTCTTCTACGCGTCGTTTGGTAATATGATGACGAATGTCGGAACTCTCATGGCGACGCAATATACACACCAAGTCAATTCGTTCGGCTGCCAGTTTCAGGCGTTTTTAATTCAAATGTAAGTTTACAAGGTGATTCACGTACTTGTCCATCCGCAATGCTAAACATGCGCCCTAGGTTTCTGCCAGCTGATGCGTTCTGGACGTTGGCGATGGCAGTCAACGTGTATCTGACATTCTACTTCAAGTTTGACGCCACTAAACTTCGCAAGATGGAGATCTGGTATCTCATAATATGCTACGGCGTACCATTCGTGCCCGCACTCACCTTTATTTTCCTAAGCAAGCCAGAGGCGGGGAGGATGTACGGCGATGCGACTCTGTGGTGCTGGGTTTCCTCAGGATGGGACATCTTCCGCATCGCGACCTTCTACGGGCCAGTCTGGTAGGTAATGACCCCTTCCGGCACGAATCCTTTGCTGACCTCTATTAGGGTGGTGATTCTCATCACCTTTTTCATCTATATCCGGGCAGGCCGAGAGATATATAGGAAGCGCAGACAGCTACACAAGTTTGGTGGCAGCAGCAGCGCTCATGATCCGGAAGCGATGACCGGAGACGACCTATATTCAGTGAAGACCACCGAAATCAGTGTCACCACCGAATCTGCTGATGTGGCACAAGAAGAACAAGGCATTGATTTGCGACCCCTGGGCCGGAGCGCTTCTGTGTCTGGCCCTGAACCGACGAAGAACCCTGCGTACTCAGTAACGATATCGTCCAACGCCAAAGGCGACCGCCGATCGCAAATTGCTCCTGTCAGCTCCAGCCCTAGCAACAACAATGACAATAACGCAGACATCCAGCCACCACCGACGGCTCGAGGTCGACCCAGAACGAAGCGAAGAAATTTCGAAGCGAACAACGCCGCCTGGTCATACACGAAATGTGCCATTCTATTCTTTACTGCCCTTCTCGTCACCTGGATCCCGTCCTCTGCGAACCGAGTGTACAGTGTAATCCACGTAGGCGACACCTCAATCCCCCTAGAGTACATGAGTGCGCTGGTACTTCCGCTCCAGGGGTTTTGGAACGCGCTCATCTACATGGTCACGTCGTGGACCGCCGTCAAGTTGTTCTTCTCGGATATCGGACGTCGTGCACAGAAGCGTCCGGCCTCGTCGCATTACCCTAGCGATTTCCACGACAAGCGCAACTTCACGTTCAGACTCTCCAACCGGAATCCGCATAAGCACTTGGAGAGCGAGAGCATGACGGAGCTCGCCAATAGCACAAGACCGAGTTCAAACGAAGAGCCGAAGGGGGATGCTTCATGATACTAGCACATTCTTTCACGAGCTGTACTGATGCTACGGATTCTTCTACGATATGAGCATGCCATATCGGCAGAGGTCGCACTTTTCTGGGGCTGGCTGGCGTTAATGAGGCAAAAGGCTTGTTTTCTGGTTCGGTGGCTGCGTTCGTTTGACATTCGCTTGGCGGATATACCCTGGTGTGTTCTTTTGTACGGCGAGCGGCTGTCATGACTCGTGCGCGAGTGAGGAGGCGGAGATGTGCCTTAAAGGAGAGATAACCGGCTGAGTTCGGGCCGTTCCTGGGTAGTACACCCGAGGTTTGGACGGGACGGGTATTCTGACAGCTGACGACTCCATGCAAGGGAGGAGGTAGCCTGTTGATCCATGACCAAAGGCAGTCCAGCAATAAAAAGTCAATATGCAAGCCCCTGAATTAACTACCAACAGTGATTCTACACCGGTGCCCATGCCCAGTACGGCACGTCGTTGAGGCCTTTTTCCAGCAGCCGCGACATGGTGTATCCGTCTCCCTGGGTCGAATCGGCCGCGGACTCGGCGCTATGCTGCCATCTCCTGCGCGCCGCTGCAACGTCGTCACACCAGTCGAATGTTCTTCGACTTGCAGTGTGCCTGGTATATTGAACCTTCAGGGATAGGGAGCCAGAGCACTCCAGCTACCCAGCAATGCGTCTGCGTGTTGCCTGATATCATGAAGCACACGATCAGGATTATGAAATGTGACCGGGATTGAACCTTCCTTCCAGATGTATGCTATATCACAAGAGCATTTTAATGTACCGACAATTTTTTCACATGTCAGACGTGCTTCGAGCCAACCAATCTGCTTGCTGCCGTTGGTTTCTCTGTGATGCAACCCACCAACCGTACAGCACGATCACTTTCCCCGCATAGCGATTCAATTAATATGTTATAGATTGCATAGATTGGTGTCGCAGCACCTGTGATTAGTGCTACCTCTGTTCTTGTTCCTGCTTCCTGCTATGTAATGTGATTGATTGCTGTCGTCATGTGAGATGTGGCGGCTGTTGCTGCTGTGCTGCGACCCGGGATGATGTTTACTCAGGGGCTCTCGCTTGTGGCTGGCTATCTGCGACCACCACCTGTCTCTATTCGCTCGACCCTGAGCCATGCATGGATTGGACATAAGTACATTGAAGGGACAGATATAAGGTAAGGGGCCGATGGCGAACATACATAGGTACCACACATTCACAAATTAACACCGTATATCTAGTTGCATTTTACCCAGTCCAACCGTCTCGGCGCGACGGAATACCTTGGGACCGACACCCTCCAGACTCCCGGTATCCCCATGCCTCGGCGCAAGAGTCGCGGTCCCGTCGAGAACCGCATGGCATCGGGGCTCTTAGGTACTTAGCGACGACGCTGTAGTCTCCCACTCGCACTCAACTTCAACCAGCACGGGCTGACCCAGATGGGCTTCTTCAAAAGTCATGCCTGCCTGCCTGCTTTGCCTTGCCTACCACGACAGCAGTTCCAATGGTTCGTGGTCGCCGCGTGCATCGGGGGCTTTCAGGAGAGGAGTTCCACTACGATGGGGTCCGCGGGCGGTACCGAGACGCTGGAAGTCCCAGCGAGCTAGGTTAGCGGCCGTTAGGCCCCGCACTTTTGATATCCACCCCGCCGAATAGGGGGGCTTGGTGGGCGCCATCTAAAGGGGCCATGCGGTTAGGTGTGAAATCCATGTTCTCACCGAAAGAGACAGTTTAATGACTTACAACCAACTCGCTTAGGTCCCCACCTGATCTTGGGTATCGTACCGTGTTAGCTGGCTGTCATAGAATAATACGTCTTTCGTTTCCTGCTATGACCATGACCCCAGTAACTTACCAGCGAGCGAGATGAGTGAGTCCAGGCTAGCAGGCTCGAGCACCCACCCCGTTTGTCTCCGAGTATGGGACCGACTCCAAGAGATATAGGTACGCAGGACTCCGCGTGTTCACAGTTGCACTCTCACGCCTATCGTATATGATTAAGTAAGTGGATTGCCAAGCTTAAGACCACGGTCAAAACTCGCTTCCTCTACCAAGATATCGATCTGGAAAAGAAGCCCAATGTATGAACAACGTTGAGTATGAGACGATCACAGGCATGTCAGCCACGCTTCTCGAAGGATTCCCTCCACGCCACATGCGAAGTCTCAACCGGCTGATGCGACACTCAGCCCGTTGAGGCAACCCCATTCAGCGTCTCAACCATTCATTGGTCCGATGCAGGGTAGCATCGTGGGATTCCCACGATCCATTCTCGACGTCTTGCGTCAAGGGGCCGAGACCGAAGGATTGGTCATTGTGCGAGAAACCCCCATGAGGTCCTCTTCAATTGAAATCTGTGCATCAAAACGCAAAAGATTCAAGTATTGCAGCAAATACGTTTGCATTGCTAGCATAAACACCGCAGCTTCAACAACTATCATTGTGTCTCTCTAGTATCACCCATGCCGCCCAGGCCACCTAGATATCTCCCTGAGCCTGTCATGTTAGGCAACCGTGCCCGGAAAGGGGGCGTTCTGCCGCGCAGAGAAAAAGCAGATGCTTGTCTCGGAAGGGGAGTATTCCCATGTCCCAAGGGGTATAAAGCGTAATATCATGAAGTGTGAAAGTGATCCGTCTGCCAACCGCATCATGCGATGACCCCATTGCACCGTGCCTGGTGCCATTCGGTAGCCCAATGTCCACCAGACCAAAGCCGTCCCCTTTTAGTCCCGATCTGGCAAGCGCCGTTCGATCATCAACGATCTTCCTTGACCGCGACGATGTGCGAGTATTGCCAGTAAGTACCCATTTCGGTACATTCCTTGATTATCGCTTCCTCTTCCCACCACCATCGATCTGCATGCACAAAGCCTCCCCAGACTTCTTGCCATAGCATCCTGGTAACCAGGCAACGAAGCTCGGTCGTCACCCTCGTGCTTTCCTTCACCCCGGCCATTTTGGCCAGACTCTCCGTTACGGCGGGTACGGAAACAGTCGCAATCGTGCTCCCCCTTCCTCGGAGACGGCCAACTGCCAACCAGGCAGGAAATGTACCGCTTGGATAAGTCGTGCGGAACATCTGCTCCAGATTGATCAGGAGTTTTTCGAATAGCCAGTTTCTCAATTTGGGTCCCATAGAAGCTGACACGGGTTGCGGATCGATGAGAGTCAAGTGCAGAGCTCCACCAGGTGCGAGGCAGCGATTGATGTGTCGGAGGAAAGGAGGAATCTCGGTCGAGGGAAACAACGCTGGCATGGACAAGCATGACACAGTCGTGTACAACTGAGGAGGAAGTGACCGTGAGCCAGCGGAGGCTGATATTGCGGGTACTAGGATCGGTTGCACATTCGGAAAGAGGTTCGGGGATACAGGGTTGGGCGATAGGTGGGATATCGAGACTTGCGGGTGTAGCGCTGCGAGAAACGAGGCTGATGCTAGTTGAGGTTAGCTTGCTCCGCCAGAGGCTGATCGGATGGAAGAAAGACCTACCCTGGGTTTCGTACAGGGCAAGAATCCTGGGGGTCTTTGTCGCGGTTGGACTGTCTGGACTATTGTTCACGAGCTCAGCCAATTCTGCATACCCACCATGTTGGTGCAACGCGGAGAACATCCAACGCTTCCTAGCCATTTCAAGCTCTCTGTAAACCCTGGCGTCAGAGGCTTCCCCCATGCCGGACTTCATATTCGCAAGCATGAGTTCCGGACTAGCTGCGGCCATCATTCGGACCTCTCGCTGCAAAGCTAGGAGATCCGGAGACATGTAGTGATCAGCCTCTGGACTGGCTGGTGATACTCGCAGCCTTTCATCGAAAGATGGACTTGCGCTCTGCTTTGTCGGTGTACAATCCCATTCGTGCGGGGGCTTCCAAGCATCCGGATTACCCAGTCTTTCGTTGCTGTTGTAGCCAGATGTAAACAGGCCTGGGTAGTTTCCGCCTTCGATGGGCGGCGGGGTCTGTGGTAGACGGTACGGAGGCGGGATGGTTCCTGGCTCTTCGAAGGTCATGCGAGCTCTAGGTCAGGCGTTAGTCATACCGACAGCTTGTGAGGATCACAACTACTTACCCTCCTTCAGGTACTTCTGGCAACGGAGGGGTGTCCGGTTTCGTACGATCCGAGGAGATGTGTATCTCCGAAACGAGGTGGTCGATGTCGGTCTCGGGGGTTCGCGGCGATACACTGACCTCGGTACTCTTGATGATAAAGGAGGATGGGCCCAGAGTCTGGACCAGGTGTTCCGACTTGGAAGTGGCTATCGAGTCCCTTGCAGACGCGCCGGCTAGTACACCATTGGTCGTAGCGGATTGCTGCGTCCATTTCGATACCATGGAGTCTAGACCTAGAAATCAGTGAACATGAGCAAAACCCAAGACAGGCCGCAGTCGTACCTCGAGATGATGGGCTGGAAGAGGCGTCACAGGCCTCAGGCGACTGGACCGGTAAGAATGGTCCATCAATAGGTCGCGGGGCGACCTCCGCCTCATCCTGACCCGGAAGCAGGGTTTTAACAGCGTATGCCGTATTCCGATTGCCTTTGACATCGTCGCCAGCAAGTTGTGCCGAGTTCGTGTTCGACTCCTTGGCTTTCGATGTAGTGAAAGGCTTCCTTCGGCTTTTACTCGCGAAGATCCCGAAGGCGCGCTCGCTTGAAGATGAGCCGGTAGTGGAACCTGACTGGCGACCATCTTGGGACTTCTTCTTCTCCTTGTCCTTGGATTTGCCCTCGATCTCTTTCCTTAGCATCCGCTCCCCCACGAGCTCGCGGTTGGGATCGGTCCAAATGACGTCGAACATTCTGGCTGGGTGGAGGGAAAGGCCGCGAGGTAAGTTTCCTACGGCGGTGTTTCGAAATTGAAGAATGATTTCTTGGATGATTGCTGGATTGGGGTGGAACAACTCTGGGAGGTAGGAATATGGCCGCGCAGCTGTATACGGCAGTCAAATCTCAAAGAATCGCATCCCCAACTCCACTGTCGCTCAGGGCGGGATTTCGGTACTGCAAGAACAGAGATCAGACGAAGCAGGGTGGTGGTTGCTGGGGGTCACATGCGCCGGGAGGCATGCGGCCGACCCTGGACTGCGCAGTGCCTGATGCTTGCTGACACGCGTAAGTCGAATGCGCGTCTTTTAGATGTGGACAATGGAAGATGAGGAGGGTAACAATGCAGTACGTGACCAAGCCGTGAAGGCAAGGTGGAAGTGGAAGAAGGAGAGGATGTCACTGTCACTACCAGATGGAGATAACAATGAAACGTGGACCGAGGTGCAGGTGGTGAGTGGTGAGTGGTGACTGAACGCTACGAAACAGAGTTCAGGCGTGGAAAAGGTGAGACAGATGTGAAGCTGGTCCAGTCCCGATTTTGCACATGGAGGCAGGTTGCAGGCAGTCACGCTAAGGTCCACGGGTAGCGAGATAAAAGGGCAAGCACCTTCCCGTGGTCGAATGTCGAATGTCAAATGCCCTTTTGGGCCATGCGAGTGGCACTTCTCCATTACCCAAACATGAACCTCAGGCACGCACCGAATTAGGAACGTCCTTCAATGTCGACTTTGTAAGAGGTAGCCCAATTTGCAGCGTTCGGGTCACCCTACCTCTACCAACCGTACCCAAGGTAGCTGGGCTACGGTAATTTGAGCACTGCCTTGTGGTCGTCGGAGAAACTCATGCTACACGAACAAACTTCAACCTGCGCGGGAGACAGGCAAATGTGCCATGATGGGTGCAGGTGCCCAGGTAGGACAACTGCGGGGAGCAGATGCGGTGCAGGGCAGCCACCTATCGACGCAGTAACGCGTTGAAGAGAAAGCGATTCAGTCGAGGTTCTCTGCAAGTCGACTGCATTTTGTTCGTCTCCGGGTGACCGGGCATTTGAGAAGAATACTATAGGTACGCGAATGCCACCCTCATGCATCCTTACCTTCGATCAGCTTGCATGGGAGCTATGCCCTTTCACCATAAGAGCACTGACTTGGCGTGCGGACGAAGCCATGCTTTACGAAGCAAACTTTGCGGAAGACGACAAGCTCATCGAGGTGACCTCCGCTCCCGGGGCTTTGGTTGTTCGGTGATCTGTCCTCCGCTGTCGAGAACCTACAAGCAAACCAGCAAGACGATGGCAGACTCTCGCTATAGTCAGATAGGCATCTGTTTAATTAGAGCACCCTATCAGTGCTCACGCACAGTCGCGGTGGTATGATCCCGCCCGGGCCATTGAATTCAACACATGGCAATAAATTACATTAACGTGAGACATTGCCAGGCTCTTCACATATCGTGCTGGGTGACTTGGGCCATCTACGGGTGCAATCGTTGCATAGAGGCTCCTCGAAGGAAATTAGCAGACACCAGATTCCATTTCGAGTAAGTCCCTCTCGATGTTTGCTTCGGCCACTGCAGTTTGCCTAACGGGCCTTCAGGCTAGGTGTAGCGAACCACAGATCGAACAGCCCGGAATAGGGCCCCGTATATTTGGAAATTTGCCCACAAAGTTACTTACGAGACCACCCGGGGGCACCGTAGCGTCGAAGAACCAAAAATACCCCGAGTAGGGCAGCCCACGCTGGTCTATAGCCCGGTGCTCCTCAGACCGCATCAGACCTGGTGTGGGCAATCCACATGGCCTATCTCGTGCTGTCAGGGGCTCGTGGCAGTCTTCCAAGGATGGGCGACTAGCACCCAGAGCCATAAATCGCGTCTGTGATACCATCCCCTACATTGGACGATGGACGGCTCAGTAAAAGTACCAACCGTCGCGGATTTCGTTGCCCCTTTCCCGACTCCTGGCCTCGAGGAGCCTTGACAGCTCTGGAGATCTTTGGCACCCAATACGAGCTTGATGATCCCCTTGAGTAACTTATCAAACGAGTATATACGGCTTCCATTGGTCTATCGTCTCATATGACTGATCATGGTGACCAGAAGGCTTACATAGCGCAGGGGATCAGATTGGCGGTGTATGTTCTTCATGACATCCCGGCCCAACCTTCATTCCACACTCCTTTGGTGGCCTTCTGATCCTGAGTATTACCTTTGAGAACCCCCAATCACCCCAGAGAATGGTTTATTGGTTTGTTGATTCACAGTAGTTCGTCTTTGTGACTGCGGACATGTGACATGGTAAGGTTGCCTCGCTCATATGAGTCCGATGCGGCTATTCAGCTTGACTCACGTTGGCTGTTTTCCTGAAGCCCACTGACTTACCATTACTTAAGACCGCCATTCATCGTGGACAATGAAGCCCATGGGAAGCTTCCCTCAGTATACTTCAGCCGTAGACGGGGCGGCATGTGTACCTACTGGTGAGACGAACTGCGCACCACAATCCTCTGCTAGGCCCTGACTATGAATAGCCAATTGTCGCGACAACACGCTGAACACATAGGTCACTGGACCTAATCAATCGCTTTATACTCATTGACGTGGAAATGACACTATATACGATCTCAGATGCTACAAGCCGCCGCATACCTGTGAGGCTGAAAGCCCTCCTCGGCTACATACGACTCCGGGTCAATAGTTCTGTCCGGAGGCGTCATCTATATATGGTGACTTACAAGCGTATGCAGCCGATCGGTAGAACTTGGCGCAACTGTCTGGACTTTGACATTATCAGCCCTGGACATGGTTCATCGTCGCAGTCAATTGTCATCCTGCTCCCGAACTACGCCGCTCTTGTGGACCGGAACAGTCCGGCACCCCTATCCCTTTTCTTGTGGCAAGGTGACCGCGATTACGTCCGAACACGGTTCCCATCCGATTCGCCCTGCTGTGTGTAATTGTATGTGTGTAGGCATCTCAGCCATTGATTGGCAGACGGTGGTGCAGGAGCAGATCTTCCTCCTTTTCATAACAACACAACATAGACGACTCGACTCCCACAAGAAACATATGATAACATGCACCACCGTCTCCTCTCCGCTTCGTGATTCAGTAAGAAGTTGGCTCGTGCGACCAGAGCCTCGGTAATTGGCCAATTTTCCCGCATGTCTCATGCGCTCGTCCAGTGTCTGGCCCTCGCCTGTCCTATGGCGGAGCCTGCATCGGCTTTGTGGTCTTCGAAGACGTGGGACAGCCAATAGATCTCTGCTGGGAACTTGCATGTTTGCGCACACCTCCTCGGCCTTACCCCTCTTCGTCTGCCGTCTACTCGACCGCGGACGGGTGGCTTCGAGTGCATTAGATATTGTGAAGGGAGTGGGAGCACATCCGTCATGGGGAGCTGCTTCCGTAAGTAGATTCCCGGCATCCATGCGACGGGAGATGCTGGTACCTGCACCTGCAGGTGGTGATCAGAGCCTCCAAACAGACCGGATCACAGAGTAACCTTCATCGTAAGTAAGGAGACCGGCAGTTGAGATGGCAATCTGTACTTGTGCGGTCAGGGACCCTAGCCTCGCAGCCCCTGATCAGCCCATCTCGCGGCAGCAAGACCTTTCTACTTATACGTCTGGTGGTAGAGCCATCTTCGACAGACAACCTCAAGCATCTGATAATGCCAACCTGTGCAACGGTTTATGCCCTCGAAAAGGTTCTAGTGTCGAGTGTCACTGCTTGGCTAAGACAAGGTGTACCCGGCTTTGCAGTCCTCCCTCACTTGCGACACTCTCCTTACATACGGCCACTCTCGTTAAGATTGACAGAGTCGTGACAGCAACAACACCGAATAGGCAGAGTCCCGGACAAAAGGCAATTTGCTTCCAGACATCCCACCCAGGACGACTCGGTGAATATCATAAGCATTCTTGCCCGTTTGCTAATGCAACCTCCTTAATTTCTGTCAACATCATCGCCATCGTCGTCGTCGATTCCTGCCAGGAGCAAAAATTGGGAGCATCTCTGAAGCAGGTATAGTACAAAATGACCTGCCCCCTTTTCGTGGTATTTATTGACTGCCGCAGTTCCGTTGACAGTCATCCACCAGGTACACGGCGCTGCTGGAGTAACCGTGGACGGTATCCGACGACGAGCACCTCGGCAACCATCGAAGCTGGAGCGGGAGATGAATGACATCTGAACATCTTCAGTCCCAGACATCTGGGCCGAACGGTGCACTTAGCCACAGGACCCTGCTCATTCAAAGGTGCCTGACCGCGCATATTGTCCCATTGTCCCATTGACCCATTGACACCTCGACCCCTCGACCCCTCGAACCCCGTGCAACAGGCCTTGGGTGTGGAAACAGCAGCATCACAATAGCGCCTTCCTCGACGCTCGAGTCTTGGGTGGTGCACACATTGTCTATCTAAACAGCGCGCCTGCCTCCCACCTTCTCACTTTTTGGGTTGTTTGCATGCATCTCAAACGCGCCAAAACCAAGTCGTTCCTTCTCCGTTGACAGGCAGGTGCACCTCAACTTCTACCCTCTCGTGCCACCTTTAATTTTCGCCCTGCCCTTCATCTCTACCTCGCATCCACCCACCTCACCTTTCGTTCACCACCACCACCTCCTCCCTCTCCGCCGCCGCCACAACCACCTTTCCATTTTCGAGGTCGTCCTCTCCTTTTGGTCTGGGACTGCACCTGGATTTGGACTCGGACTCGGATTCGGACACGGAACTCGGAACTCGACCTCTAACTCGACCTCCTCCTCGCACACCCGAATATTGTAACCTCGACATCCTCCTGCCTCATGTAATATTGTACCATCCGACTCCCCGGCAACTATCATTACCGCACCATCACCACACTTGGGTCTTTTGCCTTGCCACAGGGCATCGTTCGCCACCTTACGGTTCTGTTTCTACGCCTTTTCGGACCGGCTCTTGGATTGTTTCGGAACCAATCACGCATCGTCACCTGCGTTGACGCGGCCTCACGGTGCAAGCTGTCGGACAAGATGAGGAACCCCCTTTCCCTCATGCAGGCAGGCTTCGGCCAAGTCCTGCGCAAACTCTCCGTCATGGAGGATCGGATTAATCGGTCAACGTTTGGTCGAGTCTTCCGTCTAGAAGGCTCTGGGCATGTAAGTCGCATATAACTCCATACATGATCATTTCGCGCATCTTCCCCCAAAACAACCCTTCACGAGAATAGCCCCCGTCGCGTGCTGCCCGGTTTGCACACGCCTCTCGATGCCAGAGCTGGAGGATTTCTCCAGAGATGCACTTACCACCTGCAATGCTTACATTCCATAGCCCAAGACTGTGAGAGGCGCCAGCTTCCTTACGGAGATTCGAGCCGGCCTGACCACCTTCGCCACGATGGCATACATCATTGCCGTTAACGTAGGATACTCGGCCCCTTGCAACAAGCGTCACGTCCCCTTTGCTGACACCACGATAGTCTACCGTTCTCAGCGATTGTGGCGGCAACTGTGAATGCCCAGAAGGAATCCCCAACATGTGCAAGGACGACGAATACTACAACGTGTGTCGTACAGGTGAGCCCGGATGATCTCTTCACGGTGCTGCAACGCCTACATTGTAGCTGACTATTGCGTTACAGAGTTGCAGCACGACCTTATCACTGCCACCGCAGCCCTTGCCGGCCTCTCAAGCATTCTCTTTGGGTTTCTCACGAACCTTCCGGTTGCACTCGGGTAAGCCAGATTCGTGCCGTCGATTGTGGGTACTATATTTCCTAACGTGTCACCAGACCGGGTATGGGCCTCAATGCGTACTTCACATACCAGGTTGTCGGCTACCACGGTTCTGGCCCCGTCCCATACCGAATCGCCTTGACTGCTGTCTTTGTTGAAGGATTCATTTTCATGTTCTTGGCCCTCACTGGAATGCGACAATGGTTGGTCCGCATGATCCCAGCGACTATCAAGACTGCGTCTGGTGTAGGTATCGGTCTGTTTCTTACCGAGATTGGCTTGTCCTACAACGCTGGCATTGGAGCCATCACTGGAGGCTACTCGACCCCATTGGCCATCGGCGGTTGTCGTGCAGAGGATTTGAACGACAGTGGCGAATGCACCAAGCATATCATGGCGAACCCTGCTGTATGTTATTCCTACTCACCGGAATAGGGCTGCAACAACAGGCTGATGTTTGACAATAGATGTGGATCGGAATCTTCGTGGGAGGTATCTTCGTGGCTTTCTTGATGGCCTTTAAGGTCAAGAGCGCCATAGTCATCGGCATCTCAGTCGTGTCCATCCTCTCCTGGCCGTAAGCATTCCTTCCGGCTGATAGACATCTTCACTAACTGGCCATAGTCGCAACACCTCTTTCACATACTTTCCATACACGGAAGCCGGAGAAACTCGATTCCAATTTTTCAAGCAAGTCGTTGCGTTTCACCCGATTCAAACGGTATTGGTCAGCCAGCAATGGGATCTACAGGGGACAAGCGCTGCTCAGTTTGCGCTCGCGCTCGTGACCTTCCTCTATGTCGACATCATTGACTGTACTGCAACACTGTACTCGATGGCCAAGTTCTGTGGCGTCGTGGAGGACGATGGCGACTTCCCCCGCTCGACCGTTGCCTACTGCACCGATGCGGCTTGCATCTCGGTCGGTTCACTCTTCGGATGCTCGCCAGTCACTGCGTTCGTCGAGAGTGGCGCGGGCGTCGCGGAAGGTGGTCGGACCGGTTTGACTGCAATATCGACCGGTTTCTGTTTCCTCATCAGTCTCTTCTTCGCACCGATCCTGGCTTCTGTTCCCCCGTGGGCCACGGGTGCAACGCTCATTTTGGTAAGTTCTTCCTTCATGTACAGGGCATCAAGACAGAGCTAACGCTGCTTCAAGGTCGGCTGTCTGATGATGCGCCAAGTCACCAACATCAATTGGCAATATATTGGTGATGCTGTGCCCTCCTTTGTGACGCTCGCATTCATGCCGTTCAGCTACAGTGTCGCCTATGGCCTCATTGCGTGAGTCGTTCCTTTATCTCGTCTAGGATTACCAAGCTAAAACGCAATAGGGGTATGATGGTCTATGTAGTACTCAATACAATGATCTGGATGGTTGTGTACCTCACGGGTTCCAGAGTCACGCCCTCCAACTGGCAGGAGAAGGAGGTATACAACTGGGGAATGGGCAAGCGAGATGTTCCTGGCTGGATGATGTTCGTCCGCAGAAAGTTCACAGGAGAACCTGCCGGGAAACCAAACCCAAAGAATGTTGTGGAACTGGTGGATTGCGATAGCACCATCAACCACGGCTCGCGCAGCGCATCCGCCGAAGACAAGGAGATGCAGATTCAATCGAATCGGACCCACATGGACTATGATCTACCGTCTCTGGACTGAGTGATCGAGTCAAGGGATCAGAGTTGGAGTGTTAGTTGGGGCCCATAGTGACGGGATATGTGGGAATGTTTGCTCTCGGATGGGGTTCGCGCCGGACGCATACATTATCACGATACGGTGTGGGGGGATACGATTTGGCAGACAAAATTGGAAGACAACGGGACGGGAAGCTGGCTTTTTCTGACTTGACGGGATATCATCAGAATATCCGTGGTCAGAGTCTAGGCGCACTTCGCAGAAAGGTGTTTATAGCATTACCCAGCAATGTCGTCTTCATAGGTGGAATGTAGCGCCAAAAGTCTTGCAGGTAGTCTATCTTCACTTACATGTCAGCCTGCTCGTGATAAGACTTGGTGACTTGAGCTGCTGGAGATACCGCTCTTTCGGGTTCATGTGGTCGTTTTCGTCTTGGCCGATTGGGTCTTCATATGTAGTGCCGGCGAGGTCTCTGCGGTAGGGGTTACATGGAGGGCATCGCAGTTGAAGGATATAACACCGGTATAGTGAGTGATTAGTTAGCAAATACAAGTGGCAACTTCAAATCGTAGAGCCAGATCTGGACCTCTCTGTGACACTACGCTTTGAACCGCAGCGAGGGTTCAAATATCTCAATGAAGGCAGTGGGCAAATTGAAGGCGTGCAAACCCCTTAAAATGTTCCCCTTATCTTATCGCAGACTCCAGCCACAAGAAGCTTGAGTGGGCTTTCACTCCACGCCAGGACGCTCGACTGCGACTACAACCTACATTTACCACAAACCCGGAGAGCCTTGAAGTCGTACCGAGTCAGCAAGCGCATCATATTGTGACCCAATAGAGGAGCTTGGCGATTTCCAATTTACAAGGAACAAGGAATACCTGTCAAATCAACCGCGACTCGACTTTAGCAGCAGCTACTCTACTCCCTCTAGTCTGGGAGCTCCGTCACCTAGGTTCTGGATAGTAGCGTCTTGTCCGCCCAGACAAGTCTTGGACAAGATGAGCGGCGGTTGGAATACCAGTTGAGTTACCCGCAGATGACCGCGTGTCAGCAAGATACCACCCATACTAATTGCTTCAATCCAGTTGAGTCCGACGCGGTATGCGAGATGCCCCATCCCATCCCATCCCAAGCTTCCATTCAGTGAGGACCTGGAGTTGGCGGAATGGAGTGACTGACATTCTCTGTAGGGTGTCTTCACGTTCCTGCTCAACAACCTTGGTGTCCAGAATGTGCAGTTCGAGGAGCTTCTCACTCTAGAGCCCGATGCTCTCGCGACGTTGTACCCTGTCTACGGCGTTATCTTCCTCTTCAAATACCCCACCGACACGCCCTATACCTCGACCGACAAGCCCCTCGATGGCACCTTCGACCGCGACGCAGCCGAGCGACACTTCTTCGCCGCGCAGACAATACAAAACGCATGCGGCACGCAGGCACTGCTCTCGGTGCTCATGAACAAGGATGGCGAGGTCGACATCGGCCAACAGCTGCGGGAATTCAAGGAGTTCACGATGGTGCTGCCGCCCGAGTTCCGCGGCGAGGCGCTCAGCAACAGCGAGTTGATCCGTGACGTCCACAACAGTTTCGCGAAAAGCAGCCCCTTCGTCGACGAGACGCAGCGCACCAGCGGCGAGACCGAGGACGCCTTCCACTTCGTCGCCTACACCGAGGTCGACGGGACGCTGTACGAGCTGGACGGCCTACAGCCGGCGCCCATCAGCCACGGCGCCTGCACGAGCGGGGACTTCCCGTCCAAGGTCATGGAGGTGCTGCAGCGCCGCATCGCGCGCTACGACATGTCCGAGATCCGGTTCAACCTCATGGCCATGGTGCGGGACCTGCGCATCCAGGCGCGCGAGATCGGCGACGCCGAGATGCTGGAGCGCGAGGAACAGAAGCGCCGCGACTGGCAGTTTGAGAACGCGCTGCGCCGGCACAACTTTGTGGGCTTCGCTGGCTCCGTCCTGAAGGGCGTGGTGGAGACGAAGCTGAACGAGGGCGAGGGCGCGTACGACAAGTGGATCGAGGCGGCCAAGACGAAGACGAGACAGCGGATGGAGAGCAGGAAGAAAGGAGGCGGAGACGACGTTGAGATGGAAGGGTGAGCGGACCTGACGGAGCGGTCGATCTTGTTTATTCTACGAGATTTGTACACGCATAAGAAGCGCAAGGCGCGCGGGGCGATCTACGATGCTTGCGAGGACACCCGAATCATAGGCACGAGCATGCCATCATATCGGTTCGTCAATGACTAGGGAACCAACATCTGCTCAAACGGCAGATTACTTCGTTGGGCTAAATACCAGTGACTTCTTGTACATCGATCCATGCCGACCACCTAGAAAACGTAGGCGATAGGCGCGCTCACCTTAGCTATCGGAGTCTCTCGATTGCGCACTATACACTTTTCCCCCTGTTTTTTTGAACAGTGGAACTGGTCAATGACAGGCCTCGAAACAAGCGCCAGAGGTCACTTCAAGGGTTGGTTTATGCCATTTCTCTCAGAAATCGTTACCTTCAGAGGTCTGTGTCCAGTACCAGCTCCACTGTTAAAAAAACAGGGGCAAGAGTAGTGCTTCACAGCCAGGGAGGGCGCTTGTTTCATCCAAGCGGAGTCTATTCGACGTTGAGCATGACCCTGGCAGACTACCTTGATCCGACCTTCTGATACACCGAAAGATGTCTACGCGAGCGCGGATTTTTCGTGCGATGGCGCTCCCAAACAGAACTTTCCACCTAAAAGGGACACAGGAGGCGAGATTGCAGGTCATACCGGTCATGTGCATGTACTGGTAAGCTGACTTACATGATCACAAACGCGCCGGGGTACAATGGGCGAGCGTTTCACCGTTTCAGGTGCCTCGCCCTTTCTTCTTTCCATGCCTACTCGGACGAAGTATGTAGGTCCATGCATGTGCCCCTTGTTGTTTGCTCTGGGATCCTTCGGTTCCTCGGTTCCTTGCCGTTGGGGGTATCTCAAACGTAGGAAGGAGAACCGTACATAGTACTACATAAGGTATGATGGAACTGCGACTTGTAGATCAGGTCTGGAACCAAATGGACGGATCCCGTCGTCTGAACTTCTCTTCGAGCCCGGGCTGCCGGGGACCGGACCGATGGTGACGACCCCGGACGCTCGGCCCCTCCCCGCCATCTACAGGTCACCAGGATTGGAATCAGTAGCGCGGCGCCATGTGGTGGGGAGGTAAATCCTCTGCCATTTTCTATAGGAATATACTGTTGAACATGGATCCACTTAGCAGAAGTGTTATGCCCGATGTTCTGAGAGGTATCTTCGCATAGAAAACTATAAGGGATGTACACCACCAGGCCCCCGGGCCTAGCGTTTGCGCTACTGATTCCAATCCTGGTGACCTGTAAGGTATCCATCACCTTCACCATCATGGCAGAACCTGCTGGTGGAAACTTGAAAGACCTGAAACCGTGATACAATTCGAAAGGTAACCTCCCTGCGTATTAGAGTAAACCCACGTCTCAGATCCTGCACCCCCAGCACTTGAGGTTAATTCAGGTCCATGTTCTTCGAGCACATTTTGGGTGGTCCGAGCATTTACCGGCCGAACGGTTCCAAACACCTAACCAACCCCCTTCCCCTGTCAGCGATCTCGTTCGTGTTTCAGAGCTGGTCTGGGCCTTTTTCTTCTCCCTCTTCTGCGCAGCGCCGAGAATATACAAACAAGCCTTGGCCCTTGAGGGGGTGTGAACGTTATTAGTGATCTTGAATGCCCATCCAGGACCTAGGCAGCTGTTGCAAGGGGTACTTGTTTCAGCGGGGGCTCGTGCACTGTTACCCTAACTGGCCATCATCATCCTTACCGCACGACTCGAGATGCAATGGGGTTCTTGGGTTTATCGTCGGCTTAGCTTATTCTCCGATGCGACTTTGAAGGAAAGTTCCACGGTCTAGACCTAAGGTAGCTATGTAGCTAGTCTGCGCAGCAGGGAACTGGACTCGATGCGTTTCAGATCGATCTTCGCATATTTGAGAGTGTTTGCGTTGCTTGCTACCTGGCTGCCTGACCTTAGGTAGCACCTTTGTTCAAATGTATCCTTCCTAGTAGGTATCTTTCTTCGCGTGGAAGGGGACAGGACCTGAAAGGGGCTTGGTGTGACGACAGGTGTTGACAGGCAGTGCCCACGGACGGGAAAGCAATACTCGGTGCTCTGCCAGGTTCACGGGGAGAAGGGCTCGATGGGAACTTAGGTACGGTATCGCTACCGCTGGAGCAGGAAGACTTCCCTCATAGGAAGGATTACTAGGCCAGTGCATGCGAGGAACGCCGGGCTGATTCACTACGGCACTGACGGAAGATGCATAGTTGCTGAAAAGAAGTTCATTCGCCCCCCGGAACTATAATAAGGTATATATCAAATCAGACGCAACGCGCCCTGAACGCCCTGAAGGATGGATTTGTGCTCGTTCCGGCGGTGATGGTGGTAGCATCGGTCGAGCCCTGGACTGACGACATTCCTCGTCTTAGAACTTGTCCCGCTAACCAACCTCCTGCCATGCGTAGTCTCTTGTGGAAGACTGCAATATGCGCAGGCTAGACCAGACCAGACACTGCCCATGCCCTTTTCCGTATTACACGTATAGCATCCGTGTCTGCTCGTGGTATATCCTTTGTGCTTTGTGCAACTTGTTGATTTGGGTTGATGCTGTGAGGTTCACACGCGGGCGATGGACCGTCAGGCTCATGATGTCGTCGGCGTCGCTGTCTGGACCTGACCTTCGTAGAACCAATATCTGCGGTGAAAGTTAGCATATGCTTCCTTCCACTCTTGATGTGGGAAGGGTGAACTCGCTGTGCCGCATATTGCACCTCAAACGAAGCCGGCATGCCCACGCACGTCTTCGGCGCGCTCCCGCCCGCCGTCTCGACGCGGTACACCTCCTGCAGATCGCCCGTGGCGCCCACGCGCGTCAGCAGCCGCAGCCAAGCGACGGCGCCCTCGCCCTGCTGGCCCTTCGGTGCATCAGCAGGAGCATCAGCCGTGGCGTCCTTGGAGCACGGGGCGGCGCCGAGCTGGTACTGCGCGCTGACGTCGAGGTCAAAGAAGGGCGTCGTCGTGTTGGTGAAGAAGTGGCGGCCCGAGATGATCAGGTTGGTCGGGCCCATGCGCTCGGCCTCGGCCACCTCGGACTGCGTCAGGTTGAACTGCAGTGCTAGCTTGGGCAGCAGGTGCAGCAGGTCCGGGTACGTGGCCGCGACGCACGAGGCGTTGAAGAGCGTGGCGACGGCGCCCAGCTGGGCCGGCACGGCGGTCGCGTTGCTCAGGTCGCAGGTGTAGTTCTGTGTGCCCCGGCCGATGGCAACGTGCTTGAGGGTCAGGCCTGCCGTTGGTGTCGCTAGGGGTTTGGGTGCTGCCGGTATATTAGTGAGGCGATTCGTAGGGAATGGGTGCTGCATATGGTAGGAAGGAGACATACCGACGGGCATGACGGCTTTCGACATGTCGCAGACGGGTGCTGATGACAGCTGCTTTCCGGCTTCCACCTTCAGTGCCAACATGTTGAAGTACTCCGATACGGTCTCGAGTCCATCAGGCTTTGCTGCGTCCCAGTTGAGCGACGGCCACGTCGGGGCAGCCACGATGGACGAGGCACCCAAGGCCGCTGCGAGTAATATCGAGACAAGCATCTTGATATGTCTGAGTCGGTATGTGGTAGAGGATTTGGTTGAGGTAGCTGAGGTGGTTGAGTTGGGGGCGAGGAGGTGAGGTGGAGGTGGAGAGGGAGGAGTTGCAATTGGATTCGATGGTGGTTGCCTCAGTCGTTTATGAATTATCGACCAAATAAAGGAAACCCAAAGCAGCCCGTCCCAGATGGAGAGATGGGATGACGAAAAGTGAGGTAAGGAAAGAGAGAAAAGACTAAACAGAGAGAGAGAGAGAGAGAGAGAGAGAGAGAGAGAGAGAGAGGAAAGTAGGAAAACGTGAAAGGAAACGATCTCCCGAGGAGAGAGAGATATATACGATGAACGTTTCGGAGGTGGTGTGTAGGAGGATTCCTCGGCAGGCTGAGGAGGTGCAGGTATATTTATTATATTGCAACTGCATGTACTTCTTACACAACCTACACGTCGAAGCGGCCATCCATACTCCCCCATGTCTTCTTCGTCCCGGCAGCAGACGCCAGACGATGTGGGTGTGAGACCTCTCCAGGGTCCTAAATTAGCTACCACGATATGGGCTGCAGGTATAGAACGCAGGCTACTATACCTCGAAGCGGCATGGTCAGTGATGGTGCCGTGGCAGCCGTCCGACCCAAGCGCAGCTCCACGGTCATGCTTGTTGGCAGCCGCCCTCGGCAGATGTTGCGGTGGACGAGAGCCATAGGACATCAAGTGGCTAGACGCAGCGGACGGGACCATTGGCCGGATCTCTCTCCACACCCCTATCGAAGACAAGACGGGAGGAGTGGAGGTTCGAACAAGGGTATCTGGGTGGAACGGCCAAGCGATCTGCAGCTAGGGGTAGCTCGACATGGGGTATAGCGCGGTGACGACGTGTGGTTGGTCGGCCGCAACATGTCCAACCAACGATGCAAGCGCCAGGGCCGCCTTCTCTTCGGCCACCCGCTCAACGCTTGGTGGGCGTTATCGCTGGTGTATCGTGGGAGGGGAGCGGCAAAACGCTTACTGTTTGAGAGCGCCGAGTTGCCGCTGGCTATGGCAAACATCCCTAGAGATCGCCATCTTGAGATCTTGATGGTGATCATGGTACCTACTTAACTTACCGATGGAGATAAGGTGAGATGGGGAAAGCAAGAGGCGGAATATCTCTGTCCCACCCCACCTCGTTGACTGTTGACAGTGGACCGCAGTGCAGTATTGCCACGGACGTACTGCATGCAAGGGGTTGGGGCAAGAAGAGCTCAATATGGCTCGTGATTATGGATGAGTGGAATGTGTGTAGTCGCACTGCAGCACCATTAGTGCAAAATGAGCCCACGACATCTTGCTCCTCTTCCGTCTCCTCCGCTCGCCTAATAAGAGTCGGCATCTTCGTTATCATTGCCAAGGAAGGCTTGCAACTAAAGCTCTAGAAAGTAGTAAACTTCAGCATCTAGGTAGTAGAAAAGCTCGACCCAGAGCCATCAACAACCCCCCTTAATCCGAGGCGACTATAGCCGATCCGCCAACGAATCTGTGGAACGAAGAGAAAAAGAAGCTTTCGAATTCGGGGCCTGTGCTCGCTTGCGTGCAGAACCAGAAAAATAATGGCCAGGGTGGCGTCAGAAACCAGGATTAGCCCAAGAGAAGGTGGGCTAATTAATCTGGAAGGCCAGTCTTCCGGCTCCAGTCTGGCGGTTAAGGGCCCGAAATAGAAACACAGAAGCGCGTTCATCAAGATTCATAGAGGGGAAATTAGCAAGAGAAGTATAGTCGCATTTTGCCCGCTTTCTAGCAGATGGTCTAATGCAGGCAGGCCGAATGTCACCCCCCTCCGCTCTCCTCTCAGGCGAATTCAGGTTTGCCCATCCATCCAGCCTACCTCCCTCTCTTGCCTTACCTGCCACACACTCCCAGCCCAGCCCTGGCAAGCGTCTCGCTCGTGCCACGAACAGATGACGAGGCAAATATCGGTGAATGAGGTACCTTAGGTATGGTAGGCAACGTCGCATCCCGTGGCTGCTGCAGAGATCGAGTGTTGCTCGCCGGTTTCCATGCCCTGAGCTACAGCCTGCCTACAGCCTGCCTACAATACGTGTATGGTAGGGTACATATGTAGGTAGACGTATACACCTGCTACGTTGAAGAAAGCCAACACCCATGCACCCAAAAGACACCTCAAAGACACCCCGTCTCCCGATTGGCCCTTCGCCCAGCGAGGCGTCGAGGATTCGCCATCTCGTAGGACCTGTGGCCACGCCTGTCTGCGGCGTCAACCAAACTTTCTTCAAAAGCGTACCTAATGGAGGATCAAAATTTTGATATCGGTTATTCTTTCTGCACATAGAAGCTGTAACCTGCAAGTCCATGGTTCCATGGTTCGGTTCGTATCCGCGTCCTGGTCCCCGTCCATCTACGCGTCAAAGTGTCAGACATACATGCGGACTGTCACAGACAGACACGTAGATAAGGTATACATACATACATACAATACGTAGATAGACACTTACTGGCCCAAGACACCAGCCCATCCTGATTCGCCACCCAACCGAGCGAACCAGCGCGTCCCGAGGCGCCATGCCGGCGGGAAGACGACGCGGCATGGACTCCAACTTCCAAGGTTGTTGACGAAGACACCCAATCAAACCAACCATAGGCGTCCATCCCCCGCGGTTCGTGTGGTGTGGTATTCTTCAGCGACCCATCGCGATCTACCCGCCGCCCTGAAGTCTTAGGTATCTAATCTATTCGTGTACCACCTTCTGGTGTGCACCCGGTGTGGCGGCTCGCAAGATGTCGTGATCTTGGCTCTTGGCGCTGTCACCCTGGGCCTTGGGGGTGCCACCGGTGCTTGTTTATAGATAGATGTCATATCGTCTTGGTAGCCACGCAGTTGTTCCAGACGTCTTCTTGATCTGTGGTCTGATGCTTCGAAGTTGGCCTGTGATCTTCGTCGAGGCTGGCTACTTGCCTACTCGTCTGGGTCTGATGTCGACTTCAGATTAAGCAACCAAGGTTCAGGGACGTCCCCCGGACCCGTTAGTCTGATGGTGGCCATTACGCCCAGACGAGTGCTTGATGGTGGCAGGTGGGTGTCCTCGCTCTGTTCTATGATACTCTGAGCACACCCAGAGGTGTAGAGCCACGGATGTGGCGATGAAAGGGTAGGTAACGGCAACCCAGCAGACAGCATTGGAAGGCGAACGTGTCACTCTCCCCACCTGTTCCTTGCTTTTTCGCGAGGACATCGAGGTACAGGCGGCAGCACCTTTGGTCCAAAGTCAACAAAACATCATCCTGTTGTCACAATGTCCTGGGACAGGGAGGGTATCTGTAAGAGTGCCCGAATCCAATAGCTGAAAGAAGCTCCAGCATGAAGAACCGTATCCAAAACTCACTCTGGGTTTGATTCTTCTTACGTGGACTTTCGTAATTAGGTAGACACACAGCATTGTGCAGTTAATATATGTAAATCCCGGGCCAGTAATGATACAGCAAAATGCAGTCCTGCGCAAGAATGCCATCATCGATGTCCGTTGAAGCCCTCTTCTTGCCAATCCCCATGCTTCGCGGCCTGCCCATTGGATCCCGCTCTACCGCCCGAGGCGCCTCCTGGTCCCGCCGCTGCTGCAGCGGCTATACCCTGGCTCAGGTTGCTGGAGTGCTGTTCCACATCCGTGGTGCCCAGCCAGTAAAGCGAGAAGAACACAAGCAGATGCAGTGCGACACAGTACGCTGCAAATAGATTCCGGCTCGTCCTTGACGCCATCACCATCCGCGTAACCGAATAGACCACCCTTTCGGGGAAACTCATTCGCTTGTAGGCCCTTGCTGACTCACGCCCTCTAAAGGCCGCGAACGGCGAGATGTTTGATTCGTATGCCTTCCTGTACCGGTCCATCTCAACCCCTGGATTCCCCGTGCCGATGGATACCGTAGATGGATTTGGAATGGCAGAATATGCCGATGACGAGGAGGCCGACGGCCCGCGATTGTAGGTCGACACGTAACGCGTTTTTTCATAGAGCTGCAGGTTATCCTTTTGCAGCGCAGCAATCTCCTGCCGTAGTTGGGACACATTTCGGTGGCTTTCTGAAAGCTCGCCTTCGAGCTGCGAGTTCCGCTTCTTGAAGCGGTCGCGTTGAGCTGTGATCATCGGCAATATGCCCGAGCCACCACCATAAGGCTCACCACCCGTGGTGCGAGGATCAAATCCAGATATAATGGATGATGTGGGAGACGTCCTCCCACCTCGTCTTCCGGGTGCCACTGATGGTGCGTATCTTGTGTACGTCCCGGCTATTGAAGCCCCAGACGGGAATGCGTTCTGTCCCTCAGCCTGTAGGTTGGCCAGGTCGTTCTCTAGCTGCGTATTCAGGTTTTGTGATTTGTCCAAATCAGCATTGGTTCTCGATAATTCCTCCTGCAGGCTTTCCAATCGGTTTTGAAGATCTTGATGCGACACCCGCAAGATTGTGAGTTCATCGCTCAACTTCTTGTTTCTGGCTAAAAGCAACTGTTCCAGCGTATCGCCCTTGCCCTTCGCAGCGGCCCCAGCGCTGAGTAGAACGTCATCATCGTCGCCGGTGGCGAACTCGATACTTTTGAGGACCTCAAGCTCTTGCTTGACGTCGTCATAATCGTGCCACTTTTGGACTTTCGCTTTTAAACCGTCGCGATCTTCTTTCAGGAGACCAACCTCTCTCTCCAAGCCACGTAACTTGGAGTCGATATCCCTCTTGAAGGCCTCCTTCTCGACCCTCGCCGAGTCCAGCTTCCGAATGAGTGACGAGTTCTCAGATCTCATGCGCATATATCCTGGGTCATCATCCAATGACGGTGCTTGCGCCGGTAGTTGCGACTTGGACTGTGCGAGTTCTATTCGCAGTTGTTCATTTCGAGCTTCAACCTCGGCAAGCCGCGTGCTAGTCCGCTCCAGATCAGAGTGAACCATCTCCAACTCAGCACTCGAGACATGCCCACCATGCCCTTCGTTGTCGGCATCTTCGGAGCCCTTCAGTCGTTGGTTGACTTCGTAGCTGGCCTTGATCTCGTTGATCAGTCGTTCCTGACTCTCGGCCTTCTCCTCTAACGCCTTCTCCTTTGCCTCCCAGTTATCTTTCTTCTCATCCAGCACAGCGGTCCATGATGACTCGACTTCCTTGACCTTGCTCTCGAGGTTACCTTCCAGTTGCTTTCGGTTTGCACTCTCTGATTGCAGCCGCGATTCGGTCTCCTCGAGTTGCGAAGTAAGGTCGGTGATGTTGGTTTGCAGGTGTTGGTTTTCTTCGGTAAGCTTGGGTAGAGTGTCTTCGGAGACTAGCATGGCATCTACGGAGGCCTCGAGAAGTGGGTATGGATCTGGCGCATTTTCCAGGGCTGAGTAGACTTGGAGGAAGGAAGAATTGGTGGCCTTGGAGTGGTTCGTCAGAAGATCGATGAATGTCTGGTAGGCTGTATATAGACGTGGTGTTAGTAGGCTGTGCCAGGCTGTCGTTCGATTCGTCGGTTACGCACCCTTCAAGAGGCTCTTGATCTCAGTCAACTTGGTCGCATCGTCTAGCTTCCTGAAGTCTTTTGTCTTTTGCGCGAGATCCTTCCGCTGTACAGTGGAATCGCGTTGGTATGTAACTATGTCCGAGGCAGTGTTATCGAGAGTGGAAATCAAAGAAGTCAGATCGATGTCTGTCACAGGCGTCAGTAAATGGACAGAGAGTCAACGACGCCGTGGCGATGCGTACTCCTCCATGCCGATATGGCATGCTGGAACTGATTCGTATTCTCTGTGGCCGCCGTCGCATTATGTCCATCAGCTGGCTGAGGTTTCGCTGGTTCGGGCGCCTCCATGGCAATATACTCGGACACGTCGGCCATCTTCCCTGATCTCTGTCTCGGCTCACTGGCAGGTCCTGCCGCACTTATCGGAACATCAGATGCTGGGTCAGAAAGCCGACTCGAGGTTCGGAGTGGGAGTATTCCAGTGCGCGTGGTATCAAGGCAGGCGAGAGCAATTGGGCTGGACGACGGGGCATCGATGTTAGTCAACGTCTAAGCCAGGAGGTAAGGTTGAACGTGTTCGTTCCTGTCGCTGACGCTGGTCAACCAATGGAGAGACACAGCCCGAGGGGGTAGCGTGGCAGGGGTCCGGGAGCTCGTGTTGGCGGCGCTGCAGCGGCTATTCGTAGCGCTGCATGATCACTGGAGATCTATTTAGGGAGCACCTGGGGGCAGCCCTACACTGCATCGAGCTCTCCACCCGCAGCCTCACGCATCCTATTCCTCCAGGCTGCCAATTGAATCTACTTCACATCGCTCCTACAATTGCGCGACACCATTATGAGCAAACGGCGAACCCTATGATGTTGTCGCCCCAACTATGGCTTCCATTGCGCACAGTGATCCCAGCCCGCGCAGCCAGCTAGGAGTTGGTCCATTCGTCCTTCGCACCCTGTTCGCAGACCTCCCGCTGTCCGAAGATGGCACCAGGGACGACATCAAGATCAATTGTGTGGAATATCTAGGTGTGCGCCCCATACGGGCCTTAGTCGTCTATGTATCTAAACTAATTCACCGTTGCATCAAGATCGCAATCTTTACGTGGGAACCTCCGACTCGGAGCTCCTACACTTCGTCCAGATACCCTCAGATCCGGCAGACACTACCGGCACGCCGACCTTCATACTTGCCTCGAGGCTGAAACCCGCCTACTCCGAACCTGCTGGAGCTGCGAATTCTACGCGACCTGGTGTGCAAGAGATATTATTGCTTCCTGTGGTGGGAAAGGCCTGCATCTTGTGCAACTCGACCGTCACCTTCTACTCGCTACCAGAACTGAGTCCTGTGTTTGGATCCTTACAAGTCAAGAACTGCAATTGGATAGGTGGACTAGACCTCAATGAGCTGACTCTCGAATATGGCGGACGAGAGTCGAATGGGGTCCCTATCTTGCTTTCCTTAAATAGGAAGATACAGGTCGTCAGGATAGCTGAAGATGCTCGTGTTATCAAGAAGATCGACTTTGCAGGGAGCAGATTATCCGTGAGGAGAGACACCATAGCGTGTGTGGCCGACTCGAGAGGCTATGCCTTGTTGGAGATTGACCGACAACTGAAAATCCCATTGATGTCAATATCCTCTCTAGATGAGGGACAGCCTGGTAACATTGTTGGCCAGGCCCAGGACATTTCCGGGACCACAGGGGGCGGCCTACTACGAAGTAACTCGTCTGCGCAGGCTCGTACGCAGACTGGAAGCCCTGATCCTCCCGCTCACCGGAGGGGGACTAGCTTGGGCAACTTGATCTCAAGCGTTGGTCGGAGACAGGAGCAACAGGCTGCTGAGGCGGAAGAGCCAGTATTTCAACAGGCAACTCCGCTAGAATCAGTTGCGAGCCCTGGCCCACCAGATGACACCGTGACGCCAGAGACAACGACATCAGAAGGACCGAATGAGAGTCGACCAACGCGGGCCGCGGCGGCTGGCAGACCTGGACCAGTCTTTCTCAAGCCGCATATCGTCTCTCCGACCCCGGAAGAATTCCTGCTAGTCACTGGAACTGGGCCCTTGGAGCCTGGCATTGGCATCTTTGTGAACTTGGACGGGGACCCGACGAGGCCTACTATCGAATTCGATCGTTATCCTAAGGAGATCATCGTTGATGGAGGCTCCGCTGACTTATCTTCATCTCGCATGGACCCCCTTGGCCCCGAGGAGGAGGGTTATGTTCTTGCGTCGACGAGTAGGGAATTTGCAGATGGTCTCCACTACGGCCTAGAGATCCAACGCTGGGATCTAGACGCGGCTGAGAATGAGCCATCTAAACACTGGCTTGAACCACCAGATACTGGCACGACAAAGGTCAAATCTCCGCAGAGTTTAGGGGTTCGCTCGTTTCTAGGCGCAGACGATACACATTTCCAAGAGATTTTTGAGAAACTTTGCCGGCGCAGATTCGTCCCATTCTCAACGAGCAGCCTAGCCGCGTCTACAATGTCTCTCAAGAGCGCTGACTCTAGGACGGCTCAGTCTATGGAGATGATGTCCAAGGAGAGGGCGCTCTTTGATAGGGACAATGATTTTCAGAGTGACGAGTCATTACCAGAGGGCTGGCAAGCAACTCGCAAGACCGAGGAAGAAGATTTTGCTCGTCGATTGGCAGGAAGCACAGCACGTTTGGCAGTTTGGTCCGGACCACATATCTGGTGGGCTATCCGTAACCCTTTAATTCTGCAGCTAGAGGCTCAACTTGAGGCGGCCAATTCTGTATCAAACCAGACAACCGAGGAACGACGGGAGCTGTTTAAGATCCTGAATTCGTTTCGCGGGCGTGATGCCAAATCTGAACTGGAATTCCTGACTTTCAGCTATGTGCGACAACGAGCGGGTATCTTATTGCTGACGAGTTTCTTGAAGTCGGAAGATGGCTCTTTCTCAGAGCAAGAGCTTCGAGCCATGGAGGAAATCTTGGTTGACAGTCTCCTTGACCCTCGAGTCATCCTCTCACTCATACCCGGGGTCCGCAACGAGGTGATTGAGACAAGACGGGGAATATGGGCCTTCGGGGGAGTAAAAACCACCGCCGAAGATTTCATCTCCAGTAGGGACTTTGACAAGGTCAATACGACTTTGAGTGCATTGGCTCAGCCTGTGCTTCACTTTCTGAGACGGTTCCTGACAGCTTGGAGACGAAAAAAGGGCTTCGGGAGTGTGCCAGATGAGAACGAGGTCTTCCGTACGGTTGATGCGGCTCTGCTTGCGGTGCTCCTAGAAATCGACCAGCATTCACCGCCGGGCTTAGCCAAGGGACGATCTATACGTGCAGAACTGTACGAGCTCGTTGATAGCGGGGTGGACTGTTTCGACAGGGCTGAGACGTTGATTGAGTCCTACCACCGACTGTTTGTGCTGAGCAGACTTTACCAGAGCCGGAAGATGGCTCAAGAAGTGCTCTCCACGTGGAGGCGTATCGTCGAGGGGGAAAGAGACGACGGGGACGAGTTCCGCGACGGTGAGCAACGCGTGCGCGAATACCTGATAAAGATCAGCAACCAAGCACTGGTGCAGGAGTATGGAATATGGCTAGCCAATCGCAACCCGAAGCTTGGTGTCCAGGTGTTTGCCGAAGACAAAGGTCGCGCACCAAAATTCGAGCCCACCTACGTCGTCGAACTTCTTAAGCGCGACGCTCCGAACGCTGTCAAGTATTACTTGGAGTTCCTCGTATTCGGCAAGGGTCACACTGTTTATGTCAACGAGCTGATCAGTTACTATCTGGACATCGTCATACATCGCCTCGAGGCGTCTTCAGAGGCTCGGGAAGTCGTCATGTCCACGTATTCAACTTACCGCGCTCTTCAGCCCCCGAAACCTACCTACCGCCAATTTTTGACAGATAATGCCCCGGCCAACGATGAAGCATGGCACAGCCGACTACGGTTTCTCCAGCTCCTCGGCGGCAGCTATGACTACGACTCTGCAGCTATTAGGGATCGCATCGCAAGCCTTAGCAGCACCGCCGAGGACCTTCTCGTACCAGAGACCATCATCCTTGATGGACGGGAGCGGAAGCATGAGGATGCGTTGCGCCTTCTCGTGCATCGTCTGGGGGACTACGATACAGCCGTTTCGTACTGCTTCCGCGGCGGTGCAAGCATCTATAGCATATACCAAGCCCAACCCCAAAGCCAACCACCAGCGGGTCCCGAAAACCTCAAAGCACCAAAGCGCCGTGAGAGCATGCCGCCCACGCAAGACCAGCAGGCCCGACTTTTCCGTGCCTTGCTTGGCGAGTTTCTCAAACTTGAGGATATCAGCGACCGAGTGGAGCAGACAGGGCTGCTTCTCGAGAAGTTTGGTAGCTGGTTCGACGTCGGCGATGTGTTATCGGTGATACCGGACAGTTGGAGTGTTGATCTAGTGGCTGGCTTCTTGGTCAAGGCGCTGCGGAACATTTTCGTCGAGAAGAACGAAACGACGGTTGCCAGATCACTGAGCTCTGCTCAGAATCTCAAGGTTCAGTATGAGCTGATAGTGAGGATCGACGAGAAAGGGCCGGATGTTGAAAGTTGATGACCGCCTGCGTTGCAGATATATCCTGTATGATTACATTATCGCGAGCCTACCACCTGACGCTGCTCGTGTCTATGTGATCAGTTAGTCATATCCGAGGAGATCTATATAATGCCAACGGTCCGTCGAGACTGTTTGTTTGCTTAATGTCCCTATATCCAGCTAGGCTATATCTTCACGCCTTTCTCGGTTCTTGATCGCACTCCACCAGGAGCGAGGGTCCTCACGACATTCCCCAAATCTCCCCGTCTGGCGGCGCAGCCCTAGATGCGTCATCATCTCAGCAACCCCCCTATTGATATACATCATGAACCTGGCCATCATGTGATGTCCCTTCTGCCACTAACCATTTCCGGCTCTGAGCTTTGGGATGCAATAGCTTGCAGTTCGATGGGATAAGGGACTTAACATACATGTATGTATGAATAATCGCCCTGTAAGTGAATTTGTTCTGCGCGCTCGACGTCGATCTTTGGGCGCACGCAGGCCACCATCCAGAAACCATGCCTGCTCACGCTGGGGGTTGGTATCTGTCGAATACCAACACGTCTTACTTACTGGGCTGTAGTTCGAGAGACATGACGATATGTATGGGCGTAGTGTAGCGGTCGTATCAGATCTACGGGATTCACAGTAATCCAGGGCCAGAGGTCCCTTCACGTCCCATCACTTGCTGCTGTCCATCCCCTTCATTCCCTCTTTTCACCCATGACTTCCGCATATGATTTGTTCTACAGGCCAGCACTAGGGCTAGGCAGCGCACGGCCCAGCAGCGTCTTATAAAAGGGATCTCTGCCAGGCCGTGGAACGGGAGGATAACTTCCTCTCCTCATCTCACAACCGTTGTACGGGGCCGCGGGGGGCACGCAACGGTCGCGATTTCACCCGCCCGCCGTCCCTCGCGCATTGGATGGAGTGGAGGATATCAACTGGGTGGTTTGTTTGGTAGGCAGGGATAGGTACTGGTTTTTACTTTAATGGTGGGCTGCTTCCAAGGCGGCCTGGCTACGGGACCACGCACGGGGAAGCCAGGCCTCCTTCGAGTGGCTCACGCCCACCCCCAATACAGTACATGCAATTCACTCTCACCACGTGGCCCAGTGCTGTGATCTGTAGAGGGCTCCCTAATCTATACTCACAAAGATACACTAGCCTAATTAACACCAACCGTGTCTAGCCTCCACCACCGGTAGGTATATAGCTGAGTTTGCGTCTTCCAGGAAATCGGCTCTTGCGGAAAAGCCACCCTCTTCAATATAAGACCATTCATACCTCTACCTGACTTATCTGATGCCGGTTGAGCGTGCCATTCTGACACTACTAAGTATTGAGCACCCTGCATCAAATGCTCGCCTCGAAAACTGGCAATGACTATACAGATCGTCCACCCGTCTACAAGCCGCCATCTCAGCTAACTTATCAGGGCTCGCTCATCCACACAGGGCCTAAGAGCCTCTACGACACCACGGACATACCAACTTCATGAACGGTGATCTTTATGCCAACTGTCTTTCTCACGATACATACATACATACATACATACATACATACATAGGTACGTTGGCCCCAATCCGGCTTTAAAAGAAGGGAAGATACACAAAGTGCAATCTGTCCATTCCATAGCAACGAGTAATGCCGCCATGTCCCGGCTGCCGGCGCCCATCGTGGGACCTGTGCTAGGTATGCGTGTAAGACCGAGGACTGAACCGACCCCTAAACTTTCCGATGCTGCGGCTGAACTCAAAATTCAACGTTCCTCACTGACACTGACACCCGTGCACTTGCGGGAAAAACTCATTTGATGGTGCCTCTTCTTCTTCTTTCCGCCATTGAACCCATATCGGGCTACATCCAGTCGAGTATATCGGCTCTTACTGAAGGTGTGAGGCGGGCGGGAGCCGAGCACGTACAGCTAGGAACAGTCCTGGAGTCCGTGATCACAAAGACGCAGTCTCCTGTCTGCCACATGAAAGGTATGTTTATAGGAATTTGTTCATTGACTCGTCTATCCACATATATCCTCTTCGTCTAGGCAGCCTGAGCGAAGCCCGGGCTGGGAAAACCTCCACGCCATGCAGGCATTTCATTCTTTCCATGGCTCTGCTCTAGTAAACACTTCCGCTTTAACGCTTCCCATAACATGGCTGTTACATATACACAAGAACACCACCAGCCATCCGTCCGTCGGCCAGCACGCGCCCAAACACCTAAGCACCGAAGGACTTAAAGCGCTCCTCAACAGGCTTGAAAGTCTTAGGCCCAGGCTCGCCAGCGCGGCCGCCGAAGACGAGCTGTGCATTAAGCTGCCAAGTAGTCGGGACACCCCACTCCTTAGCAACGCGCTCATCAATCAAAGGGTTGTAATGCTGAAGATTCGCCCCAAGCCCCTCGGCCTCGAGCGCCGTCCAGCACGCAAACTGCAGCATGGCATCCGACTGCGTGGCCCAGGCCGGGAACTTGTCCTGGTAGCAAATTAGAGTCAGAAATTACTCCGTTTCGACGAGAAACAAAGAGCCGGAACGCGTGCGTGTCCCGGGAGCAATGGCTCCTGACACAGGCCAGAAGGGGAAATTCGCCCGTGAGACACGGCTAGAAGGGGCAATAAATAAGGAGCTCTAAAATGTACATACCTTGTACAGCGGGACGTTCTTCTGATACTCGAAGACGGTCTCCTGGTCGTCGAAGAACAAGACCGTGCCGGCGCCGCCGCGGAACCCGGCCATGCGCTTCTCCGTGCTGGCCCAGGCGGCCTCGTCGGTGACGTAGGGTTTCAGGATTTCGGACGTGATGTCCCATAGCTTGTCGTGGTCCGCGCCGTATAGTACGACGATGCGGTTCGACTGCGAGTTGAACGACGACGGGACGTGCAGGAGCGCCTCCTTGACGATCTCGTCGACGCGCGACGCTGGGATGGGCAGGTCCTTGGTCAGCTGGTAGTAGGACCGGCGGGCTTTGATCAGCTCCAGCACCGAGTTGGCTGAGATGGGCGTCGACATGGTGGCGGGGGCTGAGGGCGTCGGGATGGGGATTTCCTGCTTGCTGGTCGTCGTCTCGGCCTGCGGGCGGACGAGTGAGCTGTGCGGCGGGCTGGTGCTAAATAGCCTCGAAGTAGTGATCGGGCAAGTGGCAAAGGTTGTCCTGAGAGCTGCGGCGGTTGTTGTTCGTGTGGTTGGACAGGCCGAGATGCTCTGTGCGCGAGCGGCGGAGAGGAGGGCCGAGGCGAGGACCTGGGGGCGCATCATGGCCTACTTATATGTCGTGACCGAGGGGGGGGGGGGGGGGGGGGGGGGGGGGGGCGCGATACGGTAAGGGATTGCTAATGCGGGTGGTGCTGCAGGTGGTGGGCTGGTTTCGGTTGGTGGGATGGGATGGATGCCATTGGGAGGACTATTGGGGCCCCTTATTCGTTCTCGGTTACTGTTCTTCGTTGGTTTCAGGAGCGTGCCTTGTCTCCGCTGACGTACATGCAGCAACAGAATGGCGGTGGGATCTTACACTCCACTCGGGACTTTCTTAGTTCTTTGGTAAGGTATCAATAGCTTTGGAGGACAGCGTGGGTTGACTCCTGCTTCTAGTTGATGACCCGACCTACCGCGAATGAAGATATCAAGCGTAGGTTAGTAGGTAAGCAAACCTTATGTCTGCTATAACGACTGGCTCGCGAACATTGAATGCTGAACAAATGGCAGCGAGACTCAACTCAGCATAAGTTAATATGGCGAAAGTGATGTTGATTCTGACATCAACAGTCTTGGCCACACTAATCGGGTAACCCCTGGCGCATCGCAGCTCGGCTGTTTCGGCTAGCCGCGCAGGCTCGGGGCTCGGGCTACAGCCACGGCGTTCCCTCCGGCGTCTGCTTACACACACATGTATAATCAGGCACGCGGCCAATGACTCGAGGGCTGGCGTGATTTCAAAGAATCACTGCATTCTTTGAAATGCAACACTTTTACCCATGTTGCTAAAACACCTCATCCCCTTGAGCCAAGTCGCAGCAGTTGCAATGTTTGCTGGTTGCAGGTCCGGAAGTAACTCTCCTGCGTTACCTGTCGTGACCGTTGTAACCTGGACATACCTCTAACCTACGTAACAAAGGGACGCATAGCAACAGGTACATTGACTGGGACTCTGATGAGAGCTGCTGTAAGCCATAGCACTCGTCCAATGGTCTGTTAAACATGCGTCGAATCCCAAAGCCTCGCTGGCTGAAGGGGCTTGCAATTAGATATTGCAAATCGTTTTGCATTGTCGTTTTATATGTACACCAAATGCAACTATATATAGCGCTACGCCTCCATGTCCCAGAAGCAGTACCACGCCTCTAGCCACTGCCTACTGAAAGGGGCAATAGATAGCTAAGTCGTGTCTCCCCCAACGCCGCAAACTCCCAGTGCAAGCTCAAAGGACTTGTCTATTCGTCTTGACCCAGCCCAGCTCGCGCAAACGCTCGATTTCTATTTGTGTTTTGTGACGCATGCTAAGCGTCTGAAAGCAAAGGTATATCCCACCCCGAGAGTGACCAGTATCGAAGTCGCCAGAATGTGACTGCGGTCCCACGCCCTCGTCCACCTTATCAAATAAGGAATGGTCTCTGACGTATGGCTCAACAGCCGTTACCAGGTTTCGGCGATATACTGTCCGACTTCTTTTTTCAAGTCCCAGAAATTCTTCGCTTCGTCATGCTCCAGATTGCCTTTGGCCATGGCTACTTTGATCAGAGCCTCTTCGACACCTTCGCCCATGCCCTTGCTGCTTCCGCACACAAAAACTCTTCCGTCGACAGAGTTGATGATGTACCACACGAGATCGGCCTGGTTGGCAACCTCTTCTTGGACATATTGTCCCTCACCACGTCGGCTCTGCACCACGCGCTTGACCTCGTCCTCGTGTACTCCCCATTCTCCACTGTAAAGCTCATCGACCAGCGAGTCGCGAACGCCTTGTAGAACCCAGACCTTGTTGGCGCAGTTGGCGCTCTTCAGACGTCGCTGAACGAAGCCACGGAATGGGGCGATGCCGACGCCAGCCCCAATAAGGAGCATCGGTCCATCAGTCACAAACTGCTTCGCAAGCGGGTTCGCCATCAGGCCCTTGAACATAGGGATATGCACCTGAGGTGCCTTATCTCCACTCCGCTGAAGGGCCATGTATTTCCGGGCCTGGCGTTCGAAGAAGCCGGAGCCGACGCCTGTCCGGCAGCCCTGTCTCCAGTCGGCCGTGTCATGGACCGAAACAGCGATTTCGACCAATCGGTGTTGCTTCCCATCCCTGACCTCGAACGACTCATGAGGGTCGTTCGAAAGGGAGTAGAAACGCGGCATCAGTTGCTGCAGAACGGAGAGTAACAGGTCCAACGGAGGCTTCGCGGAGGGAAAGGCGTTGAGGAGCTGAGAGAGAGACATGTGTGGTCCAGTGCGGAAGTCACAGAAGACGCCTTGCCCTTCTCCGGAACACAAGAACATAAGAATCTTCTTCTCGTTGGGGTCGTTGGCGTGCTCGGCAAGAATGCGTAGGAGAGGCTTTGTGGGTGGGTATGATTGGATATCGGAGCACCAAGTCAACAGGTCTCTGCGAGTGGTGACCAATTCTCGCGCCTTGTCGTCACCCCAAACGGTAGGCCATCTGCCGCGCGCAGTGCGTAGTAAGACCGGCTTGTCACGTATGAAGCGTGGGACCGAAAGCAAGTCGAGGACATCGTCGACCGCGGCAGTGTCGTTTGGAGCAGAGACACCAATGGCCCCTCCAACCTTGAAGTCCAGGCCGCCCTCATCGGGATAGTCTGTCACATCAATGTCGAAATGGAAGGTCCTTTTCTCGGCGCCCGGTCTCGTCAGCTCCCGGGTGTTGTGGATCTTGGCCGGAAATACGTGGTACGGAGGGTGTGGCTGAACGAATGAGGGAGGCTGGATTGACGTATCGAGCTCCTCGAGAGCCATATTCTCAAAGCTCTTCTCAAGAGTAACTGAGTTGTCAGGGTTGGTGTTTGCATCATTTCCAAGAGATATGCCCGAATCCGTGGGTGAAGGGGTCGTTGAGACGCGTCGAATGGGCTTCTCGAGGAATGCAGTCTGTTCAGGCAGGTCGGTAATGCTGGTCAAGACAGTGGGAATCTCGTCGATCTTGAGGTTTAATGATCGGAAGGCGTCATTGTCAGGAAGCGGGACGCGTTCGTATTCGATGCCCTGCTTTTTCTTCTGCGAGTTCATGCAACATCCACCGCCACAACACCGGTTGATCAATTGCTGAGTAGACTCGCCGGTAATTCTCTGGATGTCAGCAGCGCTTTGAGCAATGAGCCTAGTGGAAGCGCGCCGCCGGCGTGGCGGTTCGCGGTGCTGCAGTTCATCTTGATCTTCCGAGTCCTCAGAGTAGGTAAGCGAAGGGGCGACAGAAGGCGAACGAGGTTCCTCGGGGATACAGTCGGATGTCGCCTTTGCAAGCAACTGCTCAACTCGAGAAGCCATTGTTGCGTTTGTGTTTGTTGACCGTAGTTATTGTGTGGACGCGCGACGTTCAAGAAATCTCGTCGAGTTGGCAATGAGGTGCCGAGTCCGGGTGGGGGAGGGGCTGGGGAGTGGTATATTCCACGCGTTGTCAATGAGGCGCCGCACTCGGGACAGTTATTGTTCTTTTGACGCGGACGTTTTGACGATGGATTTAATATCGATTAAGGGGGAAAGGTCGCCGACATGCACGGTAGGGGACTGGGAACAAAAGGTTCAGGTTGTTAGAGTTTCGCAGGTTATGGGAAGTGCTTCTCCCGAGGGCTCAGGTTGGCGTCTACAGCCGATTGATTAGACTGATTGATTAGATGTTGGTGGAAGCCACACAATGACATTGGAGTGTGGAAGAACACGCCCGAAGACAAAGGAGGGAGAATGCGGAGGGACAAGTTGCTGAATAGGTTGATTGGCGACGTAGGTAAAGAGTCAGAGTCAGGAGTGATGATAGTGATAATAATAATTATTTCTCCAGCCTGGCAGAACTGGCAGACTGGGCCTTTGCTGAGCGATGATGACAATGTGCAACCGAAGACGCCCAGAAAGCCCTATCAGATGACCCTGCAGCAGGGGGAAGTGGGGTGGCGCTGAGCCCAGCAGCTGCCTAGCAGCCTAGCTCGTTGCGATTACCGTTGGGGGGCTGATCCATGGCCAGTGCGCATCAGATAGTGGCCGTTAGAGCTCCGGTCTTCGCCGACTACGTTTTACGGTACAGAGTCGGGTTTTGTGTTTTCCATCCTCCGTCGTACGCAGTCATGTACATTGTACGTACCTCCCTGCCGACCTCGCCTCCTTTTACCCCGTTGCATCCAGTCCGTCTGTCTGTTTGCTGCCCACCTGCACTTCATCCGCTATCACAGTGCAGCGACGAGACATGTATTCGATTCTCGAGTGATAAATACCTCTGCCGGATTACAACTGCGGTACAGTTGATGACAATTGATTGGCCCGCTCTGCATTACGTCACCCTCTCCAATCACACAATATTTCATCATCGTCTTCCGACTACAAGCAATACCTAATAACTCCCAATTTGCACATGACTGTTGGTCAGCATGTTTCAACGATGGTCTACTTTCCTCGGCTATGTATCTCGGTTCGTGGGCAGCGCCGCATTGCGTGAACCGACAGCCTATGCAGGCAGGCAGGCTGTGCTATTGGGCATTGAATGTGCGCGGCATCGGGGAACGGTATCCTAGCGGCCGTTTGTGCTCCCTTTCTCAAAAGTCCGTTTCCATCACGCGTTCCTATCCGAGTTGCCGAGCTCGTCCCAAGAAACCGTTCTAGACCTGCCGGGTCATGCATGCACGAGTGCTCATATGATCGATCAGGCCTTTTCTCGCGGCCATCCGACCCAAACTACCTACTTAGGTAGGCATCAGAAGTTCGGCCCATCCATCATGTGTGGAATGATGAAATGCTGTTGCAAGACACGGACTGTCAAAAGGGTCCGTATCGAGACCAGGTCCGTTTTCCAGCAGTGCAAGTGACGGGTGGCAAACAGGTTCTACCATCTACCTAGCGTTGTCCCTTTTACTTCCAATATGCCGTCTTCCATACATGAAATCATCTCCACGCTTTCGAGGCAAGGGTTACCCTTGGTCATTACGACTAAGGTGACAGGTCGGCCAAGCAAACTGTAGCTGTTGGGAATGATCCCTTGATAGACCGGAGGTAATCTTATCAATCAGTGAATCCACGGAGTACGAAAGTTATCAATCTCATCTAATCTCTCAATCTCCGAAGTCGGCGTCGACCTAGTAGTCACTTGTCAGAAATTAGCGTTCCCAAAAGGATCAGATAACCCATTTCCGTTCCTTCAATTCCCGTCAACCCAGCCGTTTGGTTCGAATGTCATCTGCGGATGATAAGACAGCATGATTATCGAAAACGCCATATTCCGATCCGTTGCTTCACCGACCTGTCTTTGAGATTACGGCTTGGCTGGAAATACGAGCAGCCCGTTTCGCTTATACAGACCAGAACTTCGCCTCAACAATTCGGGAATAACTCCTGCCGCTCACGCCATGTAGAACGACTCATTTGCGGCAGCCTCCACACGTCAGACCACGCGATCATCTGATAAATCATCCCTTTTCCTCTGTGCGCATTGTCCAGCTGCTGAAAGGATCGATGTATTCCGAGAGTTACCCATGCGGGCCATGGTTGCCAGCCACCTGGTTGCAAAACGCTCGGCTCATTGAAAGCCACATGCCAGTCTAGAGCTCACCGCCTGTGCGCCTCTAAAGTCTGGACTACCGCATCGCATGCATCGCCATTCCAGCGCACATGAGCCACAAGTATCGCTCGAGGTATGCAGGAGTAGTCAACGTCTACGAAGCTTGCGTACTTCCTTTCCGCGAGGCCCTCTCATCCGAATCATCAGTCCGAGCGGACATGGATACTCCTAATCTCTTGACCATAGGTGAATATTGCTACCTAAGCAGCGCCCGTACATATTCGAAAAGGTACAGTGGCTTGAATCTACGTGGCCGCCGCCTCTCTTTGATAAATATCGTCATTGCCATTAGATCACTCCAAAAATGGTGACAGAAGGTTTCAGATGTCTAAACAGAGACAGGTGACATGACATATTGCCAAACATCCAATTTCAGTGTCCCAGGTCCAGAAGAGAAAGGGCACGAATGAGTTGGCTCGCTTATCCAACGAGCTCCGTGTGAGATTGTCTGTTCGGTCCTCCGAGCATAGATGACGCTTACACTGGCGTGTACCGGCCTCCGCCACCACAGTCAATACAGTATACCTAGGTGCTTCTCGTAGCTATCATGTTGGCCGCCCCGGATCGCGTCGCTTTCCCTTCTAAACCGCATTGTGAAAATGGCAGAACACAGAATCAAAGTGGCTATTGCGGGGGGTGGAATCGCCGGGCTTGCGCTCGCCGCTGGCCTCGTCAACAAGGAGCACATAGATGTTCACGTGTACGAGTCCGTACCACGCTACAGCGACGTCGGGGCGGGCCTCGCGCTTCACTTGAACGCGATCAAGGCCATGACGCTCATCGGGCCGGATGTGCGACAGGCGTATTTCGACAAGGCGCTGACCATGGGCGACGAGGATCAGGTGATGGCGACGCAAGTCATATTGGCGCAAGGGCCGCACATGGGCCAGCTGGTCGCAGAGCTCGGAAAAGCGAAAGGCAGGAAGACTGTGAGTCGTGCCGACCTGCTCGACGGGTTCCTCGCACTCGTCCCGCGCGACTGTATCAGCTTCGACAAGAAGCTCGCCAGCATCACCGAGGGGCAGGCAGGAGATCGCAAAATCGGACTCACGTTCAAGGACGGCAGCCAGGTCGCGGTCGATTGCTTGCTGGGAGCCGACGGCATCCATAGCCTGACCCGAGCTTACCTGCTCGGCGAGGACCACCCAGCCACGGCGCCCAAGAATGAGGACGGCTGGCAGATCTACCGAACCATGATATCCACGGAAGAGGCCAAGAAGCAGATCAACCCCAAGTGGACGGAGAACGTGCCGATTCTCCTCGGACCCCGGGGCCACATCAACTGCATCCCGCTCAACAAGAACACGCGGCTGAGCGCCGGCGTCGCGGTCCGCGGGGCCAAGTTCACACGGCACCGGGACGGCAGCCAGGAAGCGCCCGCATTGGATCCAGCACTGTACGAGGACTACAGCGAGGAGGCGCAGCAGATTGTGCGGATGGTCGCGAAGGACACGAGCGCGTCGTGGACGGCGGCCGATCATGACCATGCGCCATTCTATGCGAAAGGGAACGTGGCAATGTTTGGCGATGCGGCTCATGCGTCGCTTCCGTTTGCCGGCAACGGGGCCGCGCAGGCGCTCGAGGACGCGGCGGTGTTGGATTGTCGTAAGTCACTCTCATCGTTCCCTTGTCACTTGTGTCTTCCTTTCCGGTTTTTTCTTTACCGAAGTCGTGAAAGTGATTGGTTCTAACCTTTGTGAAATAGTATTCGGTCATGTCGAGAACGCCGGTCCGATCAAGGCCGCGCTAAAGGCTTTTGACGAGGTGCGCAGACCGAGGAGCCAGGCCGTGGTGGACCTCGCCCGCAAGTTCGGGCGCGTGTATGCGTATGCCGAAGACGGAATGCACGAGGACCCTGTCCGGATGAAGAAGTTCTTCGGACAGATGGCGGCGTTCACTAATGAGTTTGATGTCAAGGGCCAGAATGATGAGGCCTTGAAGCGGTTCCAGCAGTTGCAGGGCCAGGATGGAGTTGTAGATGGGATATCGTGAGGACACACCTCTCGAGGTCAACTGTTCCGGTGCTCTGATTATAGTCAATAACTTATTACACTAATTCGAATCTTCTAGCCGCAACGATGACAGCGCTCTCTATACATCCAATCGCCCGCTTGTCGCATATGCCGTTGGCTGTGAGAAGTGTTATGATGTAGGTTCTTCTTCTCAATTTGACTGTGTGCCGAGGAACACCTACAGTGACTTTCACTTGTTTCCAGTACAGACGTTTTCGTCCGCGAGGGCTCGCTTTCAATCACGGCTGCGACTCCATCTTGTTCGACATGGAAGCCCTATATTGACGTTCGCGTGGGATTTCGCCATATTCATAGCGAAAACAAAGCTTCTCAGGCTCAGTTCACATGCCTGCAGGATCTTTGTAACACGAACGATACCTGCCAAGTGGTTGCTTCCCGTTCCCGCTGTCTTGGACGAAGGCTTAACCTCCCGTCACTGCAGCCACACGGCAGGGAGGTATTCATCATCCAGACATCGGAGCTGCCGCAGTGGCGACGTCGTCGGAAGGGTGGAGGATGACGAGCACACGACAAGACTCATAGGAAGGGCCGCCTTGGCGCATTGATATGCTCTTATATATGTATCTTATATATGTACGGCTGAAGTTGCCCTACGGACTTCCAGCTCCACCAGCGACACGTCTTGCTCTTGTTTCTGGTATCGTCAGCGCTCTCGCTGCAACCCTACGCTCCCCATCATGGTAGAAGGTACCGGTAGGAAACCCCCCCGCTTCCCGCAATGATACCGCATATCTGCGTGGGACTCTCCTGACGCATGCACATCACACTCGCCTAAACCGGGGCGGGTATACATGAGAAGAGTGGTTGAGGTTTTGCGGCATTGGAGACACCGCCAAGATATCCGGCGTGCGTCTTGCGACGAGGTCGAGAACAACAGAACCGTACCTAATGCAGATGGGCTGGAGCAAAGGATCCGAATCGATGAAGACCATTCGAACAAGCTCATTCCCTGGCAGCAGGTATTTAATCTAACAAATAGCTGTTTTGGCATTGGGATGACAAGGACGCTATGAGGGACTCCCGAGAGAGGAACGTGGTATTGCCGGCCCTAGGGCGGTGGTGTTTGTTGGCCAGATGGGAAACGTGATGCGCTTCAGAACCCCGGACTCGCCTAGGGCCCCGGAGCTGCGCGCTCCCGAACCTCTTCCCTGCCATGCCTGCCTCCACCTGCAGCACGGCCCCGCCTTCGACCTCCCGTTTCAGACGTTGGCCCACCATCCAGATCCTGTCGGGATCTTCAACCGCAAACAACACCAGAGGATTGCAGACAGGCTGACAGGGCATCCCTCACACTCACAGGGGAGTCGGACGTCAAACATGCCGCCGTCACTCGGGAGCAGCAACTCCATCGGATGGATCAGTGATCAGCGGCCACTATTGCGGCTGTTCGGGGCAGGCGTCCAAGTTCCAACACGACAGCTGGGAAACGTTTCTCTTCCTTCTGAGAAGTGTCCATAGGTAGCTTCCGTGGTTCTGCAGCATGCCATGCTGCACCGCATCACTTAAGTCATCTTCTTTCTCATTCGTCTTTCCTGTCTTTCTCCCCTTCCCTCCCCTCTTCCGCCACCCCTACTTCTCACTGCCATTCCCCTTTCATCCCATCCGCCTCGACTCCGTAAGGTCGGAAACAATGGTTGCCGTAGTGGGGCCTTTCTCTATATCCACTTGAGCTCCCCTTCGGCTTCGACAGACGGCCACTTGGACGGAGAGATCTGGGACCGTATCTTCAACTGCCAATCTCGGATGGCCGAAGCGACGTGGCCAATCTATCCCAGTTCCGCTATTCTCGGACATCGTTATTTCCCCAGACCATCACTACCAAGTCCTGTAGCTCTCGCCTACTAGGTACGGGATGACCTTATATGAATACCGGAATCTGTTTCCCCATACACAATCCGATGCGATACCAACCAGCTACACCGATGGTAAATATCGTGAAGGGCGAGGGGAGCGGACCAACCATTCATCCCTTCTTCTATCTGAAGCCCCCACTGCTTACTCCTCACTCGCTTTGTCCCAAGCCTACCCAGCGAGAATGCCCTCTGTCGTGGAGGACCCACAGTCTTACAACCCCAACTACACCGCGGTGACATACGACATGTTGACCCAAGGTGTGATGGGGAATCACTCAGGCTACTATGTCGCCATTGGCATGGTACTGGTCTGTATATGGTTGTTTCAGCCATCCAAGCCCAAGTGCAACGTGTCGGCGCCGCTCTACAAGTCATCGAGGATGAAGTGGATGTTCAATGCCGATTCTCTGATCAGGGACAGCTATACACAGGTTCGTTGCACCAGTCAATCAACGCTTGCCATCGGTCCTACTGACGCCTGTTAGTTTCGCGACTGTGTCTACCAGATCAAGGCCACAGAGGGAATGAGGACTATAATACCAGCCAACCTCGTGGGCGAGCTGAAGGGGCTTCCAGAGAGCACCCTGAGCGCAGAGACGGCCGTCAGTGAGGTGCGTTGGGACCAGACAACCTGCTATCCCCGAGCTTACGCTGACACTTTCAACAGGCCATGTTGAGCGAGTATACTCAGCTTTCGGCGGGCGCCCACTCAGACACCTTGACGCTGCTCCTGAAGACCAAGACGACGCAGAACCTAGCTCGGATGACGCCCAAGCTCAAGGAGGAGCTTGAGTATATCCTATCTACTGAGTTCCCTGCGTGTGGAGGTAGAATATCACATCAGATTATCAGCATGGAAATCCATCACTAATGCTGCTTCAGATTGGACGCCATTCAAGATACAACCCTTCATGGTACGGACGGTATCCCGTCTGAGTGGACGGACCTTCGTCGGGCCGGCGCTTTGTCGCACGGAAGAGTGGATGGATGTTAGCATCAACTTTGCGATCACGGCATTTATCGCCGTCATAAAACTGCAGTTCTTCCCGCCGTGGATGCGGCCAGCAGCACAGTATCTGGTCTCAGAGCTTACGACCATCCGGAAGGATTTAGAGAAGGCACAAGCGATGCTCAAGCCCCTTATCGAGGAACGGACCCCTGACTCGGACACGGACGGCTACGAGAAGCCCGACGATTTTATGCAGTGGCTGTTGGATGCTATGCCCGACGAGCAGAAGAGCGATTATTTCATACAAGCGAAGATACAACTACTATTAAGCGCATCGTCGATACATACGACGAGTAATCTGACGACGGACTGTATATACGACCTGGCGGTACATCAAGACATACAGGAGATATTACGGGAGGAGGCATCCGAAGTCCTCGAGAATGGGAACGATTGGGACAAGAAGGAGACCATGCCCAGGTTGAAGAAGATGGACAGCTTCATTAAAGAGTCGCTGAGGCTGTCCGGCAACGTCAGTAAGTAAACCCAATACCCCCTTGACCAGCCATTTCGGCGGTGATGCTTACCGGTCCCAGCTTCTTTCATCCGCAAGGTCATGAAGCCCATCGACCTTTCAGACGGAACGCATCTGCCGCCGGGCACCGACCTGCTCACCCCACTAGCAGGGGTCGCCGTGGACGAGCGATTCTACCCGGAGCCGGAAAAGTTCGACGGCCTGCGCTTCTGGAAGCTGAGGCAGCAGTCCGAGGAGGCCCGGGACCGGTGGCAGTTCACGAGCATTGGCGACACGAACATGAACTTCGGGCTGGGCAAGCACGCCTGCCCGGGCCGGTTCTTCGCCGCCAACGAGGTCAAGCTGATCCTGGCCCACCTGCTCCTCAACTACGATATCAAGCTGAAAGACGGCGAGGGGAGGCCCAAGCCGAATATGTTCATGATGACCAAGAGCCCGAGCCAGACGGCTGAGGTGCTGTTTAGGAGGAGAACGAACACATGATGCTCTGGGAATACCCACGACCCAGCGAGGTGCTTTGGAGCCTGTATATCTGGATAGATACCAGAACTGGGACATTCCAGCGAACGTACGATAGAAACGACGAAGAGATGGGAAAGCGACGACATCAATGATACCAGACAAGTCAGGAGACCGACCGCACGGCCCTGGGGTCAGGCACTCCCAGGCTGCCGGTGGTCCGGCCTGCGCTAGCGAATTGGATATATGGAGGTGTCGACACATGTACATATACGGCACTACATACCATGCCATTGTAGACTATACCATACGGCTACGGCCATGGAGTTCGGGATCTTGGGCTCATTATGTGGGCGGCAATGAGACGGATTGTACCATCTATACCTTGGTACGTGTCAAACAGAGCGTGGGGGCATTTGGATGGGTGAAAACGTATATTCTGGTGTAATCCGTGTTCTTGTTGTATCTCTGTGAAAATCCTTCTGTGGGCTAAGTGGCCCAAAAATGCCCTATTGGCCTTGTTGGTGCAGTGCCACCTCCCTGAACGCCACGGTGGCTTCCGCGCCATTCAACAGTACGTGGAGACACGATGGCTGGCGGCGGCATCGCAAGGGAAAGGAATACCATCCCTTCGAATTGTGGATATGGGAATATCCCAGGGATCATCAAAGATGTTATCGGACTTCGCAATTGAAAACCATTCGTCGAACAGTTGGTCTCGTTGCACCTTTGATGCTGGGTGAGAACCTGTTTGGACTTCCGTGGTCCTGAACAAGCCTGTTTCTTCCTCCATACCTTCAGCCTCGACGCTGCGTCTACACATGCCATCTTCGCGGAAGTACTTTCGAAGAGACTGATATCCAACAATTGTAGTGAGAGACTGACGATATCCTAGACCATTGTTCATAGCCATACCGGTCCTCACCACTCGCTTCGCAAGGATCCTGCCATTATGGTCATCATTACAACCCCGAGCCGGCGATCTCAAAGCCTGGAAAACGGCCAGCTATCACGACAGCTCACGTTGGGGGCTGCGGTCGATCTAACTTACCGGGGAGGTCGAAGCCCGCGAGTATCCCGTTGTTGTTCGTAACGATCGTGTCTGATACGTCGCCGCGCGTCAGTCTTGTCAGGCAGGCAAGCGAGCAAGCGACAGAACAGAGCCCGTCGGAAGAAAAATAATTGGGCGAGGAGGGGTGCGGTGAAGGGGAAAAGGGAGATATTAAGGGGTGCTTAAGGGGTGGCAAAAAGGTCGTGAAGAGGTATTAGAGAAGTATCAGAGAGGGATAGATAAGTTAGAGTGGCCCATACCAAGGTCGAAACTCGAGGTCTTGATATCGCCGCCTGTTATCTCGCACTCGCAGGTGATGTCGGCGCTGGTTGTGGACGCGCTGCAGGCGTGGCAGGTGTTGAAGGCGTTGCCCCTGTGTGTGGCATGCATCAGTTTGGTTTGGGCATTTGGTATGGTGAGGTCCGGTCCAGTCGATTCAGCGTCAGTCCAGCAACGGGTCCGCACAAGCACAGGACATGAAATGGAGCAGTTTTTCTTCGCAGGATCCGGTCAAGGCTTTCGAGAGCCATCACACTATAGGCAATTTGTGCCATCACTCATCAGGACACACTACAGCACCACACCGCAATACACAGCACATCCCTTTCCACGCAAAACCACCACGCCCCTTTCTTCACACTGACCACTCCAAGACAGACAACAAGAAAGAAAACAGCAAACTCACCCCATCCGCCCCACCATCAAACCCTCGCTATTCCCCAGGCAATCATTCAGGTCCAGCGAACTGGTAACAGGGGCGTCATCGGGGCCCGCACACGTGGCGACCTCGAACTGTGCGGCGCCGCGGTTGCCCAGCTTGTAGGAGCTGGCGCACATGGTGTATAAGCCACTGGCGCTGCTGTTGTTGTGTTGCTGGGCTTTGGCGAGGGCGGCGAGCGTGGTGATTAGGGGGGTGGATTAGGGTGGTAAGTAGGGGGCTAGGAGGGGGGTTGTGGGTTTCATTGTGCTGGAGGTTGGGTTGGGAATGATGGGTTTGGTTGGTCAGGGTGGTGAGAGTGAGCTTGGGGAGATGAGAAGGGGGTTGTGGGACCTGGGACTGCAGGAGTGAAGTGACGGGTGTAGTTGATCGGCCTCCCTCGTCGTGGGCTGGAGGAGCGCGGCGGTGGTCGGGTGGGCAGGGAGGTCTAGGTATAGCTACCTACCTACCGCGACAGGAGGTGAACTCGGTCCAGGCATAGCTATTGAAACAATGAGACAGACCACCTATGTACATAGCAAGACGAGGTTTCATTTCTACTGAGATGCACCTAGCTGGGGTGGTTGGTTGGGGTTGCTTATATGTCAAAAGACGAGCAAAATTTCCCATCGCACCAAAATAGCCTAATGGCCGATTTGGAGTGCTGGTCTAACCAGCGTGCTTGAGGAAAACACTTAACGGGGGTTTTCGGAGGTGGCTGCAAGCGTAAAGGCCTTTCTTTTTGTAAAGTTCTAGTCCTACGCGGTGTCATTACCTAGTTAGCAGGCCTAGACAAATATGGGGGCTTTTTTCTGGTTTTTCTTCTTCAAATTCCTGGTCCTCTGGTCCTGTTGCTCTGGCAGTCGGCGCTTAGCGTTGGGTCGAAGCGGGATGAAGAATGGTGTGGTGAGGTGAGTCGACTAATACTTGGTTACGATCCTTCTTGATAGACTTCCAGATAACGAACGGCGTTCATTCACTTCTACGGCGTCACGAGACATATTTGAGCGCCAACGAGCCTATCATAAGGTAGCTTCTGCCGTGTCGCTGTGCCGCTGCCCTTGCAGCTTCAATTCTGCTTTGAGATGCACCTGTTTACGAAGCTTGAGGTAAGTCGCGGGGTGAAGATCGCTTGTACGTCCCTTCGGGTGAAGGTATTGCGCAGTTTGTTAATACGCAGCAGCACCGATTTCTATATCAAATGCACTATCTTTCCAGGATCACCTTGGGACATATGACCGCGCCTAATTAATTACAATCGCTACCGGTACTCTTAGGCCATGAAGGAAGGGTCTTGACCCTACATACGGCGAGCGACCGCAATTATGTTTGTATTGGGCTGCCCGGGTGATGTGACGTTGACACAAGGCGAATAGTCCCCATGGTGTTGGAGCTCGTCCGTCTGTGGGGTAATACGTAGTCTCGCGAGCACTCCCCTTTTCGGCGCATTTGAGATGCGGCACAGGGCCTGAGTCACAGAGGAAGGGCTCTTCACGTTCTTTCAGTTGGTCGCTTCTTAGTCCTTCAGAGCTGACATCTGGTTCTTAGGCGGGGATCATGGAGGTGTCCCAGGAGATAGACGCTGCTCTGGGCTAACAAGCTGATTCCCAATCGATACACTCCAGGACGTGATATTGACTCTGGCGGTGGTGTCGACTCGGTTTATTGGTCAAGAGAAGGATATTTATTACCTCCGGATCCCAACCCATCTCTCAGCTCCTCGTCAGCACGGGATCCTGGCCTCACTATTTCAAGGAAGTGCAAAGCTGAGTCTCACGTTGAGCAAGTTCGCGACTGAGACGGGTCATGTCAGCTAGGGGTAGAGTCACCATGCGACCCCTTTCCAATATCATTTTCTCTGAACTACATCGTGGGTGTTGTGTTTTGAAACCATCACTCTGATTTCTCCTCGCCATGTGAATCGAAGTAGAAACCCCGAGTGGATTCCGTCGCGCGCTGAACGATTGTCTCCTCGACCTTTCCGACTAAAGATGAACCGTATGTAGCCACGTTCCCCTTTCCCACTAGTAGAGCGTGTTACGCCTCCTCTACCTCTCCTTGTATTCTTTTAACACCACTAGGTTGTAACCAAGGAGTTTATGTCAATCAATACGGCGAGCGTCCGAGATTATATAAGCGCTATGGTGTCGCTTGGTGTATGCTGACAGCCCAAAACCCAGCTAAAGACCCAAACAAAGACCGGGTCGGTGAACATGAACGGCCGGTATTCGTTGGCAAGTTCCTAGTCTATCCAGTTTATCTGGGCTGTTTGTCGCCATCTCAAATTCCTCGCGTCACCGCCTTTCGCCGCAACCTGGTCCAACACCCGGACGACTCTGTTGGCGAACGGATCTCGCACCGGGTCGTCTGCGAAGACGCGGCCTTTCTGTACGTCCAAAGTCGCCAGCGAGCGGAAAGCGCTGTTCAGCACTCTGTCCAAAGCCTCCCGGAACTCCACGATGAGCATCGTCGGGACGAATCCCTTATCGTTGACTTTGATGTAGAAAGAAAGCCACTCATCCATGTCCAGACGAGCGAAGCCGCTCCTGTGCAACTTGCCACCAAAGAGTACCGCCATCAGCGGGTCCACGAGCGTCGAGTCCCTCATGAAGAGCTGCTTGCCGTCGTTGCTTCTGCCGAGAGTGCTGTATGCGAACAATGATCCTCGCGGGTGTTTCTTGCTGGTCTTCTTCGTGTCGTCGTTGAGGGATGAGGGGTGCAATAGCACCCCTTGTTCGTCAGGAACTCGGTAGGTGGCGCCTGTTGGGCTGCTTTTGACAGCGAGATTTGGATGCGAACCCGCCAGAAGCAGAGACTTCACGAGGACCGGATTGTGGGCGTTGCGATTCAGCTCGGCTGGACCGTATCGGCCTCGCGACCTTTCGCTGGGAAGTGTGCTTGGGATCAAGCCGGAGCCTTCCAGTATCTGCACGATCTGCTGGGCAGTCTGATCGATCGCTCTGAACGCTCCCATGTGGATCCAGTTCTCCCGTGCGCGCTCGGATGCTGCACCGATGCCGTACTGATCTCGGAGCTTGCGGATCTTGTTGAAGCCGTTCAACATTGCCATGTGATCGCTGGGTTCACCTTTCGCATACTTCCGACGAGCGCTGACAGACGCTGCTCGCAGGTCACCGCCAAGTGGCGTTATGAAGAGTGCACGTTCCTGGGCAGCTGCCCCGAGTATAAGCATCGAGTCGAGACATCTGAAGACGACTCCTAGCACAATCATCTTGCCCAGGGTCGGGTGAACAGGTAACTTTGACAAAAGGCGACCAAGATCCGTAAGCTGCTCATCCGTAGTAAGCGCCTCGATTGCCTGCAGGCTCGATCGTGCTACTTTTATTGCAGCTGTGGGCGGAGCTTCGATTGCTAGTCCAAGAAACTGCTCAACAGGCTCGCTGAAGCCCCGAGCTTTGATGGACAACAAGGTCTCCTGGAGATCGCTTCGTAGCAGCTCCGGCAGGCCGACCGCTCTCAAAGAGTCATGGCGTTCCTTGGAGAATAGGGCATAGTAGTGGCCTTCCTGTACGCGACCGGCGCGGCCAGCACGCTGCTTGGAGTTTGACTTGCTCTCAAATACACACTGTAGCTTGGTGATGCGTCTGGTCTGATCGTACCGCGTCTCCCGCAACTTGCCCGTGTCAACAACATACTTCACATCAGTAACGGTGACAGACGTCTCGGCAATGTTGGTGGACAGTATGATTTTGCGGCAACCAGGCCGCACCGGGTCGAATATTGCTGTTTGTTCCTCTTTGGGCACGGTGGAGTGCAGAAGGCAGATCTTGAACTTCGAAGGATCACGGAAGTCCATACCCAATAGCGTTCGCTCCTGTAAGACCCGTTGCGTCCTCACTATTTCCTCGATGCCGGGCAGGAAGGCTAAGATGGCACCGTCCTCAGTCGTCTTGCATATGTGTGCTATGGTAGCCGCGAGCAATGCAGTTGGTACGAGGGCTTCTTCCTGCTCGGAGGTGGCATTACCAACGTCTTCCAGTCCAGCTTGAACCTGTCTCTGTCGCTTCCAGTCGATTGCGCCATTGTCTGCAAGTTGCTCCCCAGTCGACGTATGTGACCTACAGAAAGTCGTCTCGGATCTCAGATATTCTTGACTGTCCTTTTCTTGTGAGATCATGAGGGTGAGCTCGCGCTTATGATGCTGTTGCAATTCGTGCAGAATCGTTTCGAGATATATCTCCTTGACAGGGAATGTACGTCCCGGCACGCTCAGAGACGGACAGGCTGTCCGCTTGCCTCCCGCATCGGTAGTCACGAAGTACTCAGCGAACAGCTCTGTATCCAGCGTCGCAGACATCAAGACGACCTTCGGTATCGACTTGCTTGCCAGTCGACGAGCGGCCAAAGCCTTCTTCAACACGACCATGAGAAAGTCAATATTGATGTCTCGTTCATGGACTTCGTCGATGACCAAGTGTGATACCGCGTCCAATACACCGTCTGCATCGTGTTTGAGCTGCTCGAGCAAGACGCCAGTGGTGCAATATGTCATGCTGCCTCCAGGCCGTGGTAGCTTCGCATCAAAGCGGACTTGGTAACCGACAGACTCTTGCAACCGCTCATTGCGCTCTACAGCCACCCGCTGTGCTACCGAGGTCGCTGCTATGCGTCTTGGTTGAGTACAGATGATATTGCAAGAGCCACCATGGCCAGCAGCGATAGCATGTTCCAAGAGAATTTGCGGGACCTGCGTTGTCTTGCCGCTTCCAGTAGCGCCAACGATTATGCTATAGGGGTTGTTGCTAACCATATCGATGACTTGTGCTCGGTACTGATTCATCGGAAGCGACGCCTTCTTCGCGTGAAGCTCTTGCAGGCCAGCATCTTCCTCAAATGCCTTTTGTTTGTCCACCAGGTGTCCGTTGAGGTACTCGATCTTGACTGGATCGAGCCGTGTCGGTCGTCTTCGCGGAGCGCCCTCCACGAGTCTCTCTTCAGCCCGCAACACCTGTCGGCTATCTGGCAGACCAGCTTTCCTGGCCTCCACAAGTGCGTCCCGCATGATGTATGTGGCCCCAACACCAATATCGAGATCGATGGGAGGCAACGGCTTCAAAAATTTACCTTTGTTCTTCGTCAGCCTCTCCTCGAAGCCCTGTAGTAACCCAGGGTCCTCCCTAGTCATCTCAATAGCAGCCGTTAGGTGCGCAGCCGCTTCTGCTTGTTTCTTGCTCCCCATTACGACGGCTTGTCCGAGCGGAGTACCATCCACAGTCAAATGGGCGCTCTGGCGGGTGGAACGAGCCTGAGTAAGCTGCTCATGCTCCACTTCAATGCGGGTGCCTCTCCTGACTTCTCGGAGCCACTGAAAGAAGTATATGGCGGTGTCGGTGCTCAGGAGTCCTGATTGTAGCCCAGAGTCTCCTGTCTGCAGACCACGGTTGCGCTTGTGCCACTCCTCAGCTTTCGCCTTGAAAGAGAGAGCTGCCGCAGTCTCGGCGGTCCGCAAGTCCTTAGCCACGGCGGACACATCGATGCTTTGTTCCGGCAGGCTAATGTCGACCTGCACAGTAGGCTTCTGCTTCTGCCGAGCCGACTGTTTTCGGAGTCTCTTCCGTGGAGTCCGAGTCTGGACCATGGCGACTCTGAATTGCGGGACAAGACCAAACCCGGCCGCATAGTTGTAGATCTCGGTTTTGGCATCCTTCTCTTCTTCGATTACGCCTTTGCCCAGCGTGGTTGGCCTCATGTCTGTAACTTCCACTCCCGGCTGCAGATGTATCGTGGTCTTCTTAGTCCCAGAGAACAGCACACTCAGGGCACCATTCTCGTGTAGTTTTGCCGCCATCTGCACCCAAGCAGCTTGTCTCGCAACCTGTTTGCTCCGACCCTCTCCCGCACTGGTCTCTTGGCATAAGCCCGGCAGCTCGAGCTTAAGCGTACAAGTGAAGACCAAACCCGGTGCGCGCTTAGTGTCCAAGTCGACGTGAGTCTGTATCGGTATCTTCAGCTTACCGCATGCACCGTGAATAATGTCCTGGATAAGTGCCGGGTCGAACAGGCCGTCTGGAGCCTGAGGATATTGCTCTTCGGTCGGCATGCCAGCCTGCGTTGTAGATACTTTGACTTCGTGCTCTTGTCGAATGTTTCCTTCCTGAGAAAGTGTCGGGGACGACAGGGCCTTGAGCGCACCCTTTACATGCATGTCAGCAAGTGCCCGAAGGTAGGCCGCCTGCTTCGCAACTTTCCTGGTCAATCCTTTGCCAGTCGACATCCACCAAGCAAAGCCCTCAACGCTCAAGACTAGTTGGCATGTGTGTTCAACCTGGCCCTTTTTGGCACGACGTCGGGTACTGAACTTCTCGTCCACTTTGAACTCCTTTTCGGCGGCAACTCTGAGACGCCTGAAGCCGTTGATCACCGTCGCTGCTTCGAAGAGCTCTACTGGAGCCCACGGGTATTCTGCTTCAGTTGGCAGCCTCATAGTTTCAGCGGTCTCCTGCACGTCAGACGATTCGGGCTGGCCACCTGATGAAAGATGTTCGGCTTTCTGCTCCAGTTTGCGGCTGGTGTCGTCGAAACGAAAGAGTGGATAGGTCATTAGAGCTGCCAAAGCACTCCTATTTACAGCGTTCTTCCGGATATCGTAACTGAGTTCTCGCCGTTGGCCGTGCTCCAGTTGGCCGTCCTCCAGTTCCAGATTGCTCGATCGATCTCGTACTTTCGTTGCTGCTGTCTCAATCCTCTGTTGATGCTCTGCTGGATCACTTCGCTCGAAAAAGAAATGGACCGGCGTATGTTCTGCTCTCTGCTGCAGATCAGGAGGTGCCGATGAAAAGTCTTCAACGTCTTGGAAGCCCTCTGTACTTTGCAATTGCGCATCGGCGTAGCTGCGTCGCTGCGACATACTCACGCTATACGCCGGAAAGTATGGCTTGTGCGTTTCGAAGGTGCGAGCGAGCATTGCCACCCGGACCGCGGGCGGAAGCCTAAGCAAGGCCATTGCAGCCATGATGATGATTGTTTAGCAGCTGCTACTGACACCCTGACGATGCCATGAACTCTCAAAGTCAAGACGAAAGGAGCCCTGGACGCGTCTGAGTTTGATATCGGCGCTCGGGACATCGGGCGACAACCTGACCCCTGCATATTGAGGGCCCCAGCTTATCTCCTTGGAAGCAGACCGTCTTTCTCGCTTAGTAAGGCATTTGGTCCGTGTGGAGTCACTCACAGTGGGGCGGTGACGGTCTGAGCTTTTCTGAGATAACTACCTGTCCGCCGAAGATATCCTTCCTTAGGGGGCATTTGGGAATAGTGACTGGTCCATGCACACCACAGGAAGCCGGTTTTACCTACGACTCACTAATATCGTTGGCAACGGACGCATCTTGCTCAAAACAATTCGAAGGTCCGCGGCGGCACACCACGTCCTGCCACCTGGCTGGGATGATGACCTTCGCAGGAGGAAGACGCTGAGCAAATTATAGTCATCGATGGAGGAGCTCGTCGGCATCAACCAGGCATTGCCCCAGCTCTGCGTAGGCGGAACAGGTTTCTTTAATCATAGTAGCAGCGTGAGCCGGCAAACCCGATACAAGATAGTGATGACCTTCGAGGGAGGCGGAGACAGGGGCCGTATCACCACAGGCGATGTTCCAAGAGGAAGACAGCAACAAGGATATCCAATTAAGCCTGGCGATACTCGGACCAAGCTAGCCATGTCTAAACGACATAGACCTTTTCTTGGGATCTATTCATCAGCCCATGTGACCTGAGACTGACACATTGCCTCGCCCATATAACCTAGACAGGAAATTGGGTCACGACGTTCTTTCTCTTCTTTTTCGGCAATATTCTGCTCTATCTCTAGTCAATTACCGCTGATCAGCAGAGCTGCTTTGCTCTGATGATTTTCATTGATTATCGCTCCTTCCCAACCACGATTCATTAGGTGCGAGCAGATGCCATTCAGCCTGTTGTCAAGGCCGCCCACGGGCAATCAACGCTGTAGGACATGGAACGACAAGTCGGAATGTATGTGGCAATCGGGGAAAACAGCAACCGCATCATGGCACAAAAAGAGCCCGCGAGGGTCAACCAAGCTTCGCTTGCGTAGAAATGCCATGCCATCGTAAGACCTCTCATCCCCATGCAGGATATTCCCACTCGGCATTTGGGTTCTCTCCCTGACCACCGCCATCGTTCCATATGTCAAGCTTCTCCAACTCACGTTTGAAGAAGTCGCGTTGCTCCTTCAACGCTTCCCTTATCTCTGGTGCCATCTGATCAGGATACCTTCGGACGTTGAACCAATGCGTCAAGCTGCGCAGAGCCTGTTCGAGCGGCAAAGCCTCCTCAACTTCAGCGTCGACGTCGCTACCTGCCAACCACTCATCCCTCAATTCCGGTCGGCAGTGTAGGTACACAGCTGTAATGACCCGCATGTTGCTCTGCCGCCACTTACGGCCGCAGTAGGGAACTTGGTTCTTGAAGAGCTTGAGCGTGTACAGGCGCAGTTCGTTCTGCGGCACCTTGAGTGATTTCCGTATGATGTTCGATGACTTATATTGAACAAGCAGTAAGTTGCGGTGGGCTTTGTTCTTGCAGATCTTCTGCATAACACGCAGGAAGTTGATAAGAGCAAAGAAGTTCCGGCGGGAGAAGTCCGTGATGGGCTCTTTGGGCAGTGCATTTACCGGGTAGCCAAGCTCGTCAACTTCCGGGCGAGTAGGGCCCTGCTCATCCGTCTTCTCGGGTGCATCGCTGCCCTCAGCTGGTGTTTCATCAGATCTTGGTGGTGATCGCTGGCGTTTGATGGGTGGTGGTGCAGCTTCGTCCTCGCTTTCATCATCCGGACCATCAATCTCAGTTGGCTCAACAAGCATGTTATCGGTTGGCTGTGCTCTGTTGTTGCAAAAGTGAAAGAAACTACCCTTTGTCAGATGAGAACCCTCAGGAAACTTTGCCGGGCCACTTTACCTGTGTTCGAGGCGATCGGCCTTGCTATCGACCACCTGCTGGATGTCTTGATGTGCGAAATACTTGAGGACCAACGGGAGGTAATTAGAATCCAGCAGAAGCTGTGTTAAGTATTCAAACTTCAACACATCTATATTCAAGGTCATCAAGCTGTGCCGAAGAGAAAAAGGGTTTGTGTTGGCACTTACGGGATATCTTCAGCCATTTCAAGAGCAGCAGGAGGATACCAGTTGCGGCTTTTGACTCGAGCTCGCTGTTTCTCCCCGCGGTGTCGCCATTGCTCAGTGAGTTTTCCATGCTATCCTGGTTCATGGAGCCATTGAACCCCATTGCGGTTTCATGAGATCTGTTCCAGATAGGTTCTTCACTGGCGCGAGGATTGTTGGGGCCAGACGCCCCGGAAGGGTTTTGGCCATTGAGAGGTTGAGAAATGATAGCAGTCACCATCCCGAGTACGCCCTTCATAAGAACAATGACCAGAGACTGTAAGTGCGGCAAAGAGGATTCCTGAATTGGATCAGCGAGTGTCGTCACACCAAGAGGAGGGACTTACATAGAGTGTCTCTACGGCTTCAAGCCGCCGCTTGACTTCCCCGTCAATGTCGGAGTTGGGACCGTAGTCGACCTCGGCAACATGTTCTTTCTTCGTTCTCTTCTCAATCAACGCCAAAAGCTTGTCACCGTCAACCTCGTCATCGACATTCAGAGCATCCAGATCTAATTCGTCAATGTCGTCGTCGGCTGACGGGTCATTGCCCCTTTCAGACTTTCTGAATTTCTCTCTCTCCTCCCACAGCTGCCTCGTAGCTCGGGTCATCCTCACACGCTTGGAGAACAACTCACCCGCTTCGAGGATGGACGCAGGCACGTCGCTTCCTTCCCATTTCCGGCCAACGAGAGAACCTTGGAGACCGGCGCCGCCCTTGCCGCCCGCGCTGTTACTGGAAGCGTCAAGAGGGGGGTACATGAACGGGAAGTTCTGGTTGGTTTGGTAGTTCTGCTTCTTCCCGCCCTTTCCCCCAATCGCTGGAGATGGCGGGGGAGACGGTGCTGGAGTGGCAATATGGACGGGCTGGTTCAATATTGACCCTCCGCCAGTCTGTGAGTTAGGAGGAGTTGGCAAGATCCCGTTCGATCCGTTATTCCTAGTGGGATGATTGGGCAGCGGTGGCAGGATAGAGATATTATCTGCTTCTAATGGTATCACTGCCGGCGGAGGTACATATGCCGGGTATTTGGAAGTTATCTCCTGTCGGAAAATATGATAATCCAGGGGCGAGGCGGTGATTATGTTCTTGTCCTTGTCGTCTGCAGCCGTCTCCCTAAGAGCTCTCTTGGTTTCCTCGATCTCTTCAGTGCCACCGAAAACGAGCAAGAGGGATTTCCACACCAACAGCAACGTCTATTTCAGGGTCAGAGTGTTTGCCATAAGATCACAAAGGGTTTACCAACTTGAAGGAGCGGTGCGTAACTGAGATGATCGTCTCCCTCGAAAAATCGCAGCTTGCCGGCGGCCGTGAGCATGAATGTTGCCAAGTCAGGTTCCAAAGACACTGTGACAATTAGCTGACTGCTTTGTGCGAGGCCTTAGCGGTACCTACAGAGTTCGACCCGCACCGATCCCATGGCCTCACCATCACCTAGGGTCACCTGTATGCAAATGTACAAGATAGTCATTAAATTCAAAATCTCGTCCTCAGACTCCTGCTTGCTGCCAGCTTGGGTTCCAAACGGCACTCCTGCACTGTAAAGTGATGAGCAAGGGGCGAGTTCGAGGGGCGCTAGAATCAACGTACAGTTGTGCTTCGGTATGCTTTCTGAAAACTTCCCAGATGATGGGAATGCCATTCTGCTCCGCAATCGTCACCACGCCTGACTTCATTGCAGCTAGTTGGTCAGGTGTAGCGAAGCTCCGGAGCTTGGACCTATCTCCCGGGGGAGAACCAGCAGTGTCTGCCCACCGTCCGAGTACGAGATATACGAGCCGTCCGATCGCGGCGCTGCGGGTAGTAACGTCGTCGGATCTGATCTCTTCTAGGGCTTGTACGATGAAGCGTGATGTGATGTCTTCGCTCGCTTCCTCCCAGGATACCTCTTCCTCCTTCGCAGCCAGATCGTGTTCCCATTGCACTTCGTATGCCCTCTGCGCATTGCTCAGGCGCACAAACTGCCAGAACTCGTAGGTGAACCACTCGTCAATCTCGACGGCATGCGAATCGGTGTCGGCGTATTCGAAGTCGTATGCGGCCGCTTCTGTCTTGGGAAACTCAGACACAATACGTCTAAGTTGCGCCAGAGAAAGCGAGTCGGGCGGTTGGATGTTCGGGGGCGGAGGAGGCTGTTGAGTGGGAGGAGTCGGCTGCGACTGATTCCTCTGCAGACCAGGCCTCGTCGGTGGAGGATTGGGTGGTGCTCTGGTCGTTTCAGTTCCAGTTACGACATCAGTCACTCCCGTATCCGTCACGTCTACGGCGCCCGGGCCCTGGCCCTTAGCACCTTCGGCGCCGTCATTGGCGGCCCTCGACGGCCACAGCGAATTCATACTGCCTCACGTTCAGGGGCTATGGCTCATAATGAGGGTGGATGGCGGACATTGGTGCACGTCTTTTGCAGTATGTTGCAGTATGAGCTGTGGCGGAGAAAACATACAGCGAAAGAAGAATGTGGCCCAGCCGGGTTGCGTCGCGGTGAGAGCACAGCACTGTGCACTTGAGGCGATCGCAGACACGCGACGAAGTGGGATGGTGATTGATCATTGATGGGGGGACCCAGAACTGGGGTTCATGCCATGTGCTACCGTTGACCCGCTGCTGCCACTACTACCACTAATGCGCCACAGCCTCACCTCTCGGCTGTGGCGTGAGCTCAAGCTCCAGGCGGGTCCCATCACATGCAACTTAGGTTGGTAGTGCGTGCGGTCCTGCCTTCCGTCAATAGAGTCCCTTGCCATCGCCACCAAATAGATCGCAAAGTAATGGGGGAAGCTAATGTGCTTGTGTGCTAACCTGCCTAAAGGTACCATCTTTGAAACAGATAGAGGCTCCTCCCTCATTTGAAGTTAGGTAGGACATATGCTTGTCGGATATTCGTGCTGCAACATCATGTGCTGCGGAAAGTTTCGAAGCCACAGTGTATCAAGTACTTTACGGTACACTCCGAAGGATCGGTTGGGTATCATGATAATTGTTCTGAGCTATTCTATCCGTTGAGGGGACTGCTTTCCCTACTGCTTTTCTCAGAACCTGCATCGCCATTCGCACCTTGCTTCTTCTCCTTTTCTTTGGCCCTGCGCCTGAGCTTCTTCAGTCTGTTGAGCCTCTTCTTCTTATCCGTCAAGTGTTGCTCCTTCTCCACGAGCTGCTGCTTCGCGGCTTGTTCCTGCTCTTTCTTCGTCTTCTCCCGAACCCGCAGGATGATTCTGCGCTTCTTTCCTGGCCGCTTCCTCTTCCCAGCCGAGTCATTTGACGACTGACTCGTAGAGCTGCCGGGACGCGCTCCCTTGCTTGTACCGATACTGATGGTCATCACCTTCCAAGGCTTCTCTAGCCCCCATCGCCTCCTCTTGGCATCTTTCAGGAGGTGGTCTACGCTGACAGCTGCTGACCGGAATCGTTCGGCAAGTTCCAGAGACGGCTTCTCTGCCAAGTAATAAGATTGCGGACGTCTGGGGACGACAAAGCCTCCTTCACCCTCTGGTGCTCGGTCTCTCAACAGGACAACCGTGTGGGAGGGCCCTTCATCTCGAAATAGTCGGAAGGCAAAGGACTCCTCATCGGGTTGGTCAACACCGTCGCCAACCTCGTGAAGTCCACTTTCATCACCACGTCGAAGAGATTGAGATTGCTCTGCTTCGTCACTGGCACCCTCATCTGCTAGGAAACCCAACAGGCCAGCTAGCTGCGCTTGCAATTTCTCACGCAGTGCATCATCCACGTGATCGTCATGGCTGTCTTCCCCGTGTGAGGCAGCGCCGTAGATATCCTCGCGACGGACTCTGCCATGTCGGAGTCAGCTCCAGCCTCCGATGTGAATGTGGGATGCCGTACCGTTTAACGTCTGGGAGGTCGAACATGGCAGACGCGATGTGACGGTCCAATTTCGACGGTAAGGTTGAGTTGATGAAGCGCAAGGATGACCGATGTCAAGCTGGAAAAGAAGTCATGGGGTTGATGCAAGTTAGAATTGTCGATGGAACATGGAGAAGGGTGATGACTGCCGGTCTCCAGAAAACGGTCATGGTGGGCTGTGCTTAAAATCGCCGATAACGAATAGCTATCTGTTTAGCGCTTATCAGCGCACATGGCAAACGGCACTCCCGAGACCCAGCGCCATGGGAGCCCCGAAGTTCGAACAACCACCCATGCACCATGACTGAGCTGTCTCTCACCAACAAAGCACAGCATGGCCGGGCGAAGACTGCGCTGTCAGGAGCACTTGCTCTGGTAGATATTGGCCATCAAGGATGATTGCAGATCAGCGTCTGGCGTTATTGCCGTCCCCAGCGTCCCGTCCCTTCGGCGACTTGATAGTAGAAACCTTCTGCTAGTGTGAGACCATAGTCTCTACCCAGACCATGGGTGGAAATGAAGGTCCACGCAAGAGTCGAACGACGAAAACCTCGGCATATGACCTGCAGGCCGTTGGCTGGATGGCCTAGACCCAGTGGCTACAGTTTGCCTGATAATAGGAGGTCTTGAGTCCGGTATGTTGTTCAGCGCTTTCAGCTTCTCAAGCCATATCACCTACTTGCGAAGTCATTCACTCACTCACTCACTCACTCACCCATCCGACCCTGCTGAGAAAGACGCTTCCTCAGCCATTGACCCGTGGCAAGTGACGGGAACTACCACAAGGTCACCTCGAAACGAGTCGAGCCCAAGCCACAAATGTCTTCATGCAGTCGATTCACTTTTCTTCCTCTCAACCGCTGTTCTCCACTCAGCTGGACAGAACAGGTGGTAACGAAACTGCAAGGGGAAGATTCGTGCAATATAAGGGAACCAAGGCCGGTCCTCCGCTCTCCTTCGTTCATATCGTATTCCTCCAAGCCCAAGCACATACATCTCTCACAGCTATCCTCCATAAACCACGACAGCGACCCCGCCTACTCAACCGCCAACACGGCCAACAGCATAAGAACAACGACAACATGGGATGGCCGCCCCCGCCAGCGTGCATCTTCGAAATCCAGGTCATGGTGTGCGACGCGCTGAATGATAAACGACAATGGTATGATACGATGATACGACAGGGGGATATCGAGCGAACAACAAGAACGAAGAAGATGAATGACGACCAACGACGACGACCAACGACAACAACGGCGACGACGGATATCGGAACCCACTCCGGATGATTCCGACGCCAAACTCCCAATATTGGTTCTCTGCTTCGCTTTGCTGTGCGCTGATGACGATGAGAAACAACATTCGTCGGCCGTGGGTCGAAAGGGGTGAAAACAACAATGACGACGGGGGGAAAGACAGACAGTACTGCAGTGATTGGAAACTCCAACAACACCCTTCCAACCAACATAGCGAGAACGACGGCTCCTCCGACAATATCGCAGGGTTTACACGGGATTCAGTCCATCCAGTCGTCCAATTCTGTTGAATACTCCTTCGTATACAAGCGCAGCAGTTCATCTTTTCCCTCGGCCGGATCAAACCCTCGCCTTCCTCTCACATACACTCAAAGGCCCAGCGGGGTGGGGGTTGACCCTTTTGATACCCCCCAGCCTTCCGCGCGAAGGCTCAAACAGTCATTAAGAATAGTTATACAGGCGACGCATCGACTGAGCAGGAGGATGTGACGCCTCTCACAGCTCAGCGAGCGCATGAGGTTGCACTCATGTCGCAGATTTAGGTATAGGTATAGGTATGGTAGGTATAGGGATCTGGGGTAGGATACTACCCCTCGCTCGACTCTCATTCGACTGCTTCGCAGCAGCGATACGAATGAGAAAGAGGGAGACCGTCCGAGGGTATCTCTCTGTTCAATTTGGACGATTATTCGTCACCAGACGGGGCGAATGTTCGCGTCCCTCATTATGTCGCCCCTGATTATGTCGGGCTCCACGAGTAGTGGTTGAGCGTCGAGGCGTAACTGCCCGGCGCAGGCGGGTGGTCGGTCTTGGGCACCGAATGGCCCGTCTTGTAGTGGTCGGGGAAGGCATAGGGCCTGGTCTCGCCGCCCGCAGCGCCATTATGGTACGACGAGTGCACAGTCGCGCTGCTGGGCTCGCCCGCCGTCGTGGTCCACGACGAGGTCGGCGGGTAGTAGTCGCGAGGCGGCGGTGGTTGTTGCTGCTGCTGCTGGTGCTGCTGGCCCCCGTGGCTGGCGCTCGACGCACCGCCGCCACCGCTCGTCGTGTTCTCGCTGCTCCCGTACGTCGACGCCGAGGTAACCTCGCCGCTGGCCGAGGAGGGCATGCCGTACGCGCTCGTGGTCGCGCTCTGTGGCGGGCCGTACCGGTACTCGGACGAGCCCTCGTTGGTCAGCGAGCTTGTGCTCGGCACCGACTGGTGGCTGTTGTGGCGCGGGCTCTTGGCCGGCCGCGGGTTCGAGTCGACGTACCGCGGCACGCTCAGCCCGGCGTGGTCCGCGCCGCTCGTTGTCGACACGGACAGCTGAGGTGGCGCTGAGGTGCCCTGCACGTACGCGTACTGCGTCCGGATCGCGGGCGGCTGCTGCTGCTGCTGTTGCTGGTGGTCCGACACTGCGGCGAGCGACATCTGCACCGACGGCATAGACGACTGCAGTGGTATCTCCTGCGGCTCCTGCGAGTAGCTCGACGTCCCGGACAGCGCTGGTATAGTCGATGGCGGGTAGCTGGCCGTCGCTGATGCGGGCATCCCGGACATGGGTAGTTGGCTGGGCGGGTTCCAGCTGGGGTACGAACTGCACATATCGTCAGTCAGTCAGATCATTCCCTTGCTGCTCGGCTCAATGCAGGTACCATCGACGGGCTCCCGATCCCTGTGAGGGTAGGTTTGGGGGCCGAAACCTTCTTTGGAGTGTTTGTTACATAAGTAGGAAAAAAGGCAGGCACCTACTTTGATCGCATCGACATGGGACTGCCCGGCATCTTCGACGCGTTGAACGTGAAGGCCGTCCGCGGCAGCTCCAGGTTCAGGCCGCGCAGCTTCGGGTCCTGCTGGGGCTTCGCCGCCAGCGGCCCGGCCACGATGCCCAGGCCCGTCTCGACGAGCGCTTGTCCGCGCGAGCCGGCGCTCGAGCCCAGCAGCGGGATCTCCTTGCGCGCCTGGAAGTTCCGCGGGCTGCGGCCCCGCACCACGATCGGCGCCGTCGTCGACTCCGTCAGCACCACCTTCGTCCCGTTCGTCAACGTCGCCATCACCTTCAGGTGCAGCACGAAGTGCTGTTGCAGCTCTTTCCGTCTCCCGTTGTTCGCCGTTGCTCTGTCCGACGAGTGTCAGCAGAGAACTCCTGGTCAAAAATGTCCTCCATCTGTTTCTTTCCCCCGATTTGTGAGATTTCTCTTCTGGCTTGGGTCAAACCTACATTCTGAACTGCAGACGCCGCCACCCGATAGGGTACACGGCGTACTCGCCGTCCGCCTCCTGCCCGTCGTCGGGGAACGGGATCAGCGGCAGCGAGGGGGGCTCCTGGTCGGCCGTCTGCGGCAGCTCGGGCGAGTTGGGCGGGGGCGTCTTCCAGGGGATGACGATCAGGCGCACGGGGTTGCCGTCGACGGACTCGATGGCCGAGATGGTGACTTCGGTGTTGCTCACGGGGACCGTCTCGCCCGTCTCGGCCAGGACGACCGACAGCTGGCCCCGCGGCGTGATCAGCGAGCCGCTGATCTGGAATAGGTTCCGCCGGTAGCACGTCAGCTCCGGCTGCAGCATCGAGCCGTCGCTCGAGCTCTGCGACGGCATCTCGGACAGGAAGAACATGCCGTGCAGCTGCGCCGACAGCTCGAGCTGCTGCATGCGCCCGTGCTGGTCGACGATGGTGTGCTTGTCCTGTGCCCTCCGGAACGACAGCAGCTTGTGGTCGTGGTTCACGGTGAGTTTGGACCCGTCATCCCGCAGGTCCTGCACGATCTCCTGGTACGGCGGGTGCTCGCCGCTGTGCGGCCGCTTGAGGTTAGGGTAGCTGTGGTGCTGGCTTAGAGAAGGCTGCGCGTACCGGTCGTACCCGTCGGACTCTTCCTGGGAATAGCGCGGGTACGAGTACGGGTGGTCGATGGTCGGGTGGCTGCTCCGTGGCCGTCCCGGATGCTGCTGTGAGGATGTCGTCGAGGGGTGGGCGAGGCTCGAGTCCATGGTGTTAGAATATCGATTTGATAGAGGCACCGGTCCACCGCCGTAGTTCGACCACAGACTACCATGCGCTGGCTCCGGCTTCAACTCTGCCATGGTCGCCGTTAGAGTCGTTGTGGTTGACATGGGAGCATGTCTCCCAGTCCGTTCCCCAACGCTTTCCTTTGCACGCGCCGCCAATGCTCAGCCTAACGTTCCCTTTCCCTTTTTCTTCCTTTCTGCAGTGACAGGTCGTTTCTTGGTGGAGCTACCAGAGATGTTACGACGGCAGACTCAACCGATGTTCGCGATGCGCTGTCTTGGTGATATGTCTTTTGCTGGAAATGAGAACTGATTATGCAGAGCCTCAGTGGTCAAGATAGAGCGGACGTTGGGGAAGGTAAGGTTGCAGGCCGAAGTGTACTTGTACTAGTATGAGATGGAATGGGATGCGGTAGATGTCGCTTTGGGATGGGGGTCGTTTTGTGCAGACCACGGCAGTATCCACCATCCCGGGGGGCACCTTAACGGGTAACGGGTCCAAGCCAAGCGGACGAGGGCCAGGGGGCCAAGGCAGGGCCAGGAGGTCCAGGTCCAAAGAGAGAAGAGCGACTTGGGGTCTGGTACAGACTCCTCTCAGTGCATCTGCATGCCCAGAGTACCGTACAGTGCATGCGGCCAGACTGGGAAGGAGACGGAGGCAATGGCGATCTGCTGGGGGGTGCTTGGCCCCCAGTCCTGGCCGGGACTTATTCATACGGCCAGCACAAGGTTGATAATCGACGTTATCCAGCTCTTTGCACCCGTAACCTGGTTGAAAGGGAAATAACGGCAGAAGATAAGGTTCTCCCTCTCTTTCACTGCTATTCTTGCGGATGGCAACTCATCATCAGCATCTGAAGCGGCACATCACGGTTCCTGGAAGGATGAGAGGAACACTTCAGGTTGCTGGAGGTAGGCAGGTGCAAGCTGTATATCCACGGCAGAAGGCCCCAATAATAACCTGGCTCGTCTGCCGGCTCTGACAGGGAGGGACCAGGCAAATACATATTTGCGTACAGTATCTTCCACATCAACCCGCGTGCCCGCTACGTGCTGGCCACTGTGGAGGAGAATGATGGACAGCAGGGCCAGGTAGTCAAGTCAGAACAGCAGAAACAGCAGCATGTGGGATGGAGGGGACGGAGTAGGCAGGTAGTCGCATGGATCGTATGGAGGCACGAGGGGGCTATCAACAAGACCATGAGCCATTCACGATGGCCTGTACGCCCCTCCACGGCTCCCCTTCTGCCCAATACATGGCCCCTGGCCCCCAACACGGTGCCCTGATTAGTTATGAAATCCTCCGACGGCTTTGGCAAGGTAGAGGACCCCGCTGTTTTCTACAAAAGCCGTTGGACACATCCATCTACAACGAGCCAGAAGGGAAAGGCGCGAAGGCATGGACATGGGTGGCAGACATAAATCGGTTGACGAGATTGCCAATGACCGGGGGCTTCGGCGGGGATCCAGTAAGCTCGCTTCGACCAAAAATCCACACCAGTTCACGTACCCTTGTCCTTGACGAAGAGGGCTCTTTGCAGGCCGGGAGACGGGCTCATCGCCTGGCCATAGCAGTCGCGCCGGTATAGAATGATATGATAGCGCGTCGGCCTACGAACCGAGATTGGATGATAGAAAACATCGGATAGTCGATGCCAATATAAAAAGGATCGTTTTGAGTCAGAGACCCGCTGACTGCAATGACGGAGTCTATCAGAGAGGCAGAAGGCCCGAGATGAAGAATTCGAAGAAGTGCAACCGCTGGCTTCTCCTGAACGCGTATTATTGACGAGCTGGCTGTCATATTGTTATGATTGGAGCTCACAGGCCGAGCACGCCGCGTGTAGTATACCTCGATGAGATTGCGCAGGCCGGCGGTTGTGTAAGGAGTCGACTGGTGGCGGAAGCTCTGTGCTGCCTGTCACCTGTCCGAAAGCATGCAAGACCTGTCTCGCAGAGACTGCTAACGGCGAACAGGTGCCTGACAACGCGGAGGTTACTGATCACAACGCATTCACCACATGCCCGATTCGGACCAGTGTGCCTACCGTATGGCCAGATCCACTGGACTGCTCGACTGCTCGTCAACCCAGCGCGCCACCTCGGAGCCTCGGAGGTCGTGTAGGCTTTTGGAGGGTGTCACAACAGGCAAAGTAGGGCAGCACAAGAATGCCCCAGGCGCGTGAGACACGCATATCTTCAACGAACGAAGATATCACACGGCGTCAATCGATGCGGGAGCCACATTGGTGGCCAGAATCCCGTGCTGCTGACGGAGCTTGTTCAGTAACGGCGCTGCCTGATTGGGGGAAATGGTGACAAAAAGAAACAATATTCTGTGTGAATAGAGCGGCCTCTCATGCCGGTACTAATCAATACGTGCAGCATCAGGCTCGTTGGCTTACTCAAGCGACGATAACAGGTACATCGTCGGCCACCTTGGTGCCATATGGCGAACAGAATCTCGCATGCGCGATCGCGTCTCATTCGACAGCCTATTCCCTCGTAGCTGGAACGCGTCTGTCTAATGTACGCAGGAATAACCTGCGCGGGCTCCAATGGATTAACTGTTTCGACAATCGAAACGGACTCTAAAGCGGGCTGCTGCAAAGCATATTAAGTGACAGCCGCTGGTCTCACGGTCACACCCTTAAGCTTCTGACTGGCAGTCAATCTGCAGTGGTGATGCAGAACCGAGAGCCCAATGAAGAGAGAGTTGGAAACGATCTCATCACCGCGAAGCTTTAATATCACCTCGTCTCCGCAGCCGTCGTGATACCGTTTCGTTTCTGAAACATGGTCGACTTGAACGAACGACCAGGTTTGCTTGCGTCTTGTTAGATAGTCAAGACGAGGCCGGCAGATCGCAAGAGAGGTTGTCGATGATGAGTCTACTTACGCTCCACAGTCAGACTGAGCTCGTCGAGACGGCAAGGGGCATGCCAGGGGAAGACGGCCGGACATTTCTTTCACGAGATCGGCGAGAGGGTACGGTAGCACTGGATGTTCGCGGTAGTATTCGTCTCAGTTGCAAGACTATTACCATAGCACATGGGCTTGGTTACTTCACCACGCCTCCAACCGTTGGCACTGGTAGTGCAGCAGGATGAGCGGCGGGATGGAACGGCAGTCAAGCTGCCCTGATCATACGCTGTCATAACCTTGTTGCTCAAGTCTCAGGGTGTTGCTCCTCTCATGTCTTGGCAAGTCTTTCTTTCTCAGGAACGCGAGTCCCACAGCCATTGCTGCATGTGGATCGATCCTACTGTCGGACAAATGAGGTCAATGGCCGTCAGTTGTAGACGACGGACTGCACGCTGGCACCATGACCAAAGTTTGGCCTATTCAGTATAGGCCCGGGCAATCCAGCGCTCAAGCGGTTCGAGCTCGTCGAAAGAGGTCCGAGTCCTCCAGAGGCTTCCTCAGATCCATGCTCGTCTTGCGGTGGTGACCCGTGCTGGAATTCATAACACCTGACTGGTGGCCCGAAGGCAATGGCGACTGCGCGATCATATTACGACCTCCAGAAGTGATCAGTCATGAGCAAGTGGGTGCTGCAAACGGAGATTGTACCAAGCTCTACCTTGGCCTTAAAAGGTCCGGCTTAATGGCTATATCTGGTGGTTAATATGTCTCAACCAAAGTGGCCTATCCCTGTCAGTGTCGAAGCTATGTTATCCGAGCATGCGAGATGGAACCCAACGACTCACGCAAGTTGCAACCAGCAAGTCATAGCCGTAGCAGTGTCCAGCCTCGTCGTCGTGGCCGATCCATCACTGCGCTTCTAGGACTACCGTCATACACGGGATGGTAACCCCATGTGCAATATGAAAGAACTGACGGAGAGGTGGCCACCATGCATATGTCCCGTGCTCCAACGGGTGAATCGTTGGCATGCACCTAAAGCTTGGCGGTTCTTGCCGTTCAGGGCCTTTTCCAAGGCGGTCGGTCCTAGGCTTTCGCATTGGACATTTAGACGGAGAGCTACGGAGAGCTGTCGACGTCAGGTCGCGCCTCAAGGATCGTCCAACAGCGTTCCGCGTAAAGTGGGGGATTTGCGGCAGATTAAGATGGCTTCAGGGGGGCCGACACAGGGATTTCGGGGGGCTCTGTCGGGCGGATCTGTGAAACACGCAGATCCAGCTTGTTTGGTGACGATGGAGAGGCTAGGTAGCAGTGGTCAAGACGTCAAGACGTCGAGATCTTCAGAGCCCAGAGGCCATAAGCGAGCGCAAACCGTTTCCGTCATCTGAAAAGTGAAAACCCCATCGCGGTACACTAGGTATCTTCAACCTTGCCATCCCTTGTCCGACCAGTACTGTTACCTGTACTGTGCTGTGTAGCCCCGGACCCTGGCATGGCGGATATATCTCTTACTGGCCGTTACGAGCAACGGGGGCTTCCCGGTCTCCTTTTCGACTCGTCGATGTATTCTTGTGACATTGTTAGCAACTTCAGGAACAGGCCTGCATATCCCCTCATGTGCTAGTCTCTTTCTAGGAACCATGGCCGGCCGGCAGACTCCATTCGATCCATTTGCACAAAAGATCCCCGGCTCCGTTGGCGGGTTGGCAGCTCGATCTAGCAATGCTTGCACGAGGCCCTGGCTAGCCCTGCCGCCCCTGCTTGCCAAAGCGGAATGTCGCCCATTGCCCGCCAGATTCCTCAAGAGTGATGGGCCTGCGATGGAGGCGGCATACTACTAGTATGCAGCATTTCATAATTGTCATTGGCCGCCGGGGGTCTGTACGTATGTACGTATGTGGTAGGTATGGCCCATAGTCGAATCATATGGCAAGCCGCATTTTCTGTACGACACCGTCCGTGCCGCCTCAAGACAGATGACGATCTGCCTCCAGTTTGTGAAGTGTGAAAGAGTTGCATGACGCAACAGGCACAGTCAGGAACAGAAGGGTATGTGATAGGACAGCTCGAAGGGGACTCAAGAGGAACATGAGCCATGAGCCATGAGCCATGAGCTATGAGCCATAAGGAGCTCTCGTGTCCACAGTACAGGAAGTCGCTCCATCTTGGCAATCCTGAGCATTTGGCACGTCCTGCACTCCATCGACAAAGACGGAAACATGACGCTAGTCAAGATTCTCGGTGTCCATCCCGGGTTTGGAGGAGGATGGCAGCAGGATGGCTCAAGGCTTTCATGAGTCCAGGATCCCACAAGAAGGTCCTGGCAGCAGTTGCAGAACCGTCGGTAAATAAGGTACCCGCGAAGGAATATTGGCCTGCTGGCCCTTCTCGATGGTGTCAATCCCCCTGCACCGCAGGATCGCGTCACGGCAGCAACCCCGGAAAACAGTTGCGCAGACAGATTCACTTGAGATGGAGTGACATCGACCTGTGATCTGTCTGCGGCTGCTGGCTGTTGGCTGCAGCTGCAGACGTCAGTCAGGGACAGACACTTCAAACAGATGGCACAGTAGCACATGAACGATGCTGTGCCTACCGTACCGTAGTGCCTACCATAGTATTTCTACCTGTTGCCTCACCTTACCTTACCTTACGTATGCGACGGAGAACGGCAGGATGGAAGTTAGCGCCGTGAGAAATCAGACGATGGATCATGGATGGCTCGTGACGATACTGTAGCCCGTAATAGACGGTGGAGCTCGAGGTGAGTGGACGAGCCTGTGGGAGGATGAACCGATGCGGGGCCATGTCGAGGACGGGACAGGACAGGGAGACAGGGGGACATGGGGACAAGGGGTCGCATCCTCTCAACTTTAAACGGGTACTATGTACGGAATGCAACGGCTTCATGTGTGGGACTTCCCAGCATCCTTACATGTATACTTGTCGTATCTGATTCTGTGCTAGGGAAATACTAAATAGTCGATAATGAGCTGTGTGGTAATCGATATGAACTGATTGTATGCTGTATAATACGGAGTGTAGTCTCAGGTGGTCAACAGCAAATTGGAAGTCAACTATGTAACTAACTACCTTAGCATTCACCCAGTTTGTCACTGCCTTGCCCATCGACATGTGCCTGGGTAATGACAGCACCTGCCAAACTAACCGGCTGCTTTGTATCGAATGTCTCGGTCCGCACCCCCAGTTAAGAAGGCGCGTTGCACTGCTATCTCCAACATGCCAACCTGCCGCTCTCACTGGCTGAAGCCTGACTGGCTTACACGTCTGCATGCCGGTCCACTATCATTCACGGCCCCTCCACACCCTCCACACCCTCCTCCACACCCTTCAAACCCCTCCATCAGAGTTCCATCACACGGCAGACATGCTGTTGACGAAGGGTGCTCCCGCAACGCATCTGCCAACGTAGTAGTAACCTTAACCCTAACCTTGATCATCCCTCACATCATACCGGTACATCTGGTACATCACATCAACGGGCTCGGCGATATCTCCGACGACTACCTAGTACCCAACACAGGCAACTGGCTCCGACTGGACGCGGATCAAGCCAAGCAGATCCCCCGCGAGTCGTGAGAGTTTTTGGAGGAAGAAAACACGATTGCGATTGGAACGATACCGAGCAGCCAGCGAGCCTGTCACATTACGGTCACAACATTGTTGGTGATGGATGAGTTACTGTCATACGTCGGCGCCGAGTGGCACGCACATCTTATTACCTTCAATCATACATTACGTTATACATAGTACGTTGCCACCAACTCCATGACAACAAGCTTTTGCCTCAGGAGCCAGGGTCGCCTTCCCGCTTCTAAGTAAAGCATCCATCCATCCCGCGTCTGTCTAACAACAAGCGACGCAGCCCTATTGGGGAGCTGAAGGTTGTAGTAGTTCAACCCCAGATTCCGTCTCGCCCACCTCGCTGGGATCGAGACCGCTACCTACACCGGCCACACACCTCGGCCTCGCAACGACGGTGAATGAATGGTTGGGCAATCAAGCATCAAGCTAGAGCCCCTTTACCCAGCGACTGAACCACGGACACGGCTGCTTCGATGCTTTTATCCAGTGTTCCAGAAGCCGCCAGCATCTACCTTACCAAGACACCTACTCTTAGTCCACAAGCTCTCACTCTGTCTGGCCATCTATACGAATCGGGCGCAAGCGACGCGTGTCCGTTGGAAGGATGAAATGGATGTCAAGCCATGCAGCTTGGGAGGCGCACATCAACATAATGAACTACTCAAAGCGGACAATAGCTCGTACAAGCAGGATGCTTGTCCGGGTTGTAAGGCTTGCGGCTTGCGGCTTGCAGATATGACTCCTCCTGCGATGCTGAAGCCCCGTACATACGGCTGGGTTCCCAGATATTGATACACTCCCCGGCCAGAAGTCTCCGAGCCCACATTTCTGAGCAGCCCTCAACGCCTACACCCTTTAACTTTTATCATTTACCACGCACCCATTTCTTACTGTAATAATATGAAAAAAATTGTATTGTATAGGCCATTTAATTATAGTGTGTATACTAGTTATTAGCGCGCTTTACTGCTGTAATCTTATTGCCGAGGGATTTAATAAAAACGCATATGTTTTTAAGATCGATTTTAAACACGCGCGTTTTAGTAACTTTTTAACATATGCTTTGTAAGCGATATTAGCCTTTAAATTTATAAAATGAAGCTCGATTTTTCGTATTCACTTTTTTAAAAGTGCTTATATATATTCGATCGGGTTAAGGTTGAGGCTATAAGCAAGCTAGTTAATAATTTAAATGCCATAATCTTTTAACTATTTTAAAGTTGTTGGATTAAAGGTATGCCTAGAAGGCACCTTGACAGGTAGACAACAAAACCTAGTTGTTCCGTCCCGACCCAGCTCCCTCTGGCACGAAACTGTTGAATACACGGATGTTGATTGATTCTATTGATTGTTCTGCTCTGCGTGCAGAGATTGATCATCTGTCTTCTTGGTAGGTCAGATGCCCTGTGCGTCTCTGCCCCACTGGAGATCTTCATGTGTCTATCTCCGGCTCCCATTCAACAACATGCAAGCCTCAAGGTCAGGTTTCTTATTTCGACTACCCCCTGCCCTGCCAGGTTGCCCAGATGACAACGCTATAGCAGAGCTTAGTTATTACGCATCACCGTTTTAGCCTGGAAGGGCCGAATGCGCGTCCAGATAATTACCCCGGCCAATCTCCAAGACCGAATCGCACCACCTCTTTCACACACACCTTCGCGAGTTGCTTTGCAGCCTGCCGCTGATCATATCTCGCCTGCTCGGTAGCTTGGGTAGGCACCCTTTCTCCACACATGTACTCGATAGGAATGTTGGCAAGGGGGGAAAGCCACAGTCGCACAATGAGAAGGACCATGCAGTCTGGAGTAGTAGTCTCCGCCGCCGCCGCCAACGCCAGGAGCTCGCAGCAACGCAACTCATCCTTCAAGAGAAGCAGGCTCTGCGGGTGTGGATCCAGTGCATGGACCCATATGGAGTATTCTGGTAAGCCCACCAGATAGATATGTTGGAGGTTACCTGATGAAGGCTGCCTGGCAACCCTTTGTTGCCCCAGGTACCTCACCACTGTAATTTAGGTATTTAGATACATCTCGGATGGAATCCTTTCCATCCGACCTTTTAATCAAGCACCACCCAGACCACTGATAGATTACAACAAGACTTGTGATTTGTCAGCATCTGGGAAAGCTACCAAAAGGCACACGGGTACCATTGGCTACATGTACGGCGATCACAACGAGTTCCCGTTCCCCCAATCGGCACTCTGTCGCGGGAGATGTTCTGTTTAATGTCACCTGTTACAGATTGTCGTCAGGGGAGATGATCGACTGCCAATCTGCCTCCCAGATGTCGCTGTCCCACGTGAGGAGCTGTCAATTGTTGCTATTGTGATGTAGACAAGTTGAAGTTTTGTCGATATCAAACTTGGCCCGCTACTTCCTGAGTAGCATACTACAGTAGCAGTATGGCTGAGTCTATTCACATCATATCGACGATACAGTACCACTTCCCCTTACCAACGGGGCCCGCCTATCTTTGAGTCGCACGACAGCACGATGTGACTTGGGCGTATGACTGCTACTGCGCGACACCACGAACGCTCCATCATATCGTGGAAATCAATGAAGCAACCATGCAGGTAACATGTGGCATCCAGGATCGTGTCGCCGTCGCTATTGCCACCACAGCTCAGACCTCAAACACACGCGCACAGGTGGGTTTGGTCAATCTGGTTCTGGCTGTGGTTCAGAGCGGCACAGGCAAAGCCACTCCAACCTACCTCCGTCCATATTGCTTTCGTGACACACCTGAAAACACCTGAAGAGGGGCCGCAGAGAATCCGACGTAATAGCACGGTCAATAACACGATACATATATGTGCTTTGTCCCCATTTCGCGATAACCCGCAAAAGGAGAGTATCTACAGTATCCACCTGCCTCATATATCAGAGCGAGCATATAAAAATCACTGCCTGCGTGCCTGTATCAATGCAGATTACGCGGGAGAGGCTCGAGGCTCTGCAGCAATCACCGAAGAGCTCCAACAACCCTCGTCCGCTCCATCGACATTCTACTCCGCACTTTCCTTACTGTACCAAGCACGAGAGCAGGCCAACATGCATTGTGCAAGCCCCCGCGTGAGCTACAGCCTGCAGCACTTGTGTACAAGTCGCACACATTGAGTCGCAAGGAGATACGGATACAGACACAAGTGACAAAGGGCAGCAAGCTCTGCCGAGCAGTACATCTGCGGCGCGAGCGAAGAAACAACAATACATGAGGCACGCAATACAAGAGCTGGGATCATTACAGTACGGTAGATCATTGCGCGCCAATAGGAAGTCCTACCACACCCCTTACAGTAAGTACATGTATGTTCGTCCCTTACGGCCCCCAAGCTCCTGTCCAACCCGGCTTCACAAGAGGATTCCGCCGAATCTGCAGCCCCCAATTCCCATTCCCCTACCTATTGAAGTACTGCATTCGCGCGGGTATCGGTACTGCACTGCACTGCATTGTGTTCCTGCCCACACTCGAGTCAGGTGCCATCCGCGCGCTGACAAGGTAGGACGAGAGGCAAGCGCTGCACCCAACAACCAACATTCACGGTTCGTTTAACCCCCAACACAAACCAAACCAACACAATACAACGTGCCCCGCGGGAATCGATCGCTACCTATGGATGGGGGTCATGACTCCGAAACAACGGCAGGCTGTGAGATGATGCTGCGCCGTGCTGCGCCAGGCCCAGACTGCTTCCCGCACATGCTGATCGATACCCGTAGGTCAGTCTGCGGCAGTGAGGCGCAAGCAGAGATACCCAGAGATCTATCACCCGCCCATCCATGTTGCCACACACATGTACGGTACAGCGGCAGGCTGTGAGTATGCTGTGCTGCGCCGGGCCCAGACTGACGCCCGCGCATCCCGCGCATGCTGATGCCGCGGAGGTCAGTCTGCGGCAGTGAGGCGCGAGCAGAGATAGTTCTGACTCCTGAGATCTATCACCCATCCATCCTGTCATACACATGTACGGTACAACGGCAGGTGACCCGGGGACCGGGGCCGCAGCCGTTAGGATCAGGCCGGGGAGCTTAGGTAGGTAGCCGCCGTAGGGCTCTGAACACAAACCAACATCCATTGTCATAGGCAGGTGATTATGTAGGGAGATATCGTGATGGGACACATGGTGTTGGTGTCAAGCAAGGCTCAAGGCTCGAGCATGCGGTGCACTGCCAACCACACGTGTCAAATCTCGTCACAGATAGATGAACTATCACAACTGCAACCAAGCAAATACAGGCTTGGCACGTGATGGCTTCATTGATCGCTCTGGGAGGTGCGTGCCTATTTTTTGTGAATCTACGGCGCAGTGACGAAGCAAGGCACGGACAGATGTATGTATGTGATCGATTGATTGATTAATCTATCCATTGGTTCGCCGGTGTGGTATCTCAAGCCAGGGGCATATCCTTCGCCATATGCCATCCAATGTCACGTTGTGGTGACACTGCTTGGGCCGGCGAGATCTTGCCTATCCGGGAAGCTATGCAGCTTTGGCACGAACAGTAGGGGAACGTCTTGAGTGATAGCTGTCGGAAGCCGCTGGGGTGTAACCATGGCGCCCCGTCGCTACCAGAAACCGCCCGGCTCCCGCACTGCTCCTCAATAAATTCGACCTGGCCAGATTTGGCGGAATCGTCTATCTGCACGTCGTCGTTACCATCTTGGGAAGACCACCTCTACTGGTGGCCGTCGATTGGTCCTGTCGAGGCTGCCATCAGGCTCCTTACTACTCATCGCTATCCCAGTCCACCAGATCTTCCTGATCGTTCAGAGCCAGCTGCACGAATTGACGAATCCAAGCCTCGTGTTGCGGATTCAGTTCGTTTTCTTCACGGAGCGGGTCACCCGCCCCAATCCTGTTTGGGCCAGGGCGACCAACGTTGTTCGGTTGCTGGTTCTGTCCCTGAGGCCGGTTCCTGTTGTTCTGCCGATTTACCCCTTGACCTCTGCCTCTCCTGTTGCCTCGGCCCCCTCGTTGACCTTCATTCACCGCTTGCTCTCGCGCCTGCACATGTGCATTTGGAATTCCAGGGCCCGGCTGACGACCGACAGCTCCTCTCCCTTGAGCTGGCGGCGCATCACCCTCAATTCGCAGGACGAGGGGTCCTTCACGACGAGCAACAGCAGCCCTTCCGTCAGGCTGTTGTCTAGGTGGCGGAAGGTGGCGGGCTTCTGGCAGCGGCTGTTGACGCGGCTCCGGTGCCACTCCTGGACCTGCGACTCGGGCGTCATGGCCAGCCGCATCATTTCCAGCAATCTGTAGGACAACCTCCGGATGCTGTCCATTCTGACCGGCTGCGACGTTCGCATTTCGATCAAAATCATCTTGCTCGTGATCAAAACCGGCACCGCCTCCGTCACCTTCTTCCGCTTCCCACAGCCTCATATAGCAGCCATTCACCTCCCCTGATGGCGCAATATTGAAATGCCGATACGGGTTGCTTGGGTCAAGCCAAGCACTACACAGGTAACAGAAGTGTGTTTGGCACCTGAAGCAACGCATGTGATTGCAGCCGTGAGTCTTCTGGCATGGTGCGGCGCATGTTGGGCACGGCGTGGTGTTCTTGGAAAGGTACTCCAGCGAAGCTTTCTCCTCCTCGGTGATCGCTTCCTTTCGTTCTTTTGGTATGCAATATTTGAATTCCCCGTGCCACGATTGCGCACATCGGGTGCAGAAGGCGAAGCCGCAATCCTCACAGATAGCCAATAGCTCCTTTTCTGCCTGGTAGTCGGCACCTCCTGTGGCGTCCTCATCATCAGATTCGTCATCAGAGCCTTCGGCGAACTCGAGACCCTCGGGCTTTTTGTGCTTCTTTGAACGAGCCGCACCTTGGCACCACGGCCGGGGGCAGTAGACTGTGTTCTTGTCCGACTCGAGCTCCGTCTTGTGTTTGAGTGTCACGTAGCGTTTGACCTTGTCCTGGTCAAGCGGGATTTGCAATAGTTCACTGGGACTCAAGAATGTTTTCGGCTTCCGTCTCTTAGTAGCAGAACGTCCGATGGCACCCTCTCGTTCTTTGGCGCAGTTGGGCTCGAGACATTGAACGGCGGAAACATCTCCCTCCGTAATTGCATTATTGTAGAAGTCCTGTAGACACTGCACGCAGAAGACGTGACCGCAATCGAGCATCCTGTGACATACCGCGCCCTTCTTGGGATCTAATCCATTTGTTAGTATCGTGCGCGTGCGAAAACCCCGAGGTTGGTGACCTACCCAGGCATATACCACAATCAAATGTCTCTTTTTCGAAGAACTTCCGCTTAGCATTGATGTCGTAATCCAGAATGGCTATCTTGTGCTCGGGTGCGACTTCCAGAGTGCCTTTGTCGTCGACCAAGCCGAACACGTTTTCAGTGGAATGCTGCAAATCATCGATATATGTAAAGATGACCTGGTCACGACCAATTTCTTTCCATAGCCTCTCGGCATCGCCCTCGAGCTTACGCAGTATTTCGCCTGACAACCACGGCGGCGAGGTCGATATTGTAACATTCGGCGGCTTGTCCTGTGGGTACCCATCGGGAAGAGCAACGATGACATGCAGTGCTGGTAGGTTCAGCAGCGTCTGTGATTCCACATTCGTTACCGGCAGGATGGGCTCTTGTGAAGGTGCGACGGGCGGCGCGGCATCCGTAGCGGCTGGGAATAGGACGGTCAGAGGCTTCGTCAAGGTCACGGGAAGATCGATAGACACTCGGTGGGAGTCATTCTCGTCGATCTGCAGTTCTGGGTAGATGGCGGCTATGGTGGTGAGTTCGACCTCGCGTGCGTCTTCCTCCTCCATGATGGCTGCTGGCTACCGTTTCGCATAGAGGGACGTCTGGTGGAAATGTGTACTCGGAAGCATGTCGATAGGAATCTTCGCAGTCCCCAAGAGTATGCTTTGTAATTCGTGGGCTTGTCAGAAAGCAAAAGATTCGCCACACGATAGTGCTATCGCATCTTTTGTCTTCGAATTGTATCGTCCGGGGCTACGGTTCGAGGTCGCACCGGGTACGCTTTACTTGCTAGCATCGAGCGAATGTATTATGTATTTAGTGTAAATGCGCACCAGAGCACAAGGCAATGGTCTGGAACATTTGCAACGAAAAGTTGAGCCTGGAAAGAGAAACGTTGAGTCATACGGTGTCGTCGGCGTCGGCGAACGATGCAGGGAGTCGATGCATCATGGCATTGTGGTGGGGTCTGGACGGTGATAAAGAATTACGATGAATGTCAGGCAATGGGCATGAGGGGCAATGATTTCGCTGAATGACTCTGGCGGCGCGCGGTTGGCGCTTATTAGCATGTAATGGCAGCTGGGAGTGAGGCAGGCGCTGAGCCACAGCTGGCAGCTACCAACGTCCAGGTGGCCGGCGGGTCTTCCAATATGACGAAATAGCTGGTGGAGCTAAAATCAGAGTTCCAACGTTCGTCCCGTCTTCCCCAGAGTCGCGGGATTCAAGGGCTCCCCAGTCAAACAATCGTCGAACTGTTCTTTGTCGACACGTCCATACTGCAGGCTGCATGTCACCATCCATTCGTCCGTCCAAAAGGGCAACGCATTCCTAAAGTATCGGCCTGCCGCTCCCGAACCACATCTCCTTGCGACTCCTCACCATGTCCGAGGGTTTGACGCCTCTGGCGTCCCTATCACTAACTCACGTTCACTATGTACGTCCTGGAAGTAGCCTGGCTTCAACTCTTCACACTGGCGGCTGACCATCTATCTTCCTACCTCAGGACCCAACGGATCGCATTTCGTACATATGCGCATGGCTCGCCCTGGTACCCCAAGGCCTCTGCGTCATGTATGCCACGCTGATATGGTCGACCCGCGAGATTGAAATAGCACTCCTGTTCGCCGGACAGCTCGTCTGCGAAGCCCTCAACTTTGCCCTGAAGCGGCTAATCAAGGAAGAGCGCCCGCGCCTCATGAACGGCAAGGGCTACGGCATGCCGAGCAGCCACGCCCAGTTCGTCTCTTATTTCGCCGTGTCAATGGCGCTGTTCCTGCTGCTGAGACATCGACCACCGAGCCCTGGCATCCGAAAGAGGAATCACAGCCCAATGACCATGCTGGAGAGAATCGTCTGGAGTGTCCTCGGTCTAGCTATGGCGGCCGCTGTGGCGTCGAGTAGGATATACCTGAAGTATCACACGGAGAAGCAGGTGCTGGTCGGCTGTGCTGCAGGAATCGTGAGCGCCGTGGGGTGGTTCATCATCACAACTATCATACGGCAAACTGGTTGGCTGGCTTGGGCAATAGAAACACCGGTAGCAAAGTGGCTGCGAGTCCGAGACCTGGTCGTCGAAGAGGATTTGTGCCAAGCTGGATGGGAGAAATGGGATGATAAGATGATGGAACTGAAAGCTCGTGAGAAGAAGACAAGATGATATTTCGATGTTGTGCTTGGAGACATATACCCAGCCACGAGCTTACTACGGCTCGATGTGGCCAATACGAATATAGTTGCGGATTGAGAGCATATACATTCGTGGAGCTGGTTCGCGGCTTACTGACTTTTCCAACAACGGGTCTCCCCAGGTGCAATGATAGACCAGATTCGAATATGCAACGTTTGGATCCATGTTTAAGATACATACTGGGTACGATGCTATTCTTACATGGATGGGTGCTAACGTACTCTAGAAATCCGGCGATTACCTCATCTATCTTGTTCCTTTTCAATTCCTCAAGTCCGAGATTCCACCAGCCTAGCCAGCTCGACCGTTCTCTAGCAGGTTCAGCCATATGCTTTTGGGATGTTTCATGCTGCCTCGAGAACTCAGAGAACATAGACCTATATGCCTAAGATCATCCTGCCCGACTAAACAGGCTCGAGCTCGTTCAGGGAGAATAGCATATAAGACTGGCATATTCTGTCATGTTGCAATAAAGAAAGACACATCTTCAATCGCAAACTCAAAACCCGACAGCGTCAACCACGGTTTCCATTCAATTATGTCGAATACACCCTTCTGCCCACAAAAGAGATCACACGCTCCTGAGGAGCTGATCAGCGCGGTGATGGCAGTCCCGCCCAAAACGTCACTCCGTCATGCTGCTCAAGATGCAGCTAAAAAGGCGTTCGTTGCCCTTTATTTACAGCCGACGAAGCCCTCCACTGAGCTGCTGCTGGTAAAGTACATGGCATTTCTAGACCCGTTCTTCTTTTTTGAGAGTCTCTGTCAGGATGTTTCACTCCATGTGTCACAAGAGGACCCGCTGAAGCCGGGCAGACATGGTGTGTTCTTCTCTTCCAGAGGAGAAATCCGGATTTTCTTGAATCCAAAAGGAGGACGACGTAAGCTAGACGATGTGCTCTCTACCCTCATCCATGAGATGGTACATGCGTACCTTCTAATCTTCTCGAAAAAATCCCTTGCAAAATCCCCTGGAGAGTTGTACGCTCACGATTGCCATGGTGTCTACTGGAGCGGCCTGTTCCTGTCCATCGTCAACGTAGTCCGATCGTGGCATCCCAAGCTAAACACTTTCGTCACAAGGGTTAAGTCAAAGAGCTCCCAGAAGGCTGAACCTAATGAAAAGGAGAGCCTCGGCTTACTGACAAAGAAACTCACCAAGCTGAGCCTAGAGGAAGACAACGGAGCAGGTGGAGCAGGAGATGGTGACGAGGTCGACATCGAACGTCTGTTTGGAGTAGAGCATTGTTCAGCCCATGAGGAGCCATATTGAGCTTGAAGTTAGATACACCTGCCACACTACCTTCAAGTGATTTTATTCAGAAACAGCCTGTGGGCCAAATGTGGTCATGAGCTTGCAAGAGCCACTTCATGTCTGCCCTCATCGTATGATCAACGCAAGGCATTGTTCTATCAGCTGTCTACATCTATACATCTACATAGCCTTAGGTCATAGGTCACAGGTAATACTCACCACCCAACACCACTACCTCTACTAACTCCACGTACCATCCCTCCCCCCCCCTCCTACTGCCCCAGCACAGCCTTAATCCCCTTAGTAGCCTGCTCATTAGCCGTAAACAGAATCCCACCCGCCATCACCGTCCGCCCCAGCCTCATGACCGTGCCCCTCCAAAACCCACGCACGCCATCCTGCTTCATGATCGTCGTAACCGCCTCCACGGTGCCCGTCGCGCGCGCCCGCTGCGCCTGCGTCTTAACCGTATCAAACGGCTGCGTCGCCAGCGTCGTGACCGTGCCCGCCACCGCGCCATTCGCAAAGCTAACCACGGGCCCATCGACATCCCGCACCCCGCGCGCGCGCTCCCAGTCCTTAATAGCAGAATACGAACCCAGCCGGAATCCGGTCGTGCCGATCTGCTTCAGGGTCGTGGTCACGTAGCCGCTGTACAGGGCGCGCCGCAGGCCTTCCTCGCGGAACAGGGACACGATACAATGCCACGGAGACCGGAATCTTTGTGTGGTCTTGGCGTCGTCGATGAGCGCCGTCTTGATGCGCTCCGAGGGCGTCACGATTACCGTGGACGAGACGACGCCCGCGACCATGCCGGCGCCGATGGATTGCGCCGTGCCGAGGCGGTGCGTGCTCGGGTCCTCGAAGAGGGAGCGGATCTTGTCGAAGGCTACGAAGCGCACTGCGTCTTTGCCTATTGAGCCCTTTTCGGATGGTTTGGTTAGCGATCTATATGAGTAGTTTGTGTGTGATGCGTGAGGTGTTCTGCTTCAGCAATCTCCCGGAGAACCTAAAGCTAGGTTGAATTTGATGGGAAAGGAACACTGAATAGCGAGGCACGTGTCATACGTGATCTATGCTGTTTCATGCATTTCTATCCCGGCTGTCTCTCGGCACGAAAGATAACTGCGTGAGAGTGGTGATAGAGAAATGACACGAATCACCAGTTTCTCGACACTACACATAGTGCCCAAGCACCGCAGCGTCTGCTTCGTCCTTCTACTGCATGCCTCACCAGGTCCAACCATAGAGCAAAGCAGCCCCTACACCCCAAGCATTCCACGAACGAGACCGCGGAACAATCATAAACAAGTGAGATGTTCCACCTACCACAATCATAGTCGAGCACCCCTTATACAGAGCCCCCAAACCTTCCTCACGCGCAACCTTGGCCACGACATAGAAGGGATTCCGGACGCCCTTCTCATGGCCGTAAAGCTGCACGCGGGTTTTCGCAAACTCAAACGGATACGTGCAGGCGGCCTCGACGCCGCCCGCGATCCCGCCGGCTAGCAGGGACACCAGCGGCGAGGTCTTGCCGTCCGCGTCTGCTACCATCGCTCCGCGGCACCCTGTGTGTGTGTCGTGATTTTGGCGTGTGTTATTATTACTTATCAGGAACATTGGCAGAAGTCAACTCTACCTACCTACCTACCTTAGGTACTTGGGAGGCAGGTGAAGGCCATTACGTCAGTTGCACGTGCTATCGACTGTACCTTGCAGAAGCGGATCGGCATAAAGTGGAGGTTAAGGTTTTCCAAGGGGTTGCAAGCTGTGACGGGCCGAGGCTTTGCGTCACACAGGCACATTCTTGTGTCCCCACAATAACCTATAAAAGTGGTTACCTAAGGTAATTCCATCAAAAGGGGTCAAGTCGAAAGGACATTCAGAAGTCGTGTCTGGTAAGTCGAAGTGATCTATCTTCCAAACGCCGTTTTGTGTTGTATTGTACTCGAAATCTAGAGCAAAGGGGTATCATCCACGCATCAACCGTCTATACCATTGTGCCTCCGCAGTCATTTTTCCTGCTGTCTTCACTCTGAGCTGTCATCAGCCGAGAGAACTCCCAAGATTTCAGGGTTCTTACGGGGTTGGTGTCGAACTAGACTTGACTAGCGGTGCCTTGCCAGCGCTAGCTGTTGTAACGTACTCGACATATCCCAATATGCCGTCTCTCATTAGTTCAGGGCTCAACGACCAAGTGAGGTCAGTTTTGCCGCTTCGAGTGCTGTGGCTCCAACAATCTGTCCAAGTCCAACGCTGAAGACCTGTGGCCTTTCAATGTAAGACAAAGTCGTCCCTTAGCTTGAAAGGGGTAGCTCGCATATACGTGCTAATGTCCGCCTGCTGACTGCATTCGTTGATGTAGTTGTGGACCTGAGGTAGGACGTAGGCCGGCTCGTTGGAATACCCTTCAAAGTCAGGAACCTGGATCAGGTTGTACGGCTCGGTCCTTGCCTTCTCCAGCGAGTCGTCCACCAGCACCGTGTCTTTCTGGCTCCATGTTACGCCCTTTTTCGCGTCGGGATGGGTGCAAGACACAAGGGGGGAATTCCATAATACGCTCAGCCGCTTATAGCATTGGACTCTCGAGTTGTAGTCGCTCGTCGACAGACCGAATCTATCCCTCCCCCACACTGCAACGACCTTTGCGCGCAACTCGGGTGTCAGCAGCGTCTTACACATGTTCTCAACGTTATCAGGTCTCGCTGATGACCAGATGGTGACCGTGAAGGTTCGGATGCAGTAGTTCAAGAACTCGCGAGCATATGGGCGCATGATGAAGGTTGACGGTTGGCGCTTATTCGGCCGATACAGAAGGGTTCCGTTCAAGTCGATGACCACCAGGATATTTCGCGGCCGAGGGAGTAGCAGAGGTGGGTAGGACGCATGCGCAAGGTACAGTGCCGTCGGGTCTGGAACGCCGCCAGATTCTTTCGATGGTGCTACAATCTGGTCTCTCGCGCGAAACTGTCGTACAGGTGACCGTCTAATAGGTGAGTAATGTTCAGGAGCACCACTCCTGTTGAGGATACGGTCAGAAGTCTCTCTTCTCTATCTTCTCTTGGTGGCAAGAATCTGGGCTACTTGCCGTGCTAGCTCAGTCGACGTCTCTTGCAACAAGGCAGGGGAAACGCCAGAGCTGGGCGGGACATTGTTCGGAGGTGGGTTCTGCGGTAAAGCTGACTTCTCGTGAGACGACGAAGGGAAGATCCCAGAAGCGAATGGTGTAGGAGTGGGATGATGGGGGATCCCGGCGCCGAACGGTGTAGCGTTCGGAGGAGTATTGAAGTAAGGGTTCGGAGGAGTGTTCGCAGGAGTGTTCTGCGGCAGGGCTGTGTGCGCCTGTGATGATCGAAGATTGTAGCGTCCCATCGCGTCAAAGCCGTACTGCGCTTGAGGTTGTAGCTGAGGTTGAGGTTGCTGTTGGTATGGGAAAAAGTTTGTTATAGGGGTATATGGCCCGTTACGTACCGGCTGGTAGCCAGGATATCCGAAGTCGCCAGCACTCATAATGGCAGGTTTGTCGTGTTTGCTTGGCTCGCTCTTTGTTACGTTCGCAGCTGTCGCGCTGGATGATTGGAACCGCGCTGGACTGCTGCCACTGTGCGAGAGATTGAAGTGCGGCTTCAAGAGCCGTAGGGTGTCGACTTTGGTGTATCTCTCGAGCGCATCACGGCGAGGGCGCAAGCATAAACGCAAAACAGAATGGAGAGGCATCAATCAATGCGCCGGCTGCCTGATCACTTTGAAAGAAAAAAGTACTTGTAGCAAGGCATTGCTGCCTCAGCGCGCTTGCGCAAGAGACCAAAATGCGACCAGAATAGCTTATCGATGCTTATCGGCTGGCGGCGGGTAGTTATCTTATCCCGCCACTTTCTTTTTGTGCAGCTACAAGGGTCCATCACTTAGAGAACGAAACTGTGAAGGACAACACGAACTTTTGGTTCTGAAAAGCCCAACACCTCAGTGATTCACCATGCCGCCGCCGACTTCGAACAAGCGCAAGCTACCATCTGCCATCCTCCAGAGACGAGTACGAGCGAGAAAGGAGGAGCCAGAACCTGAACTCGAGGAAGTTTTCAGCGACGAATCAGCAGAAGAGGACGACTCGGCAGAAGAAGGCAGCAGCGACGATGGGGAGTCCGACAGAGCAAGCAACGCAGATGCCACTGACGTACGTTCGCGATACTCCCTTGCCTCTCCGGAACTGGGTTACTAAAGAAAATCCGCAGTCAGAATCTTCCTCCAACGATGACGACGACGACGACGAAGACGACTTAGACCCCGCACTCGTACCCTTCAGCAAGCTCGCCAAGGCGCAACAAGACTACCTCAGCGAACAACGGCAAAAAGCTCAAGGACACGCAGACTCAAACGGAGAGAGCGCCGAGGACGATGAAGACGGCAACAACGGCAAAGAAGGCAACAAATACTGGGACCCCTCAAAATACGAAAAATCCTCCTCCTCCAAGAAACAGCCCAAGCACCAGCGGTCGTCTAAACACGCCCCGGTAGAAGTGACCAGCAAGCGCCCGGTTACGCGCAAGCGCGAGGTCGTATCCTCCACCAAGGTCCTCCCGCGGGACCCACGGTTCTCCGCCGCCTCAGGCCCGGTAGACGAGGAGCGCGCGCGGCGGGCATATTCCTTCCTGGACGAGTACCGCGCCTCGGAAATGGCGCAGGTGCGCGACGCAATTAAAAAAACCAAGGCGCCGGCGGCGAAGGAAGAACTCAAGCGCGCGCTCGTGTCGATGCAGAGCCGCAAGCAGGCGCAGGAGCGCAAGGACGCCGAGCGCGCCGTCGTGGCCGACCACCGCAAGCACGAGAAGGAGCTCGTGGCCCAGGGCAAGCAGCCCTTCTACCTCAAGCGCGGCGAGCTGAAGAAGAGGGTGTTGGTCGATCGATTTGCTGGTATGAAGAAGAAGCAGGTCGACCGCACCATCGAGCGCAGGCGCAAGAAGGTCACGGCTAAGGAGCGGAAGGATATGCCGTTTGCGAGACGGGGTGCTGTGGAGGAGTAATGGCGAGATGGGTGTTGATTACTTTGTGGTCTGGGAAGTGCTTGATTTGTGTGTAGGCGAGATTCTATACAATGCGATGATACCAGCCCCTGCTACCATCTATGCTCCCAATCATGATGCTTCGCCTTTCGTATTGTCTAACTACAAGTATGATACAGTGACTAACAGTGATCCTACAATCTTCAAAACGTGATAACCTACTCTACTTCGCCCCAACATCCTCCATCTTCTCCAGCGCGCGCACAAACATCTCGCGGCACCTAACCCTGCTCCCCAGCCTCGCGCACAGCAGGAACGCGCCGCTCAGCTTGCGGTGCAGGCTGTACGTCTCCTCGGGCGGCGGGCTCAGGCGCTCGCGGATCATGACGGGGATCAGCGCCTTGACGCGCTCGGTGATGGTCTGGTCGCGGAAGTCGTACACCGCGGGCGCCGACTCGAGGAACGGCTCCGCCAGCGTCAGGATGCTCGCCGTGTGCGCGTCCAGCATCGCGCGGCTCTCGTGGCCCGTCAGGTAGCCCAGGCGCTCGCTCAGGTCCTTGACAGCGGGCTTGTCGGCGCGCGCCGCCGCTTCTAGTAAGCCCACGTACTGCGTGACGAATTCCTGGGGGTACTCGCGCGAGGCGCCGAAGTCGAGCAGCTCGAGCTTGTGCGTCGCGCCGTGGTACAGGAAGTTGGTCCAGTTCGGGTCCGTCTGCATGAAGCGGAACTCGGCGATCTCGCGCAGGCACAGCCGCAGGATCTGCGTGCCGATCCAGTCGCGCTGCTCCTGCGTGAGCGAGGGCGCCGCCCGCGTAACGCCCGTGCCGTGCATGAACTCCATCGTCAGCACGTGCCTGCCCGACGCCTCACTGTAAATATTGGGCACGGTGAAGACGTCCGGCTCGTCGGCCAGGAGCTCCTTGTAGCGCCTCCCGCACTCGGCTTCGCGCTCGTAGTCGCACTCCCAGCCCAGTTCTGTCCGTGCGTTGTCGATGGTCTTGTTCAGATAGAGGCCCTTGGGCAGCATCTTTGACGCGGTCAGGAGCATAGATAGGTTATCGAGGTCTGAGTTGATGGAGTCGGCGACACCGGGGAACTGGATCTTGACTGCGACTTGCTCACCCGTCGACTTGAGCGTAGCACGATGTACCTGTCCGATGGACGCCGCGGCCATGGGAGTCTCCTCAAACTCTCCGTATAGATCCCGCCATTCAGGGCCCAGGCTAGCCGTGAGTACGCGGTCTCGCTGCCAGGCTGGCATGTAATCGGCGCGGTCCTGCACGCGTTGGAGGACCTCCTGAATGGGCCCAGGGAGCATCTTCGAGTCCTGGAAGCTCATCATCTGGCCCAGCTTCAGTGCGGCTCCTCTCATGCGCGATAACTTGGTCACCAGTCTCTCCATGTTTCCGGGACTGAACATGACGGAACCTTGCCCGCCGCCGCCGAGCCCCCTGCTGAAGCCTTCGGTGATTGCTCCGCCGAGCATCCCAGCCGCGAGCCCTCCATAGTTCCATAACCTGCTTATCCGAGTAGCTGGTACTTTCGACTCTCGGAGAGAATATGCTGGCTTGGTGGGTTCTTCGCTGGTAGTAGCAGCAGATATGGGATCTGACTGTTTTGGTACATATTGTTCTGCTTTCGACAGTACTTCGTTGACCATTTGGGTATGTTCCTCCACTACTTGCCGGCTTTCAGACTCTTTGTTTTCTGTACTCTGTTGGGCTGAAGTATCTGGTGTGTTTTCTCGCATCGTCGTTTCTGGCGTATCAACCGACAGCGCGCTTTTCTCAACAGGTGTTGGTCCTTGTCCCCAGATCGTCTTCGCAATAGAGGGCGACGGTGAACCTGCTGTTTCCTGGGCCTCAGCAATACTGGAATCCAGGTTTCGTGCCAATGGGCTCCCAACAGCCACATCTGCCGCTGCTATTGCGCTTTCCTCTAGAGGTGACATCCCCTGTCTCGCAGCGGTCTCGGCCACGGAAGGTAACGGTGCTGTGTCCTCTTTCTGCGTCTTCTCTTTATCGTGGCCGAAGTCTTTAAACCAGCTGGGCTTGGAAGGTGCTCCCTTGGGCCGCTTCTGTCCCACGGCATCCTTCTGACCCTCAAGCATTTGAGATCCGCGACTCGTGTGGAAGATGTTGACATTGGCATCCGGTGGAGCGTCCGCTAGAAATGATGACCTATCATCGTCCTGCTTGCCAGCCTCGTTCACTTTCTCCTTCAACTGTGCCAATATGGCACTCTGGTTTGGTGTGATGGACTGAGGACGCTGTATGGTCGCATCCTCAGGTGGTTCGCTGCGGCGGAAGAGATTCGGGTGGGCCTCCTGCTGCTGCTCTGTCGTTGAAGGCATGGCACCATCGCTCTGCATACCACTCAATGGCAAGTTCTCGGGCACATTGGACTGCTGTTGACCCTGCAGTCCCAACTCCTCGTGCACCGCACCAGACTGGACTGTTGGCGCATTCTCCCCTGCAGGCTGCTCGCGACCATCTCCGGGTGGCGCGTTGGCAGCTGCGGACTGCGGTGGCTTCCTATCCCCTCCCAGAGACCGCACGATGCTGGAGGTTCGGCCATAGCGATCGATCTGCCTCGTACGAAGCTCCAGGTGTCTCGAGGCGACATTCCGGGAAGCTTTGACGACGGCAGCCAAGTCAACGAGGATATGCGCGGATCCCATCGTCGAAAGTTTTCAACGACTTCTCATCAACCAAGCGAACGGACGTGAATGAGACGCATATTATATCATGATGACCAACGTCTCAGTGAGCTATCATGAGTAAGACCGGTTTAGGAATTCGCCGTTCAGTTCAACGGATCATAGATTTCATGATCCAGAAAAATTGAAGATGCGATTGAAGCCCCGGGTAAGCTTGCGCCACACTGTGGCTAGAGCCTCAGGGCCTGTACCGACCCCCTTACCATTGCTGCGTCTTCAAATCTTATGCTTTACAATCCCAAACTAAAGACATGAGCATGTCTCATGTTCATTGGTATCTTGAGGCCTGCTAACTTGCTATGTCATCACTACATCAGTACTCCCATCTTCTACCAACTTCATACTGTCCAGACTCGGTGCGAGACTATCCATTTCTCTCAAGGTATATTCCACCAAATAGCTTTCATCAACCAGCTCTTCCATGCGCTTGTAGTGTCTTTCAGTGTAGACCTTGAGCGCGTTCAGCACCTCCTTCAAGCTCTTCTGCCCCCTGGCGCCTTTTACGGACAGATTCGACAGGCGAGAGGCTGGATAGCTCTTGACAAGGGTCCACAGAATGCGTTGCGCCATCGGTGCTGTCCTAGCATTTGTGTTCCAGTCCCGAAGTCGCAGGAGGAGTAGAAACAGTTGGTCGTCCGAAAGACTAGCAAGGACCTGGTCCACGGCTTTCAAGCCCGTCAGGCTGCCAGCATCCGGTGTCTTCGAATTGACCACCTTTTCGAAGAGGGTCTGAAGTTTGCGCGGATGGTTGAGTTGGAGCGCTAACGTGATAGCCTCCCGGTAGGCTCCCACATATTCGTAGTTGTCGAGTTCCTGCTCCTGCTCAATGATCTTCAGAGCTGCTTCATTCGAAGCTACTTGTGTCTCCGTTGACGTATCTTTCCAGAAAGTGACGGTGGAGTCGCCGCTCCCAGAAACAAGCATGTTGGTTTCAGGGTGAACAGCCAGTGCCCAAACCCGGTCCTCGTGGTTGTCCAGCGTACACTCCGTCTCGCCAGTATTGACATCCCATACCTTCACGAGCCCATCTCCGCCAGCGCTGGCAATGAGCACGGGCTTCTTAGAACGCTCTTCGTTCGGTGGTAGCTTAAGCCAGGCTACTTTGAGGACGCTGTTTGAATGGCCTTCGAAAGTTCTCAGACATGAGTAGTCCGTCATGCTCCATAACTTGACCGTTTTGTCACCGCTTCCGGTTAAAACCACACCCTTTCCAGAGACAGACCCTTGCTCGCCCTGCAGCACAGGCATGTTTAGGGGAGCAAAACAGACTGACCAGACACCACGCCGGTGACCACGGAGAATACCTTGAGTTTCTCCCTCCTCTATTGACCAAATCTTGACAAGCTTATCCTGGGATGCAGAGGCAAACAACTGGGATGAGTTGTTGACATCGATGGCATTGATATCCTTGTCGTGGGCTTTCCGCGTGTATGCGGCTCTGATAGCCGACTTTGCGCTTTGCTGTGGCTCTCGGGGCACCTCCCATCTTTTGATGGTCTGGTCGGAAGACCCGGTTATCAGGAACTGTGGTGGATAGTCCAAGGGGCTGGCGTGGGCCTTGGAGCCTTCGACTGGCCGGGCTCTAGGCAGTGCTACTGCACCCACAGACTCTGCGTGTCCAGGAAAGGTCGCCCAGCAAGTATACGAGTTGTTGGCGGGGTCGACTCGCCAAAGCTTGGCCGCATTGTCTTTCGCGCCTGTAGCAACCCAATGTCCGGACCAATCAACATCCACAGATATGATAATGTCATCGTGACCCTTGAGGAGGGCAATATCCTGACCAAAATAGTCGGCAGATACTAGAGCATCGGGGTGAGAGTTTGGCTCTGACACTGATACTATCCGAATATCTTCGGAATTTGTAGCCAACGCCATCAGAGAATAGTCGGGGAGGAGGTACCGCAAATCGATGATATCGTCATGCGTTCCTGATATCCTCCGGTAGGGCTCGGGTGGCGCAATCTGTGAGGAGTCTCCAGCATCGGACGGGACCTGGTAAAGGCTTATAGTATGATCCACCTGTATACAGGCGACAAACGGCAGTTCTGGCCGGTAGACTGCACCTACGATAGCTTCAGGCTCGGATTTTGCCTTCTGCTCCTTCGTGAGTTCTCGGCCGGTATCCGTCACCCATATGCGCAAACAGCCATTGGAACCAGCGCTGTATGTGAGCCGACCATCTCCAAGGAATCCCACAGCTTCAATGAGTTCTAAACATGGAACGACTTTCCGGGGTTTCCAAGACTTTGTATCCCACCATCGTATCGTCTTGTCCCTGCTGGCGGTTACCAGGGCATTCTGTTCGGGCGAGTAATCAAGGCCTTGAACATCGGAGACATGCGAGTCGAGATTGGCTACAACGCTCCTCTTGTGTAGATCCCACACACGGACTTTGCCATCTTGACTTCCTGATGCAAGGCGAAACCTTGCTGTAGCTGAGACCTCCTCTTCGGTGTCCTCGTCTGCACCTTTCGACTTCCTCCTCTTCCTCTTGTCGGACTCTTTGGAACCAGCGGATTCCAGCTGCTTCTTCGGCGCCGTCGCCATCTCGAAGAAGAGGAGCGCAGACACTAGCACACTCGGGCCTCGAAAGGTATGTGTGACATAGCCGCCACTGATGTCCCAAACTTTGATTGACCCATCAGTTCCACCTGTTGCAAGTAGAGTACTCGTCCTATCGACGGCCAGGACTATTACCGGAGTGGCGTGAGGCTTCAGTGTTCGTACTAGCTGAGGTTCGATGGAGTCGGCCGACGGTATCTTCTGTAAGGAGTATATGCGCATGGACAGCGACCGAGAACAGACGATAAGATGGGAGCCAGAGGGGGTCACTGTAACATGGTGAGCCTCTAGCACAATGATATAGGTGAAAGACATGGCGTACAGGTCAATGTTGATATTAATTCACCATCCTAAGAAATACTAGTCAACGCCAGACCACAAGAGGAGTGGCAAAGGGAAACAAACCCCCTCGATTGATGTGATGTGCTTCCCAGTCTTCAGGTCCGTCAATACGACATCTTCACCCATAGTGGTGGCCAAGAGGCGTGCGCCATTCTCAATGGCAACGGCACCGCCGGTGAAAACAGGCCGAATGACCTCGCTGGCCTCGAAGGTCGTCTTGAAGGGCGCTTTGTTGGCCATCTTTTCGGGGAGCTGACAGATGGATGCGCTCAAGAAGTATTGGGCATGGCGCGAGCTGAAGCGCAAAGATGCAGCACAGTAGCAACCGGTGCTCGCTTTCAGGTGGGATGTCCAGGAAATTTTAATTTTCAGAAGCGATAACGATAAGCAGCCCGGGCAGCCCGGGGTGATGCTGCACTGCGACTACCTACATGTACCTAGCGCAGCCTCTCATTGGCTGGGGACGGGATGTGAAGCTGCAGGTGCGCAGCTCGGCCCCCACTTCCTCAGCTGGGGGAGGTACGTACCTGACGGACCACTCCAAACAGCTGGGCCTCGTCCAGGATCTCGCCTCAACCATCTTCATCAGCTCCATTAAGCACATTGATTGGTGCATCCATATCAGCATCTACTCATTCCAAGCTCTTTTTTGCATAGGCGAGAAGGCAAGACATATTCTTGTGTGGTACTTGTGCTTTATTTGGCGAGATAGAAAGCTGGAATGGTACATCCAGCTTGTCAGCCTAACCTTCGCACATGAGATATCCAGCTCGGAGAAGCTCTACCGGCGATGGGGCGACTTGAACCTTTGACGTCGTTGGCCCTGGTAGGACCTCCACCCCGCAGTACCGTCGTGATACGATGATTTCTGACACCTCTTCCAGGGACGCTCGCCTTACGACGATGTCGTAGATGGGGAAGGCGATGAGGACCCGCATGAGCCAGAGAAACAGTACGACGCCACGGGTCGTGTCATCAACCCCGAAACGAAGAGAATCCATAAGGACGTCATCCGAGCTCACAACGAGGTCATGCTTGTCATAGGAGTAGCTGAACCCGAGCACCAAGGTGTCAGTGCAGCTGAGCTCGAGTCCGCACGCCAGTATCACGAGTACGAGAGCGACACTGGGAAAACATTGTACCATTTTGGCCGTGTGATCAGCGTTGCCGGTACCTGGGGAATTCACGGAATACGGCAACGCATGCTGGTAGGATTGCTTGCGGTAGCCTTGGGCCCCTTCAATCATGCTGACTTATTACGTGGCAGGTGTACAAGGAATGCGCCGGCCTCCCATTTCTGAAGCTACTGGCCCGCGAGCGCGCAAATCACTCGTACTTGAATCTTGGCTTTGCCGGTATTCCGACCTTCATTGGCGTGGAATTATTGTCCTGGTCTAGGTCAATACAAGTGGTCAAGGACAGCAGCTGGTAAGCTTGTCCCGTCTCCTGCAAGAAGCTCCATGTTAACACCAAACAGCGTGCGAGCCGCCTTGGCATATATCCGCTTTCACCTACAAATTTACGTTGCCATGCAGCGGCTAGACTTGATACCAGCATCTCAATGGGTGCCCAGCCTCGGGTTCTTCGTTCCATTCTCTCCCTCTTCGCCATTCGCCGCACTGCCACCTTTGGAGTCTCTCAACACGTCAAATATTGCGGCGTGGATTGGCAAAATTGCTGTGAATCTGGCCCCTTGGACTGCATTTTACTTGGCTGCGCGTTCCTGGGAGTTCATCAACCCACCAATACGACGGCAAGTACTGAAGTATCTACCTCATCCTTCCCCCGACCCTTTAGCAGCCCTGAGCAATTTTGTCGCCAATACAGCTCGAAGACAACCTTTTCCAGAGTCACCAACACTTGGAGCGGCTGATCGCGAGATACGGCACACCCATGATCCAGAGCCAGACTCTGATGTGCCAGCTGCCATGGCACCAGACGGCCAGGCAGCTGGCGATGCTATTCCAGTGGGTGCGATCAGAAGGCAAGGCACATTTTCAAGTCGAGGTGGGGAAGAGTACGCCACCGACGAGGAGGATTCAGAGATGGTCAACCCAACACTTATTAGCTTCGACGTCGATACTACCGAATCGACAGAGCTGCCACCCCCCGGAGCTGGTGTCTGGTCTGCTGAGCTGCGACCGAGCTTCAGTGGGGATGCCCGACCGCAGCCGAAAGATGCCCCTAGATATATCGTTAACTCCTTGACGAGTCTTCCTTCTCTCTTGGGCGGGCAAGTCATCACCAATTCCATCGTACGTATACTGCTTTCACCTCTCGACATGTTGACGCTACGAGCCGTGGCACGGGCTTTTGCCCGCAAACGTGGCCTACCTTGTGGCGATATGTTTACTGTCAATCTCCTCGACAGCCTATCACCACGAGTCGGACTCAATCTCGTCCTGATAGAATCACTGAGATTTCTTGCCTCCTGCGAGATATGGGTGGCTTTAACGGTGGTATCGCAGTGGTTACATGTCACTGAAGAGGAGTGGAAGGATATCAAGAAGGAGGAGGAAGCCGAAGCTGCGACGAGCGACGCGTCCTAGGAGAAGTCGTAGTGGACGAGGTATACCGGGACACTCCGCACGTGTTGGGATGTCACTATGATGAAGGCAACGACTCACACCGCTACACGCGTCTGTGATGGGTTTCCAAGGCATAGGCTCGCTCCACTATGGGCGGGCGTGGCCTTGTCAACTCGCCTGGTCAACTTCTGGTTGTTTCTTTTATGTGGCTATCGCTAGGAAAAGATGGAGGTGTTTAGTAACATCATAATGTGGCCGGTGATCGGGGTGGTGGATTTTATGTATGTGTACGGGCGCGCAACATTCCGAGCAGCTTTACGCTCCGGCGCAGTGCAATTCGGGTTGTAAGATCGGGGGGTTTGCTACACGGCCTCAACTGCAGGTGAGCTCAGCAAGACCCAGATATGTCTTGAGCCAGAGACCAAAACATCAATTAAAAATTGTTTCAAAAAACATATCCAAAAAAGCTCGGCCCAGGATTGAATCTGGAACCTACGAAAAACCTCTTTGGAGATTTTGTCTACCCTCACGGTTGCAGGGCCATTAAGACACCACTACACCTTACACCCAGCGGTAGTCGCTCTGTAGCTGCCATGCACCACTGGGCTATGATTTGGTTGATGGAAAATCGTTTTGTTTTGGTTTATAAGGGCTACCGCCTCCACCCCAGCTAACTGCTGTGCCGAATTGTTTGCTTGCACGGCCAGTGAGTGTCCCAGCCAACCGGCGCCCCCTATTGGGCTGGAGCCGCTGCGGGTGCTGGATATTGATTATGGCGCATTGACTCGGGCTGCTTGCTTTTATTTCGTCTGCATCGTTCCTGAGGAGGATGGTGTACTTTGGCTGCATGCAGATCGAGGGCATCGCGGTAAGTTGCTTGTTGGCAGGATTATGTTTGCACATGTGGTACTTTCATGAAGCTAATTAACTTCTCGCGACCCTGCTTTTATCACATTGCGGAAGGGCCAGTCACCGCCATTCACACCTCAAGGGATGTGAATCAGTCAGTTATGCGATGAGTACTCGGTGTGGTTTGTCAACATACCCTGTCGCGACGATATGATTTCTTATTTCGACTTGCTCAGGGGAAGGACTCGGTAACATCGAGTTTGTCCTGCAGTTGGTGTTCTTCATTCCTGAGTAAATTCAGTCCTATGGCCGCCAAGCTCTCAGTCCAGGACCGTCCTCTTGATTCCGAAGTTGTCAGGACTGTATAGGTCCTAAGTGACGTGGGAAGGTGAGGCTTCTGCGTATGACCTTTGTCTTCCAGACGCGTTGTCGTCCGTCGGGAAGATACTTGTCAGGCAGAGGGTATACCCTAAACATGTGCCTGGAAGCCGCTCAAGCCTCATCACACCTCCATATAAGTTAGACGCATACCACCCTCGGTGACATGTCGTCCCGCCCCCATCAGCAGCTTTTCAAACCGTACGCCATTCGAATCACACATTATTCGGTCTTTGAACGATCTTGCGCACCTTAAGCTCTTGGTCGAGGATGTCAGAAGAACCATTCCCCAAGTCTGGTTCTCATGATCCCGACAAACTCATCAGCCAAACTCTTGCCCTTCCTTTAAAGGACTCTGCTCGGTACATGCAGCAGGCTGTTAGCCGTTCTAACTTCGTACACGCTTATTTACATGGTCTCTGCATATATGCCTCCGATCTCAATATTGAAAGAAACATTTCAGATCTCCTGGTACATCTTGATAGGTCAGTGTTCTCTGTTCCCATCCCAATTCTGGCAATCCTGCGCCGCATGTGATGTTATCGCTCTGGGTCTCGAGGCTTTCGTTGCCTGCTTGTAATGACACTCCATTCGCGAGAAGGAAGGGCTTTCCGGTGACTCACAGGAGTGTAATAGTTTCTTCTTCTTCGACAGCCTCGGTACCATATGGCTCCGGGTTTTAATGATGGATTGGGGTTGGAAGCCTTTGTATGGATACTTCACTCCATCTCGCGGAGAGATTGTCGTCTTCAAGAACTTGCAAGGTCGACGCCTCGATTACGTCGACATGGTCGAAACACTAATCCACGAGATGGTGCACGCATACATACACATATTCTCCGACAAGTCCATGGCAAAACTGCCTCATGAGTCAGGAGCTCGAGTCACATGCCTACCACGGCCTGTACTGGAACACACTGTACCATTCTATCGTAAACAGGATTCGTCGCTGGCATCCGGAACTCGAGAAGCTGCCTACCAAACCCTGGCTGGAACGCTCGCAACGGAAGGAGATTGAAGACAAGGAATATGTCGGACTCCTAACGAAGAAGCTGACAGAGTTGCACTTGGAAGAAGAAGAGGATCACATGAAAGACAGCGAGGAAGAGGATGAGGACCACGTGGAAGAAGAAGATGAGGATCACGTGGAAAAAGAAGATGATGATCACGCGGAGGAGGACGTGGAAGAAGAAGATGAGGATCACGTGGAAGAAGATGACGAGGACGTGGAAGACAGCGAGGAAGAGCAGGATGATTGGCTTCTGCCTCCGATGCCCGTGAACTCCGATTACTACTCGTGCCACGCATCATTTCCACCTCGACAGCCAAGGAAAGCAGCCTGATCAGAGATGCCCACTACGAGGTACAGCCGTGATAGTCGCAACTTAAACCAGGGAGTGCGAAGGGGCTAGGCCGAGATTTTCCTGTAATAAAATCCACTTGACTATAGTCTTTTCCTGGGCAGGGGATAGTCTCTGTTGCTGTGTGTGGGCTTCGGTTCTGGTAGCCTTGCCGTTGAGTCGATCAGACAGCGTTTGGTGTGGAATACCGTGTTTTTGACCGGCTGTTCGTACAGATAGGCCCTTATCTGTAATATTTAAGATCGCCGAAGCCATCTAATCCTCTGTATACAAATAGGGAGGCATTTTGGGCGACTATATGATGCTACAGTGCATATAGAACGAGGCTTTAAGAGAGCCGTGAAAATCTCTATTTAGGGTACTAAAGGCGGGGTAATAGCTCCTTAATCACGTAAGCCAGGAGGGGTAAATTTAATATTGGGGAAAACCTCAAGATCAGGGCTATCTAGAGCACTAAATACATTGTGGATAGCTTTAATATCAGGCTGAATCTGTATAAGTGAACATGTGGGAGTTTTGGTGGTGATGGTGGGGTTTGGCTGGCCGACTAGTGGGGGTGGCCGACTTCTATGGGGGGGATGGTAGTAAGGTCATGTACGAGGTCATATTCGTCATATTCAACACCACCCATTTCAATAATGCGGATTATTGGAAGGACGGCAGCCAGTTGTTGGTGTATAGCTTTGGCGACCTGTGAGTTGAAGTATCCTGCCCTCAACGCTCGCTGGGTTCAGATCCTGAACACAGAGAGATGTGTGATGGGTTAAGGTCGCACTGGAACAAAGAAAAAGAGTAATGGGCCTTTTAATCTATAAATTGAAATGGGTGGTGTTGAATATGACGAATATGACCTCGTACATGACCTTACTACCATCCCCCCCATAGAAGTCGGCCACCCCCACTAGTCGGCCAGCCAAACCCCACCATCACCACCAAAACTCCCACATGTTCACTTATACAGATTCAGCCTGATATTAAAGCTATCCATAATGTATTTAGTGCTCTAGATAGCCCTGATCTTGAGGTTTTCCCCAATATTAAATTTACCCCTCCTGGCTTACGTGATTAAGGAGCTATTACCCCGCCTTTAGTACCCTAAATAGAGATTTTCACGGCTCTCTTAAAGCCTCGTTCTATATGCACTGTAGCATCATATAGTCGCCCAAAATGCCTCCCTATTTGTATACAGAGGATTAGATGGCTTCGGCGATCTTAAATATCACAGATAAGGGCCTATCTGTACGAACAGCCGGTCAAAAACACGGTATTCCGCACCAAACGCTGTCTGATCGACTCAACGGCAAGGCTACCAGAACCGAAGCCCACACACAGCAACAGAGACTATCCCCTGCCCAGGAAAAGACTATAGTCAAGTGGATTTTATTACAGGAAAATCTCGGCCTAGCCCCTTCGCACTCCCTGGTTCGTGAGATCGTCAAGAAGCTGTTGAAGAAGAAGGGAGATGAGGGCCCCCTAGGAGACACCTTCATGGCAGCCTTCAAGCGCCGCAACCCCGAAATCAAGACGAAAGTCGGCAAAAGGATGGAAGCAGCACGCTTCAAGGGGTTCACGCCTGAGTCAGTTAACTGGTTCTTCGAAATTCTCGAAGATTACGGCTGGGTAAAGCCAAAGAACACCTATAACGTCGATAAGGGCAGCATTATGGCGGGTTTTGGTAGCTATATCTACCCCTTTAATTCCAGAAAAAATCTCATTAGATTCACAGGCATCGATTCCCTAGTTATAGGTAGTTCTGCTACTAAGAAAGCCTTCCTTAAGAGCCCACAGGGCCGTAGCTGGACCTCCTTTATCGAGACCATCTCAGCAACTGGAAAAATCCTCAAACCAGGTATTATCTTCAAGGGGAAGGACCTCCAAGTGCAGTGGTTCATTAACGAGTTTAAAAAGACCGCAGATTGGCACTATATATGTTCAGAGAACGGCTGGACTTCGAATGCTATAGCCTGCAAGTGGCTAGAAAATGTTTTCCTCCCACAGGCAAACGAAGAACGAGGAGGAGACCAGTCTGAGGCTATCCTCTTAATACTGGATGGCCACAAGAGTCACACCTCCGTACGTATACGATTTTTCCTTATTTTAAATGGACTTTCTTTCATTTTTCTCGATTTAATATGGTCTAACGCGTATTAATAGGACGAATTCATGACTATATGTTTTCTCAACAACATATTGCTCTGTTTCTTTCCTGCGCATACTAGTCACGGCATACAACCCCTGGATAACGGTCCCTATAATGCCCTGAAGGCATACTACCAGAAATTCCTCTCTGAGCTGAATTCCTTGACGGATGCCTCGCCTGTTGACAAGATCAACTTCATCCGGTGCTATAGCAAAGCCAGAACTGCCGCCTTCACGAAGCAAAACATCCTCTCTGGCTTCAAAGTCACTGGATGTTATCCTATCAGCCGCAGGAAGTGCTTAAAACACCCAGAGATACAAGAAGACAAGAGGAAGACCCCTGAGCTTGATACTCCTGAAAGCTCTGAACCAGAGGACCAGCGGACGCCTACTACGAGCCGGCAGATTATGGATTTCGGCAAAAAACGATCTCCAGGAACCAGGCTGAAGTATAGGAAGATAGCGGACGTGTTCGAGGCTAAGGAGACCGAGCTTGTGATTAAGGATAGGAAGATCAAGGCTCTGGAGGCTGAACTGGAGCGGGCACGGCCTAAGAAGCGGAAGAAGGTCCCCAATCCTAACAGGAAATTCAGAACAGTCACGCAGATACTAAGTACGGGTGGTACTATCACCCCTGGTGCCCTTGCGGGTGAAGCAGAAGTTGTAGTTGTGGATTCAGAGGATTCAGAGGACGAAGACGAAGACTCGGCTGAAGAGGAGGTTTTGGAGGCTGTACAGGAGCCTAGGCACATCCGTTCGGGGCGAGCCATTCGGACGCCCGTAAGATTGTACGAGTAAACAGCTTCAGCGCTTTCGAATGATGATATTTCCATAAATCTCCGATCTGAATAGCTTCATTCGTGGGTGGGTGAATAAGGGGGTGTTTTGGTGGTGACCCCACAATTTGGCTGGCCGACTAGTGGGGGTGGCCGACTTCTATGGGGGGGATGGTATAGCCTGCGTTCTGATGGGCGACCGTTCGACATAGCATAATATTGAGCGAGATCTCGGTAAAATTCAACCTACTCTACATAAAATCTATCCCAGTATCTTCGGCACAGCATGCCTGAACACGTTCTCCGGGTCATACTTCTTCTTGAGCCGCACCAGCGTCTCGTAGTGCGGCCCATAGACCTTCTTATAATTAGCATCATCCTCGCCCAGCAGCGGCACGAACGAGGACTCCAAGATATTTTCCGGTTCCTGCTCCAGCAGATCCTTCTTAACCGCTAACGCCCAGTCATTGCCCCTCGCCTCGAGCGTCTCGTCGGGTGTCAGCGAGATCAGCTCGAGCATCTGGTGCTGAACGCGGGCGCCGAATACGGACTGCTCGCTCGCGGCCGGGGCGCGCAGCATGTGCACGCAGAAGGCTATACCCCCACCCGGCAGGAGCTCTGTGTGCCTGCCCAGGATCTCCGACATCTTGGGGGTGAACCTCTTGAAGCTCAGGGTGTGGGCGCGGCCGTACGAGCCGTGGGCGACCATCTTCTCGTTGGCCTCGCAGTAGGCATTCAGGGACATCGGCGCGGGCGAGTTCATGACGCAGACGCCCAGCTCGGATGCGATCTTGTCGATCCATTTCCGGCCTTCCTCGTGGTCCGGGGACGACCAGGTGGCGCCGACGGCGAGCACCTTCCCGGCCCCTGGAAACTCGATGCCGAACGGTTGGAGGCTCAGAGTTGTGGGGAAATCTCCCTTGGCGACCAGGTCCTCGAAGCCTTGGGTATACGTCGTCCAGTCCTTCACTAGATCTCCAGATTTGAAGACCAGCAACGACGTGAGGAGCTAACAGACGGGAAGCATTGTCTTTAGCAACAACCCTGAAGCTGACCCGGGTGAACGAATAAACTCACCTCTTTCAAGGGGTAGACCTTTACCGTCAACTCGACGATGACCCCAAAGATACCACCACCTCCGCGTATGCCTTTCAGGAGCTCCTCGCTAGCGTCAATGAGCTCGCCTTTCGCATCCACGAGCTTGGCGCCAACGATCTGGTCGGCTCCCAGACCATAGCTCGTCGAGAACGGGCCGTAACCCCCAAGTATAGCCCAGCCAACGTAGCCGACCGAGGCAATAGTGCCCCTGTTCGCCCTCGCATCAGCGCCGTTACAGTACCGCGCCGGACATCTCGGGTGCAACCCATTTGATGCGCGAGTGGTAAGTACTTACACAGGAGTGACCAGGTCCTCCTCGCCCAGGGCCTTGGTGAGCTCGCGGAACAGGATGCCGCCACCGACGCTCGCGGTCGTCTTGTCGTCGCTGATGCGCACGTGGTGGAGGTCTCGCAGGTCGATGGTCAGGGCGTCGTGCACCTGGCTCCGACCCGCGCAGTCGTGCCCCCCGGCCCGGACGTTGAAGTCGACGCCGTTACCGACGCAGTAGCGGACCAAGGCCTGCACGTCCTCGGCGGACTGGGGGCGGGCAATGGCGGACGGCTTGGCCGGGCGCTTCACGAAGCATGCCCGCACGGCTTCGAAGTCGGGGTCCTCGCGCGTGATGAGCTTAATGCTCGGGTGCTGGGCCAGGTGCTCCTGGAGCTTGGCTATGTCTGTCGGTGCCATCTTCGCGGGTCTGTCGAGTGACCTGTTTCTGGGGGTGTGTAGGAGTAAACGAGAGTCCGAAGTCAGAAAGCGCGCCTCGATGACTTAAGTACTTGAGTCGTTAGGTTTGCAATGGTCTGATTACTCAGCTGAAGCTGCTGACTGCCGCAATGGAACTTATTGTAAGCACTTGCAGCTGCAGGTATGGATTGCTAAGCCTGGCGGGGTAGCGGCTTCGTCCTGTGCTTGTTGGAGTTGTTGTACCGTTGCACCGGGATGCATATCGAACAAAGAGGTCTTGCCTCGCGTATATAGTACTGCTGTGAGGCCTGCCATAGAGCCTCCAGCTGTCATAGACTGGTGTCTTGTACAGTCCTCCAACCAGCCGATCCACCAGGAGCTCGCTAATCCGATGACTCTCTTAACCAGTTTATCGCTTAGATTCTCCATTGCTCGACTTGTGTCACGGTTTGACCAAGGGTATCGCGTTTGAAATGTCTCGCGGCATACGGTATGAGCCCTTGCATCGCGGGCTTCCCCAACCTCGGTCCTGGGATGCGTATGCATGCGACATAACCAGTCAAAACAATATGAGCTTCGAAGTTCAAACGCGGCAGTGCCGTCGATGGAGGGGAGCTTTGTTCCATGCATACAGTATGGCAGTAGACAGCGCAATGCCTCAGCTTGCGTGCGTGAAGTTCCAATTAGGTTGAACGGACAGCGGGAAGCCTGCAGCTATGGCGCTTATCACACCAGTAGCTTGACAAGGAGCTGCCCCTTTTAACTTTTTCAATATGCCGTGCATATGTGGAAATCCCCTCCTTGACCCTTATTACCTAGGGGGGCGGATGTAGTCAAGGAGTCGGAGCCTGTATCGATGCATGCGGGTCCTCGTTTTTGTGTGACAGACACCGATGATCGACACGGACTTTCTGCGTGGATAGAGGTTTCAGTAAACAGTCCGATAGTCATTTTGGTCCTCGGCTACTACGAGGCCTCATCCTTCTTTCCATCTTACGCCCGGTAACAACAACAGCGTAAGAGCTCAAGTGAAACCCATACAATCATGTACTACATAGGTAGCGACCCCAACTAGTCATACGATTCACATTGAACAACGTGATTTGAATGCTTTCATTCCGTAGACCTACGTCTCCTACAGAAAGCCAAAGTATGAACATGGGTATTGATAGATGACAATGCTTGCTTGAAGCCCTGTCGACAGCAAAAGGAAAGGAAAAAGCAAGCTGCAGGAGCCTGCTGGTATGACCTTTGAACACCGGCCTGTATGCACATGAACACCTTCATCAGGGTATCTATGCCTCGAAGTCCCCTCCCCCCTTCCAGTAGTACACACCAGTCCTATCTATCAATGCTCCTGAAAAAAGTATGCTAACGGTCGTATAGTCGCTCCTAGTTCTTCCTGAACAACCGTTTCGTACTTCCCACCTTGCCCATGTCGCTGAAACTTGACTTGTTGTCCAGCTTTGGTTCAGAGGCGGCGGTTCGTTCGCCACTAGCGACGCGAACCTTCTGCTTCACACTCTGTACCCAAGCACGTGTCTCATCGTCCAATTCCGCTCGCTTGGGGGCTTTCGGCCCAGCTAGACCGAGGGAGCTGTCTTCTTCGTCCCAGTCGACGTGAGACGAAGCGCGCGACCTAGCAGACGTACTTGAAGATGGCTCATCGTTATCCTCGGTGTCAGGGGCCCACGGCATCTTTGGGAGTCTGCCTGGCCCTTCTTGGCCCGAAATCTTTCTAGTCTTCCGGACTCCAAGAGGAGTCATTGGCGAGTCCATGGCCGACCCCGGCCGGCTTGCGGGACTGGACCCCAATCGACCATTAGCCACAGAGGGAGAATCTATGAGCTCAACCTTGCCCTCGCCCTTGGATCGACGACTGTGATGTGAAGCATAGTCTCTCAGGTATTCGCCCAGATCAGCCCATCCACCACCGACGCGAACCATGACCCTCTCTTGCTTTTCTCCCACGGTCCGAATAAAGAGCTTGATAGGCGGCTCTCCAGACCGCGAGGATAGATGGTAAATCCTGATTCCCTGACTGCTCTTCGACCTGGGACGAGCGTCCCGCACTGGCGCCAACATGAATGAGGGGGTCCCACTGCGTGAATAGGAAGGGGTTCCTGCTCGAGAGTACGAAGGAGTCTCCGCTCGCGAAGAAAGGCTCGACCCACTACGGCGCAGAGGTTCTGAGCTCTTAGTAGCCTTAGGTCGCGTGGGATGTTGGAAATCAGGGGGGTTCAAGTTAACTCGTGATTTCGTCATGGAGATCTTGACCGGGATATTCTGAAGCACATCTCGTATCTGTTGGTGAAGGTGATCGTCATCACTAGTTGTGCTGACGGTACTCATGCGACCCGGGCTGTGTAGCTGACTCTCCCAGTCGAATGACGTGTCAGGGTCAAAGACATCTGGTGGTTGGAGAGGACTGCCGGGTGGAGTTCCGCCTACTTCTGGGAGTGGTGCTACCTCTGGGTGATCCTTGAAAGTGACCGACGTAGATCTTGGCTTGTATCGTAGCGGAGGTGAGCTTGGTGGGCTGAGAGCATCACTCGAGAATGGTTCATTAGGATCTGGTAAACGTGGAAGCTCCAACTCAACTGAATCTTCTCTGTAGGGCATATTGTCCGAATGATCTGGAAAATTGCTGGAGGGTTCATGTAGCAAAGTGGAAGTGAGCGAGGCCTGGCTGCTTCTCTCTTTCACAAGCCGCGCAGGAGGTAGATCGAGCTCTTCGTCCTCCTCGTTTACGGACTCCAGAACTGAGGGTTCGAATTCATCGTCGGAGGCTGGCTTTAGCAAGAGTTCTTCCAGCCTTGAAGAGTCTGCACGAGGTGCACGAACTATGTTGTGATGGACTTCTGACAGAATAAGGCTGACTCGATCATCTTCAAATGCCTCTACATCTTCAGATCCGTCGTAGATGGAACCACGAGATTCTTGAGTTGCAAAGAAGCGTGGGGGATCCTCGGTGACTTTGAAGTCCGAGGCGTCCGGTTTTGTCTGTCTTGACTCACGAACACCATCATAGTCTAGACTCGGGTCCTTAGCCACAGCTCCGGTGTCTACCTCGTGCTGGTGTGCCGCGTGTTGAGTCAAGTCCACCACTTGTGAAGTCGACCCTGAAATGCTCTTGTCCGGCTCGTCTACCAATATTCTGACTGCACCCTGTCCAAGGGTGTCGTCAATGATTTCGGCCGAGGATCTGCGGCTTGGAGGATCACGAGGATCAGTGTGCTCACTCGTCACAGATGAGTAGTCTGACGTTGGGCTACGCGAAGCCGATCGGTTACTCTCAGGAGCGTTTAATGATTGCTTAGTCGGGCTTGGTTCCTGGATTTGAATTTTTGGTCGTGTGGTGTCTAGTTGAAGAGGAGGTTCGACAGACGTAGTAGGCTTTGATACCTCAGCCCATTCGCCCTCTTGGACTTGGCGTTCTGCAGTAGTCACCCACTCTGCATAGTCCCGTTCGATTCTTTCCATGCGATCTAGCCATTCATCTGGTAGGGTATCCATCATTCCTTCAAGGGCATCAAGCATGGAATCAAGATCTCGTCCTGGTGTCGTCACTTTCTGCTGCAGCACACGTCTGATGACGTTGAATTCGTTTCGTGAGAGGAAAGATGGCCCGTCTGCTGGAGTTCCCTCTTCTCTTTCCAGATTAGCAGCGTTGTGATCTGACAAATCAAGTGCACTCCAGCCCGAGCCCAGTGCGATCTCTGCATCCGCTATCATGCTGAGCAGGGGCGGAACTTTGCGCAAAACGAGCAAACGCACACTCCAAGTATTCAGCAGTCTTGACAGTCTTGATAGGTTCGGCAAGGCTTGGACAGTGATGGCAGTGACGACAGCCGTCAGATCCTCCATCCTGGCAAACGAAAAGGCAGAACCGACTGAGCGGCCGCCGTCAGAGAAGGGTGTACCTGGCCGTGATAGGGGCAGAATGTGATTGTGTAAGACCTGTGTCTTGATCTCTTCCAGACCCAACCCTTCCATATCACGGTATATCTGCTCAACTCGTCTCTCGTAGCGAACCACATCGGCTTCAAGAAGACTGCCCACGTAGCTGGTGTCGGCGTAAGGAGCAGACTCAGGGAGCTTGCCTTTGGGGCTGTCTTGTGGTGTCTCAGGTTCGGACAGCTTCCTTCTCTTAGCAGAAGGCATCTCGAAACCAACGGGACCACCACTTGAAGGCCAAGGCCAGTCGTTCAGCTCGTCCAGCCAATCCTGAATCTGTTTGGACGCAAGAGCGGCTCTCATAGCGAAAGACTGCTCAGAAACCGAGGCCTGGTCTATGCAAGTCTTTAGAGCACCAGTCGGAGATCGGAGCGCTTCTACAGCCGAGGCTGGTGTGAGACGGGAGAGGAGGTCGTCGCTCGAGCGGTGCTGACGAGCCGGGGACTGCGACGAGGAGCGCAGATCCCGTCGAGCTCGGAGGGTGCCTCGTGGCCCGGTGGGCATCAGTATGTGCTTGTCGGACATGGTGATGATTGCTGCGGGTTAGTCGTCCAGGTATTTCGTTGTGCGTCGTCTACCCGAGATGGAATTGCCCGTGCGATGTGACTTGTCCGTTTCTTTAGAGAGAAGCAGATTATCTAAAGTCGCCCATGTTTGGAAGCGCCGGGTGGAAGTAGTCGTTTGCAAGCTCTCATTTCTCCGATTTGTCGATATTGTCTCCCGTCCACGGTTTCCTCAGCTGATCAGTCCCTTAGGGTCGGGCAAGTGGTTGTACAAAGCAGTAAGGTAGTTCTCGAGTGGTCGTCGCAGTTCTGGAAGATGGCTGGAGGTGGAAACAAGTGTCTTTTGGTCGCGAAGGCTACCTGCAGCTACCGGTAGAGGGCGAAGCAGGGAACTTTATGATGTGTCGTGGGGCGCAAAGTGACGTGTACGATGCGGACGAACGAGAGAGAGAGAGCGCTACTGCTTTTTGAAGGAGCGATTGGTGAAGTTTAGTGATTAGGTGCACTTAAGCAGGTATGTCTCAGTTGGTAAGACAAGTTCGACAGATTGACGGAATGAAAAAGGATGGGATAGCACGAAGCGCGCACGCGACTGCTGTTGTGTGTTGGCCGTTGCTGCAAGGAGGGCGTTGAAGTAATAGCGCAATAATAATAAGCGGCCTGTCAAACTATCGGCACGAGAAGAAACGAAGGGTCGAACGGCCAAGGTGGCAGGAAGTGGTCAGTGTCACAAGCGAGGCCATCAATGGATGAATATGACGGGTGTCTCACCTGAGGCCTGCCAACGGGAAGATTGATGACAGGCGAGACAGACTGACAGAGACAGAGACAGGCGCAGTGGAGTGTTGCAGCGTTGGCAGTGAAGTGTTTGTTGGCAGTGGTGACCAGCCTGCAGGATGGATACCGGAAAGCCGACGCGGAAGAGGGATCGCTTCCCTCGCCCTCTGACCTGTCCTGATATCCTCACTGTTGTCGCCTATGCACCCGACAAGCCTGAGGGATACGCAAGAGAAGAAGGGAAATATTGGCGACTGGAGGAAGCAGAATTGTTTGCTGGAGGCTCTGGTGCATCATTAGACGCGCAAACCCAGCGCGAGATCAATCTGAGCAAACAGGGGTCGCCTGGGGGTTCAAAACATGTCAATATAAACCGCCCCTCCAGCAACCGGATTGGACCCTGACAGCGCCTGACAGCTCCTGACAGTCCGCTCGCTGCCCGGCCGAAGAGCTCAATCTATTGGCGACTACACCTGCACGCTACTGGTAGCGTGAGGGAGTTGATATTCCACATGTTATCTTCCTGCCATGAGCAATATCTTTCACCAGAGAACCCAAGCCTGAAGAAAATTGATGGCATGGGATTCTTGCGCACGTAATCAACAAGGAAGTCTGCAGAGTGGATGAGCTGCAGTGAGGACTCACCAGGAGGTGCATCAGACGGCTGGCTGCACATCATCGGCAATCCTTCATGCAACAAGCATCCCTAAGCTAGCAGCAGCAGCAGCGCACGTCCACCCGCTCCAACGAACCATTGATTGATGAACCGCTAATAATAATAATAATAAATGCAAGGCCAAAAGAAAAACAATGAAGACCGTCCGTATGGTTTAGGCCAGTAACTGTGATTTTAACCTCGGTAGTAAGGGCCCCTTAGCTGAGATACTACGGTAGTACAACGAAATACTGTACTATTGCAACAGCGGACTTCACCAGTCGCTTACCTAAGCAACCTTACCTAAGCTCCGCCATGGTTCCGCTCAACCACCTCGTGCTGTACCCGAGGTACGCAAGCGGTCTTACGATGCTCGGAGGACTTACACAGCTCCATCGATGTATATAAATATCTAGATCCCCGGGGTCAGCTGCCCTGTCTCCTCCCACAAACATCCAATACCAGCACCTCACCGGGAATATCCAATAACTTTGATGGATACTGGACCTCATCAAGTCGCCACCACCAGCAACACGATAGCCTGCCATATACATTCGGAACCATCCTGAATATGACATTCAACTCTTGCGGCTTCAGAGATCCATCTTTTTCGACTTACTCCTATGGACGTCGGAACGAACCGCAGTGTCCTCCCGCTAATGCATCGCTGGCGCCTCACAAGGCATGCTCGACGACCTGGATCAATACGAAATCAGTAATCATTGAACTCCTACGAACTCGGAAATCTCTCATGTTGAAAATCAAGAAGAAAAAAGGATTGTGCCCCAGTCATGCTCTTTAATCTTCTTCCAGACGCCTCATCATGGGGTATAACCCATCTCACCTCCGAAGCCACGAGTCCGCTAACGCCCCATCCAATGCCCGGTCATAAAAAGCTCATTGAGCGTTGGGGCCATGTTGTTGAAACCCCCCCAAATTCCTCCCAACTCCATTATGCCCAGGAACCAACTCCGCTATGCGCGGGAAAACTCAGTGCCCCGTTCGAAAACAAATGTCGTTACTTCTCGACCGTCACTTGAGCCCCAGAGGCAAGCCATCCCCTCAGCATCCAGGCCAAAAATCGGCCGACCCTTCAATTTCACTCATCCTAACAAATAGTCCGTTCCCCAAACCCATGCCGCCAGCGTCAGCGCCGCCGTCATTCATTGTCATTGGGCCAGCGGCACCCCCATCATAACTGCCGCCACCAACGCCCTCGCACGCCTGTAAATAAAAAAACTGGCTCCATATGGAGTTGTCCCAGTGTACCGGTATCTGCCAGGCATCCATAGCCAGCTGGTCGTGGTCGTGGTCGTGTGACGCGTCCGATAAAGACGACGTGCTCGCGCTGTCCAGCCTCATCATATCGTACCCATCGCTGTTGGGCGGCGAGTCGCAGTGCCCCAAGCCCCAGCCCAAACCCGCTCCCATGCGAGCTTCGGATTCTGCCTTGGCCATATGCTCTGTGGGCGAGAGAAATTGCTGCACGGCCGCCGCCGGATTAGTAGTTGGGTCGGTGACAACCAGCAAATCCCCGGTGTTATACGAGGGGCTGGGATTGGGGTAGAAAGAAGGTACCTCTTGCGGGTAGGAGATGTTGTCCGGAGGCGGCGTCGTCATGTCGCGACCGGGCACCTCGGCGATGGCCGCAAAATGCGCGAAGACGGCCGACTTGAAATCTTCGTTGTCAATACGCTGCGACAGCGAAACGTACACATTTCCCAGCGTGCCCAAACAGAACTTGGTGGCGTAATCGGCCGAGGAGTACATCTCGCGCAGCCTCTGCATGGCGCGTATGCACACCCCAAAGCCCTTTACGGCTGCATTACACATGTGCTCCACTGGGCTCTTCATAAGCAGCAGGTGGATGATTATGGCCGGCATAAGGACCGTCACGCCCGTCGTGGGCAGGCGCTTCACAAGGTGCAACTCGCTGAGCTCTTGTACCATGCATGTGATGTGCATGGCGGCTTCGTACACGCGCACCCGCGATATATCCTGCCCCTGCGCCAACATCTCCCAGAACCGCGGGCGGTACAGCGCGGACATCGTGCTGTGGTAAACCAGGTGCAGCAGGTTGCGCTGGACGGCCAGGGTAGCGCGGCCGCCCTCGACGTCGTGTGCCGATAGGGGCCTGTGTTGGCAGCAGGCCGGCAGGCTCCGGACCCAGGTCTTGAGCTCGCGGTCGCAGCGGTTGATGCTCTCGACGTTATCGAGCTGCTTGATGGGGAACAGCATGGTGTTGTTGGTGGTGGTCTCGGGCAGCGACTTGTCACGGCTCAGCACCGAGTACGACGCCTTGATCATGTGGCCGATGCAGATGCAGAGCTTGGCCTTAGCGATGCACAAGAGTGCGAGCTCGCGCTGCAGGCCGACGTCGCGCATGAGGGGACACTCGGGGCCGACGATTTTGATCTCGTCCGGCAGCGGCTCTATCTCGAAGTCAGACTCATCCAGCATAGGCACGTCAAACTCCTCATCCTGGATGCGCAGAGGGCGCCGCATGCCCAGCGCGATCATCCGGTCACGCATGAAGCACGACCACCAGATGCGCTTCCACAGCCTCTTCTTGCGCTGTGGCATGCCCTTGTGCGCCGGGTCGCGGTGCAGCCCGATCAGTTGCGCCAGCGAGATGGCCACCCCCATCCAGTGCCACGTGTCCTTCTGGTCCGTCGGCGTCTCGTACCAGTACGTCATCAGCAGCAGGCCTTGTACCTGTGTGAGGCGGTCGCTTTCGTAATCGAAGTCATACAGGAGCTATGTCCGTCAGTCAGCCTTCGGGTGCGTGAGCGGATGAGGGTAAATAAATAATAATGAAAATCCTTTTCCGTCACTGCTCACACGTGCCGTCAAAGCCGCCACATGCTCACACATGCCGTCAATGTGCTCTTACCCTGGCCTTGAGGAAGAACGCCTTCCGCGCTGCCTTCTTGTCGGTGAAGCCTGCCTCCTTCAAGTAATTCAACTCGACGAAGGCGACTGCGGCGAACATCACGGACTGGTACAAGAACAGGCTGATCTGGCCGCACCGCCCGTCACGCGCATTGACAATGCTCAGGAGCTCGTGCAGCTCGATGAGCGGCATGTACGGGTGCACGTACTGGACATACCCGCGCAGCAGCGCGTTCTGGAGCGCCAGGCTGGGCAACGTCAGCGCGCCCTTCTGCTGAAGATATCTTACCTCTCCAGGCCCGTTCCTGGCTGGCATGGGCTGAATGAAGGCGGGCAATTCGAACGAGTTTCGGAGCTGCACTGTTTTGAGCGCGTTGGTGCCCGCGCCTAAGTTTGAGTTTGAGCCTTGTGGCATCGGGCGCTGGGGCGGGCTAGGGTATATGCTCGGGTATCGCGAGCCGTTGTTACTGGCCTGTAGGTGAACTGGATCGGGCCCTAGACCAGGCCGTTGGTCTATAAGTACGTGTAAGTCCCCCGTGATCACTAAACACCCCTTTTGCTGAACAATTCTTCTTGTTTCATAATAGAGTACCTAATATCACGACTTGCTTCTAGTCGCCCTCTACCCTACCGCAACAAGTTACGGCATGGCAGCTGGCTAGCCCAGAAGTAAGTTGTTGACATTGGGGTTGATCCTCTGATATGTGAAGACGGGAGTCTCGAGGGGGGGTGACCAGTTACACACTGGAATCGAACTTACATAGGAGATGCGGAACATGACCCTCGACGCTGCCGCCGTGCAACGTCGGGTCTTGGCGTGGCTGTTGAGGTGTGGGTAGGGCGACTGCTTCTTCAGGTTGTGTCTGTCCTCTGGGGACATAGTCATTGACCAAAACTTGATCTTGTTCATCTGTGTCATTATCAAACGTGTCTGGCGACGTCTGGAACAGGTCGCTGTCGCTGGGCCGGCGCACGAGTGCTGGCGCCGCCGCTGCCGACGCGATGGCGACCGGATTCGCCGAGCCCTTCGCTTTCAAATGTGCCTCGGTAGGCTGCGGGGTGGTTGCATCGTGGGATACCGACGAGGTCTGTTCAAACAGAGTTTTCCTGCAGCACGCGACGATGACGGTGATGTAAGTCTGGGATCTTATTTTTTTTTCGCTCTTCCTTTCTTGAGTGGTATGCGGTGTTTTTCAGCGTACCTCTTCAATTGGGGATTTGGAAACGAAGGAGAAAATGTTTCTGACTGGAAAATGATGTAACTCCCGTGGACTCATGGGCTGAAATTGGAAAGGAGTTCCACTCCGCGGAACGTATAGGATATGAGATTCCGCAAAGCAGTGAAAGGGACTGGGGGCGCAAAAAAGACGTACTTTCGGCGACGGCTTTCCTGCACAACGCATTCGACCTCATTCCATCTGCAGTTGTTGCAAGGGGTGCATTCCACAACATTGCACCGCACTTTCCTATTTCGGCAGTTGACACAGGCCCTCGACGCACGTCGTTTCGCAATTTTTGCCGAGCCATTGGGTTCTGAGGTGGAAGCCGACCGCTTCCTAGACGGCGAGCCGTCGTTTCCCGGCGAATTGGGAGGCATGGCGTCTGTTGAGGGCTCGGTCCCCGTCGACGCGGAATGTTCCGTTGGCGTTTCGGACGAGTTGGTCGAGATAGTATCTCCCGAGCTCATAGTGGCCTCCTTTCAGGGGGTTTCTCTCGATATATACTGTTGCTTTGAAACCAACACGTGAAACGACGTGTTCATTTGGCGAGGAAGGTTCGGTGAGGGAAGGTAAGAGAAGGAGAGAAAACTTTATTCAAGCTGGATCGCGAATGGCGCCTTCTCGAGTTTCCTGCGTGCTTTAGAGCTACGCGGGAAGTCGAACTTAAAGTCCCACGCCGCTGTTGATAAACAATCGCAATTACTGAACACATGAAAAGTATTAAGAAAGTTCCGGGATGACAACAATGGTTAGACGGAGAGATAGATTTGGGATGGGGTTTGAGGAGGCGGGAAATGGTGGGGGGTCTTACAGTTGTTATATTTCCATGGGCCTTGCGGGCGAGATAGACGTGGAGCTACCTCTGCTAGGAACATGGCCAACCAGATTCCTAATGGGGGTTTTCTGGGTCTATTTCGTCTGCGTGTGCTCCAGCTTCTTGCGTGAACCCATCCCATAGAAAATCACCAGGTGTGCAGACAGGGAGCCTCCACATGGCCGCACTTGGCACTTGGAGCAATGGTGTAAAAAAGACGTGTAGCCTCGTCAACCCCTGTGACCAGGTAATCCTGCCTGTTGTGGGTGATTACGGGCTGTACTGTGAGAGGTCGGCTTGCGTAGTCGAGACTCAGAAAACATATCGTCTGGTGGATCGGGTCACAAGCAGGGCAGAGCTTGGCCCCGGCCTCGAGATCATGATTGTGGAGGCTCCAGGTCCGGCTGGGCCAAGCTTGTATTGGCAAAACATCGGCGTAGCGTCCCCCCAGGCTGGCCTTTGCGGGATGGCCAATCATGGCCGGCGCGAACGCAACTAGTATCTGACCGACGCTCACCTTGACCAGTCTTGTATCAAGCTGGTTTAGCATAGTCGTGATGGCGAGTCAGCTGTGCGGGGGATAGATCTCCCCAACACAAGTAGTCCAAGGTGTACTCAAGGTGAGCAGATGGTCCAAATCCAGCCAGGCCTCGAAGACGCCTGGGAGTTAGCTCGTTCTGCCTCTGGTCCTGTTACAACGAGAGAGAGAGAAAAGATGACGGGTGTCGACGTGTGCGGCACGGCACCGGCCTGAAAGTCTCGAATCCTGAATCCTAAACGCAACCAACAGCAGCTCGGGAATGAGTGCTGGTTCCGGGCGCCCGTCGGTGGTACCAGACTGCAGCAGGAGATATACGGAACATGAGACAGTCCATCAAGCGGGACGTGGTGAAGGTGGCGATGCGAGACGCAGCAGTAGTGCAGATTCAATCAAACTTGATCAGCGAATGCCACTTTGGACAAACTCAATCCAGGTGAGCTGCCGGCAATACCGGGATCGTAGTCTAGTCCGATATTAGTCCTAAACGTGCGATGCATGCCAATGCTGAAGTTCCGACCCAAGTGGATCTTACACCTATCATGACAACTGCTTCGATTCATCAGACTCGTCTGCAGACTGCAGTTATGATCTGGTGTGGTCCTCGCAGCGGAAATTTCCGGGTAAAGAAGCTTCCGCTGTCTTCGAAGCCGTTGTGTCAATCCGGATGCTTCTCCGTTGCGCTCCTCTGGAGGATGGTATGTCGGTTGCTGTAATAGAAGACTCTAGATCGATCGTGCCATATATTTTGGTTCCCAATAGCATAGACAGTTCCTGCCACGGCAGAGCGGGTGGCGCGGTACGTAGCATAGATATGAAAATTGTGATCAGGCGAATGCGGTAAGGGAAAGAAAGCGTCGGCGAATAGGGGGCTCAGACCTCGGGAGATCACTAGTAGAGTGATTGTGGGGCTCATATATGCACAAAATTGTAAACCTAATGTAACACGGACGTCCGACTCGACCACTCGGAGTCTCGGAGTCATTTTATTACTTTACCAGGTACCGTACCGTACCAGCAGATTCATCAAACATGAGCGTGGAAGAATAGTCGTCAATTAGCTACCTGACACGTATAGGACAGAATAAACCCGACAAGCACCCCACTCGAGAGTCGACCCTACGAGGCTTTAATTTCGCAAGGCAATAATACTACAATCAATCGAGCAATAGCAACGCTGATTATAATAGACAAAGAAAAGTGCTCGAAGATATTGCTGCAAATTTTTCTAGATTTTTCTTATCGCTCTGAGGCTGACTGCTGTGGTGCTGTATGGGCGTGTCGTGGCTGGATTATGGCTGTCGGGTTTATTGACTGCACTGCGAGCCTGACTATTATAGCAGTACAGTAGTTGCTTCTAGCCTTCCTCCAACTTCTTGCTGGCCCTCCACACTCATCTCCGCACCCTTCCCGTCTGCTCTGCCCCTCCGCCCCGTATTAAAACCTGTCTAGGACTGGGGTTAGGCCTAACTGGGGTCGTCGGGCTAAAAGGGCGCTTCTCCACGGTCTTGGCCCCCGCGTTGTTTTGGTGTACTTCATCAGGCAAGTCATGACGGGAAGATCAGTTGTAACGATCAGGTTCACTGGCCGAATCCGACAACATCATATTGCCTATTATATCAGATCCCATGCGCCTCGACGTGATCGGCAACGGGGACCGGACCCTCATAGGTCGGAAGGCCGACGCGGCAGTCTGCAGATACAGGGGACGCCTCCTATCCGGACCGATCTCGACGGGGCCGCGCATGTAAAGTATCGTGCCTCATTCGCAAAGATGATGATAAAATGATGATAGGATGATGACAAAACCCCTACCCATAGAGGTGCATGCTTCGCATTATTGGGTAAATTCACAATCTCCAGAGACCTAGGCAAGGCACTTTGAGACTGCCGAGGTCACAGAGAGCTTGCCACGGTTACTTTGAACATGGAATGTAACGAAAATCACGCGATTGCCGCCCATATTACCTGACAGATAGATAGACAGACACATGTCAATCTACTACTCATTGGCACCAGACAATCAGAGCTACGTGTCGGGTTTCTCCAGTTTACTCGATATCGGCCATGGGCACGCAACACCCGGTGGCTTGGAGTGAGAGCATCTCGAACACTGCTATCATATTTCCAAACCGGAAGTACATCTTCATCCTACCATGCTAGGCTTCTCTGGGTGGACGGCGTTCGAGCGATTTCCTGTCACAACCTAGCTGAGCTTGTTTCGAAAATTATGGTACCGTAGAACTGTCCAGATCTTCTGAAACCTCGTATCACTCGCCGCGTCTTGAACTATAATATCAGAAGGTTACAGAAACAGAAACATCTCTGCGACCACGGACAGAATACCAACCTCGTCTTCACGTTCGCCAATAGGCCGTTCTCGCTACAGCCACAAGCACCGCTAAGCGCCGATATAGGATGTCGTTACGTCAAATTATTATTCACCCGTGAGTCACTTGCTATTCAAGCTTAGGGGTCCAACGTTCGAGCCAGACTAGACAGCCCTTGCTGAACCTCTAGGGCTGGAAGGCATAGGTGTCAGCCGGCACCGGGCCCGAAAATCATGAAAACATTAAGCTTCAATGGATGGTAAGACAGCCAGCTGTGCGTCATTGCTGTCTTGAGGGGTTGGCTACCTAAGGTTCAACGACGACGAAGCCAGTTGCAATGTTAACTTACAAGCAGGGAGGCAAGGCCATGGAGGCGAATGTGAAGCGACGCAAACAGAGCTTCTCGAAAGGGAGCCGAGGCAGACCGTCATCATCGGCTTGGGGATAATATCTCCACGCTCATATCGACTCTGCGAGCTCTGCCGCCAACGAGCGAATTCAGCGCCCTGGAAGCACTTTGAAGTCTCGCGATCGAGCAAACTTCCGCCATTATTCAGTCGGCCAGCCAAGGGGCCTCAACCATTGGATCTAGACGTGGACGGTCTGATGCATGTATACATGCGTGATATTGGACAGTCTCTTGGCAAGACTCTTGCCATATGATATGGCACAATGAAGAGCGCCCAACATTGCGCGATGACGAAGCTCAACGCGACCGCCAGGGTTCTCGGCGGGCCAGAACATCGAGCCAGTCCTCATCCCAACACACACTGTCGTCATGCAGCAAATAAATATAGGTTTGTACTGTTGCCTGGCTTGTCTGTGTTCTTCCGGCGAACGCCTCAGCCCCTCTCTCGACGAGAAAGACCTCGCTGCTCATAAAGACTTCATAAACCCTCAGTTCCCCCCTCACCACCGGCGGCATCTAGGTTCCGGCAGCTACATCTTACCAGAATGGCGTCTACTATTCCATTAGCCTTTGGCATGACTATTCCTTGCCGTCCAGTCACCATCTCGTCTCGGACCGGGGTAGCCGGTAGTTCCTCGATGGGGAGTCAGGGGCAGCGACGGGGGAGCCCACACTACGTCCGCCACGGAGTTCAACAACTCCGCAACAAACGACGAGTGCTTAAGCTTGTTTACCAGGATACACAGCCCGGTGACAATGACTCGAATATCCTCACGACTACAGCTGAGTGGCCTCAAGCCTGTGATCCAGAGCTATAGACATTCGACCACGGAACGCTCTCAGGGGAGCGAGCTCCTATCTCGCTGTGGCTTTTGGCTTTGGGGGCGGGCCCGTAAAGGCGTAAGTCAGTTCAGTTTCGCCCAGCAACGATCTCGTTAAGCCTTGAGTCACCTGCCAAAGCCAGATGTGTTACGTCCGTAAGTTCCATTCTGTTGGGCAGTGGTACGTTGAGAGCTTTGAGATACCCCAGTGGCTCTGCATTTTTTGCTCATAGCACCTGTCTGGTCGATCTGCTGATGATAGATGTCTATTGAACACGTCTTCAAATCGATAGCCTGGATGTATGTGTGCGACTGGATACTCCACTGCACCTCGTCACAACCTCTTCGATCGCTAGAACCGCGATAAGCTTCTCGCCAAGATGCTCTCGGAGCATTCCTCCATCATCGTCTACCAACACCTCGACCCCTATAATGCAGACCAATATCTCAGCTCTTTGATTCAAGAATCGACGTTCACTTCAAGGGCCTTCGACAACCCGTCAATAGTTACCACGCATCAAGGTCGTGGCTTATACATAACTATTCCAAGCTATCCTTGGTCGTCGTCACCGCTTTACGAAGTTGCTGCCCCTGTGCAACGTGATGGCGATATCTGGCCGGGGAATACACCCAGCTGGGTCTGGATTTTGATACAAGATCGTTCGATTTCCGTGAAGATCGATATACGTGGTAGCGACTCAGCTTCACGGCTCCAGATCCATCCAGGTCAGGTCCGTCCTGCAGTTGAGCTCAGGTCGCCCAGGTCAACTTGGCGGGTTGGAATACATCCGTGGTCCAGTCAGTCCTGGATGACCCATGCGCCGACCTATCCTCCTCAGCTTCGCCGGACCTGAGGTTTGATCGACCTCTTCGAAGCTGATCGACTTCGTGTCGGTGCTCTGTACGCAATGCAGTAGGCCTGGGTGGCCTGGTGCTCAATGTGTACCGACGTCACTGACATGATGTTGCGAGTGCGGGTGAGAGCCGAGAGATGGGAAAACCATGTCCTCTACGTTCAATACTCAATAGTGCATAGACCAAATACCAGCGAAGAATACAGCTGACCACTTGCCGCCCGCATCGAGTACCCCATTACATGGTACAGAACGAGCTGATATCATCGTCGTAGGTGCTCGTGATGGCTTACAGGTCATGTAAACTGTACACAACCCACGCAGATGGAAAGGCCATTCGATACCCCAGGATGTCGAGCGTGCTATCGTCTGGCCGTGTTACCGACGCTGTTACGCCTACAACGACTACACCCAAGGCGTATGAGCTAGCCATCTCGTTATGCAGCACCTTCACCACTGCCGGTGGGGTAGGAAGCACCGGCGGCAAACAGGTCTACAATGTTCCCCTCGATACCAAAAGGGCATTTACTCAGTACCTAGATTGATCCGCGCATAATATACGTGGACGGCACGGCACGGCACAATACCACCCAACCCTCCCCAAAACATACGAGAAGAATTGGAGTAATGCGCATGCAGGAACACCATTCCGGCAACAGAGACGAGAACGCACGGTCGATCCCGGGGTTCTTGACCGCAGTGGTCACGAGGGCACAGTGAGGCGGATGTCCCTTTCGAGAGGGTGTCATTGGAGCGCGCTCGGTCTCGTACTCGGGGATGGTCTGGTGGGTATTTAGCCGCATCTTCGAGGGGGTATTCCTCCAAGCGAAGACGGCAGGACGGATGGTAATGTGGGTAGATGTCTTGCAGAGCAGCGTCGCATATGCACCGGCGATCAGAACATGGAATATGGCAGGTCGTTGATCGTGTGCGGGTGCGTCTGGCAATCAGACCCGCGCTCGACGATCCTGGGCTTGAGCTTGATGCATGCAGATGGTGATCTGATCGGACAGAGAAGGGATGAAGTCGGAAGCGACAGGATTGACGGCATAGAGTGGGCGGGTTATATTTCTCATACACACGGCATATCAAAATGCGGACCTTTGGCTCATCTCACCCTCAAGCACTACTCGCAGACGATCAGCCGGGAGCTATCTCGTAGTTGGAACCTTAATATCGTACTAACTTAGTCGGCCGTTGTTGTTCTCGACAACGGCCAACCCGCGGTACTGGATCTTGGACCAAGTGCGCGGATAGGGTTTGCCGGGCGTGAAAACAAGCTTCAAAGCCAAGAAAGGGTCAAGACTTTTCTGAGACAATGCATCAACGGGTGTCTTGGAGCTGTTTGGAGGGGCCACTCCCACATGATGCGATTTGGCGGATCTGCATAGGTGTCGCGACTATGGGGATGGGGATGTTGGAGATCTGGTTCCAGATCTTCCCTCATTGCGCGGCAAAAGAAAGTGATTTTGATGGCAGGTTCGCCATCGGCAGGGTTTGCCACCAGGTGAATTGTGCCGATGACCAGAAGCTCCTGAGCATATTGCAATACTTCCGTAGTCTTGCTCTTCTCAGCCCGACAATCTGACCTGATGCGCTGCAAGTTGCAACAGGCACATATCGTATATAGTGTGTAGCTGCAGTGCCGACATCGGCGAGCAGCGATGCTGTTTTGGGTCTATCAAACGGGCTTCCAGAAGGTTGGTGGAAGAGCTGAAAAGACGCTTGCATGAAAGTGGCAATTTTTTGGGACGTTTGAGGACAGTGGGGGCTCGGCTAACCATCCCACGGGATGTCCCCACGGGCCCCTGAGCTAGCATGTCGGGTGGATTCATCATCCCCGATGAGCGGCTCATCAGACAGCAAGATTCAAGTTTTCAAATCCGTCCGATCTCACTGGTTGGAATAGTAATATGTTTCACAGGAGCTGATGCAGGCCCCAAACGTCTCGACTCCTTCGTCCGTACTACTGTGAGACATTGCCATTTGGCATTATCAGAGGGTTGGAGGAACGAAGGCGGGATTGGTGGACTGGAGAGCATGGTGTCAGGGTGTTCAGGGGCCGTTTTGGGGGTATCGTGAAAACACCTTGCCATCCATAAAAGGGGCGGCACTAAGGGCAATAAAACATGGATGGGAAAGCCTCGTTGCGCCGATCGGAAGAAGTCGGGTCTGGCTCGTTCAGCCCCATGAACAACAGCTCCATGTTTCGCTGTGGACTGATGAGAGAATCTGTTTTGTCGTCCGAAGTCTGAAATCGATCAATCATCCGCCCCCCTAGAGTGTCCGGGGGCTGTTTGTTTTTGTCATTGTGTGGAAGCACTTTGCGATCACATCACTGAGGTAGCATACCATACATTACCTCCGGTTTGCTCCGTGGAAAAGCAAATTGAACACCTCATGCCGGTAACGTGGGCTGCGTGGAAGTTGGACATGCGACAGTCCCGAGTCGCGGCTCTAGCCCTGTCTAGCTCATGCATGTATGTACCCAGGGGCCACAACGGAGAAAGCGGCCGGAGCTGCCAATGCGTCGGCTCTTGGCCTCTTTGGGGTAAACTCAGGCGTCGGGGATCACGGACATGCAGCCCTCCACGGACCCTGCCTCCAAGGATGCGCATCGAGTCTGCGAATCCCGCCTTTTTGTCGATTGTCTCGTCTCTGGAATTTCAGGTTGGTTTCTTGCCCTTCAATTGGACCTTCAAACTACCCAGGAGCTGTAACTTCTTGTCATATGCTCCAGTTGTTTTGTGTGTGGACGGTGAGGTGAGTTGGAGTATGTTTGTGAGAGGTGCAACACAAATGAAGGCAAGTTCCGGCTCCGAAGCCCTGGGCCCTGTGTGAGCCTGTACGGCGTTGTAACAACAACTCAAATGTTGCTGACAATGCTGACACTGCTAGTCCCGGGATCATGAATGATTGATTGCAGCATGTAGGCAACTTCACCGAGTCACCGCTCGCCAAGCAAGCGAGAAGCTCACTACCAAACTGATCGAAACCGTTACCATAAACGGTGCTAAATCTCCAGTTGCCTGCCTGTCCTCCAGCAGCCCGCATGCGGACCCCCCGATTCCATCTTCATGGCACAAGAGCCCCAACCCGGCCGGAGTCTGCATCGACCTGCATATAGACATGCCCTCGCCATCCAATCGTAGACCCTGCCACGTCCAGAAGGGTGAGAGGCCAACACTTCACTTACACCGAGCTTTGAAGTGCTATATTGCCTATCTTACACTCACACGAACATCTGCGAATCCTCAAATCTTCATCACGATGCCCCTGAATACCCTAGCTGGCAGCTGACAATGGCCTGGTACGATTCTCTAGGGCCGCCGTGATAGGTCAACCTTAAAACCATCCTAGTTGAAGTCCCGACGCCGTTAACGGGTCCCAACAAAATTTTCATCCTCCCGTCACGCAAGCAGATAGAGATGACTGTACCGTACTAGTAGTGCGCCGTACCACTTCCCACGATGCAAGTCGACATGGTCAGTCAACACGAAGAGAATAACCCAGAGATTTGCTTGGAAGTCTGCGTCTGCTCAGCCAGATCATCTTTCCTCCCGGCTTCCCATGTCCCGCCTGCTCTGCTCCTGTTTTTGCTCTGCCAGGTAGTAATTACTCTATTTTGAGTTACTCCATACCATCAATATTGATCGGTTGCCCTTCTCGGACGCCGGTCATCGCATACGGACCACGGCCAATCTCCCGATTCCCAATTCATGACCAAAGTTATATTTACGCGCGGACATCTATCCAACTCTGTCGGTTGCCTGTCTTGATTCGACCCCCAATCCGGTACACCATACCGAGACTGGTACTTGTCGTCGTGTCGCTGGGACCTTACAGCAACTTTACAGTCAATCATCTACTGTACTCTTTCTGTCAGCCTTCGTTCCGTAAGTTGCCGGCTGCCACGATCTGGACCTGGCGTTTGATGCCCTTTGAAACCCCAACGAAACCACGGCACGTCCTTGTCGCAGCCCTTCGCTGCCACGCCCCTTCTGCCCCCTGTCCATACGAGCCAGGAGTTCAGGACGCAGGAGATGGCCCAAGCCAGAGGTCTCATCAGCTCCAGGGCTGCCAGGGCTGCCCGAGCAAGGGTGCTCGGTCCGCCACATGGTGGCACCACTGTGGTGTTGTTAAGAAGGCCGCGTGCGCCTGCGTCTGCGCCCACGCCTACGCCTGTCATCAACCAAGACATTTCCGGACATCTCATCAATAATCTCACCACTCACCCTCCAGCTCCGTCGCCGGCCAGTAATACGCACCACCACCTTCCCGAACCTTGTTCATCGCATCCCGGACTATTCTCTTGCAGCACTACTGGTAGTGGCACACCGTCGTCTTCTCCCCATCCGTTTTCTCCATGTCCCAGTCCCAGTCCCAGTCCTTCCACTAGCTTGGTCGACGTTGACATCCGTCGTCTGCGACTGGGTTCATCGTTTAATTGTTCCGTTTTACTGCCACACACCCCTAGACGACCAATGGCGTTTAATACCTACAGCACCGCCAGGTCAGATATATCAACCCCTCGCTCATCGTCTCCCTCGGCTTCCATAATATCTGCCCGTTCCTCTCACTCTTCCGTTTCCAGTAAACGTATGTCCCTATCCTTACAACGACGGGCCTCTGCTTTCAACCCAATGTCCTCGGTCGACATCTCTGCAATCGAAGAACATATGAAAATGGCCTCCCTAGACGGCCTCAGAGGTTACGCGCAAGATCACTATGGCGAGGTTCAACAATACAGAACAACAGATTATGTGCCCAAGTCGGCCGCGGGCGGTTTTCAGGTGCTGCGCGAACCTCTCTGGAACAAAGGTAACTAGCCAACTCGGCATCCAGGACACCTTGAAACGTCCAAGCCACACAACGGAATACTGACTCTGATTCATCCTGCCAGGTCTCTCTTTTACACCAGAGGAGCGAGTTTCTAAGAACCTGACCGGGTTGATACCGCACGCCATGGAAAGCGCCGAGACCCAGGTCGCAAGATGCATGAAGATGATCAACTCGAGGCAGACCAACATAGACAAGTACCTGTATCTGTCTGCGCTTAAGGACCAGAACGTGGACCTCTTCTACCGCGTGCTCATTGACAATGTACGCGAGCTCATGCCCTTGGTCTACACCCCAACCATTGGCGATGTCTGCTTGCAGTACTCGACACTCTACACCCGCCCGGAAGCATTATATATTTCGATTAAGCAGCGGAAATCAATCCGAACCATCCTCAGGAATTGGCCGTACCCCAATCCGGAGATTTGCGTGGTGACGGACGGGTCGCGTATTCTGGGCTTGGGCGACCTTGGAGTCAATGGAGTGGGGATCTCCGTAAGTTCCCTTCTTTCATGGCGTTGCAACCGTGTTTTAGTCGTCACGCTGTGCGCCTTGGCTGACACCTACTAGATCGGGAAGCTGGCCCTGTACACCGGAGCAGCCGGCATCCACCCGTCGAAGACCCTCCCGATTGTTCTCGACACCGGCACTGCCAACGAGACCAACTTGAAGGACCCTCTGTACCTCGGCCTTCGGGCTAAGCGCCCGTCGCCGGCGGTCGCCCAGGAGTTCATGGACGAGTTCATGGAGGCCGTAGCTGATGTCTACCCTGAAATGCTTGTCCAGTTTGAGGACTTTGAGACCGAGAAGGCGTTCAACTACCTGTCACGGTACCAGCACAAGTATAAGTGCTTCAACGACGACATCCAGGGGACTGGTGCCGTCGTATTAGCAGGGTAAGATTCTTGCTCTAGAACCCCACCCATCCTTGAGCAGTTCACTTACTGTATGTTTAGTTACATTGGTGCCGTCAACCTATCCGGTGTGCCGATAGAAGAGCAGCGCCTGGTCTTCATGGGCGCTGGGTCTGCCGGTGTCGGTGTTGCCAAGCAGATGGTTGAGTACTACACTCGTCGCGGTCTGTCAGAGCAGGCGGCACGAGAGAAGTTCTGGCTCGTCGATACTAAAGGTCTCGTTACAAATGACCGTGGCGATAAGTTGCCCGATCACAAGAAGTATTTCTCTCGTCAAGACAACGGCGGTCACCAATTCCGCACCCTGGAGGAGGTCATCGAGTATGTTCGACCATCCGCACTCGTTGGTCTGACTGCCACATTCGGTGTTTTCACCGAGTCCGTCGTCCGCGCCCTCAAGGCATCGGTTGACGCGGGAGGTTCAGGAAGACGCCCCATCCTGTTCCCCCTGAGCAACCCCCTCACCAAGGCCGAGTGCACTTTCGAGCAGGCTATCCAGTGGACAGAGGGTACCGTCATCTTCGCCTCTGGCTCACCTTTCGCGTCCTTCTCCATCAAGCATGGCGACCATGCCGTGACATACCATCCCAACCAGGGTAACAATGTTTATGTGTTCCCTGGTCTCGGTCTTGGTGCCATCCTCTGCAAGGCATCCAAGGTCACCGATGAGATGGTATACATTGCCGCCCAGTCGCTGTCGGAATCTCTCAACGCCGAAGAGATCCACAAGGGTCTCATCTACCCGCACATCGAGCGTGTCCGGGACGCCAGCGTCGTTGTCGCACGCGAGGTCATGAAGGCCGCTCGCAGAGAAGGTGTCAGCACTCTACCTGAATCGCAATGGGTAGAGTGGGAAGAATGGGGCGATGTTGCCCTGACGAAGTTCATCAAGGAGAAGATTTACGACCCGCTCAAGTAAGCATTCCTCTGCGCATTGATTGCATTGGAGGAATACCCATAGCATACATCCATCATATTATCTTCTCGGGCGTTTTCGGTTGGATTTCTGCATACCGGCGTTTTTCGGATCAGATTGATTGACTTCGCTTTCGCTCGAAGGCCTCCGCCTAATGATATCCCTGGATCGCTCAACAATGCGAAAACGAAAGACGGCAAGCTCGTCAGCGGACTTCAACTAAAGTATTGAAATGCAGGAGGAAAAGGACGTGCAATACAACCGCGGCTTTAGGACGGTATAGAAGCCTATGGGCGGCAAATAGACTGATCGGCGTTGGGGCCGTGGACTCCTCTGATATGACCTTTCGTGCTTGGTGGTGAATGATGACCCGGTTGGTGATATGAGCCTTATGAGGTAGAGAGAGAGGGTCGGTTTGCTGGTGATCCAATGGGATTTCCTTGCCCCTTGCCGTAGCAGCCTTCCTTAACCGTCCATCAAGGCGGATTTCAGCCAATAGTATGATGATGCTGCTGCATATGTCTTCACATGGGGTAGGACGGCATTCCACACTGCGCACTTTCTCCAACTTCGTATATACTGCCTATAATCTGCCGTATGGAGAACTCTACTGCCTGCGAGCGAGACCCGAATCTCTTCATTTCTGTTCTGGTCGAAATCGCAATCCAACACATATTAGCCGAATGGGCTCGACCGGTCAGCCCGGGCGTATTCCACGCGTCTCTTGTCAAGCCCGCTAGGCTCTGTCTGCCCTGTATTAAAAGACGGTTGGCATAGTGTTATAGTGGCATAGCTCATATCATCTTGAACTGCAACGCCCCCGCCGCTGATTCGCCCTGGTCTCAGTCAAGGACGTTTGGAGCTGGTTGGGAGTCTATACAAAGACAGTCCTGTCGAAATCACTCGGCCGTCCCACACCACATCGACCACATCACAGCGGACAAACCGCTCATAACGACCCGACGACCCACGATGAAGCTCCCCCTCATTCTTCTCTGCTCCCAGCCCTCACAGGCCTCGCCCAGGCCGCCCTAATCATCATAGGCAGACCTGCACCATAAGCCCCCTCCCAATAGCATCAACCAGGCCCAACAGCAAAGACCTGACGATACGCCGCAGATCCTAATCGCCTTCAGGCATTGCGGCCACGACGGTAATCCAGACCGGCGTTACCCGGGTCTCCCGGATACCAATGATACCAGTGGACGGTCACTAACGCCGGACGTCGTCGGACGTTGGAGAACCGCAATCGCAACAGGAGCAATATGAATGGGCGCCCCATCAACGGGAAGAGCAGTGTTTAAGTATCTCTGCTCACATATACAGGACTAGGCCGCGTCGGGGATCCCGTGCACGGCAACTTCTCCGGCAAGTTGGCCGCAGCAGTTGGATGGGAATCGGTGAGGGGAGAGTTGTGTAGCGGTGGCTTGGGTGGTGTGGTGGTGGGATAGAATGGTACGTGCAAGGGGGCGTGTCCGGTGTGTATAAAGGGGACCTGCGTTTGGTAGTCTAATCTGGCGTATCTCAACTGGGAGCTGTCGCCACTCGCATGATTAACCATGCAAACGTCAAATAAAAATAAACGGGCTTTAGTACTAGAGGATCCTCGTGGCGGGGCGGGACCCTCTGAACGCAACCGTTCAGAGGGACGTTTTCTCCATACAATTTTTGGTAGCAACGCACGGACCAGCTTCTAAGAAAATCAAAAGAATCGACATTTTGAGGTTTTAATATTAAAATCTTTCAAAAATCATTTTAAATACCTTATTAAAAACTATTTATAATGTTTTTTCCGGTTTTTTTAATGGAGTCTACGCTAAGTTATTTAGGTAAAAAACTAAGGATATATATATATATAAAGTAATTTAAAGTTCTAGTTGATTTCATCACGATCCGTATTATAAAGTAGGAGCGCAATGAATCCAATTACTGTATACGTATGAAAATCATCTGGTGGGAAAGGAAAAGAAGATCTTGACCCGCAGCCAAATTGGCTGGTGGGATAGATCTAAGCGACCGCCCCGTAATTCGGCTACGGAGCAATATTGACCAGGTCATGTGACTTGCATGTGATGGGGACCAGGGCCAATGGTGGTGGCTAGGCGGCTACGCACCATTACAGATTTACGGTTTAAGTTCTTTTTAAGCGCTGGCAAAGAGGGGTTTGTGCCTTTTGATAGCTTTCCCAGATGCTGACAAATCACAAGTCTTGTTGTAATCTATCAGTGGTCTGGGTGGTGCTTGATTAAAAGGTCGGATGGAAAGAATTCTATCTGAGATGTATCTAAATACCTAAATTACAGTGGTGGGGTACCTGGGGCAACAAAGGGTTGCCAGGCAGCCTTCATTAGGTAACCTCCAATATATCTGGTGGGGTTACCATAATACTCTATATGGGTCCATGTACTGGATCCACAGGTTTGCCACGTTACGTAAATATTTTAATACCTGTATTTATTGCTTTAGTATACGTACTATTACTCTTTTACTTTCGTTTTAAAATAATAAAATTAAAGGTTGTTTAAATGTAATAAAATATTAATTAAATAGTAAAGATAAAGGTTTCATTAGATGTGTGAGATTCCAGAAGATTCACAAGCCTTTGCGGTGTGAGCGGTCGCTGCAAATGTTGTTGTCATTCTCAAGTATACTCGGCAAGGCTAATCTACAGCTAAATACCATACTGCACCATGCCAGGGTGGATCCACTGTTCCTTTGACAGCCCCCTAGTGAGTACTGCACCTAAGGGCACCATATCTGGGATCCAACATCTGACAAGATGTAAAAAAATAAAAACATATAACACCGGAGATTTAATAGTTGTTATTAACTTAATTATTAATTTAACGGTAATAAGATATATTTACTACAATTATAACCGTTTATTTATAATGATATTAAGTTAAAACCGGTTGTTTAAAGTAAAACACATAGTATAAACCTCGAGCTAGCTGTATATAAGCGGTTATATAAAGAAAAAACCGGGTATACCTTGTATATTTTACGTTTATATCTTGTTTTAATTATATTTTATGAATTACTTAATTAAAACGCCGATATAATAAAGATATAATACTGTATAAGTAGAAGTGTTGGAACAGGCTTGAACGATCAATCATAATACTCGAGTATGGGGTCAAGGTCATGATGTTGTTGATGGTTGGATTGAGAGGAATCTAGCTGGACTCGAAGGTCTGGCCAAGTGCCCTCTCAATCCACTATCTTATCTTATCTAATCATACATGTGGGTCCTGGTATAGATGGTTTGCAGGCTGGAATTGCATAGATCCAACAATAACCCTTTTAATTAAAAGGTTTTAAAAGCCTTATAAGAGCCTAAATATACCCGTGTAAAGCAAGTAATTTAAGCGCCTACACGCTCATATAAGTAAATAGCTTTACCGCTTTTAAATAATAATATTGCTAAAATTCACCGATCTAAATGACTTCTTTTACATGTAGGTGAATAAGGGGGTGTTTTAGTGGTAGTAGTGGGGTTCGGCTGGCCGACTGGTGGGGGTGGCCGACTTCCATGGGGGGGGGGGATGGTATCTGCAACATGGGCCTGGCACTGATATGTGGAACATCCTCACACAATGGGCACTCGTCGGACACCTCTTGGGGTCCTCTCGCCCGGACAATAGTTCTCATCCATTTCTCCACTGCCCTGGTCCGTTTCCGATGATGCGATTTCGTCGCTGGGGCAGAGAGACTTCCGGAGCATGCCGGGCTTCGCCTCATATTGGTCTCTTCGATGTAGGCAAGCTTCCAGTCGGATAGGTACTCCCGCTCCCATTCGCACCATGGCCTCTGAAGACGTGGTGCCTAGGAGCTTGCAGGTGGCCTCCTTTCAGTTCTCGATAACTCTTCGTGGGCTTCGAACCCCACTGGGGTTGGCCTGCGTAGAGCTGAGCAGGGCTGCACGTAGGCGGGACGGACCGGAGGATACATACTTTCGATTCATTCGCGTGTGAGGTGTCTGTCGTTGAGGCGTACATGCCCCTGGCTTCACTGAACCCTCAAGGGTCTCCGTACACCGCCCGATCAATGTGGCAGATATATAGTGGCACTGTTTATCTTGGAAGGAGAGTTCTAGATAAGCAGTACGGTAGTCTATGAAGTTACAGCTGCTTTTACTTCTTCCAGATATTATAACTAAATATGTATCCTAACTCAAGGTTGTGTTAAGACGCGCAGGCAGAGACCGTCCACGATACAAGAGGACACTCATATCAGGGCGAAAGGGGAATAACCCTAAAGTACTTAGTCACGTCTACCTTATAATATTGCAACGTAATACCTTGTCAATTTTTTTTTTCTCCTCCGTTCCGGTCGAAGAGCTTAAAAATAAAATAAATCATACTCGATGCCGCATACTGCTAGCGGCGTGTCCACTCGTGATGAGTGAGTGCTCGTTCCCTGGAGAACCGTCAATACGTGGGCTGCAACATGGGATCCATCATGTTCAGAGCCATACATCACCAATCACGATCAATGGTCCGAGTGACCTCGGCAAGGACCGCCGCGCTCAGTGGGAGTGTCAAGGAGTTTACTTGGGTTGCTATGAATCGCAGATGAAGCTGTAAGACTCGTGCGCGATGGCTGGGACAACGACACCAGGACTAGGGAGGTAGGCAGGGTTTGGCAAAACGACTGCATTATGAGCACGAAGCCACTTTGCCAGAATATAGTATTCCACGCTATTCTCGCAATCAATTCTTTAATTATCATCGTTTTATTATTTCAGCGGTCCATTGGCTCCGCGGTGCTTAATAAACCCCTTAAAGAACTTTCAGCATGGCTCTTGCTCGCGCCGCCTCCTGCCTGTGATGAAGCCGGCTCGAGCACGACTGGTCTCCTCCACGGAATCCATTTACCAAACCCGGAGACCCGGCCGGCCACATCTCGTTGCTCTTCTGGCGCTACAATGGCGGCCGCAGCTACTGACTCGGACTGCGAAAAGCGTCATTAGCTTCATGTCCTTGCTGTATTTGAACACATCACCAATGATCTATTTAAGAGGAAAGGATAGGGAACTGTAAGGATGCGAGTGATATATGAAGCAAGAGAAGCAAGAAAAGCGATGGAGGTCGTGGGGTAGGCGGCGAGCCTGCTTATGTGCTGGGGGGCAATATTGAGACGTAGCATATCTGTGACCAGGCAACCAGAACACAAAAAGGGGTGAGGACAAAGCCAGAAGCCGACTTACCACAACAGCGCGCGAAGGCCGCAGCGCGGGGCCACGAGAGAAGTTCATAGGAGCCGGGCTCTCCAAGACAGTCCTGCTTAAATGGTGACTCCTGGAGGTCTCCGGTTTAGCCGGCTCACCAAATAGAGCGGCGGGGCGAGGATGGCTATGAAGCTGGCCGCCAGGGGCACCGACAATGACCGGGCCGAAGGGAGTTGCCCTGCGTCGGACGGCATTGTCCTTTTTGTCGTCCTCCTGTGGCTCACTACTGGCCTGGGCCTCGGTGCTGTTCGCACTCAGGCTCCCGTCCTGACTACCGCGGGCCACACGGCCTCTCACCTCGGCCGCTATCTCGGCAGCCGGCTTTTTCTTGCTTTTGCCTTTGCCTTTGTCCTCATCGGAGGATCGACTGGAGCTCATGATAGTCTCTAAAGTGCCATAGGCGGCACTTCTGGAACGGGCGGCGCCCGACCGCTTCCCATTCCTGCTCGTGGAGGCGTGCTCGTCGTCGCTAGAGATTGCCTGAAGCGTGGGCCCGCCGGGTATGTGGTGCCTCAACGGCGGCTGCGGCCTCGGCGTCGGCGTCGAAGCAGGGAGGCCTTGTCCGGAACCGTGAGGTGCCACGTGCACCTCGTATTGGTTGCTGAGGGAGTACCTCGAGCGGGCACAGATCTCGGCTATGCGGTCGAGGTCGGTAGCCATGTCGTGCTGCATGTCAGTCATGATGCTCTTGAAGCTGAAGGCCTCGAGCGGGGGCAGCTTCGCTGCGTGTATGTTAATATCTTCTCTTTAAACCCGTACGGCCAGCTTCCAGATGAAGAAGGAAAGGGAATAGCAAAGCTTGTACTCGAAACTAAAGCCCAGGGTCCTGGGACGGGATGTTTCTATACGTACCATCGTCTCGCCGCGGCGGGGCACTCTTCTTGCCCCGGTGGCGTGCCATGCTCAGGGCGGTGCTGCCATTCCGGCCCGGACGCCAATTGGAGGCGTTGGACGCAGCCGAGACGTTAGAGAGCGGCACGCGGCGGCTGGCGGGGCGGCTCCGGGCGGATGACGATGGCGGCCCCGGGCCCGAGTAGGTGCGCACTAGCACGGGCTGGGAGTAGGTGCCGGTGGTGGTGGTGGTGGTGGTGCTCGGCGGGCCGGTCGACTTGGTGTAGCGATGCCGCGACGACGGCTGCGAGCGGCTCAGTTCCCGCAAGGCGCTGGTGCGGTTGGCGGCGATGGAGTCGTCCAAGGGGATCGGCCTCCCTTCGGCGGTGCTGGGAATCAGTGAGGTGGACAGAGGGTTGGGTTGGAAGAGAGGAGGGAAGAAGGAGCCGTTGGTGGTGGTGGTGGGAGGCCGGTGACTGCGAGGTGGCGGCGGTGGCGGTGGACTGTTGGCCGGCATGGCAGAGCTCCTCGTCCTCATGAATGCTGCATTGGGTGTGTGCGGAATCCGGATGATGATGTGTGTGTGTGCGTGTGTGCGTGTGGGCTGGCGTGCGGATACGATAGATATCCTGCTCCCCCAATATGCCGACCGAGCACAAGAGCCAATGAATGGTTGGCCCCGTCCGTAGGTCTGTATTAGGTGGGCAGGTGTGGTGACATGCTTGCAGATAGTGGGAACCGGGTGGTTGTCGTTTTGGAAACGATTCCCACGAGGACCGTTTCCCGTTTCAAGAGTGGGCGGGGAAAGGCTATACTAGTAAGAGACGGATGGCATCGAGACCAAAGACCAAAGATCAACGGCCAGACGCCGGCGGCAGATGGCAGACATAAGGCATAAGGCAAAATGCGAGCTGCATGGAGTCGTGGTGCCGTCCTACTGGACGGCCCTGGAACGATGAGCTGACAAGGGGGGAGGACTTGGGACTACTGTAATACCTCATTGAGCCTATGAGCCTATGAGCCTATGAGGTATTGCTGATGAATTATGAATACCCCGCCGCGTCTGTGCTGGAATACTTATTACCTCACCAATGCCCATGTGAAAGGCACACGGCCAACATCATGACGACACAAGGTCATGGTGTTTAGATACACCAGGAGCCATCGAACCTCACCCGGTCGGACATTACAACGACCTTGTTATTATGGCAAGGGAATATGGGCACATAAGACATGTATGCTGACAAATACACGTCTCCCGAGTACCAAGTAGGTATTGAGTGTTTATTACTGCTTCAGTATGCCACGCCCAGCCGTATCCAGCCCTCCCACCCCCCATACAATGCCTATTCTTCCTGTCTCCCTGGCTGGCATCATGCGTGTTATTGTGCCAGGTCATCCCGTCCAAAGCTCACTGGGTGGGCTGGGCGATGGTGCCGTAGCCCTGGGGTGCGTAGCCGTGGCCACCTGTCTGAACGCGATCGCTGTAGACGCCCGGGGCTCGTTGTGCGGCGAAGCGTCCTTCTCTTGCCTGCTCTTTTCGGTCGTAGTAGACATACTCGAGGTAGAAGGCGTGGATGTGGCCGGGGATGTAGCCGAGGAGGGTCAGGCAGATGTTGATCAGAAGATCAGCGCCACAGCCTGCAACGGCATAGGCACCAGCAGGCGGGACTGCGACGAAGCAAGTAGTCAGCAAGGCATTCCATACTGTATGTATATGTAAGTGGTTACTTACAGAGGATGGTGATGAGAATGATGAGAACAGCGGAGACGGCGCCCATTCTTGCGTTGTTGTCCTTGGTCGTAGGCGTAGGTGTAGGCGTAGGTATAGGTAGGTAGCGAAGCTGTCAAGATGCTGTCGGTGGATTGCGAGGGCTGGATGTTGCTTTTGGTGTTGGTGGTTGATTGCTTTGTGTTGTCTTGCAGTGGAGGTTGGCGAGGTTTGGAAGCGAAACAAAATACCTGCTTAGAGGTGAATCTACATAGGTACTAAACATAGGTAGCAATGACGTATCCCAACGCGGTGATAGTGTTGGCCCAACCAGCTATCTATAGGTACCTAGTACCAACCTCGGAAGCTGACTGCATTGCCGGTGCACGCGCGAGCCACAGGTACGTAACGCCTGTGTAGATACATGCACGTATCGTGTATGGGAGCATGGCGCCAGGAGTCTATGAGCCTTGAGGTCCCAGACCCGACTAGAAGGCTTCTAGAAGTCAGAACAAAAGCTACCTTAGCATTGGAACGCTCCTACCGGACGAACAAATAGTCCCTCTCAAACTCTGACTCCGACTGTTGAGTTTCTTGGTAACTATGACAAGTGTTGCAGGCTTCTGAAACAGAAAAGGGGACAATCACCAGACTTCAGGGGCTTTTGTTGCTCCAGCCATACTACGGTATACATGCATGCACGAGCCTAGGTACCCGTTATTCATACCTATGCACACACAGGTGATTGAATACCTAGGTACATGTAGATATGTTCACCTGCATTAATAGATGTGTGTTTCACGTCGCGTAGAATGGAAGCTTGTATGTGCATTCCACAGAGATACTGTAGATAGAACTACCAATGGGCTGACATGGCTCGGCGATATAAAAGGTCGCTACATTCGCCAACTTGGGCGCGGAAAGTGGAAGGGGGCGCTAGGTTGTTGAACTTCTGGGGCCCTCTGGGGCTTGAGGGCTCTTTGCGACCACTGCGAACCAGTGAAAAGACGCAGAAGAAAGCTCGGGCTTACCAAGTATCCGAAACGGCTTAAACCAACATGTTTTCCAAGCGAGGTTCGGGTGGTTCTCCTCGGCTCGACTCCATCAATTGATCCTCTACTAGCTCTGCCTCTGCTTTTGTGCTTCTGCTGCCGCTGCTGCTTTTTCACTGCTTCTGCTTCTCAACATCTCAATCCTCTCATTCCCTACCACTACACACCTGCACAATCTCAATCCCGCCAAATCCCTCCTCCCGGTCAGCCACAGCCGAGAGAGAGCGAGAGCGAGAGCGAGAGAGTGCACACATCAGACGTGGTCATTTGTACAGTATTTTGGGTTTCTCCAACTCTGACCTCTCTTTTCTCACCCCCTTCGACCTGAACCTCACCCTCACCACCACCACTACTACCAGCACCGCGCGGCTGCTGCCTCTCGCGTCCGCATCTCCTGAACCCCCCGGGCCGCGCTCAGCTGCCTCCCATTCGTCAGCATTGTGAGCGCTGCTCGAATTGACAGCAGTGACAATACATCCATCCCGTATACCCCAATCGGAGCTCCAACCCGTCGACAGTAGCAGCTTCGTCAGATTCACCATCTATTACATATTTCCTCGACACTTCTCGGAATCTCTGCACCTTCTTGTTGCCCCTCGAGTCCCTTGGGTTCCTGTACCATATCACACTCCGTATAACCCCCCAGCAACATGTCGAGCCAGCAGTCTCCGCCTCCCCATATCGACCGCTATGTGGTGATCCACGTGGCGACCACCTGTGACGAGCACGGAGTCTACGTCACCAAGGACTCCGCCGAGGTCATCGAGCTTGGTTGGATTCTTCTCGATGCCACCTCCCTCGACGAGGTACGCACCTGCCGGAGAATGTTGCCGTAAAACTCGAACCTAAGCTGACAGCCCGACAGTTACACCGCGAGAACGTGCTCGTGAAGCCCATCAACACCCCCATCACACCCCTCTGCAGTGAGTCGCATCTTCCCCCCACCCCTGCCCGCGCCTGGAAAGACGAGACAGTTTTCATAGGGAGAGCATCATATTCCGGAGACGTGCAAACCGAGAGAGAATGTGCCGTGCTGACTGATCCGTCACCGTCTAGCCAGCCTCACCACCCTGACTTGGGAGCATGTCCGAAACGCCGGTACCTTTCGCGACGCAGTTAACCGCTTCGACGCCTTCGCTTCCGAGCACCTGACCTCCCAATCACTCGACTTCGTCTTCGTCACCCTCGACGCCTGGGACCTTCGTGTTCAGCTGCCGCGCGAAGCTCGCGACAAGGCCGTCGTGCTTCCCCCCTACCTCCAACACTCGCGAACCTTCGATCTGCGAACCGAATATCAGCGCTGGCAGCAACACCACCCGGAGTCACTCCCTTTCGGCCCTTCCATGCTGTCAAACATCTGCGCTGCCCTCGAGGTCGAGCCTGTTCAGTCGAGCGCCCCCATCAAACACAACCTGCCCTTCCACCTGCAGGCCCTCGCTCCCGCCTCGCCCAGGCGTGCCATTGAAGAAGCCGTCACCCTCGCCCGAGTCCTCCGAGGCCTCATCCGCAAGTCGCAACCTCCTCAGGAGCATCCGGACGTGCTCACGCGCCCCATGGACGCCCGCGCCGACGTTCGTGCCTTTCTGTCCGAGCGTAGCAAGGTCTTGCACATGTCTGGCCTGCCTCACGACACCACCCAGTCGGAGCTCGAGAGTTGGTTCACCCAGTTCGGAGGCCGTCCCATCGCATTCTGGACTCTGCGCACCCCCGAGCAGCACAAGCCCACGGGTACAGGTTTTGCCGTGTTTTCATCCCACGAGGAAGTAAGTCCACAATTCACCCCACCCTTCCCACCGCGTCCCACTGGTATTCGGTGGAAATCAGCTACATAAATTGGCTCTTATATCCCCTGTCCTACGGCACTGACACTTTGTCTCGTAGGCTGCCGAGAGCCTCTGCATGAATGGTCGTGCTTTGAATGAAAAGGCGATTGAGGTCTCACCTTCATCCAGCCGGGTGCTGGACCGAGCTGCCGAGATTCTGACGCCATTCCCTCCTAGCAAGAACCGACCCCGCCCGGGAGACTGGACCTGTCCTTCGTGCGGCTTCTCCAACTTCCAGCGCAGAACCGCCTGCTTCCGCTGTTCTTTCCCGGCCGTGAACGCAGGACCTCAGGGAGACATGGGTTATGGCTATGGTTACGGACCTCCAGCCATGATGCCCCCGCCGCACCACGGTGGCCATCACGGGAACATGGGTCACGGCGGTGGTCGCGGAGGTGGCAGTGGTGTCGTTCCCTTCCGTGCTGGAGACTGGAAGTGCGGTAATGAAGTTTGTGGCTACCATAACTTTGCCAAGAACGTGTGCTGCCTTCGATGCGGTGCCAGTCGTGCCGGCGCTGCGGTCGTTGCCGACTCGGGCTACCCCTCCCCCATGGACAGCGGCTCCAACTACGGCATGGGATCAGGTTCCATGGCCGGCACCCCGGGCCCCGGACCTTTCGCTTCCGCTGCAGGGCCTTTCGGAGCCTCAGGTGGCTATGGTCAACACTTTGGTGGACCCCCCAGTACGTACGCCCTGCCGTCGGGCCTTGGCGGAGGTGCAGCTCCCTACCCGTCCCTGAACACGCACTTCGGGCCTGCCCCTGGCGCCCATTCGGCCGGGCCGTTTGACAGCCGGGCTGCCGAGGCTGCCTTCCAGTCTGCCGGTAACGGCCCTGCATCGGCCGGCCCCTCCAACAACTACTATGCTTCGCAGTCCGAGAACGACCCTTTCGCATTCCTCTCGTCCAACATGGGCAACTTGTCGGTCAGCGGCGGCGACGCTCGTCAGAACGGAGGCGGCGGTGCACCTCCCAGCAAGTCGCCTGCTTAGGTGCCTCGTTACCCTCGATTTCCATTGTTTTTCGGTATTCGCTTTAAGTGTCACTGATAATATTGGAACGTGTTTGACATGCCGAATGGGGAAGATAGACCGTCGGAGACAATTGAGACCTGGTAATACACGCATTACACCTTGTCACGGACTCGAGACCACGTTCAACAGAGGTGCGGCAGGCTTTGGAAGTTCTGGCATAGGGGAGTCGGGGTGACGGTCGGGGTGTGTTTACGATACCCGGGAAAATTACACTGGAATGTTTGAGGCGGAGCTGGAAAGACAAAATAACGGCCAAGAAATTCTTTCGCGACGGACAAAGGGAGGGACCTGGCCGGCTGGCGGCGAATGACTCTCATGTGCATCTCTTCGATCACGTCGCCCCGACATGGTCGAAACCAAACGTTTCGGTCTGGACGGGCGGACGGACGAAGCTGTATATGGTGGGAATAAAGGCGGCATAGCGCACGGGAGTGAGTGTTACGGAGTACACCTTGGCCTCCATTCTCGAGTTCCCACTTGATTGCCCGTTGGTTGTTGTTGTTAAACAGTATTTTTGTTCATCTTGCTACACTTGTACTCTTTTGCTTTCTAGCTAGGTTGTTGTTCCCCTCTCATCGCGACCTGATCATATTTTCTCCCGCATTTCTTGTTCACGATCCTTCCTGGAGAGACATCCTTTTCTTCTTGTCTTTCAAGGTTGGCATATGGATATGGCAGACTCTCAAGGCCATGGCGGATGGTTTCGAGGAGTCGGGGCGTGCCGGTTGACTGGCTTGGCGGCTGTCAGGCTCGTGGCGAGGGGCGGCAATGTGTGCTGGCTCCTTAGGCTTGGTTCCACAGCTCTCGCCTGTTGGTTTTTTGGCCGCGGACAAGATTCAAATTTTGCATTTTTCCTTGACTAAATCTCGAAGAGTAGGATGGAGGAGCCGACTGGCCGGCTGGTTGAGCCAGGGGACGTGGGCAAAGGGCCTTCATCAGGTACCCGCCCATGTCAGGGAGATGTGCGTGTGCCTATAGAAGACGGCAGTGCGGTTCGTAGTGGCCCGGTTGGGAACATTGTTGCATTTCCAAGACATAGGAACAGAGAGAAAAGCATCACCTCGCTCCTTTTGTAATAACAAACTAATGCGCCACACATCTGAATCTCCGGGGATTTTACAGGTAATACTCTCGTCATTGCGTGCTATGAATCTCATCTCCGTTTTTTTTTTTTTGGTTTACTCTCACAGTCCAATTCCCTTCCTTTCCCTACATTGATCCTACACTTCTGCACCTTTGGTAACGTCTCCATGTATATGTGACGCGGTCAGACGCGGGTATCCATTGTGAAGATGTCATGCTCGAACGACACCACGGGACCAGCGTATGGTATGAATGAGGCTACGAGCCCAAGACGAGGAAGGTCGCCGCCTTGCAGGCGCTGGTAGAACTCGCTCTGGTTATTAGGATTTTCTGGGTTGCCCAAATAGTTGGTCGAGGATTCCTCAAGCTGGGGTCTCTGCCTCGCGTCAGACCGGCCACCAATTATGCCCCTCCCGAGACAAGGGCCAGGAATCTGCATCAGAGGAAGTTGATTTGGATGCCATCTGCGCAGTCGGAGAAGCATCAAAGGGGCCCTTTTTTTCCCCTCCTTCCCCCCCCCCCCCCCCCCCCCCCCCCCCCCCCTTTTTTTTTTTCCTTTTTTTTCTTTTTTTCTCTTTTTTTTTTTGTGAGTCCAACCCAGCCGATGGTGGAGCGCATCCAACGGTCGGTACCATGTATGCATGTCTCGATAGTGAAAGCGACCTCGTTGATACGTTCCTTCAGCTCGGTCAGACCCTGGATCAGCCGTCGAATGATCTCTTGCAGGACGTCGAGAGCGTTATAGTGTGAGAATAGCAAGCTCAGTCAACGTCTGCCACGGGCAGACAGCCACGCCCTCGCTGCAGAACTGTCCGTCCGTGTCCCACGTGTCTCTCAGCTCGTCTTGCTCGTCTGAATCGTCCTGCGACAAGCTTAGTTGGGCCAGTCCATCGAAAGCGGCCTGGGTTGGATAAGACCCCAACCGGCGGGGAAAGCGGTAGTAGTCCGGCTGAGGCTGAGGCGGCCCCAGGGGATCATCGTCGTCGTCGTCGGCATCATCATCATCATCGTCGTCGCCGGCATGTTCGGAATGGTCGAAGCCGTCAGTGGAGAGGGACGGACGAACGGCCGGGGTGTCCACGAAGCTACTCTTGACGGCGTTCTCGTTGCGTGCGACCTCATTGCCGGTGTTCTCCATGACGGCATTCTCGTTGCCTGCGTTCTCCATGTCAGCGGCTTCGTCGCGTTCGATCTTGATGACGACGTCCTCGTTGCCTGCAGTCTCATGACGGCGTTGGGCAGCATCTTCATCGTCATCGCCGAAATCATCGACGTCGTCGCTGTCGTCGTCCCCGTCGGTGACTGACGCCTCGCAAATGCGCGGGATGATTGCCTTGATAGTCGCCTCCCACGTGTCGGTGTATTGGCGAAGAGAGGCGGGCGCGTCAGGACCGAAGTCGTGGCGTGGGTCGACATTGGGCGGACCCGACGGCATGAGCCCGCCGTCGCTGTCGTCGGAGTCGTAGTACTCCTCATGTCCGTAATCCGCCGGGGTCGCATTGTCGGCTTTGGTGATGTGTTCCTCGGCGAGGTCCTGCCAGCGCAGGACCCGGGTGCGTTCCTCCCTGGTCAGCACGTTCCAGCGGTCCTTCATGCAGTTGACGTTTTTGAACTCCCAGGTCGTGTCGAGGCTGCGGTTCTTGTACTCGGCGTCGCGCAGCATGTCGAGCTCCTCCTGCTGCGGCGCCAGGTTGCGGCCGGTGTAGTGGTCGACGTGGCCCCACAGGGTGAGAGGGAGGAGGTACAGGTCGAGGCGCAGGCCCCGGCGCGCCCACTCCGAGATGACGACCTCCTCGGGCCGCGCCAGGTGACGGACGCCCGAGCCCCAGCCCTCGAGGTGGAGGCTGCCGACGAGCCAGCGCGCCACGCCACAGACAGGCTCGCTGCTGCGGTGCTGGGCGGGCAAGACGACGTCGTACCGGACTTTGAGCTCCAGCAGGTCGTAGGTGGTGCGGTAGCGGTGGCCGAAGAGCATCTGCCAGAGCGGGTGGAGGCCCCGCTGGCCCATGAACAGCTTGAACAGCTCGCTGCTGTCCGGGCCGTAGTTGGGGTCGTTGAAGTGGAGCGAGAGCTTCAGGAAGAACACCTGCGCGTTGACGAGGTCCGCGTTGCTCCAGAGGTCTTTGCGGCCGACAAGCTTGAGGCGTTTCTCCGTGGTGGCCACGTTCATGAGAAACCATATTCTGAGCAGAGTGATGTGTGTACCTCGCGGAGTGCGCAGCCCGGCGCGAGCGAGGTGGGCGATGATGTCCTCAGCCATCTCGTGGCGACTGACCACCATCTGATACCACCGCAGCGTCGGGACGCGGCGGACATAGTTGGGCCCCCCGGCCACGAACTCAGACACGACGCGTCTCCCTGGATCGGGGATGCAGAGACGCTGGTCGACGTTGGGGGGGAAGATGCTGGCCGAGCCTGGAGCCCTGGCGTCTGCCCACTTCTTGAGCGAGGACGTCAGGTTGCCGTTGATGGCGACATGGAAGTGGCGAGAAACACTGTACAGATTCAGGATGTCGGCTGGTTCGAGATACTTCGCTACCTCATCGGCAAGCAGGATGATCTCGGAGATGCGAGCGATCAGATTGAAGGGCCTCGAGGTAATGCTGCTGGCGCTGCCCGTGGCTCTGGCAGTGTCTCTGCCTGTGCGGTTGACGACCCGGAGGCGGTCGACTCGTCGATGGAACGGCCTTGCAGCTGCAGCAGCTGCTCCAGGTGAGGCGAGTGAAGTCGAGGCCATGACTTCATGACCTCTACCACGTATCTGTCCAGCTTCCCCGCCAGGTCGGTCACCACTTTGGTCTGCCATGAGTCCTCTGAGCGCCGTGAGGGGCTCGTGACCAGAGCAACCATGGATGCCAGTTGTAGGCGTGCCTACAAGGACTGGCCGGGGCTGGTTGATGTTGGGATCGCCACTGTCGCCGTCGCTCAATTTGCGCTTCTTGGCCAGCTGCAACGGCGGTGTGGCACGGTCCTGCCCTGCGAGCAGTGCCTTCAAGGTGGCGGCCACCTGCTTGTTGGCCAGATGTCGAAGCTCATGCTTGACGATGCGGTCGACAGAGTTCATGGCGTCACGGGGGAGACTGGTGGGTTGCGCCATGGTGCTGTATATCGAACGATGAAGATTGTGTCAAGCTGGTTAACTCAGCTGGAGAAAGGTGAAGACGGGCTGGCTGGATGTGGGCGAGATTCTCCCCTGAGGGGTGGCTGGTCAGCTCCGTGCTGTCTGTGGTGCAGCAAAAACAGATGACCGCAGTGCACCCTCACTCTGGTTCGGTGTCGTGTTCAGTGTGACTTGCAGAAGGATCCTTATACCTGGGAGGCAGTGGAGTCTTTCATATATATAGCTTGTTGCTAGGATATACTGAGTCAGTATCGTGCTACCATCGACGTGGGGTATGGTGCACCTTACCAGGCTCTTCCAGAGAGGATGAAGAATGTGACCGAGAATGGATTGACTTGCACAAGGTACTGTTGCTGTTGTTTGGATGCGACTTGAAGCAGCAGCGGCCGGCATCCGCTTGCGAGGTGTGAGGTGAGGTGAGTAGTCAACCAGAGGGGCAGAAGATGGACAGAGGCATGAGGATATCCGTGACACCAGGATACTGGGCAGCAGGGCGGGGAGGAAGATGACAGAAAAATTCTCAAGCGAGAGCCCTGTGGTAAAAGGAGTTCTGTGCAGCTCGGTCGAGGAGAGGGTGTAAAGGTGAGGTGTGAGGTGTGAGGTGTGAGGTGTGAAGGTGTGGTGTGAGATGGGAAGTGTGACTGAACCGCGAGCAGAACCATACCGGATCCAAAAGAAACCCAGAGAAGGAACGCGCCTGTTGACGTGGAAATATATAGAAAAAATATTGGACTGTGGCGACAGCAACAATCAGCATCATCGCGCAATCCCCCATTGTGCCCATTGGTGCCCATTGTGCCCATTGTGGACAGTTCCACTGTTGGGAAATGCCATTGTGTTGCACCTGCACCTATTGCAAAGCATTCAGCAGCCGTCTCCACAATGGTGACTCACTTGAACCGACCTGTTGACTAAGCACAATGTATTCCACATTGTGAGGAGGAAAGATCAATACGCAACCTGCAGGAGGTGGGTACCTATATAGGGATATAGGTATTTGCCGACAAAAGGGGGAGGTGTGGGGCCATCTCGACCGAGTGACAGCGACAAGACCACAGCTTTCCCTGCTCCGCCAGCAAGGCATCAGCAACAAAAAATCACATGTACTAGTTACGTCCACAGACGATAGCCGACATGTTCAACATTCTGGTCTGCTGGCCAGCACTTCAGGTCCCAAAGTCAGCGCACAGTTCCCACGCCAACGACCACGAGACACGACTGGAGGGGTAATAGGGGATTACTCACGTGAACTCCTCCTAGCAAACATCAGTCGATCCATATAGTTATGGATCGGGTCACCAGGCAGTTGAGTTGTACGGAAAGACATGTGGATATATACTGGACAGACCGGAGAGCGTACCTTGCACATAACCTGCTACATGTCCACGAGTCACCGTCTGGAATCCTGCCTCATACGTAAGCCACGGTAATTCGGTGTCGAAGAGGCAAACTTGGCCTGTCACCTTCCTCATAACTATCGTTTTACAAGTATCGCTACGTATTGCGTACTCTAGTGACAGATGGCCCGAAGCATCTGTCAAAAACGTCACCATAACCACCCGGCAGCAGAGAACACTCCCTACTCTGCCGCACCGCCTCGAACACCCCGTCCGCGGCCTCTGCCACCACGACCTTGTCCACGACCTCGACTGCCACCACGTGCGTCGAGGCCCGCAGGCGGGGGCACGGAATTGTACGACGGCTGGTGCGAAGAAGCACCTGGCTCGAACACTCTCGAGTCTCTGAGGTTCGGCATGACCGGCATCTGCACATTCGCAGCCACATCCGCAGCCGCCGGCCCACCTCTACCACCACGGCTGCTACGTCCACCGCGACCACCTCGAGGAGCCCCACCACCATTATGAACAGCGCCGCTGTTGGACAGCGCCGGAGCTCCCTGCCCGTTGACCGACATCTGATATCCGTTCTGCATGGGTCCGTTCGGCATGGGACGGTACACCAGACTGCTATGCTGCAGCTGAGGACCATCGTGGGCCCCGTACGCAGACTGTGCACCTCTGCCGTTGGCTGCGTGGCGATGGGCGCCATTCACAGCGCCTCGCCACCCACCACGAAGGGGCCCAGGAGCCGGAGCGTCTCGCAGCTGAGGCCCGCCCGGCACACCGTATCCATGCGACGGCAGCGTCGTCGTCTGAGCCGAGCGCTTCTCAACGCTGGACTTGGACCCCGTCATCACCTGCTTGTTCGTGACGTTGAGCACCGAGTTGGCCGCCACCGTCTGGCCACGGAACGCATCGCAGCGCCCGCCCAGCGTCGTGCCATTCATGAATGCATGGTCGCAGAGGATATCCAGCATGCGGTGGTTCCCAACCGTACTGATACCCACCACCGTGCCCTTCGAGGCAATAGGAACCTTGCCAGACGCTTGCACATAGACGACCCTGTCCCCAAGGCTGAAGGCCTGGTTGCCGAGTCGCTGCTCCGCATCATTGGGATGCAACAAGGCCGACCGAGGGACCCCCTTCAGTTTCTTGTGGGTTGACTTCGAACCGCTTTCTCTTAGCGCATCAGCTGACCTCTGAAGTTCCATGACCACCGTTGAGTCGAGCTGTTCGGCATCGAGGGGCACGCGCTCAAACTTGCTCGTCTCCACCGTCTTCAGCCACGCACCGATCTCTTTGGTCTTGGCGCTGGCAGCGTCGGCATCACCTGGCCATAGCTGCGTTTCGCTGAACTCGTTTCCCGACGGGTTCCGCAAGATGGCAGCAAAAAAGTCGGGGAACCGCGTCATGTAGTCTACCAGTAGCGAGACAGCAGCAGGACTGAATTCCCACCCCGCACTCGACTTCCGCGAGTAGCCAAGCACCTTCTGCTTCTTGCCTTCGAACTTGAGGTTGAGTCCCAGATTGACCCTCATGCTCCCGCCTATAGTGTTAACGTGGAACGACGAGGTGATCTTGCTCAAGATCAGAGGGTGAAGACCCAGCATTTTGGCAACCGCGTAGGATGGCCTATAGCCGCTCTGTTGTTCAGCACGAACAATGGTTTGACGTGCAAAGTCGGGTTCCTTCACAGCAGGAACCGATAACAAGATCTCGGCTCGGTTATCGGCATGCGCCAGCACCTCGAGTGGGCGCCCGTAGCCGAAATCTCCGAGGAAGAACGCATGGGATCCTACAGGGAACTCTTCCTCCAGAGGTAGAGCGGCTCTCTCAATGAACCGTTCATCCTCGCTGACCACTTCGTCGACGATGACTTGAGCGGCGTAGTCGGTTTCCATGCCCGGAATGAATCCGTATTCCTTGACCGTGGCACCCGAGTCTATCTTGACAAGGCCCCTGAGCATTTCGACGTGCACCATCGACTCGACTGAGCCAATGATGATACCCAGTCGTTTGCTGTAGAAGTTTTCAATACGAGAAGCCTTCTTGTTCCACTCCTCAATGTCCCGGCCCGAGTGGTGTGTTTCAACCACCTGGCCCGATCCATCTGGGCTGAGGGAGTAGTCGAAGAGCTCATCCGAGACGCGTGACACCCGCGCCTCCTGCAAAAAGGGATACCCGACATGGCATCGCTGTCCCAGCTTAGCCTTTGCTGATTCCATTCTGCTGCGCATCTCAACTCCGGCTAGCGTGACAACCATGCTCTCGTTACGGCTTTCCTGTTGAAAGACGTTGACTCCATGGAAGCCAAGCATAGCGTTGTACGGCAGAGTCGCGAGACTCGGAAAGCCTGCCAGAGCGTCCACGCCGAGCTTTGCGCCCCCGAGGAGACCGACGTATAGCTCTAGGCCATCCGCCGTGGGCAGGTCATATATATTCTCGACGCATGGGCAATTGGGAATGTCTGGGAAGATCCCGACCATGGATGACGGGTACGTGAAGTTGACACTGGAATCATATGTGAACTTCAGGGAAACCCCAAAGTCGTTGCGAGCCTTCTCGTCTGGGCTGAGGAGCTCGTTTTTGGGCGCCATTGCAGATAGGAGACGCTCCTCGTCAATGAAGGGGATTTTGACAACAGCCTCCCATTCCATCTTTTTGCCGTTCATGTCAAGTTCAAAATCTCTCGGGTAAAAGTCGATGATTGGTGAGTTAGGGTCTGTCATCAGCGGGTGATACACGGATGGGACGATCGTCTTGCTTCGATCCGGTAAGACCCCCATGAGCTGCTCAAACGGTCTGAAGGGCTGACCCAGCTTGAAGTCAAGGTCGGCCTTTAGTCCTTTCGTTATGTCTGAATACGTCAGCAAGAAGACCGACAAGAATCGAGCAATTCTGCGGGGAATTATTTACCGGAGGTCATGGGGGAATAATGGTAGCCATAGAACCATGGCCACGAGGCTACTCCCCGATAGTAGTAGTACAATACCCACTGCAGACCCTGGACGTAGTTCTCGCAAAGCTTGATGAGTTCGGATTCCTTGACCTCCGGGGCCCATTCGAATTTGCCGGCATAGTAGTTGTCCTTCCACTCCAGAAACTTCTCTTTGTACTTGACTTGCATGGTAGCTTGAGCTTCTTCAGCGGACAGGTCTACTACCTGGGCGTTATCGTAACGCTTCACAACCCGAAGCACTGCCAGATGGCCTTCTTCTTCCTCGTCATCCTCATCGTCCCCGGTGTTATCAGGTTTGGCGGGGAATGCCAGTAGCAGATCACGTCGGCCTTCATCATCTTCGACGGTACGCCATTCCATGTGGAGGCTTTCGGCAGCGGACTGCACGAACTTGCGATCTGCAGCGACAAGATCATGGCCGAGATTGAGGGGCTCGGGAGGACGCTTGGCCACGAAGGTGCGGATTTTCTTCCAGAGGTCTTTCTGCGAGCTCGTCACAACTAGCTTCCCCTTTGTCTTCGTCGGCTCGCCACCGCTTGACTCTGCGAGCTGTTTGCCCTTGAGCCATTTTGAATCGGCATGTTCATGCTCAAAGTACCGGTATTCTTCCTTGGACAGCTCCTCAAGGAGTAGACTCAAGCGGGAGAAGTTAATAACACCCCCTTCGTTGATGTACCCATCGCATTGAGGAAGGATCTCCTTGTAGATTCGGAACATGGTCGCCAACGCCCCTTCGTTGATGTGTAGGTTGGGGAGGTTGGGGAGAAAGTCATTACCAATGAAGAATGCCATGAGAATGAAATCGTCTATAATCCTTTCCATGTTGAAAGGAACCTTCATAGATCCCGGCTTTTTCAAGTCCTGGAACTCCAACTCAAGGTACTCCCGGACAATGCAAAGATGCAGCAGATAGAAATTCTGATGCTCCAACTCCTTGGACTTCGACTTCGAAGCGCGGCCAAATGTGACTTCCTCACGAAGCAGAGAGAAATGGGGATCGTGGCTCAGAAGGCCCAACATGATGAGATCGGCATCAAGACCGTACAGACAGTGTCGGACATTTTGGTGGTAGTCGGGCTGGGCCTTGGCGTTTCTTATGTACTCCATAATCTTGTGCTCTCCTTCGCCAGGGACTTCATGGCCGGACAAGACTATTTCGCAGCCCTGCCAGTCTGAGTCCTCGGAAATCTTCTTGTTTATGAAGTATTTCAGCTGTTGAGTGAGTTTGGCCATGAACCCGGTGCCAGGGGTGATGCAATTGCTGTCGAAGGGTTCCTCCTTGGGCAGCTCCTGGCCCTCCCGAATAGCCTTTTCACGGGCTTGTTCGGCGTCCAAGGCAGTCCGAAAGCGGCGGGCTCTCTGCTGGTTCATCTTGGCTCGCGGGGCCACGCCGTCGATAGCCATGAAGAACAGCTTCTTGGGCTTGATCTTGCCAAACAGGTGTTCAATGTAGTTGAATATGCGTATGAACATCTCCTCTTCGCTAAGTCTGAATGAGGTATCATGCGTGTCCTTGTGCGTGCAATTATGAATAATGCCATTCATGTCCAACTACGCATGTCAGTGGAGAAGGACCAGAGACGGGAAGGTACAGGGCTATTCGCACGTAGAGGTTGTCGAACTCGGGGATTCGATTCTCGGCGATGAGCTGGGAGATGGCAGGATACCGCTCCGAGAGCCATCGGAAGAACTTGGGAACACTATAGCCCAGTCAGTAAGTTGCGACAAGAGTTAGACAAGTAGATGTATGGAGATGACGGACCCCATGGTGGCTGTGTTCTGGCGGCAGGCGGCTTTGTAGAGATAACTCGAGTCCGAATCCTAACCAAGGTATCTAGAGGCTCTGAAAGGTTGGAGTCAAAATGTTATGCGACCTGTCGTCAGCGACGCAGTTTAAAGAAATTCCCAAAGAAAGGAAGGTCGGGAGAAAGAAGGAACAAAGATGTAAGTCGCAGGACGCAGGGACGCAAGACGCAAGAATTGAAATATCTATACGAAGCAGGCGAGACAGTAGATATAGTCCCGTACGTGGCCAAGACAAGACATTTGGGCGTGGTAGCTTGGGGGTTTGGGGGGGTTTGGGGGGGGGGGGGGGGGGGAGGGAGGCCGAGGGATGTTCGCGTCGTCGTCGCAGTCGTCGCAGTCGTCGCAGTGATTCAGAGGAGGGTTGGTGGAGCTGTTTTTTGCGGCAAGGAATCATCGACTGACTCCCAGTCTCCCAGAGGCCGAGGCGGCCCAAGCTCCCGCCCACTTCCTAAGGTACATATAGTGGGGTTGATCGTGAAGGGTATCTACATACTTAGCCGTATATGCGGAATATGACACTGACGCAGCTACCGCGCTGCTATTTCTATGTGCTATCTGCATATGCTCTGCGCGCAAGCCACAGATCAGCCACAGATATCCCCGCTAATTGAGACTTGGACACTACATGTACCTCCTAGGTACGTGGCACTGGACACCTGCGGGTCTACCTTAGCCTCTCCGAGCAGACTAGGCCTAATAGGGCGTGCGCTAACGTACGTGACCTTGAAGCACTTTACGCGCACCGCGTTTGCTCGCCCACCTCATCCACCTGCCAACACCTTTCACATCTCAATCACTCTTTTCCACCACCAGCAACGAAAATACCTGGGTGTGGAGGTATCGTCGGCGGCACGCACGATCTCTTCTCCCTTCAGCCATTTCCTGTGCCTGGTCTCATCCTACATTGACCATGGCACCTGCTCCAGTGATCGACGACACGGAAAGTCAGTCTGTCGCGTCGCATCGGTTCACTACAGTATACTGACAGATCACCAGTGGACATGGCAGGCCAAGAGCCTGGCGAGGACGAGGAGCAAAGAGTCATAAACGAGGGTAATTATCGCATGGCCTGCTTTGCTGATTGCAATTGACTGACAACATAGCAGAGTACAAGACGTGGAAGAAGAACTCACCATTCCTCTATGATATGATCCTGAGGTGCGCGATGTCCAACTGCCATGACTCGCTTCGCCTGCTAACATCCCAACCTCTTGCAGCACCGCGCTTCCCTGGCCGACCCTCACGGTCCAGTGGTTCCCCGACGTCAAGGAACCCGAGGGCAAGAACTGCCGAATCCACCGAGTCCTCATTGGAACCCACACCTCGGACGAGAAGCCGAATTACCTTCAGATCGCCGAGGTTGAGATCCCCAAGTCGGTCCACCCCAACGCACGGGATTACGATGAAGACCGCGGCGAGATCGGCGGTTATGGCAAGTCATCGGCGTCGGGCGATATCACAGCCATGAAATGGAACGTGGTGCAAAAGATTGACCACCCCAATGAGGTCAACAAAGCGCGGTACTGCCCGCAAAACCCTGATCTAATCGCTACCTTGGCCACCGACGGCCGCATCCTCGTTTTCGACCGAACCAAGCACAGCTACGAGCCTAATGGCAGACTTAATCCTCAAATCGAGCTCAAGGGCCACAGGAAGGAGGGCTTTGGTCTGAACTGGAGTCCCCACGTCCAAGGATCACTGGCTTCGGGCAGCGAGGATGAGACAGTCTGTCTCTGGTACGTGACATGGCCCCGGTCCTGGCGAGAACAGCTTATGCTAACTTACAAAAAGGGACCTCCAGTCGCTGCAGAGCGGAAGCAATACTCTCAGCCCCGCACGCCGCTACACGCACCATGCCCACGTCGTAAACGATGTGCAGTACCACCCGATCTCCAAGAGCTTCATCGGAAGTGTCTCGGATGACCTGACCCTGCAGATCCTGGATGTGCGACAACCTTCGAATTCTCAGGCGTCATTGGTGGCCAGAAACGGCCACAGTGATGCCATCAATGCCCTGGCCTTCAACCCGTCGACAGAGGTGTTGGTGGCCACTGCATCTGGGGATAATACCATAGGCATATGGGACCTCAGAAACGTCAAGGAAAAGGTGCATACCCTCGAGGGTCACCAGGATGCGGTGACTTCGCTTTCGTGGCACCCACATGAGGCCGGCATCCTCGGCAGCGCCAGCTATGATAGGCGAATAATATTCTGGGACCTGAGCCGAGTCGGCGAGGAGCAGCAACCCGATGACCAGGAGGACGGACCTCCAGAGCTGTGAGTCGTGTAGAGCAACCTTACTCAATGTCCATCAACTAACACTGATTAGGCTGTTCATGCATGGTGGTCATACAAACCACCTCGCTGATTTCAGCTGGAATTTGAACGACCCCTGGCTGATTGCCAGTGCCGCTGAGGACAATATGCTCCAGATCTGGAAGGTCGCCAACTCGATCGTCGGCAAGGACGAGGCGGACCTCCCGCTGGATGAGCTTGGCAGGTAAAGAAAGAGGTGGCACGCACACGTCCGATCCGATCTGGTGTTGGGAAGCGATGTTGGCAACTGGGTCTTACTAACACAGTATTTCTTTGCTTAGGAGGATTGGGGTGAAAAAGGGCAGGCGCAGATATCTCTACGATTTGATCAGAAAGGGACATACCAAACGTCGCCGTGAGCTTAGACGAAAGCAGCCGGAGTGAGCAGGCGCACATCGGGACATGTCAGTAGATACCCTAGGTGAATCTGCAGCCTCTCCAAAGAAGGGGAGGGCACCGAGTGGTGCACAGCATGGAGCCAAAGTTCCGAGCACTGGCTGAGTTTACACGACGAACAATGGCTTATCTGCCTCATATGGGTGGTTTTGCTCGAGTCTCATGTACAGTAGTCCAAATGCCCCATCTATTGCACCAGTAGACTGCTACCAAACCCAGAGCAGTCTGTCGTCACCAGGCTCGTTCGTGATCTCGGAGACTCGTCAGATGTGCGACCCCTGCGGTTACGTGGCGCTCTCTGCGAATTGTTCTACGGGGTCTTCCTAGATGACGGCACGAGACTATAGAAAAAGGTAGATAGTGTCTGTTACTCGCAGTTGGTACCGTTGTTCGACGATGTTGTTGTTGCTACGGATCGGCGGATAGGTGATGTTGTGAATGCCGACGTCAATTATGCCGATGCACCGGCCGCTCCAGCCACAAACGTGGCCCTTGCGTATTCCCGGAGACCCTTAATGATCACCTGCGTCGTAGCCTGGTACCTTACCTAAACGTAAGGTATTCAATGTACAATACATCTGCATACGACCTCGCCATATAGCCACCTTTACCACAAAGTCAACTGTCGAAACTCGTTGCCGTTTCTTTTGTCTCTTTCAACTTACGAGCCCTTGATTCTACAATCAGCAATCAGCAATCACCTTCGCGCGACACGCCGTGAACTAGAACGGTGACGTACAAAGCCGTTTCGCTGCACCTGCGCCAGTTATTATTCCTACATATACGTGCCTTCTGCACCCTGAGGGCAGCCGCAGCTACGACTATTACATCTGAATCCAGGGGCATGACCCCTATACGGGAATGCCTTCCACCACTCCCTACCGTCCGACTGAACCGCCCGATTCTCCCGAGCTCGATTCCGACTCCGATGCCGACCTAGACCTCCAGGAACTCGACCCCACGACTGCCTCCCACGCCCATAGGTCCAGCCCGCGGGGACACGGCTCGAACCTTGAACAGCGAGCCCCGCGCATCGCCTTGCGGAACCTTCGTATGGGTGGTCTGAGACGGCCTGGAAATCGCAGTCGCGGCTATGGCGAGCTTGGCCGTGGTAGGGAAGGGGACGACGACGCCATGGCCTTGCTAGACGACGACGACGCACAGGGGCAACGCTATTCCGACGGAAGCGCAAACGCCGGCGATGATGCTCCTCTCTTGGACGAGCATGGCTCTCGCGCGAGAAGGCGCTCCTCCGCCAATGACAAACTCCATAACCTAGGCAAGCTTGGTTCATCGCTGAGGCTTCCCAGCTTCATGTCAAATACGAGTTCAACTCGCCAAGATGGCGAAGATGCCGTCGACAGAGAGGAGGACGATCCTTCGAGTTCCAGATCTATGGCTGTTGGCTCGTCACAGTCAACCCGCTACCCGCCGAACCTCGTCTCGAACGCCAAGTACACGGCCTTTACCTTTCTTCCTGTCACACTATACAACGAATTCTCGTTCTTCTTCAACATGTACTTTCTACTAGTAGCACTATCGCAAGCTATTCCCGCCCTGCGGATTGGTTATCTGAGTACTTACGTTGCCCCGCTGGCTTTCGTCTTGGTTATTACCATGGGCAAGGAGGCGTACGACGATATCGAGCGGCGTCGAAGGGACAACGAAGCAAATGCGGAGGAATACACCGTTCTGCACTTCGACGAACCCGGACAGCAGAGTACCACATCCCGTTCGGGACGCAAACTCAAGTCTTCCTCAATGCGGAAAGGCCAGCGGCGCCCTTTGACCCAACGGGATCGCTTGTCGGACATCCAAGAGGAGGAAGAGCAAGCTGAGAGCGGCGGTCTGAATCAACCCTCCTCCCACGTGAAAGAGATCAGCCGGAAATCTCGAGACCTAAAGGTTGGCGATGTTCTGAAGCTCAGCAAGGGTCAACGGGTACCGGCAGATGTTGTTATACTGAAGTGCTCGACTCCTGAAAGCACACAGGGGCACGACCAGGCATCAGAGTCGGATTCGGAGTCATTGCTGGTCGACCCCTTCGAAGAGGGTGGAAATATTGTCGACCAGGATGGGTCGTTGACGGGGAAAGGCATGGAGGGCGACCTGAGCGGACCGCAGGCTATCGAAGGGAGCTCATCTGGCGAAACTTTTATCAGAACAGATCAGCTTGATGGCGAGACGGACTGGAAGCTCCGCCTTGCCTCTGCTCTAACCCAGTCACTTCCACTCGAAGAGTTTGTCCGTATCAGAGTTACAGGCGGAAAACCAGACAAGAAGGTCAACGAGTTCATCGGCACAGTCGAGTTGATGTCCACAAAACTAGATGCGCTCAACTATCAACCGGAAGAAGGGGACTCGGGGGATCGAGGCAACACTGCTCCATTATCCATCGACAACACTGCCTGGGCAAATACGGTCATTGCATCCCAAGCCAATACCATGGCCGTCATCGTTTACACTGGACCACAGACCAGGTCTGCGCTTTCAACCTCACCGTCCCGGTCCAAGACTGGGCTGTTAGAATACGAGATCAACTCCCTGACCAAAATCCTATGTGCCTTGACACTCGCCCTGTCTATCATCCTCGTTGCCCTGGAGGGGTTCAGCAACACAGAAGGCAACGTCTGGTACGTCAAGATCATGCGTTTTCTGGTGCTGTTCTCGACCATTGTGCCCATTAGTCTTCGGGTTAATCTGGACATGGGGAAGAGCGTCTACTCATGGTTTATTCAACGCGACCCGGGCATACCGGGTGCCGTGGTGCGGACCAGCACCATTCCCGAAGACCTCGGCCGCATTGAGTATCTACTCAGTGACAAGACGGGCACTCTCACGCAGAATGAGATGGAGATGAAGAAGATCCATGTTGGCACCGTGTCATATGCCAACGATGCGATGGACGAAGTCGCGGCCTATGTGCGGCATGGGTTTGTCGGGGCGCTGAGCGACAAGGCGCTCGTCACCCCGTCATCGACGTACAACACCACTGCTGGCGTGACGGCGACGCGGACCCGGCGCGAGATTGGTTCCAGGGTCCGAGACGTCATCTTGGCGCTAGCGCTCTGCCACAACGTGACACCTACTGTGGAGGAAGAGGATGGCCAGACTGTCACGTCATACCAAGCTTCGTCTCCCGACGAGATAGCCATCGTGCGGTGGACCGAGCTTGTCGGTCTTCGCCTTGCTCATCGAGACCGAAGAGGCATGTCACTCGAGTCGACCGAGACCGGAAAGACGGTAGTGCAGGTCCGAATATTGGACGTCTTTCCCTTTACCTCGGATGGAAAACGCATGGGTATCATTGTGCAGTTTTGTGAGCAGGCGCAGGCAACGCCACCGGAGCTTGATGCTGGTGAGATTTGGTTCTACCAGAAAGGTGCTGACACGGTCATGGGATCTATTGTGGCGTCAAACGACTGGCTTGACGAGGAGACAGCCAACATGGCACGGGAGGGGTTGAGGACGTTGGTTGTCGGTCGCAAGAAGTTGTCCGTCGAACAGTACCGGGAGTTCTCCAGAAACTATCAGGAGGCTTCTTTGGCTATCACTGGTCGCGATGCCGGCATGCAGCGAGTGATTGCGCAGACGCTTGAACGCGACCTGGAACTACTGGGCGTGACTGGCGTGGAAGACAAGCTACAAAGGGACGTGAAACCGTCACTAGAGCTTTTGCGCAATGCCGGCATCAAGATCTGGATGTTGACGGGTGACAAGGTAGAGACCGCTCGATGCGTGGCGGTCAGTTCCAAGCTGGTGGCACGTGGACAATTTATCTACACGGTCGCCAAACTCAAGCGCAAGGACAACGCCCAGGATCATCTCGACTTCCTTCGAAGCAAGACAGACTCCTGCCTGCTCATCGACGGCGAGAGTCTGACGCTGTTCCTGACGCACTTTGGCGTCGAATTCATCTCGGTGGCGGTAAGGCTGCCAACGGTCGTGGCCTGCCGCTGTTCACCGACGCAGAAGGCCGACGTGGCCAAGTTGATCAAGGAGTTTACGAAGAAGCGAGTGTGCTGCATTGGCGATGGTGGCAATGACGTGTCCATGATCCAGGCTGCCGATGTGGGTGTCGGTATTGTGGGCAAGGAGGGACGACAGGCCAGCCTTGCGGCGGATTTCTCCATCGAGCAATTCTGCCACCTCACCAAGCTCCTGGTCTGGCACGGGCGGAACAGTTACAAGCGAAGCGCCAAGTTGGCGCAGTTTGTCATCCACCGTGGGCTCATCATTGCTGTGTGCCAGACCATGTATAGCATTGCCATCAAGTTTGAACCCGAGGGTCTCTACAAGGTACAATCCCCAAACCCATACAAATACTTGTTTTGCTGACCACACGCAGGATTGGCTTCTAGTTGGGTATGCCACCATCTACACGGCAGCACCGGTGCTGTCCCTGGTTCTGGACAAGGACGTCGACGAGAACCTGGCCAATATGTACCCCGAGCTGTACAAGGAGCTGACCTCGGGGCGCTCCCTGTCGTACCGCACCTTCTTCGTCTGGGTGTTCGTCTCGATATACCAGGGCGGGATGATACAAGGGCTGTCGCAGATCCTGACGGAGGTAGACGGCCCTCGGATGGTGGCGGTCAGCTACACGGTACTGGTGCTGAACGAGCTGCTCATGGTGGCCATCGAGGTCACGACGTGGCATCCGGTCATGATCGTGTGCATCGTCGGGACGTTCCTGTTCTACGTAGGATCGATGCCGTTCCTCGGGGGCTACTTTGACCTTGACTTCCTCCTGAGCTGGTAAGCTTCCCGTGGCAGTATGGACCCATGCAGTGTTTGTGCTAATGTTTTTAAAGGGGCTTCTTGTGGCGAGTACTGGCCATCAGCTCGATATCTCTGATCCCACCGTATGCGGGAAAGTTGATTAGGAGAACAATGAAACCGCCGTCGTACAGAAAGGTCCAGGGGATCTGAAGGGCGGGTGATGTGTGCATTGGGGCCGGCGTTCAGGACTTGAAAGTGCAGTGTTGTTCCAGTGTCTTGTCGAGATACATAGATGGATGGATGGATACCTCGATGACCGAGGTACCAACTGGGTGGGTGGCATGGCAGGCGGCGCGGCTTTTGGAATACCCTCAATATATGCACGTAGCAATTACTTGCTCGGCCAGAGTCATACTTGCTTGGCTCATCCGTTGTGTGTAGTTACTATTAGGGGGGGGGAGATGTGCCTAAGGTGCGGGCGTACACGTGGAACGTGGAGGCGTATTCGTAGCATGCATACCTAACGGTCAGGCTACCGGTATCTCAAACCCGATGGGTACCTAACTTGAGGTTTTGAGCTGTCGAGCTCACGCTGAATGTCGTCATTCTGACTGGGTTCATGGCACTACTGTGGTAGAGCTGGGGCCATGAACCCCATCAAGTCCACTCGCTCCAGCCTCCGGCGGGGAGAGGTGTGGGGTTTCGTCTCATCACCGTCACGCGCCGTCTACAGTACACAGCACTGTCTAAAGTAGATGCGGGGAACGTGCACAGGTGGACGTGAAGCTCTCACGCGCAACCGCTAACGGCATGGTGTTGTCAAATACATCGACATCCATTCGTCTGTCCACAGCCGCCAATTACCTACTATCAGACGGGACAATTGGGAGATATCTACCTCAAACAGATGAAGACGTAATCAGTGAGGGCGAGAGGCAACTTGCAAGGCGCAAGCGAGATTGCCGCGTGCTAGGCTCCATTATTGCCCGGAATCTTGGGTCGTCGGTGCAGCAACACATTACTACCACCAGACGTCATTTGAACGAGAAATGGAATGGAAGAATGGGAAATGTCTACATGCGCACATTCGACGACGTTCGTACTGTACGAGGGCTACCTGGTACTGCAGGTTGCAAGGGTGCGGTGGCCAGGTATGCGCCGGTCGTCGTACTGTACCACTGTACAGAAAGGGGGAGATGTAAAAGACCGGACCTCGTACCTGACGGACAACATTGAAGTTGTCCATTCCACTGGGGGATGATGAGTAACCAAGATCAATTAAACGGACTGTCGATCACCAACACAGGTCAAATACTTTCCCACAGAGAATAGGTAATTGGTAAGGTCTAGCTGAGATCGTCAGCTCCCCACGTGAACCAAGGCAAGCTCGCCACGTTTTCCACCTCAAGAGTCGTGCCTTAAGGGGTACCGCGGAGCTGGAACGGTGATATAGTTGACACGATTCTGACTAATACATCTTCGAAACATCACCAACCAAATAATATCCATATATCCATGTCTGTCCAGCAGACCGCGAGTTTCCGTCCCGTTCATCCAGGACCAGGACCAAGACCAGCAGCTCTCCCTCCGTCAACTGACGCCCCCTAGGTAGATATCATCCTCCAAGCCCAACCCTCCTTCAAGCCCAGAAATGCCACGGAGTCGCCGTAGCCTCCGCCCTCGCCGTCACAGCCGCCGAAGAATTCACGGCCGGGAACCCGCCGTCACCGCACTTGAAATTGAACGACTTCCACGTCGTCGCCTGATTAGACCCACTTACGACGGCCGTCGCCTGGCTCAGCCGGTACGTGACGTCCTTCGTGTTGCTGAAGTCGCCCGAGTACTGGTCCACGCAGGCGTCGTCGCTGTACACAATCATGTCGCACAGCGTGAGGCCGTCGACGTTGTCGCTGACGCGCTGCCAGAGCGCGCACTTGGCGTCCTGGCCTAGCGTCTGGCAGTCGCTCAGGGTCGTGCCGTCGCCGCTGACCTGCACCGTGAACTCGCCGGCCGGGGCGCCGATGATGTCGCCGCCGCAGGTGCTGGTGTCGTCGGTCGGGTCGGCCGGGTTGTCGGTGAAGTGCGTGGCTTTGAGTTCGTGGGCTTGCGTGGTGGTGGCGGCGGCTCCGAAGAGGAGGGTTGTGAGGAGGGCCCGGCTGGTGGGGAAATGCATTTTGGTGGTTTGGAATGCTTGGTGGTGATGCTATGGGATAGCGCTTCGTGATACTTTGCGGTGGGAGTTCGTGATGATGGGGAGCTTCGTGATGGACTGACTGACGACTTACCTCCCTGTCCTGAGCTGGGCATCAAGTACGCCTTTATATCACGTTCCACTGCACTTGGTCATATCGAAGGGGTCGACGATGACGTGCCGTCCGGGCCGCTTGAGAAGGCTTCAGATCGATGAAACCGCCAATGGCCCACCGTCATGATACTCTGTACTATAATTAAAAATAACATGTTTGTGAGTTGGCTGATGAGGGCGAAGGATCGTTGAGGGTCTGCTGGCGTGGAGTGGATGGGCAATTACGGCGACAGTGATTGACTACGGTGCATGACGAGGAATACTCCCGACTCCGTTGTCTATTCAAAATAGTTTCCATCATGAAAGGCGTCGGAGGTCGGGACTCCCATGATAAACAACAAGCTTCTGCGAAGCTCGTCATGAGGAACAATATGCCTGTAGATGGTGGTGGTAGGAAGTCATAGCAAAATCGTGGGAGGATTCCCTGGGACCCGTCAACGGAGGACTCTGCACCGTCAGTCATTTCCTAAAATAATCTGCCAGGCACAGAAAAACCGAGCGTGGTTACATGATCAAAGATTTTGTTGGGTATAGCAAATGACCTATCCCATCTCAACACGATCCATGCGTGGTACCTGCAATGCGAGTTCAACGGCGCAACGGCCCTTCAAGAGTCTGGAAAGACTTCATGTATCAAGCCCATATTCAGCCAAAATCCACCCAGACCGTCGCGTCGCAAGATTCCATGGAGGAACTTCTCACCGCTCGTCAGATCCAAGGCTGCTAATGCAGTCGAATAGCCTCTTATACAAAAATATTAGTGTTGCGGACTCTTTGCTAGTAACAAGGAACTCATGCAACCTTGGGCGGCTGTAATTCATACATGTAAGCCGACCAAAGCATGAAAAAAAAAGGGACGTAAAATCATAGACATAATAAGTTAACGCCACTTAATATGACTACTATTTTCGTATATTTTCAAATGCTTGCGTTGCGTGATGACTGCTGGATTAAGCGACTGTCTCTAGGAGGGAATAGAGCTCTTTTCGGTTTATTGTTTCCAGCGCTTGGACGGCTCCTCGAGGCTGTACAATTGATCTCACAATCTCAGCACAGTGATCTCAGTATGCTCCCACACGGTACGGTCAATATTCCACACGGTACGAGCTATACCCCACTCCTAGACCAGCTGGAGGTGGGGACTGTGCGGGCGGTCACTGGTCTGACTCTGGGGTCTGGAGCTCAAGCCTCCATGCTGTGGATGGGGCCGATGGGATGTTGTTGTCGCGCAGAGTCCCATTTCGCAAAGTCATTCCTCCTTCTCCCTTCCAATTTATTACCTCCCGTCGTCGGTAAACTCAATTGACTGGCCCTGCGACCGCCTGCCCAGCCCTTCCCATTTGCACTCTCGATTGTCCTATATAATCCCCTATCCTAACTCTGGCTGGGTCTTCTGTACGTCGCCTCCACCACGCTTCTGCAGGTCTCGTCCGAAGTGAGCTCTTATTCAGACGCAGCCTCGGGATCTCTGTGTGTGAGACAAGTGACAACTGTCCAAGACATTGATACTCTAATCTAGCATTAGCCCAATCCTGCTACCTACCTAGCTGCAGCTCTTTTTTATTTTGATTTTATTCTACCTACCTCCGTCCGTCGGTCCATCATTGCTCCTCTTGCTCCTCCTGCTCTCCTTTCTCCAGTTTTCCGTCCGAGCCATGGCCAGCGAAGCTACCGAAAATGGAGATAGAGCTCCTCGCGAGGTCAAGAACCACATTCTCTTCGAGATCGCTACAGAGGTCGCCCATCGAGGTATGCCCTGTGCTCATAGAACCACAAGAACTACGCTGACCACCCTATCTCCCAGTCGGCGGCATCTATTCCGTCCTCAAATCCAAAGCCCCCGTCACCACGGCCGAATATGGCGACCGCTACACTCTTATCGGGCCCCTCAACCACCAGTCGGTAAGCGCCAACCCTTACGACTCCTCCTCCCTGGCGCCCGCCGTGACTGACAACTGCGCATAGGCTGCCGTCGAGGTCGAGGAGCTGGAACCCAACACCCCGGAGCTCGCCAAGAGTATCGAGGCCATGAGGAAGCGCGGCATCGGCATGCTCTACGGCAGATGGCTAATAGAGGGCGCCCCCCGAGTCCTGCTCATCGATACCAAGACCGCCTACAAGTACATGGATGAGTGGAAGGCCGATCTGTGGAACGTCGCCAGCATCCCCGCGCCGCCGGGCGACGACGAGACTAGCGAGGCCATCGTCTTCGGCTATCTGGTCGCCTGGTTCCTCGGTGAGGTAGGTTCCGCTGCCCGTATTCCCTGTCGGTCTCCCGTCACTAACCTGGCGTCTAGTTTGTCTGCCACGAGAAGACGAAAGCTGTTATTGCCCACTTTCACGAGTGGCTGGCCGGTGTCGCATTGCCGCTCACAAAGAAGCGTCGCATGGACGTGACTACCGTCTTCACCACGCACGCCACTCTGCTAGGTCGTTATCTCTGCGCCGGCTCCGTCGACTTCTACAACAATCTGCAGTGGTTCGATGTCGACGCCGAGGCCGGCAAGCGCGGCATCTACCACCGCTACTGCATAGAGCGCGCCGCGGCCCACGCCTGCGACGTCTTCACCACCGTCTCGCACATTACCGCCTTCGAGAGCGAGCATCTGCTCAAGCGCAAGCCCGACGGTGTATTGCCCAACGGTCTCAACGTCACCAAGTTCTCAGCCATGCACGAGTTTCAGAACCTGCACCAGCAGGCGAAAGAGAAGATCCACGACTTTGTGCGAGGCCACTTCTACGGCCACTACGACTTCGTCCCCGAGGACACGCTCTACTTCTTCACGGCGGGGCGGTATGAGTACCGGAACAAAGGTGTCGACATGTTCATCGAGTCGCTTGCACGCCTCAACCACCGGCTAAAGAGTGCGGGCAGCAAGACAACGGTCGTCGCATTTATTATCATGCCGGCGCAGACGACCTCCCTGACCGTCGAGGCGCTCAAGGGACAGGCCGTCATCAAGAGTCTCCGGGACACGGTCGACGTGATCGAGCGCGGGATCGGCCGCCGCATCTTCGAGCGGTCGCTGAAGTGGCACGATGGCGACCCCATGCCCGACGAGAAGGAGCTCATCACGAGTGCCGATCGTGTCGTCATCCGGCGCCGGCTCTTTGCCATGAAGCGGAACGGGCTGCCTCCCATTGTCACGCACAACATGGTCAACGACCACGACGACCCCATCCTCAACCAGATCCGCCGAGTGCAGCTCTTCAACCACCCCACGGACCGCGTCAAGATCGTCTTCCACCCCGAGTTCCTAAACTCGTCGAGTCCCATACTGCCGCTCGACTACGACGACTTTGTGCGCGGCACCAATCTGGGCGTTTTCGCGTCCTACTACGAGCCGTGGGGCTACACGCCGGCCGAGTGCACGGTGATGGGTGTTCCCAGCATCACCACCAACCTGTCGGGCTTCGGCTGCTACATGGAGGAGCTGATCGAGAACTCGAGCGATTACGGCATCTACATTGTCGACCGGCGCAACAAGGGCGTGGACGACTCGGTCAACCAGCTGACTTCTCAAATGTTCGACTTCTGCCAAAAGAGCCGGCGCCAGCGGATCAACCAGCGGAACCGCACGGAGCGGCTCAGTGACCTCCTGGACTGGAAGAGGATGGGCATGGAGTATGTCAAGGCGCGACAGTTGGCGCTGCGGCGGGCGTACCCGGCGTCGTTCAGCGGCGAGGAGGACGAGGAGGACTTCATCCCGGGCGTGGAGCACAAGATCTCGCGGCCGTTCTCGGTTCCGGGCTCGCCGCGCGACCGAGCAGGCATGATGACGCCTGGCGATTTTGCCAGCCTCCAGGAGGGACGAGAGGGGTTGAACACGGAGGACTATGTGGCATGGAAGCTGCCGTGAGTATACCCCCTGCCAGGCGCAGACGACGCGGGGTTTTAGCGGGATTTGCTGACTTTCGAGACTATAGCGAGGAGGAAGACCCTGACGAGTACCCGTTCCCACTGACGCTCCGGACTAAGAAGAACGGTGGCTTCTCGGGTTCGGCGTCGCCCCTCGACAACATACAACTTAACGGGAACTAGTAGGCTGGGCTTGTCGTACTAATGGTGGTGAAGGTGGTGTTGTTGCAGCGGCGTGCGAGGACGCGCGATGTAGAACGGCACAAGGGATGCAGACGTTGCATGGGTACCTGAGTAGGTAGGTATCTCGCAGGGATGAAACATTGTATACATTAAGCATTGGTATTCCCTTAGCACGTGGCTATTTATGGCTGCGGACTCGGGGCAGGGGTTCGAGTGAAGCATCATCATCGGTGTCAGGGTGCGTGTCCGCGTGTGTTTGCCAGGACCGGCCAAATTGCACAGCAAACGCATGGGCGGGATATAAATGGAGGGACTTTGCCGTGTCCTTCCACCATGGCACATAACATAATAACTACATGGACCACAACGGATGCATACCTTTATCGTCGTGCTGTGTGTCTTGTGTGTGGTAGTACTACAAGGTACATGTGCGTCGGTGCTTACCTACCTACCTGTACACAACGGTTATACATGCATAGCTGTAGTTGGTTGGTCGCATGCGGTCTGAACGACTGGGATCTTTTCCTTGGGCCTGCAATCCTTTGTCCTCACAAATGCCTGTCCTCCAGTTGGGATTGCCTACCCAGTCACCTTGCCGATATAGTACATATATTCGTGTTAGTTTTAGACACGCACCTTGAGGTTTTGGGTCAATGTTTATGGGATCAATACTCATATCATGCAGTTGGTGACAGGTACACATAAGCAAACACGAACCAACTGCAGTCGTTTGCATAGCTAGTGACACTCGACCCGGAAGCGCCCAACTTGTTCAACAAAGGCACGCCACGCCAACCCGCATTGTGTGCATGCCACAAAGAAAAAGAGAGTCGGCACCTTTTTCCATTCCCTCCCTCGGTACCATTGAGGGTGCCAACAGGGCACCTGGGCACCAGACCTCTTGTTGGTGCTTACCTACATGTACCTACGTACTGTGTAAAGTAGGCAGGCATAAGTAGGCAGGCATTGGTAGGCAGGGGCCCCACCTGCAGGGAATAGCTCCAGCGTCCCGCCCGCCCACGCCGCCCACGCCGCCCACGCCGCCCGCTCCTCCTTCCCACCTCCAGCTGTGACCTCTCCCTCTCGAGCCTTATTACATGTAATAGGTTACCTGCCTACCTTCATGTTACCACCACTGCCTTCCCTCGCGACACCTCGTCCCGTCCCCTTCCTCCTAGCGCAATTGCTCACACCTTCCCGCTCCCGCTGCCAGTCGCCACCATGAAGTCCGCCGCCAGGAAGTTCTTTCGCCGCAGCAAGAAGTCGTCGTCCGAGCCCAAGGCCCCCAAGAAGTCCCACCACGCCTCCACCCATGACGACCTGGAGCGCGACAAGTACCGAGCATTCAACTCTCACCCCGACTACCACAACTATGCCGTCGAGCGGAGCAGCGTCTTCGCGCCCTGGCTGGAGCTGCCCTCCCCCATCCTCGAGAGGGTCTTCGCCTTTGTCTGCCCCCACAGCCGCGACGAGTCCTACGAGACGTGCGAGCAGAGCGCCATCGAGGATGCCTGCATGCTCTGCGACCTGCGTGATCTCTCCCACGCCGGCCGCGTGTGCAAGCGCTGGAGGAAGACCGCAGTCGCCCTGATGTACAAGAGCATCCGCATCGACCCAGTCCACTACTGCGAGCGCGAGATCGACCTGTCCGAGAAGCGCAAGCGCCGAAGCCGTTTCGACCGCAACGGCGCGCCCGAGGACACGGCGAGCGCCCGCCTGCAGCTGCTCTGCCGCACCCTGCGCGAGGACCCCACCCGCCTCGGCAAGCTCGTGCGATACTTCAAGACCCCCTACATGCTCCGCGAGTCGAGCACTCCCACCCTCGCCCGCACCATTGCCGTCCTGCCCAACCTGCGCTACGTCGACCTGCCGGAGGGCCTGTTCGTCGACGACCCGGCCTACCTCACCCTCAAGCTCGAAGTCCAGGCCCGATGTCCCGATCTTAGAAAGATGACGTACATGGGCGGCAGCGAGCGCAGCTTGGAGGCCCTGGGCCGGGGCAACGTATGGACGAAGCTCGAGGTCCTGGAGCTGGCCAGGATCAACATGGACCCGGCAACGCTGCGCCAGGTCCTCGCCGTGCTGCAGGATCTGCGCGCGCTCAAGGTCAGCGACTGCCGCATGCTGGACGATGACATCTTCCGCTACAACGACGTGCTGCAAGCCTTCCCGCCCTTGGTAGAACTCATCCTCAAGGACACGCCGCGTGTCACCTCGGATGGTCTGGTGGCCTACCTGTCGAAGGGGGACGCGCAGAACACGTTGAAAGTGCTGTCCCTGACGAACACGGGCATTCACCCTTCGACTCTTCATGACATCTTGGGACGTGCGCCACACATCACAGCGCTCTCCATCACCGAAGAGGTCGACTCCGCGTTCCCGTCTCAGGCGGGCCCCATTCCCCCACTGACAAACTGGTCTTTGCAGTCCCTGCGCTTCGAGATCACGGCGTCGCCCACAAACTCGCCGTACGCGAGCATCACCGCGGGCTACTACAATTACCTAGCTTCGTCGCTATTCGCCGGTGGTCTGCCGCGCCTGGCCGAAGTCTATGTGCGTGACCAGAATTTCCCCGACATGCTCCTGGGGCTCCCTCCGCCCGTGCCCGGTTTCGCCGGCAGTCATCAGCGGCCCAGCAGTTCCAGCAGTGCGAACATGTTCAGCATGGGCAGCGGTAACCTCTCGGCCCGCTCACCCTCGACCCTCTCACCCTCGAGCACGGGAGGCCGCAACAACCCTACGTCGCGTTTCAGCTCCAACAACCCGTTTGCGTCCGCGGCGTCCAACGTCCCCCGCGGGCCCGGCATCTTGTCCCTCAACCAGACGCTCGAGGTCTACACCAAAGGCGAGGACGACCTCGACTGGGGAAGCATCCGCATGGACCCGTTCGATGCGTACGACGGCGCAGGCAATGGCAGTCGGGGCCGCCACGGGCGTAACGGTAGTGCCGCGAGTGGTCGCCCGATGAGCAGCTACGGCTTGGCCGATGCCGGCGCTGGGTGGCAGGCGGGACACGGCGCCAGGAAGAGCGTCGTAGTGCAGGGCAATGGGAATGGTGGCTTTCTGGCGGTGCCCGGAGACGCCGGCCACGGAGCTCACGGGCGGAAAGGCAGCACCGTTAGCGTGGGAGGCGCCAGAGAGGACCTGTGGCCTCGGCCAACCAGCAGCGCAGGCCCCAAAAAGGGAGCTCGGGATCTGTGGCGTTGAAGGGAGTGGAAGACGTCCATTGGAACAAATTACCTCGTGAGTCCAGCCCACGCGTACAGAGCGATGCGTATGGTGCTGAGCGGACGCTCGCCGGCTGTCTCTGCTAGAATGGCTACAAATGAGCCCGATGTGGGTGTTAAAAGTCAAACTTGACGGCAGTGCGGTCAACGGCGAAAGCCACACAGGGAGGTGGGTGGATGTGGTTACGAATAGTTTGTACCGGCAACACAAATCAGGGGCCATTGTTCAATGCCGATGAGGTGCAAGCAAGGGCAGGATTGCGGCTCATATCCCAGAAGGCTGCTCGGGCACAGGTACGAGTCGGACGGTTTCGCGGGCGATCTTCACCTTGTTGTTTTCTCTTCTACTTCGAGCAACCTTGCGGGACTCCTTCTATATCCAGCAGTTCGTTGATGGGGTGTGACAATCTAGCTTCTTGTTCTGAACACGGGGTTCAGGCCAAGATATGGATGGGAATGTGATTAATTACAAAACGCGAACCATTTTCCCCCTCCCTCCCGTGTCTTCATATTCTTCGAACGTGAATAGACGCTACCAATCTAGACGGCTGTTCTGCAGGCGCTCGAAGGGATGCTTAATGTGTATCCCCGGAGCAAGCTTCTTGTTGAAATCAAGGAGATGCCCGATCCCCTCCGAGTACAGAAGACGCCCCCACATGCACACGTATGGACCTCGCCCCGGGTAGCCATAGCATAACCGGCAAAGTCTATATAGGTACGGGCCTGTTGGTTCTGGCTTCTTAGCCGGCATAGGGTCAGGCTTGGCCTGAGGTTTCCCTGTCGATGCCCGTCCGGTTCAGGGCATAAAATCCCCTTACCTTGCGTTCTCGCAGGTGAAGATAGGGGAATATGGCGGAAGTGGAACGGAGGGCACATACTTGACGAGCTTGCCAGATAGGAGCGTGGGCATGTCGTCTCTGCTCCTTGGCTTGGAAGGTACATGAAACCTGGCCTGGCACTGGCGCAGGTTCCCTTTTGCCCCCTTTGCCGCCTCCTGTTCCGCCCCTTTTTCGCCCAGTTTCCCCTAACCAGTGGTCCCGGGAAGACACCTATAAAGGGCTTGCCCCAAACCATCATGCATACCGTGACCAGCCCCTTCATGGGGATCGTGTCTATATAACTCAGTGGTGTCATGTTATCCACTCCCGGCTCCTCCAGCTATCTCGAGCTTGCCAGACGTCGGTGTGCTAAACAAGTCGAGGCCAGCTGTTTCCTAGCCTGAGTAAGGTAAGCACCCGATTTGTAAAGCCAATCAAAACGATACGCGTGCCATCGCGAGGCCTTGCCGGACGGAGGTCCAGCTCTGAAATCAGGCTCCAGCTCTATCTCTATCTCTATGCCTCAGCAATCATCGTGACCCTCTCTCTCTATCCAGGTAAGGTCTAAGCAATCTTGGTCACGGTCAACTCGCCCTTGTCACTATCACCGTTACCGCCGTCTAGCTCGAGGAAGCCGCCCGACTCGAGCCTCTTCTTCCACTTGGTGCTCTCGTACCGCGCCAGGATCACGGTCATGCGCAGCACGGTCTTGTTGCTCGATTCGTGCTTGTTTGTGTTTCCGGTCTCGAGCGGCGTGAATGTCCAGCGGCCGAAGGCCCAGTTGAGGATGTATCGACGCGGCGGGTCATGGGACGGCGTCGGCTCCTCGTCGTCGCCGGAGCTGCGGACCGTTGACGGCGCCATCAGCACCGATTTGATGCGGTACACCTCGTCCTTGGGCGCCGCGTTCAGGAGGGCCATGAGCTTCGGCACGTTCACGGCCGGCGGCCGGTTTCCTCCTCCCTGGCCCTCTCCTCTCAGCGTCACCGAGAGGACCTCGACCTCGGTCTGGTGGTCGTGGCTATGTTCATGCTTGTTGTGTTCGTGTTCATCATGTGCGTGTCCTCCGTTCTTCGGTTTCGGCTCTTCCTCAGTCAGCGTCCGCGCCAGCCCGCCATCGATGCCGAAGACGACGTCGACGGGCACGCGCCCCCTGTCGCTCTTGACCCAGGCGATATCAACCTCGAGGTCGCCGAGGCGATCGAGGCAGTCGTCGAAGCGGCGCTCGTCGGAGTCCTCCCACTTATTGAAAACCACCAGGTCCGTATAGCGCGCCTGCACGCGCGCCGTGTAGCTCGTGTCCTCGTAGCCCTTCCAGTTCTCGACATCAATAACAGTAATGACGCCATCCAGCACGAACTGCCCCCCGGTGTCGCGCGCGGCGCGGTTCACCTCCATGGCCAGCGTGGCCGGGAAGGCGCTGCCCGAGGTCTCGACGACGATGCGATTTGGCTGCACAGAATCGCGCAGCTCGGCCAGGGCCGGCCCCAGCTGCCCGACTAAGTTGCAGCAGATGCAGCCGTTGAGCAGCTCCTGGACGCCCGACACGGCGCTGCTGGCGGCGAGCTGCGAGTCCACGGCCACGTCGCCGAACTCGTTTTTCAGTAGGGCGAGCCGGTAGTCTGGGTTCGCAAGCCGCAGCTGTGGTACTAGGTTTAGGAGGAGCGTCGTCTTGCCCGAGCCTAGGAACCCCGTTATGATGGTGATGGGAATCGGCGCCATTATTTGCTCGCTCTTGTCGGTGCGGTGGCCTGGTGGCTGTCGAGGAATCGCAGCCGGTCGTTCGGTCGGTCCGTGGATGGATCAGACGTGGTGGAATAAAGAAATTTAAGAAGTACCTTGGGTATATATCGCGGGGTTAAAGGGTTGAGGGGTTGAGGGGTTGAGGGGTTTTAGAGATTCCTCCGTTGCGATAAGAAAAGCTGAGAAAAGGCCAAGCGAAACTTCAAAAGACGGGGTTTTGAAACACACTATAGTTGGTGTTTCAAACCCCGGTTGGAAAGTCTATCTTTTACCAACAAGTCGTTCATATTGAATAGCATGGACTGTTACACTTAGGTCAGCAGGAATGTGCTATGGCCTACGAAGCTATTCCTTTTATCATATAGTACACACAAACGTCTATGCAGTGTGCCTACATGTATGTAAGTGCATACATGTAGGTAAGGTAGGGCTTATCAGCTGAAGCACCCCTGCCTCGCTATAGCCAGGTCGGGCATGCGCCAAGTTCCAATGCCAACCCAGGTTGCCGGTACATGTAGCCGGGCCTGGGATGACGTGTTGTGTGATGTGTGCTACTACCAGGTTTATCATGTTCCTGCCATGGATCTAGTAGATCCACCATGTTTCCAATATTCATCGACCCGTCAATACCACCTCAAAACACGGGGGTTCATGTTCACTCACTCCCGACTCACTACATACATACCGTCCGGTCCAACCTGCAGATCTACCACCTCACCACCGCCAACAACATGTCCTCCTCCCAAACACCCGGTAATGAGATGAGCTATAAAGACCAGCTGGACCAGGTCGCTAAGGACGCCCGGAACCCCAACAACGGCAAGGACACCACGGGCCAGCCAAGCCTGATCGAGAAGGGTATGTAAGCAGATGCCTATATTTGTCTGGCACAGATACAGGCACTCATCCTCCGTCGCCGCTTTGCTGAACTGACGCGCTGCCCCAAGTCACCGAATACGTCCCCGCAGCGGGCAAGATCTTCGGCACCGAGAGCCAGGACGACAAGACGTCCAAGGCCGCCGTGCCGAAGGAGACGCCCGGCCCGCCCGTCCGGCCGCACCACGACCCCAGCATCGAGGAGTTTATGCGGGATCAGCATAGGAGCAAGAAGCCCGACGGCAGCTTGGTCGGCTGATGTGATGTGTGTTCTCGACTTTTGTCGCGTGGTCTGCAGAGAGAGCCTCTGCCTGGGTCGAGTGACTACTCTTAACCTGTGCTATGAACTGGGGGGCTATGGAAGTATGGACCATGATGGCATGGCGTTTTTGTTTCGGTTGGCTTTTCCTCGACTGGGTTGCTGGTATGGTCTGGCCCCGCGCACACATTGGTGTCCTACGGTGGATTCAGGAGGGGTAAACAAAAGGTTTACCAGAGCCGTGCATCAGCAATGACAACCTACATGTCTACTTCGGTTACGAGCACATGCTGTCTTGACATCGGACATTAGCCTAACTCCCATGTTACAGAGTCATGGTCAACGGATGAACATGCGACGGATTCCAGTTTCCACCAGGGACCATGTCAAATAGAACGGCCCGTGCGAACTAAACAAGATCGCTCGTCGTGGGGTGTGAATCATCATCCTCGTTACTCATTATTAGTCACATTGCCGTACTCATTACATGTCGATCGACGCCAGCCTGCGATAGGCACGCACCGTCCTTCCTACCCGACGGTACAGTTAGGCAATCCGGCCTGGAACAGCTCCGACTGCTTGACAAACAACGGCAGAAAGTCCCGCGTTGTGAAGTCTGCGCCGTTGTAGTAGTCCACGTCGCTCGAGCTGTAATTTACACCGAGGATGGCAAGAACGTCGCTCTCGATGCTACAGACAACCGTCAATGTCAGCATGGGTACTTAGCCTTCCCTGTCTCTCATCTCTAGGTCCCGTTCAGGAGCATATCACTTACAAGTCAACAAACACGACATCAACCACGTCCGCATGACCGTCAGCGTCAAAGCCGGCCGCGCCCTGGAAGAAATCGGGGATCGAGTAGTACGGGATCGCCGAGTGCGCCGTGTCGTCGCCATCAGTCTCAAAGTCGTCTGTCGTCGTGTACCCCGGGACAAGGTCGACCACCTGATGCCTGCTGATGCCCAGCGGCTCGTGGCTGTGGCCGTGGTCAAGCTCCCGTTTGATTTCGGAAAGGGGCTCGACGAAAGGGTCAACGCAGATGTCACGCTCGACCGGCATGAAGCCGAGGTCGCGCTTCTGACTCGCTCCTGCCTTGTTCAGGGCGTCGAGGAGCGTGCTCGCCAGGGCGTATGGGACCTCGGGGATGTACAAGAAGGCGTCTTCGAACGGCGAAACGATGAAGCTGTCGTCATATGTGAAGGGGCCTTTGTACATGTCGAAGCGGACGCCTCCGGTGTTGGAGATGACGTAGCGCGCGATGTCCTGTCGGGTTGTGTTGACGACGACCTCGGCCAGCGCCTCGGAGAGCAGCGGGAATATGTTGTCCGAGCTGTTGAACGGTGCGCACGTCATGCAGTAGTCCTGCGGTACGCAGCCGTATAGATCCTCGAGGTTGAGCTGTTTCCGGTAACTGGTTACTTCAGCTGTGGCTTCGCGCCCGTTGTCGTAGTCGAAGCTGTCGTTGTACCAGGTCGCCGCGTGGTACTCGAGCGTCCGGCGGTTCCAGTCGAGATAGCGGCGGGAATACAGAAAGGGGGATGTTGAGTTGGTAGTTGCCTTGCGCGTGGGGTTGGGAACTCCGGCAGGGTTGGGCGATATGCCGTCGTAGCCACTGTTGTCGGCGTTGAACCCAGACATGGAAACCCAGCCTAGTGTCTCGCAGTAACGACCTGCCAGCGAGTCAGATTACATTAAGTCCATGTCCTTGTGATGACCTACCAGACTCGATCGAGGTGCTGCTCTGGTCATAGACAACAAAGTCGCGGATGTGGCTATGGCCTCCTAGATTTTAGATCAGCAGAGGGTCAACCGGCGGGAGATCTTGGAAGGGTCAAACAAACCAAAGAACTGAATGGGGGTCTCGGAGTGCACGGCACGGATGGCGTCGAACACGACTTGAAACGTGCTGTCACGCGCCGGGTTGTGGCCAAGGACAACAAAGACATCGATGGGATCGCTGGTGTTGATGGCGTCCAGGAACCATTGCTCTGCCACCATGGCGTCGGCCGTGATGACGTTGGTGACGTTGGTGTTGCCGGTAAAGTCGAACAGCACACCAAAGGCCATGATGCGGAGGCCATGCTCTGTGGTGAAGTATCTCTGCGTCTTGCCGATGTACTGCCATTCACCGGTCTCCTGGTTCGCGATCTGGACGTTGGAGGTGAGATACTTTTCGCCCCAGTATGCCGAGATCTCATTCAGGGTCTGGTAGGCCACGTCGGCAAGGTACAGCTCGTGGTTACCGATGGCCAACAGGTCATAGTCAACCTGGTCGAAGATCTTCATTGAGATCTCGCCGTCGGGCGATGTCGCATCGCTGAGTCCGGCGCCGTCGTGCAGATCGCCTATCACAACTTGTCAGACTGTATGCCTACGATTATGGGCCGAGGAGCACACCTACCAGTGTCAACCAGGAGGATATCGACACCCACTGCGAGACACGGACTCAGCTTGAAATGTAACTCATCAAGCAACCAGACATTGAGAATTTATCTTACTGTTGCCGGCCTGTTGCTTGAAATGGGTCGAGAAGGTGACAAAGTCGCCCCAGTCAGCGCCATAGTTGGCCTCCTTCAAGTGCCCCTCGAGCCAACCGTGGGTGTCGGTCTGCACTCTGGTCAGCAACCGGCACCGAGCGATCGGAGTGAGATAGAGCCAGGGTCATACGGTGTGGAGGAAGTTCAGCTGCCCCCATTCGAGTGCCCTTGACGGCCCGTACGTGGCGTTGATGGCACCCGGCTGCATGCGCTTGACATGCCGGACGTGCTCGACATGGTTGGTCGGGCCGTAGCAGCTCCCGCAAGCCTGTGCAGCTGAAACGAGAGCGACGAGCGCCGCCGAGGCGATGCTAAGGTACTGCATCGTGCAAAGGCTGTATATTGTCCAGGTGGACTTTCACTTGACTCGAGCCAGGACGATGCAAGAAGATCGATCCAAGGAAAGTCAAGCAGGTGGGGCAAAGCTTAGGAGTAAAGGAGAAGAGACTCGAGAGGGTATTTATCTGAATGCGAGTCTGGGTCACCGACCTGCACGCGAACTCCCAAGCAGGCGGACTGCATATAACACATGCAGGCACAGGGTATTGTACTACAGATCGTAGATGTCAGAAGGTCGCATCGACCGTCGCCCGTTTGGGAGCATTGAACATGTGTGATAGGCTGTTGCTCTCCAATGTCCATTTTGGTCGACCATCTCCGCGTCCCTGCAGGGCTGTGTGGGTACGGCCGGTAATCGGGATGGGTGCGACGGGGTGCGACGGGGTGCGACGGGCCACTCCGGTGTCTACTGTCTACCTGTACAGCAGATAGATACCGGTGATAACTTAAGGTAGTATTATTAATAAGGTGAGCTTCCGGCACTGACCGAAGCAATGATAAGACGGCATACTCCCACGTGCCAACCTATACTAGCAGTAGTATGCAACATTGTGGGCGACTTTCCCGAATAAGCAGGTCGATTATAACGGTGGCGTGCTTATAGGCTGGACGAACCTCCCTGCTTCTCCGGAGGTTGGGGTGTCATGTGTTAAGGGGACCAACCCCGGCTGCCCGGCCACGTCCCGGTCTTCGATGTTGGTTGCAACGTGCGCCGAGAGCCGCACTCTTTGACTTTCGCATTTCTTATGTACACCTCGTCATCATCGACCATCAATTGTGACAGCCGTCACCATCAGATCCCCCGGCATCAAGCTCTACTTCCACCACCTGCCTTTCTACGAGGCCCTGGGGCGTCGCAGGGCGTGTCGTTTCGCCGTCCGACTCCTCGCTCGTCACCTCTATCTCGCCCTGCTTGATGATCTCCGCCGTGCTCAACTGCCCGCTCTTTGCGCGGCACGCTCTCGCTCGGTATGACTTGCCGCTCGACTCGATGCGGTACGCTAGTCTTCCAGGCAACTGCTGCTTGAGCATGTTATCCGCAATGGTAACATCGAGGAGCCGGAGTATCGTGCTGGCCTCGGCCTCGCCCAGTTGTCCATCCGTCGATAGGACTATCGTGGCCCAGGTCTGGGAGTCGGGTGTAGTGACTACTCTGCCCCCACTGTCGCAAGCCGTGATTCCAAACGCAAAGATGCCCCAAACAGATGTCTTGCGTGCGATGAACCACTCGATAAAGTCGTCGAGATCCACGAATTTTCCCATGTCGCCAATCGTGATTGGCCGGGTGCTGCTTGATAAATTCGGGGTGACGAACCAGCAGGAAGTAATGCGTGCGACGTTGAGGCAGCAAGGTTGGCAGGAAATGTCGACTGTGTTCTGAAAACGGTTGTCTCCTCGATTGCGAATGTTTTGTTGTGCTACTGCGTCTTTGTCTGGGTTGTTCACGCATGTTTACTGCATGGTCGGCACAAAGCGCACGCCGTACAGTCAGTCCTTTCCCACTGTTGACTCCAAGCAAACAAAACGGCGGTCGAGGCCATCGCAAACACAGCACGGATGTTGTCAGAGTTCAGGATGGAAACTGCTTGATACCGCTTGTCTTGACTTCTTCGGGGCGTCCGTCAGCCATTAGACCGTACGCATCGTACCTGCTTCCTCCATTCATCTGATATGACCGGGGCCCATCCACCAACAATCCATACCGCCATTCAAACCTCCGCAGTGGCAAACATATGAGTAGGAGGGCCTACTGCGAGTCTTGCATTATCCCGCGCTGCTGACGCTGAGCCGCATCAATTGCCACACATCGCAGTGCCTGAACAGCAGTACCTTCCGTTCGGTGACATATCATCGTCCCTCGGAAAAACTCTGCGCAGCGTCACCTGGTATATATACCGTCAGTATCTAGGGACATGGGCTGAAAACCAACCCGCCAGGGGGCAAAGGAGCGTAACGGGAAATGAGGAAGTCGGAAAACAACGAAACCATCTATCACAGACCAACAGAGGGCGCGGCACTCCTCTGTTCTAATCATGCTGCCATTGCGTCTCTCACTCGTCTTTCCTGACCCCCTATCAACACTCCCCCGTATTCTAGACTATTCCCCTTTTTACCTCATTCTCCGTGTCTAGCCTGCCTGGTTCCTTGAAGCTTTGTATCGCGGATAGTCTGACGAGCAAAAGCCAAGAGACTGCCCGCTCTTCAGCACATTTTGGGCTCGAATCATGTGGTTGGCCTTGCTTCGGGGACACATGGTCACACACTGATGGGTCAGGAGATGTGATCACCTGTACTGTATATGATCAGTTAGTCTAGATGAGCGTGAACAAGGAGAGGCAACTAAGTATGATGATAGGAAACCTCGACCGACCGAGTCCTGTAGCCACGAGCCGTCGTAGTTGCTAGAAACCAATCACGAAAGGAAACGAGCGACGCCGAGAGGTATGTTTGAACTTGTTTCAATTAATGCCATAAGAGACCGCGTGGAAAAAGAAAGCAACCAACATCAACTAGTCCACATGTATAGATAGCCCAGAGATAGGTAGACACCCAGCTGTTTTCTATGATTAAACCAAGCCAAGCATCCGCGATGTGAGAGAAGACATAAGTCATGAACCATGTCCGAGAAAATATGAGCCGATAGCCAACCCAACCCGCCGGCGCCGCTCAAGCCCCAACCAGCCATCCATCCATCCATCAAACCCGGATTATTAATAAGAACGATGACACCTATAGAAGGAAGAAGGGCCCTGCGATGAAGGCCAGACCAGCACCAACCAACATGCTCCTCGTGAGCGTCGTGAGCGACGGGGCACCGGCTGTGACTGGGGCAGGGTTGCTGCTGGTGGTGCCGTTGCTGCCCGGCACTGGGCTGTTGGCGTTGGTCGCGGGCACGCCGCTGGATCCGCCGGAGCTGCCGGGAGCGGGCGAGGCGCCGCTGCCGCTTCCAGAGCCGCTTCCAGGAGCAGCACCGCTTCCACTTCCAGGAGCAGCACCACTTCCGCTTCCAGGGGCAGCACCACCTCCACTTCCACTTCCAGGGGCGGCACCGCTTCCACTTCCAGGGGCAGCAGCAGTAACTGGGGGCACAGCAGCACCTCCGGTAGGCGTGGAGGCGGCGGGAGCACCCTGGCCGGGGGCACCAGCGGGGGATGGCGTGGGAGTGATGGTAGCCGTGACTCCGTTGCCACTGATGTTGACGGTGGGCTTGCCCATGCCGGTTGCCTGGGCGCCAGGGCAAGTGATCGTGATCTCGTCTGGGCCCTTGCAGACGGGGCAGCTGACGGTAGTGACGACGAATCCCGGGGGGATGGTGGGCGTGACGTAGTCGGACGGGTTGCCGGCGCAGGTCTCCGTGACGGTGTAGGTGGCCATCCACTTGCTGGTCTCACAGGCGGCGGGCAGGACAGTCTCGTATACGGTTGTGTACAGCGTCTGCGTCACCGGGGGCGACGTGCAGTACAGGAAAGCAGAGGTCGATGTGCCGTTGATGAGAGCCATTGTATCTGTGTTTTGTCGTGATGTGCTTTTCCAAATGTACCGGTGGGGGTGGAAGGGGACGACGAAGGATGTGCGAGCAAACGAGTGTGTATGCCTGAATGGTGTCAAAAGAATGTGGGAGCCAAATGGCTAAGAATGAGTGACTGCGAGTATTAGAGGTTGCCGCTAGTGCTTCGGATCTGACCTGAAAGCAGCCGGACGCCTGGCATACTTATAACGAAGACGGACGACAACACGGCAAGCGCGTCGCCGCCGGCCTGCGGTGTCTCAAGCCAGGACAGCATCGCGGCGGCCTCGCGGGCTCTGCGGTCTGCAAGAATGACGCGGGATTGCGCGGCATTCCTCTCGCCGTGGTGAGCTCCCAGTGTGCACGCGGGTGTATCCAGCTCAGGCATGATGGGTTCGAGATGGGAGTGTTGAGGACCTGGCCGGATGCGCGACGTGGTGAAACAGTGGCTAAGACTCGCCATGCTCTCATGGCATCCTCTGCCGCGAGGACACCCTCCCTTGGCCAGAAGAAGCACCACTAGCTAATCACATATCTGCATCGCGAACTCCATGGGAACAATGTTCAGCTACTGGACTTCATGGTGTTTGACTGTCCCAGGTCTACGTATGGACTCTCGGCGGACCGCACCAACAGCGACATGGGATATGCCTTCCAATTCCGAGTCACTCTGCAGCCGGCTACTTGCTCCCCTACCAGGCGTGTCCAGGCCTCATCCAATCCAGGTGCATCTCCTACCTAGTTCTATTGGCATGCCAGCCTCGCGAGTCTCGGTATGTAAATATCGGTATGTATCCTCATTTTTCGACATCTCCCGGTCACCGTCCGGTTAAGACGACCGGAAGACTTCCTAGCGAGGAGATTAATCTCCAGAGCGATTTCTCATGATTGAGAATGGCAACTCGTCACTGTGAGGTTGTCGAGGTGACGGTCGTGGCGACTCTGTGAATACTTTTTGATCTGAAGAAGGAAAGGAAGGAAGGGAGAAAACTCGATCAGCAATTTCTGTTTTTAACTGCGTGCTGCGGTGGGGCCGACGCGCTGAGGAGGGCCGTCTGATTGGACCGTGGGTTGTCAGCCGCGGGCAGCCGGGAGGGATGACTGCAGCTGTAGAGCCACTTTACAATTTCCGACTTGAGATTCTGGATAGCATCTTGTGCATCACTGCTGTGGCCATCTGCTACTGTTGCCATGAACCCTGATGTTTGTTTGTCTTGTCTTGTTCATGTGGATCAGGAACAGGAGTAAACATCGGCACATGCTTGCTGCAGATACTCCTCCCCCTAGCTTGGTCTGGCCTCCACGTGCGGCAGATTCCCTACATAGGTAGACCATATCTGGGAGTTCGTGTTGTTTTTTCTTGGGTTGTCCTCCTCCAGTCCTTGGAGCCCCCTTGCGGTCAGAGAGCTCATTAGTAAAATAAACCGCTTGGGAGCCGTGGTGGTGAAATATCAAAAGCCACATCGTCTGCTGCGATCGTTAGGAGACCTTCCATGGCGAAAACCACCTTCATCTTTATCATTATTTTCGCCGCATCGATTCTCCCGAACTTGATGCTATACTCGCTACTCTTTTGCTGCTGACACGCCGTCTACCAACCATATTTCCAACAGAGGCGTCTGCTTGTGTTCTGGCACAGCTTGCTGGTTCACGCGGGCCCCTCTGGTTCATGAGACACTTACCAGCTCGCTGGCAAGCCAAACTCCTGAATCTGCTGTGGGGTCTTGAGGCCTTGGTAGTATATGTATGCATTAACTAGAAATTTGTCTCCATCTCATATGCAGCCCGTGATGCGCTTTCTTAGTACTTACTGCCCGGTATCCTGTAGGTTACAGGTTTTGTAAGTGGTGAACCTGATGGATGAACCGGTACCTACCTACCAGACGGGAATGACTAAGCTGGCCGGCATTTGTGGGTAAACTACCTCCGATGTGGGGCAATCTATCAAAGTCCAAACCTCCAAACCTCCAGCATCGCGAACGAAAGCCCTCCTGCCTTCCCCATCCATCGGAGCAAAGATGCCAGCAGACGAGTACGCGTCCGTCGGGGGAGGCGGAGCTCTGAAGCTCAAAGGGGGCAAGGTACAAAAATCCAAGAAGAAGAAGAACAAGGAAAAGTCCTCCAACCTCGAACGCTCCCTGTCCACCGGCCTCGACCCCACCACATCCAAGGAGCTTGACAAGAAGGCGCAGCGTCTCCACGGCGACGAAGAAGACGCCGGCAAGCGACACCAGTCCGATGACGAGGAGGGCACTGTTGAGCACAAGACCGAAGCAGAACGGAGACATGCCGAGTTCGCCCGGAAGAAGGTAAAGTTACACAAGGCCCCCCGGCCGGCTTCCAACTTGCTCGATATTCTAGAAGGGTTATGCTGACAACCGGTTGTGTACGTATCTGCAGATGCTGAAGATGCTCGATGACCCTACACTATCGTCCGAACTGCGCAAGACCCACAAGGAACGAGTCGAGGGTCTGAACACCTATCTGTCCAAGTTGAGCGAGCATCACGACATGCCCAAGATTGGCCCTGGATAGATGGACGCGACAATTGCCTGCCGGCATAGCAACACTCTCCAGACGGCTGATCATGAAGTGGCTCGGTCTGTTGTGATGGATCACGCTCCAGGCGGCGTTATTACGCTCGCAATCGGCTCACGGCTATGCTCGACGCCCTCCTGCTTTGCTCCTTGATCTCCCACGACGACCCATGGCAGATGCTGAAAGCAGGTCAACAACTCTAGACGTCTAAGGGGCGAGCCGTTTGAAGAGCCCAAATAGTTCAGAGGGATGGGCTAAACGCTCGCCCTGGCTTGCAATGAGGACTCTGAACCAACACCATTGACTGCAGTTCAGACCCAAGCAAGTATCCATAACTATTTGCTCGACCGCGGTGCGGCTAAGATTTGAAGTGCAAAGCGAAAGACACACCAGTCCCCGACGACTCCTTCAGCAGAGCTGTGTACGGGGATTTCTACTGTTGGACCTGTTGGTTGGAGAGCTAGCCATACGACTACTGGGTGATACGACCCTTCCGATGGCAATACCTAATACTTGCTCCTACATAGCAAATGCAGTATTGATGCAGCACGCTCGTCACCTTACGTTGAGGTCTCTCTTACCATGTTCTCGGGTCTTTCTGTGATTTGCTTCGCAATTTGCGTATTGTTAGTGCAAGTGGCCTATGTATTTTGCAAGTCTTTCGAGGGTAACCGCAAACACTTGGTCAAACCACCTCGACAGTCAGGGGTAAAGGCATCCAAACCGAAGGTACCATTGAGAATCCGGGGCGTAGAACTGGGACTAAATCCTGTGTCGCCGTGAATAAGCCATGACAAGGAGAGCATAGTCCTGTTGGATGCCGGGTGATGCGCCTGCCATACCTTGGTTGGTCTTAATACGGGCTACGTTGTTGAGCGACACCCCTTGATCCTTTGAAGCAACTCTGGTACACGAGTTTTAAGTAGGAGATGCCTCCAGTCGGGAGTGGTTGTTACGACGTCGCCATTAACTATCAATATCCCAATATCCCCTCACAAGACACACGATCTAGAAATAAAAGTACGGTGCCCCCATCCTGTGTGCAATTTGGTTCGGATAGACCATGTTCCTTCTAGTTCGTTAATTCGTTACATGCCGCGGATGTCCAAGAACGCCGAGCCGCCCATATCTTCACGCCGAGTGCCTTTTCCGTACGAAGGATAGTAAATGCCGTATTATGTTCCGTATATGTAGTCAATGGCGACGAACGATTCTATGCTGCGCTTCCATCCCATAAACGCCAAAGAGAGGGAATCAAAGCATGAACCCCCCCAGATGGGCCGGCGAGGTGTCATCCGTGTAACTGCGGCTGTCCTAGGCCAGTAACACTCCGCCTATGAATGCTCCGACGATTACCTCCACCACGCGTCTTTGGGCCATTGGAACAGCCAGTCCCTCCGTCTGGAGGCTGCCAGGAGAGTTTGTCGTTGATGTCGCTTCCTCCGCACTACCACTACCGGGGGTAATGACACTAGTCGAGGTTATCGTCGTCACAGCGCCTCCAGGGAGAGTTGACGTAAAAGTCGATGTCATCTGACTGGTACTAGGTGTCGTGATGGTCGAAAGTGTAGAGTCTTGGCATTCAGTCAGTACACGCTTAACACAGTAGCAGCAGCAGGAAAAGACAAAAACTGCCCGATTGTATAGAGAGCGGTCAAAGGTGATGGGCAGACACTTTGCGCGAAAAACAAAATAGAAGACATGAGTTGAGTAGCAAGACAAGACCTTCTCTTAAGAAACGTACCCCGAGTAGATGTAGTAGTAGAAGAAAGTACATCGGTAGTAGGGCTGCCTCGAGTATATGTAGTTGTAGATGTAGTAGATGTAGTAGTGGAAGAGAGTACATCAGTAGTAGGGCTGGAAGAAGTAGGAGATGGAGAAGTTGTGGACGCGGCAGCGGTCTCCGTCGGTAGAGGACTTGAAGCATCGTCAGACGTACCGGTAGTACTCGTACTGTCGGGCTGTGCGGTTGACGTCGTCGTTTGCGTACTAGTGTCTGTAGAAGTAGTAGCAGTAGTAGCAGCAGTAGTAGCATCACTAGTAGTGGTAGTCGGAGACGCAGTCGTTGGGGACGTAGTCGTCGTGGGCGTCGTGGGCGTAATCATTGGGGTCGTAGTCGCAGCAGCTGTTGTCGTTTCCGTGACTGTTGTTGAATCTACTGACGTGGTGGCTTCCGTAGTAGGCGTCTCGGTAGAGGAAACCTCCGTTGTGCTCGTAGTATCAATTGGGGATGTCGTGGTTGTAGGCGTGCTAGTAGTGTCTGTGGACGCGCTGGTCTCCGAGGTCGTTGTTTCGTTCCCTCCAGCTTGCCGCTTCTGGAGGATGGAGCTTGCTAATTCGGGGTCATCGGCAAGAACAGCCTCGAGTGCTGCGTCGTCTGAGTCGTAAACGCCATGTCTGTAGGTACTTGGGAAATGACTGTGCAGAAATCCGTGGAGTGCTTGAGGTGAAGCGGAGCTCAGTAAGCGGGAGAATGCTGAGGGCTCCTGATCCACGATGGTATCAACCTCGCCTCCAGCAGGAATATCGTCGTGTGAAGCATTTGCATACCCGGCTATAATGCCAATGCAAACGAGCAAGGCCAGGAGAAGGGTCCGATACGAGAGCATCTTTTGGGCAGTATGAACAGTGGCCGGTTCTTCGCCTATTCCAATGCCAATCAACAAGCCCTTTTGAGGAGATGAAGATCCCATGCTGCGAGGATCGGACAGCGAGCCGTTGGTGATAAGGCAAAAGCTGAACGGAGCCGAATTCCGGGACCCTAACGCAAGCTACTGCAGCGAGGGCTTGAAAGGGCAATTGTTGGGTGCGGGCGATGGCTGGACTAGTAGTTATAATGTTGTTACATCATAACAGAGACCAGAAATCCTTTGCAGTGGTACGTCAGACCGAGTCCCAGCCAGTCAGCCCTAAGGTAGTGAGTGCAGTAGGGCCCTGAATACGAACGGCGCGACCTAAACCGTTGAAGCTTTGAAGAGTTGAAGACCCGCGAACAGCGTATATCCCAGTTTGGGCTGCAGTCTTTTGAGCTCTGGCGTACCGATCGCGTGGGTTGGCAACTTGGCAGCCGCTGCTAGTGCGATATGTCAGAGCCGCGATTGGAGCAGACGGTAGGATGGCAAGGATGGGTGGTGGCGAAGGCCGGACGTGGTGCTTGTAAAAGACTAAAAGTTGCGATCAAAAAGACTGTCTGGGAGCCTTCGATGTTTTCAAGCAGACATGGCAGCAGTACCGACAGCTCGAGGTCGTACCAAACTCGACAAGTTTGAAGTCACGACTCACCAGCCACTAGCCACCAGCTGATTCATCATCAGCTTGCCGGCCGCCAGCTCGCATTGAGATAGTCAGTGATCACGAGAATCCACTCCAGCTTGAGCGGGTCGGCATGCTAGACCTGGAAGAAGGCAGGGGGTTGTCATCAGTGGCTCCTGAATCCTTGATTCAATCCCCAATTGCAATTCCCATATCGCTTCCTGCTGGTTCTCATATGAGCCAGGCAACCAGGATCCGGCTCGAGATGCAATTGATTATTTGATCTGGTTGCTGGAGTCACACACACCGGGATGTCATGATGATGATTGATTGATGGTCATGGACTCATGGTGTGGCGATCCTGCTGTCACAACAAGTCGCGGATGGCCATTGCCCAATTGGCAGATCCGAGACGGGATATGGCCCTTGTCTGTGAGGCTGTGACGTCCGCCCGTGGGCCGTGGTGGAATACGAGGTTTTTGATCCTCCCCCCCACCACGTTCCACGGTACCAGAGGCTGGTGTTGCGCATGTACCAGGCAGAGAAACAGAAAAACAGAGAAAGTTCAAGGGACAACTCGAGGACGTCCCCAGACATTGATGTGTTTCAGCACGGTGAGCTCTCTGCCGAGTTCTGGCCAAGTGTTGCCATTTGCTATCACGTTTGACCACTTGGTTGTTTGGCCGGAGGATGGGAAGACGATGTTGAGAACAGTGACATCCCTAGGCCGGTTGACTCGTGACTGTGAGAACAATGTGGTAATATGCAACATCCCGTCCTTGACTTCCCCGTGGGCGAGATTGATAAGAAAGAAAAAGATAACAAGTGAACAGAACAAACATGTGTAATTTGTGCACATGTTATTAATGAGCACAGGTATCAGCTGAAACACGTGACTGCCTTACGCACCGTGGCCGCCACATCTATCAGCCACATACACTTAGCTGAGTACCCACATATATCTAGATTCCATGTACAATTGACGCACCCTTCGGGCCCCGGGCTGGGCTGAGGGGCTGTTTAGTTGTAGAGCTGACGCTTATTGTTGAATGCACGGACGTTGATGGATTCTATTGGTTCAGTTGTTGTTTTTCGGCTCTTCTTCTTGAGCGTACAGAGATTGATCATCTGTCTTCATGGTGGGTCAGATGCCCTGTGCGTCTCTGCCCCACTGGAGATCTTCCGGTGTCTATCACCGGCTCCTATTCAACACTTATACTAATGCCCCGAGTTACCTTCATAAATTAGAAAAACCTTAGTGCGACGTTTTTAATAGCAGCCTTACTAACGATCGTTATACTCTTAATCTTTAATATTATACGCGCTATTCGAATAATAAAGCTAATTGTTTTATAAATATTAACATTATATATAAATAAATACTTATAATCACATTTTTATATTTTTATTTTAAATACGTTTAATCGGTACGTAATTTAATATTATTACTATCAATATATAAATAATCTTAAAATATAGCTTTAATAAGGCTGAAAAAAGATTTTGTCAATATTTATTTATTGATAAAAACACAGATTGTTAATATTTTATACGTAGATAATCAACCTCTCTTATAAATAACGCTTACTTATAATCATATTTAATATTATATTTAATATTGACTGATATGTTTTAAGACCTTTTTTTTAGTATAAAAAATTTATAAGTAATTAGTTTTTAATCGTAAACTTATTTTTTAATAACGCGCTTTTAATACTTTTACCTTTCAACCTTAACATACTTTTAAGATTTAAATTCTTCGAATCCATAGTTATAAAGCTAATAATTATAAATATTGCTTTAAATCAATTAAATAACGTTATTATTAAGTTAGGCTAGTATAGTTATTTAAATCTGAACTTTTACCTTTAAAAAGTCTTCAAAAAGGTATTAATAAAGAAAAAATTGAAAAAAGCGAAAAAAAAAGCTTATTTAATTAGCTATATTAAGGATTTCTACTTAAATCTTTACTTAAAAATTTTTATATATTTAAAAAGATCTTAAAAATACTTTATTATATTTTACATATTAATAAATAGTTTTGGAAGGGTATTTTTGAGAATATTACGAATATAACTTACGTTTACATTAAGTTGAATTAGGTTATTAAATAGGTTAAGAATAAATATATTTAGCTACGTTGTATAGCGACGGCTTAGTTTAATTTATTGAAGGTTGATAGCTTTAATTAATATTAAGATTTTAAAAATGTTATAAACAACCTTATTATACTTAATTTATATATGAATATATATATTGTGAAGTTCAGAGTTCAGATAGGGTCAAGATGGGATGGATCAGGTTCGGTGTCATAGTTATGGATCTATAGGAGATATTCCTACCTAAATACAGCTGTAAGGGCCCTTTGACACCCGGCTGCCTAACAGCAGACAACAAACCTGCCAGTGCTTACCACAATGGACCTTTCATCCCATTTCGGTCTCTTTCACCCCTTTCAGCCTGCTGCCAGCTGCAGCACACACCTAATAGGCACCAAAATTCTCACATATATGTATTATGTTATTATTATACGTTATAAGATTATAATCTAATAAGAAGTATATTTCAAAGTTAACTGTTTTCATTTAAAAGATATCGAGATTCATAAACTTACTAAGCAAATTTAAAATAAAAGTAATAAAGCGATTAACATAAAAACATTTAGTTTTTATAAGATTTATAAAGGTAAAAGCAAAGCGTCAATTTAATTTAACGACAATTTGGTCGATTTAAATAAGTTAAATAACGATATTAAAAAGTTATATATTTAAGTTAATAATAAGCATAAAATAAAAATAACGACAACTAGGTTTGTTTTCAATCTTTACGTAAAGAAAAAAGATTAATGATAAATGGATTCATAAAAGCTTTATTATTATAATAATTATGTTATACATTAATTTTAAATAAAAGATTTTTTATTATCTAATTAAACTACTAATAAAACATTACGTTAATCATATTAATATTAAAATATATAATCGCGTTATAAAATATTGATAATAAAAGCCTTTTTTAACAGCGTTTAACTTAAAGCATACGATTTTTTCGTTAATAATGATTAAAAACTTTAAAAAGAAACCGGAATAATTAATAGCTTTAAAAAGCTACCTTGTTTATATTTAGAAATATCAAGCAATAAGATTTTAATAAGTATAAAGATTTTACAGCTTTAAATATGAAAGGTAATAACGATAAAAATTCAAGTTTATTTTTAAAAAGGGTAGAACTAAAATCTGATTTATACGTAAATATAATAAATATAATAAATTGTACTCGATTAACGTAATTTACAAGTAATTAGTAATAAGTTTAATAATTAAAAGATATGTTAATATCTTATTCGTTTCTTAAAGAAAAATCGCTCGTTTTTAAATATTTTATTTATTTATTTTATTATAAACATGAAATCTTAAAAAATTGCTGAAGTAAATATTTTCAATAATAGTTCCTTATCAAAATCGATTTAAACGTAAGTATTCAAACATTATATAGTTATAATAAAGTAAAAGTTCATAATTTATAAAACTATTATACAATATATCAGAATTTATTAACTTTAATGCTAAATTTTTTAATTTAGCAATAATTATCTATATTTATAATAGTCCCCTTTGAATTAGTATAGTTTATATATACTTTTTATACTTTATTAAGGTCTTATTTGTTTATTATAACCTTAATAAATTTATTTATTTTTCTTTTTAAACTTTGTAAAGCCATTACGTACTTTTATTATAACTTCTTGTTGAGTTTTTATCGTTAATATAAGTATTAAGATCGATTATTAAATTATTTCCTAATTTTACATTCAATTGCATTTTCTAATTACCCGTATTTTAAGTTAAGTAATTTTATTATAGGTTTTTATTTTACTTTCGTTTATGTACTTTTAAAAAAATTAAACCACATATTATAATAAGGCATTAAAACTTTCTTATTATTAATAAACCCGACTTTTTTAAAAAGGTACTTATTTTGAGGTATAACTAGGGTTTTCAACGAGATATATTCGCTGAAAAGCCAGGTATTGTTTATTAATCTTTTTAATTAATAATTACATACTGAATTCTTTTAATTAAAGTTATATTTTATTAATAAGTTAGTTAATAAAAAGTGGTCTTTATTTTATTACGGCTCTTTATTTTTATCCATTTTTTGTAGCGAAATGTATGTTATAGATAACATTAATAACATTATTAAAATAAGATAAAGATTTAATACTTAAGAACCATTTTTAAATACGTTTTTTTTTGATTAGCTTAATATTATACTCTGTTAGTATAATTATAACATTTTTTATTTAGAAAAATAAATTGATTTTATTATTACTTCGTTAAATCGGTTTACTATTATTTATATAAAAAGCCTTAAGTTAAGATATATAAAAAAACGAATTTTTATTTTATTTTATTAATTTTAACGTGCTAAATGAACTACTTATAAAAGGTTTTATATATACTTATTTTTATATAAAATATATAGTAAAATCGGTTATTACTTAAATTAAAAAAATTGTAAATGTATTACGGATTGATAATCAAATTTACATATATGTTTAGCTTTATTAATATCTTTTTAATATTAAAAAAGCTTAAATAGCTATTATAATAGTAATCTATTATTATTGTCGTTGTTATTTTATTTAAAATATAGCTATATCAATAGTGTAATAATGATAAATGTTTTATACGAGCTTTAAAGCTACTTAGAGTTAATAAAGCGCTGGATGAAAATTTTAAGCTTTAAATAACTAATTAAAGGCTTTTTAAGGCACTTATTAATAGTATTAGCTTTAAAATAAGTGCTTTTTTTACTAATAAAACAGTAGGCTTATATATAACTTATAATTAGTTTATATGCGTAAGTCGAAAGAAATAGATCTGGCGTGTTTTTAGTAGAGATAAGTTGCTGTTAACCGCGAACGGTAAAAAAATTGAAAAGAATTGTAGGCCGTTAGCAGGTAGGTGCTGACGTTGCCGAACAGCTTCTGACGACGCTGGCGCATGTCGTGGTGAACTGATTTAACACATGTGAAATTTAATGGGCCGATCGCTCAATTGCGGCTGATATTCTTCCACCAGATCTTCATGATTGTCCCAACTTTGCAACACCGAAGAATCCCTCCCAAGCTTCGAAATGAGGACCGAGGACTGAACAGCATTACATGTCCCCCAAGGTGCTGTTTGGCCACCCGGTCTCGATATGCCGGAGTACCTCGACCCATTTGCCGCATATTCGGATGCATCGAACGACCCCCGCCAGCCGGTCTTGCGCCCGCAGGACGCCCTGAGACTCCTCACGCGATCGCCCCATCCCTACCACCGCCAGAACTTTGAGCTGCTCGACTCCGTCAACAGCTACGCCGCCAGCCGGGAGAAGAGCTTCGACGCCAACCTCTCGCCGTCCACCTTTCCCGACCGCTCGAGAGAGCCTACGCCGAGCAGCGATAGCGGCACCGAGGCAGACGACGAACACTTTCTCAAGGGCTTGCCCGCCCCGAAACGATGGCACAAGGGCTTGCGAGGGCGGAATGAAGTCTTGTCCGGCACTTCCACCCCACTCCCGTCCCCAGCACGCCTGGAGGAGGAAGGTCGGAGACTGTCTTATACGTTGAAGAAGGACACCAGCTTGACCCAGGGCTTCCGACGCCCTAAAGATAATGCGAGGAGGAGGAGGAGGAGGGAGCTTGTTCGGCGAGCTACTGAGCTACTGATACTCGGCGTCCTTGGATTCCTGGTTCAGAAAAACCCTCAAGTCCGGCCCGTATGGCGCAAATGGAGTCAAGGTGAGCCTCTCGCTCTGCACCGCCTTGGTGACCATACTAATGTGTACCTAGAGCTTGGTATCGGCATAGCAATATGGTTGCTTCTTGTGCTGCTGTATCCATTGAGGCTCTGCGCTTGGGCTTTTTGGCACCGGACACCTTCGAGGAAGATACCTTTATCTTTACCCTCATCTTTCGACCCGGCGCCGCTCTTCTACCCGCCGGCCATTACCCTGTTTGCCTCGTTTCTTATCGCAGTTGACAACGAGGCAGTGCTTCTACCCAATATCATCCTTGCCATCTGCTCATTGCCGCCCGCCCTGGTACCTACTCTAGAATCCTCTGACCAAGGCTACAACTCGTTCCATTGGGCCCTGTCATGTGCGCCTCTGCTACTCTCCAAGGTACCTTGGACTGTTACTGTTGGTTGGGCAGATGGGGGAACGACTGCTGCACGGACAGCAGCAGTCCCGGCTGAGACTGCGGTGCTTCTATACCCGTTGTACTGCAACCTCGTTCTGGCGTTGCGCACTTTGACCACCACAAGCCTACTGACGGCAGAAGTGCAGCTGCTCGCCATTGCGCTCATCGATGTTCTCATGCTATCCATATCGCCCCAGGCCTCCATAATGAAGGCGATGCTATGGGTCGGAGGGTTCGATATCCTCGTATCATGCAGCCATGCAATCATGTGGGGTATAGCATTGGCTCGCGTGCCCAAGTGGCGTTTCAAGCGGCCACCCAGTCCGACAAAGCGAAGTTCAACCTTTCTCTCGTCCGTCATGTCGTGGCGGAGAGTAAGGCATGATCTCTTCCATGCGCCTATGGACAGCTCTTCCTGCAGCTCGTGCGAAGCGATTGACGACCCGAACGAGAGTGACGATGCTGGCGCCAGGGCTTCCAAAGAACATCTGCTCGTCAAGACCATCACACTCGACGGAGCCGGTCCCACCGGGCTTGAGGGCAGCTCAAGCTGCGGTATAGACGCGGGCCATGAGTTGAGATCCAACGTCAAAGAGGGTACGGTCGGCTCGCCACTACGTCGACACACGTTGCCCAGCACCGCAAAGCCTTTACGGAAATCGAATACTCACACGCCGTCCGGCCGGAAGAAGAGATCGGCGTCCATATCTGTCCGGGCATTCTTCTCCCTCACTCAGAAACAAGCGGCTGTTCGTAAATGGATCTATGCCATCTACGTTTATGCCTGCATCCTGGGCGCGATATTTGCCCCAGTCCCTTTCGTCGGTGTCAAGGAGGTGGTGATGGACGAAGCGCTCCACGGTTACGAGCCAGTGGGATGGGCCCTGGGCTATCTCTTCGGAGACCTGCCGCGGTTCCGGTGGGAGGTTGTGAGCTGCAATCTACAACGATGGATCTGCCTTCCCCCAAGATGGGTGGATCGGCAAGTTGATCACCCGCCAACAGGGTGGCTCGAACGTCTCCAGGTGTCCTTTGTGGGCGAGGCGAACACCCGTCTCCTTCTCAGCGCATACTGCATCGTAGTCATCGCCATTGGGCTCATTGTAGTCTTGCGCCTATCACCATTTTGTGAAGTGGACACGCGGCGAAAGGTGTTCCACTTCATGATGGTTGCCATGTTTTTGCCGGCGACTTACATCGATCCTACCTTTGTTGCTCTTGCACTCTCGATCATTCTCGCCCTCTTCCTCCTTCTCGACCTCCTGCGGGCAAGTCAGCTACCACCACTGTCGAAGCCCCTGGCGTACTTCTTGGCCCCTTACGTGGATGGGCGAGATCTGCGGGGACCGGTCGTCATCTCGCACATTTTTCTCCTCATCGGTTGCGCGATTCCGTTGTGGCTTTCGCTGGGTTCCCTCCCACGGACTGGTACGGGCTATCTTGAAGGCTGGGGCGTGCCTACGAGGGAAGTCGCCATGGTATCGGGCGTCGTGTGTGTCGGACTAGGAGATGCTGCGGCGTCTCTCATCGGGAGACGTTACGGACACCGGAAGTGGCTCTGGGGAGGTGGCAAGAGTCTCGAAGGGAGTGCCGCTTTTGCGGCGGCCGTGTTCGTAGGCCTCGTAGCCGCACACATATGGTTACGACTCGGCGGATGGCGTGCGACGACGGGCCACCCGGATTCCTGGGGTGCAACGCTCCAGAAGGCCGGCACCTGTGCTGGCATATCTAGTTTGACGGAAGCGGTTCTGACTGGTGGCAACGACAACGTCATCGTGCCGGTCATTCTATGGACATGTGTTAAAAGTCTCGGCGTTTAGAATGGGGTCACAACAAGGTAGACAGGTAGAGGGCGCAGGTTTGACATGATTGGCGTCTGGAAGGGCATCGGGAGCGGTTAGACGGACGGTCTCGTGTGTATACCCCGCGGATTCTATCTGCATCTTCCGAGCACGAGCCTGTAGGTATGCGGCATGTGTATGATGGAACAATATAGGCGCAAGACTCTTTTCATCCTCAGTATTTTCGTGCAAAAGCTTGGGGTGTATTCTGCAGGTGTTGGGACGAAGGGCATGTGTGTCAGACGAAGGAAGGGTTGGGAGCTCCGTGCTGCACCACGGCATTCAACTCATCAACCGATACGAGATTCTTCGAGACGATCTTATATCTTACGTGTATTATTGATATTTGAAATCATGAAATGTGAGCTCTGCATGGTTCCCTGTCAGAGAATCAAAGGGTTCGATCGGACAGGAATCAACCCTATTCGCCCAGGTTCAACGGTGGAACGGTGTGCATGAAATTTCCGTAATGTCAGGTCCAATGCAATACCGGTACTGCGTTTGCCGACGTCGTGTGCCCCAGCCGGCCGCAGGTGCACCAGACCTGCAGACCTGTGGGGCTCATGAAACATAATGACTCACCCAGCCGGCAGCCAGGCGTTTCGGCTGGCAGGAGCTGGCTTCCATGGCTTTGGGCCTCTGGCATACCCGACCACCTGCAGACTCGGCCGAACGTTAAACTCTCCTGCTTGAACAATTTGAACAGGATCAAGTGATCGTCCGTCTGCTCCGTTCAAGACTTGGCAGTGCTCGTCAAGCAAAAAAAAAAAAAAAAGCAAAAAGGTCTCGGTGACGTCTCGCCGGCGGGTTGTCTGAGAAAAGTCTCCGACAATCATCCCGCGCCGTTCACAAGCAAACAAGGCTGCCAGCGACGAGGCATATTTACTGTTCTGCTCTTACATGCCTCAGCTGCTGCCTGCCCGCATCCATGCTTGACCACGCGATCCTCTTGCGCAACTCCGTACACCTAGCCAGTTGGGAATTCCTCTATTCATCAACCCTTTCGCTCCATTGATATTCACGTGTCCGAAAGTGCCGTTGCGACTTTCGACCGCTTACAAACCACCCGATCCCCGTCCTCTGGTGGGGCTCAGTGAGGCCGCCGTGCTGCCGCTTGAGCCTCTCATCTTGGACGCGAGGACCGAGCACAGTCCCGACCATGTCGTCTGCTTCTTCGGGCAAGACTCCCCGAGTCCTTGCTTGTGTTCTCGTAAGTGGTTACATTTGTGCCCGTGTCCTACCGTTCGTGCCAACTGATACCCTCCACGCGCCGTAGTGTCAGAACCGGAAGATCAAGTGCGATCGTAACAGTCCTTGTTCAAACTGCATCAAGGTGAGTCTGAGTCTGCATTGCCATGGAGCAGTACTTCCGCTGACACCTCTAGGCAAATGTCGCGTGTACCCCGAGTGTTCCGGCGCCCGCGCGCAAGCGGAGGAGGCCTAATCAAGACTTGCAGCAACGGCTGGCGAGGTGTGAAGAGCTGCTCTCCGACTACGCCACTGGGAAGCCCGAAGACACAACAAAGGAATCGCCAACTCGAGATGAGTCCTGGAAGCCTTTGGGCAAGTTGATCGTTGACGACGGCGGCGTGAAGAAGTTTATGGATAGCTACCTGTGGGCAAACATCCACGGCATGTATAGACATTCCCCTTCTTCGAGCCTCAAGCCTGTTTCTCTTGAATCAAGTCATACCTTCTCTATGCTGGGACTAACAACTCAATAGTAAGCAGTCCCGCCGGGTGTTGTTTATATTTTCTAGTAGCAGAGGTTACGAGGACTAATGCAACCTGTTTCCATATATTAGGATGAGGTAAGTTTCAGCCCTGTCTGCCGCGCCTGGCTGTGAAGACGAATCCCCTTGGCGTTGGCGTGCTCCTTTTACAGTCTAGGTTGACACCCGCACTAGCTTTCAGCAATGCGCGAAATACTCGAGGACGAGGAGACAATAGATGATTCCAATACGCCTGCCGAACCACAGTCGCCGGAGCTGAACACAGCGTTGGTGCTGTCGGATTCTTCCAACGCCGATCTCGAAGACCTGCACCCTCAACCTGCCCACGTCTTCCACCTGTGGCAGACCTTCCTGGAAAGGGTCAATCCCATCACAAAAATCATCCACGTACCCACCTTACAACCCATGCTGTTTGAGGCTGCTATCAGTAGGGCCAGCGTCCTCAAGAACACCGAAGCGCTCCTCTTTGCTATCTATCTCATGGCGGCTGTTGCCATGACTCAGGACGAATGCAGGGAGCGGCTTGGATACACGAGGGCCGAGGCCTTGGACCGCTTTTCCAAAGGTTGCCGAACGGCTTTGGTCCGCATTGGCATCCTTAAGGACTATGACTTGACCATCTTGCAGGCCATGGTATTGTACTTGGTACGCCAGATTTAGACCTGCGCCGGACTACACTGACGAAGTTGGCAGTTCTCACTCATCGGTCGTTATGACCGCCACGCCGCCTGGATCTTGAATGGTGTCACTGTGCGGATTGCCCAGAAAATGGGACTCCACCGGGATGGAGAGTTTCTCGGGCTTTCGCCATTCGAAACCGAGATGCGTAGGCGTATCTGGTGGCAGATCGTATTACTCGATGCCATATATGCATTGATGTCGGGTCTCGGGCAGTCTCTCCTCCCACGCTCCTGGGACACGAAAGAACCGCGCAATATTAACGATTCGGATCTCTACCCCAACATGACGGCGGTCCAGGCCAAGGATGGACCCACTGACATGATCTACGTCTTGATCAGCTACGAGATGGCCAAGCTCATGGTAGAGACACCAATATTGGAATCGGTCATCTTACAGAACGAGTTTGGGGCCCCCGACACGCCCGCTCCCGAAGAAGTGGACAAGGCGCGCAAACGTATCGTTGAGCTCGATGATACCATCGGTGATCTGCTCGACAAGTACGGCGACTTGTCCATGGGTCCGGTCCATGAGCTGGCGATGGCAACTAGACCAATGCTGATGGATAAGCTGCGAGATCTTACCTGCCCCCCGAGAGAGCAACCGGAGGTATGTCTTTGCCAGCATCCTATATACTTGTTCATCCCCCGTGGTGCTTTTCGTATCCGCAACCGGCTGCTTGCGACGACCATCCTCCTACAACGTGCTTCCCTGTGTTCCTTGGGAGTAGGTGGCGAGAAGGCCAGTGACTGACTCGAAGTACGGCAGTGGGGCACTGAAATCATGACGCCGAAAGACAATCTCTTCAAGATCTCGCTAAGTACGGGAGAGCACAATCTCCGGATGTACAGAACGACACAGTTAAGGGGTACTTTCTTGTGGTTTAGTAAGCCATCTGACCCTGGATACCAGCATGTGATATATTTACTAAGTTTTGTAGTGATGACCCATTTTCAGTTGGACATACTGATCTACATGGTGGGACAGCTCAGCTCACGGATGACTGGCCAATTGGTAGAGAGGGCATGGGCCGTCACGGAACAGTTATACCACTTCCACCAAGAACTGTATGATCTCTCGGTGAAGCCACACGCGGCTTTGGCAATCTTTGCCATTAGGGGCTGGAAGCAGCGCGAGAAATGGCTCCTCGAGACCGGGGCGCCTGCCCCCACAACACCCGGCTATATTCTGAAGCTGCAGACTCTCCTGCCGTCAGCAGAAACCAAGCACATTCCTGAGGATGTCAAGACGCCCGACCTATCAAATCTCAACATGGCCGGAGATGCGGTAGCGCCGCAAACACAGGAGGTGCCGGCGTGGGATTCTATGCTGGGTTTAGTCGATACCGGGGCGATTGATTGGGACATGTTCGCAGGCAGTGGCAACGGGCCGCTACCGACAGGCAATGGGGGCTATGGGAACTATGGTACGTCGTACACAAATAGCTGGATGTAGATTTTCGACCTGTAGTTTCGGACATCGCTGCTCATATCACTGATGTACCATACCAAGCTGGGTGGTCCACGCTCGACATGAATTACTAGCATACTTCTAGGCATACTAGACATCGCATATAGACTAGAGTTCTCTGCAGCACTGTAGGATGTTGTCGATCACTACGTATATTTCTGCGCACACCCAGCAGGCAAAGTACTGACCGAGGAGGCCTCCAGCATATGGATACGCTAACATATACCATTCCCTACATCTGTAAATAGACATTATCCATCCCATCAGAGTACAGTTTCGGAGTACTCTGGTCCATCGTCATATCCGTCCACGTATTCATCAACCTGAAAGTTTACATGGTCATCCCAGTGTTCAACTTGATGGTCAGCCAAGTGGTCAACGGGATTATCGATCCACTGGCTAACGTGGTCATCTCGTCACCGAGGCTAAGCACGTCATCATCAAGGATCTCGTGGAGCTCGTCGTGTGTCTCTTCCTTCCTGCTAATAGCGATCTGGAGTGGCTACTGGGCTGCCTGGGTGGCTAGACGGCTGGATCTACGGTGGAAAGTCTCAAATGTGGCCCGAGTTTCCATCGGCAGGATTTATTCCGGCGTGAACCTTTCGGATTCAAAGGGTTTATGCCATGACAATTCCGCCGGGGAAAAATCCCTAAAGAGAAAAGGGGAGACAGGACTTTTATAGCCGCCCCACATTTGCAATAAACAACTAGGTCTTAACATTATAGTTACTAAATCACCATGGGTGTGCTTGACTCTGTCGACCCGGGCTGAGAAGATTGCCGGTTACGTCTAAGATTTCAATAATTGCCAGAAGAAAACCGACGGCGAAAATAAAGAGACCGGAAGCTGCGCAGAGAAACTAATCGAAGACTCGAATGGCGGCTGCTTCTACACGCCCGAGGCGCAGCAGAGCGTGGCCGCGCGTGGGTTGGACAGCCTTTCTTTGCTGGGGAAGAGAGACGACGGCACTGGTGTACGTATAGACCCAAGCTTGCAAGAACTTGATGATTTTGGACTGATATATTCTCTCGACATTCACAGGCTTGCGTTTCTGGGGAATGCCAGAGAGCCGTCATTGTACTTACTGGTGGCGGCCCCCCAATCATCTGCCCCTTACCATATTCCTGCGCGGCGGGCTCTGTGAGTGACCATTCCACAGCATTTTGTAGTTGCACATAATTAATACAACGATACCTAGTACCCTAGGAACCTGGAAGGAGCTGTCTCTCATGTCACAAACGGCAGAATGACGTGTCCGGGAGCATAAACTCAAGTCATGAGGTTTATGCCTCGTGGTGGATAACCTAGACGATCGACGAGTTTATTAACGAATAATCCGAGATGTTTTTACGTTTAATAACGTTTAAGCGGGCTTGAAAATTAACGGTAAGAGTAATTATAATTAAGTAAGTTTTTATTAGAAAATTTTTTATTAGAAAAAGTTTTTATATATTAAAACGGCAGTTTATTATATAATGTAGATGACAAGCGAGCGGCAATTACAAGCGAATGGTAACTTTTCACCAGCCACCTAACCTTTTTATCAAGGCTCCTAATTGATCAACCAACAATAATGGCATTGTGTTATAACAAATCAGACTTACAGCTTGCTGTCCAAGCTAAACGACGCGACCCTCATATTACCATTGGCAAGCTTTTTAAGACTTTCCATGTCCTATATAATACCTTAAAGACTAGAATCGCCGGCCGACCATCACGACGCGACAGCATGCCCAATACTTTGAAACTTACAGTTTATGAAAAGAATGCCATTCTTTCCTTCATTCTTGACCTGGATGCGCGAGCATTTCCACCCCGGCACAGTTATGTTGAAGATATGGCGAATCAATTGTTAGCGGCATATGGGGCTAGACGCGTTGGAAAGAACTGGACACAGAACTTTATTAAACGCACACTAGGCCTCCGGATGCGTTTTTATCAAAGGATGGACTACTAGAGGATCTTGAACGTGGTTTCGCCAAGTTGTTGCAACAATTGCGAAACATGGTATCTAAAATGGGGACATTTTATAACTTTGACGAGACTGGGTTTATGATGGGCATTATTGGGTCTGACATAGTCGTCACAAGCACCGAAAGAAGTGACAGGCCTAAACAAGCTCAGTAAAGCAACAAATAATGGTCTACAGTAATCTCTGCTATTAATGCTGATAGTTGGGTGGTCCCGCCGTTCATCATTCTATAGGGCAAAACCCACCTCGCGTCATAGTATCGCGCCACAACATTACCACACGATTGGAAGGTAGCCGTGTCTGATAACGGATAGACTACAAATAAGATCGGTATCGGATCATCAGAGTCAGAACAAGGGGGTGATGATCGGTCTAGTGCGTTGCGTTTTATCCATGGGTCTTGGGGACCAATCTAGTACTAAATACACACCAAAATACAAAGATGTACCCATCTATTGATCCTCCAGCCAAAGATCCCTTGTCTATCACCCATGAAAGCCACCTTTCCTAGTGCTTCCATCCCTTTATTCTGCCAAGGTGCCTGCCTGACCCCTTGTCAGCTGGCAGCCTCCTTGACTGCCACCATTCTCCCACCACAATCCTCACAATCGGGTTGAAATAGATTCAGCATTTCGATAAGTATACCAGATTGCGTATAACCGCTGGTAAATGCCTCCTCATCCTAGATGGCCACAAAAGCCACCATTCCCAAGTCTTTAAAAGTTATTGTCAGAATAATGGTACTATTACCCTTTGTATGCCTGCCCACTCATCACACAGGTTCCAGCCTTTAGATGTCGGCTATTTTAGCCCGCTCAAACAAGCTTACAGTCGCATAATTGAGGATCACATCCGGTGTTATATCACCCATATTTCAAAAGAGGACTTCCTTACAGCATTTTGTGAAGCACATAACGCTGTTATGACGCTAAGAAACATTTGAGCAGGTTTCAGTGCAACTGGGCTTGTTCCTTTTGACCCAAAAAGTGTCATTTTGAAGCTGGATACTGTCGCTGTGGTATGAACACCGTCGTCAGACCCCAATCTGCCACCCATTACTTAGACTTCAAAGACGCCTACCACCATTAACAAAGCGGTAAACTAATTGGTTTATATCAAGAATTGAGTCAGAAACCACTAGGGAAGCTCACCTACATCAATAATTAATGCGTTGAGCTTGTTTTTAAAGGCTACATGCGGTCTTATGCACAAGGTTGCTTTGGTTGTGTGACGGAACGCTCACCATAACCACCATGCCACGGCTGTTCCTCCCAAAAGGATGTCGAATATCAAGCGTGGCAGCTTGACATTCAATGGTGGTACATGTACTCATGCCCGGGCTCCAGGACTCACCACATGGGCTACCTATACCAGACCATGACAAGGTGGTCTGTGCGCTATGGGTGGGATGGTTGCCCCACAGCTCCGCTACCACTGCGGATAAACGCGCTGCACACGTATTTAAGTGTAAATTTGTCCGTACCAGGTAGACTTAGAACAACCAACAAACACGCACGTATGAACCAAATATTCCGCACGACAAGTTCTTACATTTATCAAATAATCGTATATTAAAAGAAAACTTATATCATTAATAAATATTTTAATTCTGATTTAAACGTCGTTTTATTTATGGATAAATAAATGAATAAACTCTAATTATGAATTTATTTATAAATTAATGTTTAAGTAAGTTAAAAAAAATACAGTTCATTAAAATACGTTACGAGCGTTAACCTTTTATCCTTATAATAACCTTAATAAAAATAAGGTTATAACTTTATCAAACTTTTTAAACAGATTTTTATATTTACGATTATATAATTTTTTATAGTGCGTAAAATACTTTATAAGCTCATTACTTTTATTATTAGCCGCATTACTTTAAAAAATCGAACGTATTTAAAATAAGGCTTAAAAACCCGTTTCGACCAGGCCACAATAAAGCTATTAAATTTCTTAAATAAAAGGGGTTTTATTTATTGAAAGGAAAATTTTAAATTTTAAATTTTTTTTAAAAATTTTTAATTTCCAATTTTAAACCCCCCCCTAAAAAAATTTGAAATTTTTTTAATTTTTTAATCTTTTTTTTAATCTTTTTTTATATCTTTATTTCTATGTTTATCCCTATGTTTATTTTTATCTCTATTTCTATCTCTATCTTTATTTTTATCTCTATTCTCATCTCTATCTCTATTTCTATTACTATTTCTATTTCTAAATCTAAATCTAATTTTTTAACACTATTATATATTTTTTATTTTTTTATAACACCTTGGTTATATATTTAACTAATAATTTACCAGTACGAATAGTTATAAATATATTTAAATATTATTATTATTTTATATTAAAACTGAATAATATATTAAAGGCTAGTAAACTTTAATAAAACACATAGGTTTTATTTTTGTATATTAATTCTTTTATATTAAAGTTTAAAAGATATACGGATGACTACATGTAAAATTCTTAAATATATTAAGTTTAAAATACAATTGTTTATTATAACGTAGGTCACAAGCGAGCAGCAATTACAAGCGAACGGCAACTTTTCACCAATCTTCTAACCAACATGTCAAATAACTCAACCACAACGCATTTAATTCAATCTAATCAATCGGATTCTTTTTCTTCAGACGTTTCTATCTCTATTGTACAAGTTCGCGCATTATGGCCAGTGTTGCCGCAAACGCCACAACGTCGCTCACGCGCTGCCGCCCTCCTCGGACGACGACTACCTTCACCCATTTCCTGTCTTGCCAGCTCATCACCATCCTTTACAGCCTGGAGACCTACTGCATCTTCAACGGAAAGTACTCCTCCTTTCACTAGACGTTTGTTTTTTGTTCTCCGGCATTTACTTAGTAGGTGATTGGCCTCCTCTAGCTCGCGGACCCGGGAATCAACCAAAGCGACCTTGTGCATAAGACCGTATGTAGCCTTTGAAAACGAGCTCAACGCATCAATTATTGATGTAGGTGAGCTTCCCTGGTGGTTTCTGACTCGATT